ATATGGATTGGATGGAAAGGGGGTTGTACGGCATGTGTCGTGTATGTGTATGGCATCTAAATGAAGGAAAGGAACGAAGAGACGAAGGAAGGAATCTATCCGCTTATTCACAACAAACGCAAAAGCTCATTCTAAAGTCGACGTGTGGTCTGTTGTGCTTACGGGTAGCGTGCACGCGTGAGGATAGGCAGATTGGTTTGAATCAGGGGCTGGATTGCGGGTAGTTTGAAAGGTATACTGAGATGCTTTTTTCTTGTGAGGGGGGCGTTACTCGGAATGGAATAGGGAAGAGAGAAGGGAGCGAGTATTATTAATGCATTGGGGGGAAGTTATAAATCCTCCATGACGGAGACCAGTGTATAGTGCAGCGAATCATTACTATTCAAAAAGACCATTTGCCTTCCCGTGACCTACCCAAGATCCCGCCCATACCTCTCTTCCTTCCCCTCTCATTATCCGTATTGACCTCCTGACTCATGATCGATGTCCCAGTCCTCTCCATCTTCCCACCCCCTTCACCACCATTCGTTGCACCGCTCGTATGCGCAGGCAGCGTGTCCGGCAACTCGACTCGCCCATAAGTCCTCAAATCCAGCTTACGGTCCACATCAGGTGTTTTGCCTGGCGGCTGGACTGGCGCCCAATCCACCCTGATAGACTGATCGCGGCTGAGTTTCTGGTCGTTGAACCACAGCTCGAAGCGGATATCTGCCGGGCCGATGAGGACGCGAATAGCGTATTCAATGCGGAAGTAGTGTTTTTTCAGCGACCAGAAGTGTTTGTTCTTTTCGACGAAGCGCCGCTCGTCGGCGGTGGAGAGGTCGGAGCTTATCTCGCAGAGTATGCGTGTACCTGTGCTTCGTTAGGTTTTTGGTGCTGAGTGATGTGGGTGGAACTTACTTCGGTTCATTTGGTCCGGTAGCTCGTTTGCGTCTAGATCGCTCTCTATCACACTTGTTGGGAACGCCCGCCTTGGGTCGCCGTGGTCGATGTTCTTGACGAAGCGATGCACGATCGGACTGTCGATGCTGACTGGCTCCCCCTTCTTGACAAACCAAGCTATGGCGTGGGTAAGGTACAATCTCCCATTCAGAGGATCGCGTACGGCTTGAAGTCCTCGATGTTCTGGGTTTTGTTTGTCGTACATGATCTTGCATATCGTGCCGTACGACGCGCGACAACAGCGCCAGCCCAGGACAGAGCGAGAGGTGAGAAGCTTGCGGACGCGGTCTGAAACAAGGCCTTTGCAGACGGCGAGTTGGGGGTCAGGCGCTATGCGTACGGCGATTGAGCGTGCGTTAGGAATGTCAGTCTGCGCGTAATGCATCCGCAGCTGAGACTGCACGTATGCACTGTTTCCCAGGCCGCCGCTGAGGATGAGATGTGCTACCTGCTCGTCGGGGAACTTTTGGTACAAGCTCTCTAGCTGTGAGTCGATCAGCCTGAACAGCTTTGCGATTTGCCTGTCGAAGAGGTGTTGCAGGTCCATGCGGTCGAATGTCATTTCCCCGTTCCGGATCCGTATTTTGGGATTTGTGTTGTTATATGTGTGTGGCACGTGTGGTATAGAGATGGAGAAGAGCGGTGTATCGTCTGGAGAGCCATATTCGCACTTGACGGCTTGGAAATCTCGGCTCTTCATCATTTCCCATGCTGCATCGGCGGGATCAACGGGCAGGGGTGCAGTGGTGTGCGCCATTGTCAAGCGGTGTGTGACTAGTTTCTCGAACTCGTAGTCTATGGCTGCTGATCCGATGGTCTCGCCAAACACGACGTCCAGCTGCTGAAGACTGACTGCTCGAGACACAGTCCCCGTCACTCTCAGCACGCTCAAATCAGTGGTCCCGCCTCCAGCATCGCATACAAGGAGGATGTCGTTCTCACGGAATATACCTGGTGCTTCAGTAGATACGTGAACCGCCGCAGCCTCAGCCTCTGTGAGGCCGACAGTGACAGTATGCTCTGGGTAGCAGCCGAACCCCGCCTCCTTCACGATTCTCTTGAAATTCTCCACAGTGGGAACAGGCGCCCATGTCGTCGGGACACTGAAACTGAATTCGATATTGGCGTCTTTCCATCCTACTCCCGAAAGCTCACCACCCAGCTTGATAGCTAGGTACTCGTAAAGTTTTCGTAGATAATCGCCATACCATTGCTGCACCTCTTTCAAGCTTTCAGGCGCGCCTTCGGGATCTTCCAGCTGCCTCTCCCGTAAAGTTCCGGGATCTAAGTAAGTTTTGAACCACTCCTTGTACTCCTTGTCTTGAGCACCGGTTTCCGCTTTAGTCTCGCTGAGAAAGCCCCATGACGAAGGCTCACGACTGCCGGTAGGATAGACGATCACAGTGGGTACTTTGTTTTCGTTGGCCTGAAAGCGACCGGGCCATTTCTGAACCCAACGGACGGTTTCGTTGCCGATAGACAGATTGCAGTAAGACACTCCTGTGCCTGGAGAATGTTCAGTCAACGATGGACGTCTGGGGAGGATCGCGTAGGTTGGCACCGAAGGAGTTTAGCCTGCTTCGGTCCGTGCCTCGATCTGACCCCACCGGCTCGATCTTCTTGACGACAACACTTACAGGTCATGCCCAAATCAATGCCAATCACCATATGCGGTCTCTTGCTGGCATCCATTTTATCGGTTTAATTGAGGTTGTGCAGCTCTGCTGTTCTTTTGTCCTTGTGCTCGTGCCGGCAGGCTAAGAATGCTTATGGCGTGAAGGCATGCAGCATATTCTTGTGTTATCGTACAGCCTTGCGCCAGCTCGGTCACCCTTGTGTCTAGACAGAACGCCTTTGCGGACCCCACAAGTCTTGAGCTAATTATATGCTCCATGGAAGCGAAGGTGCATGGAGCACGTCCATTTTGCTAGCGCCATGGGCTCAGAGGAGAAGGCTGAGTGTCGATGAGTTCAAGGTGACTTTCCTCAGCCTTGTGCTAGTTATGATCTCTGTATGCTGATTCGGCGAGTGTTATCGTGAGGGGTTGTGGAAGTGGGGTGAAGGACCTCGTGCTGCAGACGGCTGTCCAATTCCATAGATTTGTCGCTTCTTCCGACGGCAAGTAGTAAGTTTTGGTGTTTCGTACGCTATCCACCTGGTGGTAAAGTGGTCTATCGCCAGTCGAAGCGCTTGTTCAGTGAGCGATATCAGGCGTACTAACACTACTGGACCAGCCTCTGGCTGATCATACTCTTGACACGAAATATATCCTGTCAGCAAACCATCATTCCTATCACGATTTCCAAGTCTCTTCAGTTCTCTCCACCAATCTATTGGAATTCGTAAACCTCGATTGCGAGATGAATACGATCACAACTACGGCTCTGCCAGCTGCATTGCCCGTTTCACGACCACAGTACATAGCGTCGTCTGCAAATACTACAGTTACTTTCCTCTCGACTCCAGGAGACGATAAAAGTTTGATCGTCAGTTCTACCGCTGGACAGGCCGTCACTTTACAACCACTAACACCAACCTCAATATCGTTTACGACGTATACGTGGAACCCCGATGAACGCCAGGTATATTGGGCGATAGGTCTTGCCGGGGAGACCTCTCCTGTGAGAGGAGCCGTCTCCATCAGAACAACACCTTTAGATGACCCACCCACTTCATCGGTCGCTGTAAGTGCGCCCACCATTGCCACCACAACCACCCAACCTTCTACAATTGTATCTGTTCCACCCTCTACTACCGGAACTACAACAACCTCAGGGACAGTAGTTTCTCAAGCGCCAGTGACCGCAAACAAAGGGAGCAGTGGAGTTGCCGGCGGAACCGTCGCAGGTGTCGCTATCGGTTGCCTCGTCGCCGGGGCTCTGATCGCGGGTGTCATCTTCTGGTTTTGCTGCGGCAAGCGTAGAAAGACACATGAACGGGATTCAGAGGCAAGCAAACGTGCCTTGATGCCACGAGAGAAAGGCCCTACTGTGATAGCAAATTCGCTTGGGAGCAAAGGACATGCAGCATCCCCGTTGGGAAGCGGCCTTCCTCAACCATTAGAAGACGAGGTCATATCAGGTGAAATCACCAAAATCAGCAGCTCGATCAAAAACCACGTCAAAAGCTACTATCATGCCAGTCCCATGAGTTCAGGGCTGGTCGACACGGATGACATTCAGGCACTTGGCTATGACATGCCAGTCTCCGTTGGAACTCTCAGTACATTACTTGGAAATCCTGCTACAAGGGAAACTGCTTTGCAATTTTGTATCGCTTGGGTCGTTGTTTCCGGGATGCAACCACACAATGATCCTCTGAGGAGTTTTCTTCCACGAAATGCGGGTGGATGTTATCAGGAAATCTTGACCCCAAATCCCGAACCCAGACGTGAGTACCGAATGGATTTTGATTGTACATCCACTGACCGTCAAACAGCTCACGCGGCATCTACGGCAAGGTGGCGAACGGCGACTGCAGCTTTGCTACCGTCCACTTACGTTCGCAGCCCATTCTCCCCGACCGACAGTCGAAACGCCAGTATTCAAGCAGCGGTTGACGTTCTTGATAACATACTAGTGCCATATGCAAACTCGCGAGCCGACAACGGGCAGCGAAAGCGCAATCTCGAGGAAATCCTGAAGCGCTCTGCACTGTTCGCTTTTACACTTTTCTCACAGCCTAGTTCTTGGGAGTTTGACTGGAAGGAGCAGAAGGGTAGTGCCAGGTCAGGTGGCTTCTGTATCTTCCCCGCTCTTGTGCAAGCCTCAAACGAGGCCGGTGAGCCCGTAAGGCCCCCAAGGCCATTTAGCGAGGCTGTGATTCGGCGATTGGACGAGTGAGCTGTGCTATTGAGATGCGTGATGTTTTTCAATGTTGAGAGACGCTCCAGATAACATGAACTGTTTTCACCATTGAATTCTATTTACCGGGATTTGGCCAAGCGCCAGCGCGGAAACGAGTCAGGCTTTACTCACAATGGAAATAAACCACGCTGGGAGAGGCTGGGCTTCTAGTCTTGGCTTGCAATGTAAGGTTTCATTCTACTTGACGCCTTTCGCGCCCCCAAGGTGGCGTTCTGTATGTCCCAGAGAATAAATACGCGATGGCGTTTTGTTGAGTAGAGAGCTTTCCAATCCCATATCCAACAAAGCCTCATCAATACTGTAGATCTTCCTTTATCGGGCCGCGTACACCAGAGCTGCTGTGGGCTATGGCAAAAGACCCCACTACACAGCCGTGGATGTGTTGGACCGGCATATCGACCTCATATGCCACCTGACTTTCTGCTCCCTTCAGCCTGCCTCTGATGGTTTGGAGCTCGAATTAGCATCTCGCTCATCTTTGACCACGCACATGGTGTCCAATGTGTTCATTACGTCACTCCACACCAGCCGCGCCGACTTCTAAATCCGTCGCTTGATCCCCGAAGAGGCATTCGTGGTGCAGTATCAATCGAGCGTGAGGGTCTGCCGCGAACCTACCTCTTATCGTCCGTTCCTTCCTATCCAATCCAGGACAAGAGGTTTTTCGAATGCTATTCTCGAGATTCGCTATCCGCTGGTATTAATTCTGGACAAGATGCTTCCTACTGCCGGCCTTTACTTGCCCCAAACTTTACATCGCCACAACGATGCGCCCGCCGCACGCCGCGCAGAAACAAAAGGTGCCAGCCTGATGTATTTCCAACCACAATCCAGACAACCCGATGAAGCGGGGTCAAAGGCCGCAAATCAGACTCCTGTCGTCTTAGCCAGGACAATTGCAACGGATCCCGAGGTCTTCTCATCACTCGGAACCGCGTTCAGCTTTGCCGAGTTTGTCTCTTCTCTCGACCAAACATCTAATGAGACGGAAGCGTTGTCCCATCTAATCCAGCATATACGAAGGGACGATGCGGAAGCATCGCGACTCTACACATCACCTGCTGTCTCCAGGTTTTTGAACATATATCCAGACCACAAGGCGGAAATTGTAACGATTAGACTGGATCTCCGCCGAACCTTGAATGACATCGGCGCTTATGTGGAAGCTGTGCGCGTAATCGACGACGATGGTGGACCATTAGGACAGAGACAGAGATTCGAGTGGGTTGCAAATCACCAAGAAACCCTTCAAGATAGGCAGCAAGCGTTGTCAGCTAGCCACCAGCAATTAGTACATGCGATACGGATCATGACAACTGTTGAGCAATGTGACTGGATCGGACAAGACCCCATTCTCAAGGCGCCTGTCCGGCCATGGATTATGGACAAGCGCCGAGATAACCCAGGAAGCCCTTACTCAAGAAGGCCCGCTCACAGGACTATGTCTGCGTCGAATATTACGTTCTCGGACACCCAGGAAGGCAGTATGAATGGTATGTTCAGTTGGCACTTGACAATAGATGCTTCATTTGCTAACATCTATGCAGGTTCTACAATCTCGTTACCAGTAGAACTACCTGGCAGTGCTCCAGATGATCTTTCCAACGTTGATGGCAGAGTTTCATTCACTCTGAATGGATCAGGAGCGCCCAACAAGGATGAGATGACACGGTGTCTTTCTGTTCACGAGCTAGACAGTCGGCATATGGCTCTCGACAGAGACCATGATGCATCCGAACTGGCTACATCACCAAGTCAAAGGCACTCATCACTTGAGCCATTAGTAGAAGAACAAGATAACCACGCATCGGATCAATGTTTCGGTGCTGCAATCACGCAGAAACAGGTGCGACAAGAGCAAAAGGCTAAACTCATTGACGTCCGTCGATCCTCGTACCCAAATCAGTCTCATACCACTGCGTCATCCAATCCCAGATCTCGCACCTCGTTGGATACATCAGATGTTCTACCGACGGTCATCGAAAAGACCATAGAACGTAACGACTCCGCAATATCAACAAAAGCGACAGTCGTTGTCCCAGTACGCCCAAAGCGGTATCGTCCCCGATCATCCGAGACCCGAAGAACGCGTAAGAGTGATGGATCTTTATCGCCAGAGTTGCCATACTTTCAGAGTCAATCTTCACTTATCGATGACCTTGCCGCTTACATGTCTCCTAGTGAGACGAGTGAAGTGGAAACATGTTACTCACCGACCTCATCGGCCTCTGCATTGTCATCTCCAAGGTTTCCCCTTTCTTTCGATGACGTGCCAAGCGAGACTCTGACTTCGAATTTGGGACTCGCAATTTCAATGTCGATGATGAGCTTGGATGATCCAAGACGCACATTATCGTTAAATTCAAATCCATCAAGAGTGACTCGTAAGCCCTTGCCTTCTGCCGAGGTCGATTTGAGCCGGAGTATATCTGCACCCGCCGGCTCTTCTAAAACGACTTTGCTCCGTTCGTTTGATATGGCAGGCAAGACCGCAGCGTTCTCGGAGAGTGGGGAAGGGGGAACGTCTTTTACTCCATTTGATGGAGTAAGTAGGTTCAGTCCTTCGCTAACTGCCCCTCTCGTCACAGTGCCGGAGATTCGAGGACTGAGTCCCACTGTCTACAACATGGCCCCTCGAGATGATGAGCTATGGTTTCTGCAGCACACGTTGTGCAAACAAGACTACGTCGACCAAACTGAGATCTCGACGAATCTACCCGCTCACCACGACAATCCGATCGACCAGGGCAAAACCTTGATGAATTCAACCACAGAGAAAGCTAGATCGCCTGATCAAGCACCACATGATACAAACGTGTCTATCAACAAAGAGCTGACTGATGAACACTTATCGACTCAAAACCCACCAACATCACCAACACCCACGTCTTTAGGAGCACCTCCAGAGCTTTCGATTTCAAGACCCGAAGTTACCCTTATTTCACCAATAGAATCCGTAAACGACATCTTTTCACCGCCACAATCCGCACTGCTAACAGCACAAGCCAAACGAAGAGCTGCACATACGAGACGGATGCAAAGATCGTTCGGAGGGGGATGAGAGAATAGGCACCAGAGAGAAACACAGGTTTTAGAGTTCATATACCCAATTTTCATTTCGAATTACCCAGTAGCAGGTAGAGGAAGCTATCATCAAGGCTGCAATACGAACAGGGCCTGCTGAGACAAACAATCACACTTCCTAGCGAAGTATCCGCATTAACTGTGTGATCGTCGCCGTGATTGACAGCCCATGTACATCATGATCGCGCTTTCCCCATTTCCCATCCCATCCCGTCCCGTTCTAGCGTACCTATTTCGAAAAACAGGACCACTCATTGTGCGAGCATTGAAGACACTTGTCAGCGTTCTCCTTGCTCTTCTTCTTGTCCCTGCAAGCCAACGCACAGTTGTGCTGTCCCATGCTCATCGTACCGGTCTTGCCGGGCCAGAGGCACCACTCGCAGACTGGTTTGTTGTTCTTGCTGCCGTCGCCGGCAAAACTGCAGTAACGAATGCAGTCCCAGCCGCCGCACGTCTCCTGCCTACCCATGCCGGAAGCAATGCCGCCGGGGACGAGACTCTGCTGGGGGTCAAGGGTGTGTGGCAAGAGAGTGGTCATGGTGAAGGAAGTGGTGAGCGTGGTCATGCTCAAGGGAGTGGCGAGGGCGGAGGCCGCGATGCCGAGGAGGAGGATGAGTTGCATGATGATAGACTGGGGTGTTTAATATTTAGGTGATTTGGGTTTGGATAAATGAACTTACGTTGAGGGGTTGGTTGAGGGATTGGTTGAGGCTTTGGTTGTTGTTGTATGGAAGGTTTGGATGAGAGTTTGGTTGGAGCTGGTATGCTTCGTTGAGAGTGAGATGATTTGGGAGAAGAAAGGTAACGAGAAGGGAGAATTTATATACATGTGTCTGATGTTGGAATTTGCTTTGGTGGTTACTGTTCAGTGGCCAAACCGTGCAAATCTTTTTTTTAGATTAAAATCGACATCGGTGGTCAAACCATCCACAGGCAAAACAGTTTCCATGCCTAATTTACCTATTAAAATCGTGGTTATAATGATCGCTGCATTTTTGTTGGCAAGCTATAATTTGAGCTCTTGGTAAAGCATGATTTATCTGGAAGAGGTGCGTAAGTACGTACGTATTCACACAACCACCAAAAGAACTATGCCTTTACAACTCACTAAGCAACAGATTGTTGCTACGCACAAAAAGCTAAGTACAGCGTTGTACTAAGATCTTCGCATCAACCAACGCGCCAGGTTTTGTTAACAGCTCACCATCCCAGCGTCTCAAGAACATTTTTTCTTACAGCCAGTTGCGTGTTCAACTGATCATTCAAAACCTTGGTACGGCAAGCTGGAAGAAGACGACTAATCAGAATTACCCATTCCCTAACCGAATTCCTCGACTCGAAATTTTTAGATAGATAAGTTGGTTCCCAAGTGAGCTAGACTAGTATAATTGCGCGTCTCGGAAGATCATCCCAGGCAAACCAGCTGCTTAACAATATTGCTCTGTGGTTCACCCTTTGAGATCAACGCATGAGTATAGCGGGTTGAGATCATCGTGTGATAAGCGATATTATCCAACTCAAATTTGGTGTGGCATCCCGTAGTATTAGTTTTCCAATATTCAGCACATCCAGGCGTGGTCTAGAAGCACATAGACGTAATGAAGCATCAATCAAATGCAGAATAGGAGGTAAAGATGATGTTCCGTGCAAAGATATTCGCAAATACACGTGGTCGATTATAGTGCGGCTTCCAACCTTACATCCACCGTCCACAGATGCAGCAGGAGAAGGAAGTATTACTACAATTCATTGTCGATGTTGTCCTTGAAAGAATATCAGGAGTGATGCGAGTTCCTCCTGGGATCCTCATGGTGCTATAGGGTTGTGGTGAAACCTTTCCGCTATCGTCACCACTGCCATAAGTAGGCCGACTCCACGGCCACAGAAAGGAGTTTTGCGAAAAATTACGAAACACTTTACACGTTGAGCGGCCAGCAAACCTCTCGTCTGGTGACCTGGAATAGGTTGGTATGCTCATCTTGACTCAACTGATGCGAGGAGAGATTGACGAGCGATTAGGCCTGTCCGGGAATAGTTCTACTTGATCAGTCGATTTGCACGACTTGACCATGACACGCTTTGTGAGGCAGCCTGTGTCTCCTTACTAATAACACACATGACTATCTTGTTTTGAGCCAATACCGTGTTGTTCGATACGGCAAATATGTCAACTGGCTTTGCCGTTGGAATGAATAGCAATATCATCCGATTGATCAGCAAACAGGCTTATGTCGAGAGCGACTTACCAAGAAGTTGCCGGTAAGCTTTTACCCGGAATCACGATAAGGTGGTATCACTTGACTTTGCTCCTTGTTAGGTGCGCACTCGGTAGGTCCGCTTGATCGGTTTGATGAAAACGAATTTGCTCGAGAGAGTAAAGAAGTCGTGAATTCAATTTGGTGCTGTCCAAAATCGCAATGTTAGCGAGCGTTCAAAGCAACCTCAGAAAGGACTATCTTACTCAATGGCTGTAGAGCCCCTTCCTCCACACTCAGTTCCCTTCCAAACTCCGCGAATCTGCAGAAGCTCCCGCATAACACGTCGACGATCCTATGCTAACGCCCAACTCCTAAGTTGTGACAAATCCTACATACAAGATTTACTTTTCTGTCTATGCCAAAAGATCGGCAACATTCATGGGCATCTCATCAATCTGGGTCGAGTAGTAGACTAGATCTTGTCAGCAACTCAGTATCGACATTTCGATTGTTTAACTTACGCTCGATGTCACGAAGGATGCGAACGTCATCCTGGGTGACGAAGTTGATGGCCACACCCTTACGTCCAAATCGTCCACTTCGCCCAATCCTGTGGATGTAGTTTTCACGGTTCGAGGGAAGATCGTAATTGATGACGAGTGACACTTGCTGCACATCAATGCCACGGGCCCAGACATCGGTCGAGATCAGCACGCGCGAGTTGGCCTGGCGGAAGTCCTGCATGATACTGTCGCGCTCCCTCTGTGGCATATCACCGTGCATGGAAGATACCGTGAAGTTAGCCTCACGCATCTTGTCGGTCAGCCAATCAACCTTGCGTCGCGTGTTGCAGAAGATGACGGCTTGTGTAATGGTGAGCGTGTCGTAGAGATCGCAAAGCGTGTCGAACTTCCACTCCTCCTTTTCGATGGCAATGAAATATTGCTTGAGACCCTCGAGCGTCAGCTCATCACGCTTGACCAGAATGCGCACTGGATCTGTCATGAACTTGGTCGTCATCTCGAGGACATCGTATGGAAGAGTAGCCGATACAACAACGACTTGGGTCGCAGGGGGCAAGTAGCGGTAGACATCGTAGATCTGCTCACGGAAACCGCGATTGAGCAATTCGTCAGCCTCATCGAGGACCAGCATCTTGATGTTGCGCGTGCGGAGGTTGCGGCGGCGGATCATATCAGCAACACGTCCTGGAGTTCCCGATACGACGTGCTGGCCATAGTCAAGCTTGCGGATGTCTTCGCCAACGTTCGTTCCTCCAATGCAGGCGTGGCATTGCACGTTCATGTAGTCACCGAGACCCATGATAACGGACTGGATCTGGGTCGCTAGTTCACGAGTGGGCGAAAGCACAAGAGCTGAAGCTATGTCAGCGCATATATCCAAAACGCATGGTAATTACCAACCTTGTGTTTCGCGCACAGCTGTGTCGATGACCTGCAGGATGGAGATGGAGAAGGTCGCCGTCTTTCCCGTTCCGGACTGGGCTTGGGCAATTGTGTCGCGACCTTTGCAGACTTGCACAATCGCACGCGACTGCACGGCGGAGGGCGACTCGTAGCCGTAGGCATAGATACCGCGCAAGAGGTTCTCTTTCAGGTGCATAGCCTCGAAAGTTGGCGCCACCGTAACCTCCTTGGAGGTGGTGAACTCCATCTTCTCATCCTGGTTGCGGTCAATTCCTTCGGCCATCTTGGGTGTTGGTTCGTGTGTTGATTTAGTTTGGGTGGTCGAGTGTTGAGGTAGGCGCAGACAAGAAAGTCGACGGAAGAGCAAGCTTCGCGGAGCAACCCCGGCTAAACTAGCAGCTCTAGCGCGATTTCGATTTAGATGGTCGCGAGCTTCACGCAGCACCCATCCAACAATACACGCCGCCAAAGGTCTGAACCTACTGCTACTTGGCTACTACCACACAAAAAACTCATATATATCCCAGGCGACCGTAAAAATGCTTCTCGATGAGCAGCGCCAGATCCATGAGGACATTGAGCGCCTCGAGGATGCCGTTGCTGAGCGCCTGCTCGAAGACCCGCCGCACGTAGGTATCTCGACATTACTCGTCGCGTCCTTCAAACTGACCACCAGACAGATTCGCGATCGTCTAGCACGTGACCACGACATATCGCGCTTTCTCACTCAGATCGAAATCCAATCGAGCCGGTTACTCGCTATCTACGAGGATGCTGAGAGTAAGAGGGAGGAGGAGGTGCGCGATCTTACGCATGGCGACCCCATGGAATCTTTCATGAAGGAGATCGCATCGATGAAGGACTTCCACCGCCGCTACCCGAACGAACCCGTCGAGAACCTGGAAAAGGCGTACAAAAAGCGGTCGCCCGAAGACCAGGTGCAGTCGGTCGCAGCCATCGACTCTATGTTCACAGGAGAAGAAGGTTTTGGTCGGTTCTTTGACCTGACCACGCTGCACGAGCAGTACCTGAACCTTCCCGTTCACCAGCACGCGCGGCGCCTGACCTATCTGCAGTACCTCGATCTGTTCGACGCCTTCACTCCACCGCAATGCAACATTCGACGCGATCAGAAAAAATCAGAGGCCTATTTTCAATATCTGAAGGCACTGCAGGACTACCTTGAAGGCTTCATACGCCGAACCAAGCCGCTAGAGAACCTAGACAAGCTCTTCGCTAACTTTGACAAGGAGTTTGAAGAGCTCTGGAAGGCGGAGGAAGTCCCAGGATGGGAGAAGAACGACCCAGCAGCCGTACCAACCAACGGTGATGCGCCTGGCGAAGGCATCTGGTGCACTGCATGCAAGAAGAGTTTCTCGAAAGAGACTGTTTACGAATCCCACTTGACAGGCAAAAAGCACAAGAAGGCTGTGCAGGAAGAGGCGAACGGTTCAACAAACAACTCAGTTGCTCAGGCCAACGGCGCTTCAACAGATATGCAGCGCTTCAAGGAACGCGCTGTAGCCGAACGCGAGTTTCGAATCAGGAAACTTGCCGCAGCCATGCAGACAGAACGTGGCGACACAAAGGTCAATGTCGAACGCAAGCAGGGCATGACAGAGCGCGAGCGACAACAAGAGCTGGAACAACTCTACTCCGAGGCACCAGAGACCGGAGCAAAGGAGGAAGACGAGGACTCTGACGGCGAAGATAAGATCTACAACCCGCTCAAACTTCCACTTGCCTGGGACGGCAAGCCCATCCCCTACTGGCTGTACAAGCTACACGGCCTAGGCGTCGAGTTCCCCTGCGAGATCTGTGGAAACTTTGTGTATATGGGCAGGCGCGCTTTCGACAAGCATTTCAACGAACCTCGCCATATCCATGGCTTGAAGTGTCTCGGCATCACAAACACATCGTTGTTCCGAGAGATCACTAGTATCAAGGAAGCCGAGGATCTGTGGAGGAAGATCCAAAAGGACAAGAAGAAAGAGAAGGCTGCCGCCGAGAACGTAGTGGAGATGGAAGACACTGAAGGCAACGTCATGCCTGAGAAGGTCTACCGCGATCTGGCGGCTGCTGGCATGTTGTGAGCAACTTCGACTTGTCGGACACCTTTCGAAACGTCGGCTTTCCCCGGTAGTCTAGGACCATCGACGCTAGTCGCCAACAACCACACACTTCCTTCGGCTTGAAATCCGCGTGCAAACATGTACATGTTGCATCGGCGTCTCATCCATACCAGGCCGAACATAGAGAGTTGTTCCCGGGCAAATCTGCATGCGACAGACTATCGTGCCCACCATTGCGCGTCTGACTGGCGAGTATCGATATTTTCTGCTTGGATCTCTCACATGCACTTCAGTAGTGTTAGGCAGCACTTGACAGAGCAGGTCACGTGCATGATGTTTTACGGCGTTTGCATTGGATTGTAAAAGAACTGTGTCATAACTTGTATATAGGACACTGGCGGATGTACGATGAATACCCCCAAATGGAATGAAAATAAATTCGATGTAACTCCCGTTTTTGCTGACTGTGATTTGGTTGGTCTACCGTTTTCCTTCCGTCCACGACTCGTACAAAGAAGGTAGGAAATGCCGAACGTGTAGTGAGGGGACTATGAAAAAACTCAATCTATCGGAGTTGTAGATTGATACATCCAGGCCATGTTTGAGAGGTGGAGATGAGCTGTTCCGTGGAGACCGAGGGAGTCGAAGAGTGACGTGATGGTTGTGTCGAGGAGAGATGGATTAGTTCCGTCTATGCTTGCTGTTTTTCTGTGCGGCTAATTCCTGCATTTTGATAGTGATTTTTGTCATGAGCATGGTCGGGCGATTGAGTATAGATCTGGGTGAAACCTTTTGTAGTGCTCCAGTCTATTATCAAGTCGACGAAAGACCTTGTCACAGGATTTATCTGGGCAAGAGTATGTGCTTTTCTCTCATATGTCTTGCAAGGTTCCTTTTCCGATAAATTCCGGTATACCGTGCTGTGCAACCTTCACGCTCACATTGAACGATATCCATCGATGTTTCCTCGAAGTCGGCAGTTGTTGTATTATGAAGAGGACTGACTGTAGGTATAGCCATATTATAGAACATAAACGGGTGCGGTTGCGGTCTTGATATTGGATCTAAACCTGCTTCGTGTTCGTCGGTTTCCTCAATTGGTTCGAACAGTTGAAACTGTTCTCCCCATGTCCCATGGTTTGTAGGGAAGGGTATCGAAGCGTTCGGATCATCGAAAAATGTGATATACTGGCCGTAAGTAGGTGCCAATAATTGAGATGGATGATAAGCAGTAGATTGTCCAACAATAGGAGCATAAGTGTCGCCCATGTCCAGCTGCCCGTTCATCTCAGCGCCCACAGGTTGATCCGCCTGGTCCGAGGTCGGGAAGTATCGTGCAGCACTGCCATTGTAGTGACGATCCACCATTACGATGTCCTGAAGTGATGAGGGCTGGAGTTGAGTGGTCGATCGGCTGCTTTTCCGTTGATCATCGGGGGGAGCAATAACTCGTGGGGATCGTAAAGGTTCCTCTCTGTGTGTCAAGCCGTTACTGGACGCTTGGACTGGAGAAGCTTTAGCCGTGTCTGACTGCGTAAGTACTCGAGCTGGTTTACAACATGTTCCGAAAAAGCTTTCGCCAAAGGACATGCCTTCGGTAACTTCTGACAACGCTGTAACAACTTCCTGTATCTTTGGACGATCTCGAGGCTCGTAAGAGACCATTTGTCTGATGAGCGGTGCCAGAGATGGATACAAAAAATCTATGGCTGGTTGTTCCAGCCAAGTCTCAATTTGGCCAATATTTGCGTGGAATGACCAGCCCTTCTCCTTCCAGGGAGTATTGTTCGTCATAAAGAAGAAGAGTTCCATCATTTCAAGAAAAATACAGCCAAGGGCGAATATATCCTCTGGGTGTCCACAAGGTCGCCTCTCTGCTCTTTCAGGTGCCTGATATTTCAACGTGATGTTGTCACCTCCACTTGTTGTGCTGGCCGTCAGTTCCGACATGTCCTTTGACCACCCGAAATCGGTCAACCACAACCCATGAGGAGATAGCAGCACCTGAGAAGGTTTAAGATCTTTGTGTCGAATGCCCTGGTCATGTAGCCAAGCTACTGCTGTGGCTGTACACCCAAAACTTGAGTATAGACGTTTCCAAGAAGAAATGCGGATGCGATCCAAGTACCATTTTCCATCACAGTCATTAGTCGGTGTCATCCAGGGTATTCCAACAAGAGCTGCGAGTGTCTCAGCTGCGGCATACAGTTCCTCTTCCCGAATTTCTACTGAAGGAGTCATCGTAAAAAGGCTGATACCCAGGCAACCAATAGCGTGTAGGAAAGTCGCTATGTCACATGTTGCAACAGGCCATATCAAAAGCCCCAGTTCGTATACGCCTTTTTGCCGATGAATATAGGATCCAATGAGCTCTACGATGTGCTTGTGTCGTTTTTTCGATATCTGGCTCAGGATCTTGATCTCGTTGAGTTGATGGTCCGTAAGTTTCCTGGCATACGTTCGCTTCAAGGCCAAAGATATTCCGTCGAGTTTTGTCTCGTGAACAATGCCAATGCCACCGCCTCCTAGTCGTCTCCCTGGGCGAAACGGCTCAGGATCATTTCGTGTCAGTTCCAGTTGCCGACTGCGGTAGTTTCGATCCCATGCCGCTAAGGCTGCGTCCGACATTCCAGAAGGTCCGACGCTTTAAAGCGCCAATATAGACAACTTAGAGGGTCGCAATAGCCTGGAAGCATGAAAGCACGTGTTTGTGAGAAAATTTGAGTTTGTGTCTGGAGGTAAATGCGATCACGTCTCTTGCTGTTGTCTGAACTGCCTACCCCCTCAGATCCTCTGCACCTTGGCAGGCTGCGTGGTCCAATGGAGATGAAGTGGCGGTTTCAGCCTTGCACGTGAGCGTACAGCAGAGCCATCAATCTCGATAATCTAGCTCAGGGTGCTTTCCAGACCTCGATACTGGCATGAACATATCGAAAGATGACATAGAAGTAGATGGTACTGTGCACAAAGATGTCGGGTTGATACACTGACGCTAGCTTAGTCAATATCACGCCCACGAGCGACCAGAACGAAAAACGCGAATGACTTCAATAAAGTACCTAGAAATAGGTCTAAGTGATAGGCAGTAACATTTATAGATGACATGAGAGCTGTGAAGGTCTCTTACTATCCATGAATAGCAATCAAAGCGCCAGATCAGCTGTCCAAGATAAAACACTGCAGTTCCCCTAATTTCCAACCACCCTACTCCTCGCTATGAGGAGAAATCTATATCGAGGACACAGGCGCAAACTTGTGTCGTCCAAGCCTGGAAGCAGGTACCCTTACTGTAGAACCTCTTACAAATACACTTCTCGCCTTCTCAAGTTACATCTCCCACTTTCCGTGTTATAGTCTGCGGTATCTTCATTGAACCATCTTCTCAGAATGACGTGTATTACCCTCAACCATTCATATCTTGTTCTTCCCCTTACCCTCCCCAGACACCTAACACCCAGAACCCACGGTTCCCCCTCAACACATTTCCGCCCATTACCCACACTCCCAAACTCAATATCCCTCCACGTCCCATCCCATACCGTCATTGTATCACCCTCTGAGCACGATCATACGTTCGAATCCTACTCCAACTCCATCCTCAACAGTACACAACTTCTCTAATCCCACTCTCCATTCACTGTTTCCTCGTCTAATCACCCAATTGCTAGTATGTTTGATTTACATCTATCTGTCTATCTGTCTATGCATCCATCCAACCTACTCCTCATACATCAACAAACTCACTCCCAATCTCCACATCTCCTCATCTCTACAAAAACCCATACACCCAATAATCCCACATCTCTCCTCACCCTCCACACGCAGTATTCCATAATCCCAGCACAGTAAAGATAAACCGAGAACACGCAGTGCAAATATCATCGCACAATCATGCATTCCTGTGCACCACGCACAGTGAAGAAACGAGAGAGTGGAAAGGAGAAAAGAGACGGAAAGGAAGAGAGCTGGGGATGTACAAAATATATGAGTTTGAACGGGCCAGTTCCAGAAAGGGGGAAGGGGGAAGGGAGGAGAACCTCTATAAACATATAAAGTAGCGAGGATAAGTGTATGGATTCTCAAAACCAAGGGAGGGGGTGAGGAAGGATGAAAAGTCAAGCAAGTGACTTTTCAAAAACAGGGCTGAGCATATAGTATAGTACGTGGACTACAAACATGGATACAACAGTAAGAACACACATACGTCTTATACCCACCCAACACCTCCCACAAAAGGCCCCCCCCCCCCCCCCCCCCCCCCCCCCCCCCCCCCCCCCCCCCCTCACGCGCCCAAAAACTCCCACAGCCCACCCCCCTCCACAAAATCCCCCCAAATAATACTAACCAGCCAAACATCCTCCCTAACCTCCTTCAACAATCTACCCGACTGGCTCTTAGGCGGATACACGCGCTGCCACTCGCGCCAGATCGAGTACGCCTCCTCAAGCCAACTCCTAAAGCTAACCGCCTCAATAATAGTCGGGGTAACGATTTCCTTGCCGGCGAACGTGCCCCACGTAACAGGATTCACGCTATCCTCCTGACTCGCTTCAAAGTCACCCTTTGCGTTACCCGCGAAATACGTGATCTGGTCGTGTGCGTCGAGGCGAGGTTTCAGCTCGTTGAAGGCAGAGGAGGGGATGAAGAATTCGACAAACGGCTTCTGGAAGACGAAGCCGTTTTTGGGGCCCCAGCCGAAGACGGGGTGGGTGGATTTTACGCCGTTGACGGCGGGTTGGGAGGCGACTGTCCACCAGCCTTTTGCGTTGAGGGCGAGGAGTTGGGGCGCGATGGTGAGGGTTTCTTCCGAGAGGTGTTGTTCGCTCCAGGGTACGGCGTCGAGGTCGCCTTCGATGTGGCGTTTGAAGAGGGTTGAGATGTCGCCTTTTTCGACGGGGTGGCCCCATAGTTTGAGGGCTTGGGGTGTCGAGACGTGTAGAGTTGGGCCGTAGCCGTCGATTTCGCCAAAGGCGGGAGAGCGCGCGTCGCCCCAGCGGCCGTTGGGGAAGTCATCCCATGTTGCTTCGCGGCCTAGGGAGCCTTCGCCTTCGGAGATGGCCAGGGTGTTTGCGCGTGTGTTGATGGGACCTTTGGGGATTCCGGCTTCGCTTTCGAGGACTTCGTGGGAGTGGTTGCTGGACTTTGTGGCGGACGGGCGTGATATTATCACTCTGTTGTGTGGGCTTGAGTTGATCGAGGACAGACGGCGGCGCTCACGGGTGAGCAGAGCGCCATTTGGAGGTTCGAGGTTGATAGCGGGTGTTGTTTCGATAGCGTTCTCGTCTTCGTCTTCGTTTTGGGAAATCCTTGGAATGAGCTTGCAATCCTCGACGATGTGCGATACTGCCTTTTCGAGATTCAGAGTGTAGAAATGAAACCCTCTCTTTCCCACATCTGGACGCGCTTTGATATGCTCCACGAGTTCATTCAAGATCTTGACGCCGACTTGCTTTACGCGCTCGTCGTCGTACTTCACTGCGTCCAAACGCGCCAGTATGTCCGCCGGTAGGTTCGCATGCGATAGCGTCGTTGTCCGACGTAGAATCTTGTACGATTGGATTGGCATCAGTCCCGGTATGATGGGAATTGTCTTGAATGCGCCACTCTCATGCTCCCTCAACATCGTCTCGAACCTGTCGTATGCCTCAACGTCAAAGAAAAGCTGTGTCATGATAAAGTCCGCCCCAGCCTTTGTCTTCTCGACCAGAGATGGTAGATCATATGACGGGTGTTGATGCTCGGGATGGCTCTCATCGGAATGGCCCTCGGGATATGCAGCAACGCCTACGCAGAAATAATCCCCATATTGGCTGCGTATGTATTTGACCAAGTCAATCGCCCATGTGAAGTCCTTATTCGAGTCCTGCTCTGGCAATTGCCCCTCATCTCTGTACTCCTCGCTCCGTGGCGCATCGCCACGCAGTGCCAGGATATTTCGAATGCCCAAGACTTTCGCCTGCTCGAGTGCCTCGTCAACGAGTGCGCGGTTCATGTTCGTGCACGTCAGATGTAGACATGTTGTAAGGCCCAATTGTCGTTGGCAGATCTCAGCAAGTTCGAGGGACTTTGTGGCTGTGGAGCCGCCGGCGCCCCAAGTGACTGTTACGAAGAGTGGCCGGAGGGCCTGTGACATGCGCTCTAATCGGGTTTGCAGGTTCGCGAAGCCCTATACTGTCATTAGTACCCTCCGACGGCAATTGCAAGTGGCGGGGCAACAAACCATCGACGTTTTTGGTGGAAAGAACTCCAATGAGAAGTAGTTTGCGCCATCTGGCAAGGCGTTGATCTTATCCGTGATCTTCTCCATCTTCGAAGAGATGTATTGCTCTATTTGATAGATGCGGTGGACGAGAGAGCAGAGTCATGGCAAGGCGTGGTGGAAACTCGTCAAGGAATGAGCATCACTAGAAAGCGCGTGGGGCAGCGGGGCAGATGATCGGCGGTTGACATGTCGACATGGATCATGCCTCAACCCTGCAGACGCGAACCTCAGCCTTAAATCCTTAATCAACGTACAAACACATGTGTTTTATCGCTGGCAGTTGGGCAGACTCAATGAGCTCGAACAACATGTTTGAATTGTGCAAACCTATTACCAAGGTAGTATCCAATATTCCTATCAAGATCATCTGGCTTGAAATATTCACGCAGCACATCAAAGTACATCGAAGTCTTGACTTGACAACGTCCTGGCAGGGATTTTTGGCTGCGAAGAACGCTGACAGTTCTTTCAGAGTCTTCACAGATAAGCTTGACGAGAACACTGTGGAAGCCGTGAGGCAGGCCTGTCAATATGCTGTGTAATTCTGCGCATTACGTCAAAGGTCATGCAGAGTTGCTGAGAATCCAGGGTGTACTGCAACAGCAGCGGTGTATGTATTGTACAAACAAGATCTATATGTACTTGTAAGGGTTCATAATACCTTTCTACACATTTGTTAGCCATGTCCACGTTGACCAAAATGTGAGGTGTGCTTACCGGATCATACAGATCCTTAATCTGCTTCATCAACCTGATCATAGTCTCGCTCTTACTGTACCCAACATACGGCTTCTTCGTAACGCCCAGACCGTGCTCAGCGCTGATACTTCCGTTTCGCTTTTGGACCCATTCGTACACATATGGCTCCAATTCCTTCTCGACAGCTTTGTCGAAGCGTCGTGTGGGGATGTTCAAGTGCAGGTTCGCGTCACCCATGTGGCCGTATCCAACGACGTCGACGACGGGATACGAAGCATCGTTTCCTACGAGACCGGCTTTTGTGAGGCGATCGCGTACGTCATCGACGAGGTCGTAGAGTTCTGCGATGGGAATGGAGAGGTCGTATTTGTAGACGCCGCCTTCGTGGCCAAGGCACTCGGTGATGCCTTCTCGCCATGTCCACAGTTCCTGGATTTGGGTCTGGTCTTGGGCGAGGACGCCATCGGATACAACCTCCGTCTCCATGACGTGTTCTAAGAATGCTTGCAGTTTCTGGAGTTGTTTAGCTTTTGAATATTGGTTAGTTGGGAGTCAACGTACCTCGCTGTCGTGATCAACATTTGAACCACTGGTCTCGATCAGGCAATAGAAGGGATGGTCGCCCTCTAATGGCATCTTCTTGCCAGTGACTCTGTTGACTAGCTTCTGAGTCCGGCCGTCCATCAATTCGAAAGCTGAAAGAATCTCGGAGAGTTGACCCTTGGCCTCTCGGAAAGCCGTTTGCACTTTTTCGAAACTCTCAAGACCAAAGTAGGCAACATTGACTGCGGGTGACCTGCGTGGGCAGATGATGGAAATCTTGGTGATGATACCGATCGTGCCTTCGCCACCAATGAACAGTTGCTTCAAATCGTATCCCGTGTTGTTTTTACGAAGGGTAGATAGGTCATCCAAGATGGTTCCATCTGGAAGAACAGCCTCGATACCCAGAACGTTGCCGTGGAAGCTCCCATATCGTAGAAGGCGAAGACCTCCAGCATTGGTCGCCACGTTGCCACCGATCATACACGATCCTTTAGCGCCCAGGTCCAGCGGGAAGATGTGATTCCTCTCAGCCAAGTAGTTGTCGGCGTTCTCCAGAATCACACCAGCGTCTGCAACGAGAATACCCGAGACTTCGTCGAACGACCTGACTTGGTTCATCTTCTGAAGGTTGATGACAATCTCGTCGAAAACGGGAACAGAGCCACCAACAAGTCCGGTATTGCCGCCTTGTGGTACGACAGCAAGCATATTCTCATTGCAGTATTTCAAGATCTTGCTGACTTCTTCTGTTGTACTAGGCTTCAAGACGAGTGTGGTGTGGCCACGAAACTTGCGCATCCAATCGCTGTTGAAAGGTGCAATGTCTTCAGATGCATCTTTGGAGACGCCATCTATGACTGCAGATTCCGAACCGAGCAGTTCCTGGAAAAAGTTTACATGCTCTTTTGTGACTTTAGTGAATTTGGTGTCTCTTTTGAGCGCAGGGTATCTGGTAGGGGTCAAAATCACATTTGTACCCGGATTTCACCACGGTTACGTACGACTCTGAAGTGAATTTGATGGTCTTGGTGGGTGCTGGCGCATCCTTCACAGTCCCATGCGCATCTGGCTGATGAGGTTCCGATGTCGCTGAAGATATTGGTCGGACTTGAGTACCCAGTCTCAAATACCGGGGCGAAACGCGGGAAGACAACGCAGTACGTCGCAGAGACGAAACTAAACGCGCTGAAGTCGCCATCTGGAGGAATTGTTGAAAGAATCGCAAGCGCGGGAATAATTGAGTCGCCTCCAAGGGCGATTTACATCATGCTCGATGACTAAGTCGGATTAAGCACGGGCCAACTTTCCAGGCGGGCAGCAACGACGCGGACAGCTTGAAGCTCCACTGATCAGACTGTCAACCTTAACGCCTCCAAACCGCCGCTTTTCGATATTTGCTCCTCTCGTCGTACCTAGACTGCAGATCCAGAGTTCAAATAACTACACAGCACATATCTCACCATGGCGTCCGGCTACGATCGAGCCCTCTCAGGTACAAACATGTCGTGTTTAGGTATTAAACCAGCAGCTAACTTTCCCAGTCTTCAGTCCTGATGGCCACGTCTTCCAGGTCGAATATGCGCTCGAAGCCGTCAAGCGAGGTTCGCATTCCTAGCAGACATACAATCACCGCCACGGCGTACTAATTCGCCGCAGGAACATGTGCAGTGGGTGTGAAGGGCGCGGACATTGTAGTACTAGGATGCGAGAAGAGGTCTGCCATGAAGCTCCAGGATACGCGAATCACACCTTCGAAGATCTGCCTCGTCGACACCCACGTCGCCCTCGCCTTCGCCGGGTTGAACGCCGATGCCCGCATTCTCGTAGACAAGGCCCGTCTCGAAGCGCAATCACACCGCCTGACTGTCGAGGACCCCACATCGATAGAGTACATTACGAAGTATGTTGCGGGTGTGCAGCAGCGGTACACTCAAAGCGGTGGTGTCAGGCCGTTTGGCATCAGCACACTGATTGTTGGGTTTGACCCGAATGACAAGACCCCGCGGCTGTACCAGACTGAGCCTTCTGGCATTTACTCGGCATGGTAAGAATGCATGTCATGATGAGTATTAGTTTGATGCTAACGAGATCTTAGGAAGGCAAACGCAATTGGTCGATCGAGTAAGACGGTCCGCGAATTCCTCGAGCGCAACCACAAGGATGGCATGGACCGGGAGGAGACGATCAAGCTGACGATCAAGTCACTGCTCGAGGTTGTGCAGACGGGAGCGAAGAACATTGAGATTGCCGTCTCGGCTCCAGGCAAGCCGCTCGAGATGCTGCCAGTGGAAGACATTGAGAAGTACGTGGAGAACATCAACACGGAGAAGCAAGAAGAGGCGGCGACCAGGAAATCTGGACGGACGCCTGGAACGGGCACTGCGGCTATCCTGACGCGCCCAACGCCAGCCGAGGGCTCTGGGTCGGGTGCTTGAAGATGAATGACGAATGACGGAACCAACATGAACAGCATTGGCGTCTAGGTGATAGACTTGATGACTCTGTACTCTACAGACACGACCAGCTAGTGCTCAAAAATAAGGCATATCTAGCACGCATAACCTCACTTTTGTGATGTGGTACATGCCCCCTCCTCCTCTACGTGATGGTTGTGATGATTGCTCGACGCGGCGCTGTGGTGGACGTTGGCATGTGCCTTGTGTCTGTCGCTGTCCTTCAACCCAGCTTGTCGGGAGCCTCCTTGACATCGAATATGGTTCGTAGATCCTCGGCCCTCACGCGCTCGTCCCTAAGCATCCTGGCGTCCTTGCGAACATCCTCACCTTCTACCTGCAGCGAGGCCTTTGGCGTGAGGGCGTCCAGGACGAAGTGGTTGTCGCAGTGCGGACAGTACTCGTCGCTGCTCCTCATTTAGCAGCCGCCCCACAGCACGTGCACGGTGCGATGCATACCTGTCCTCGAACTCGCGCGAGTCCTTGCGAAAGGCCTTCTTGCACTTTTTGCACACGAAGATCATCTCGAAGCTCTGCAGCAGCGGGTGGTCGGCCGTTTCATGGTGGCACTGGGCGCAGTCGAACCATTTCCTGCCTGCTCCCTGTCAGCGACGCAGGCTGTGGTGCAGCACAGTGTGGTGTGGTGCACGGCTGGGCATACGCACAGCACGGCGAGCGGATGGCGACCTGGGCGTTGAGGACGTGTTTGCTGCAGCGAGCGACTATCAGCGGGCGGCGCGGACTGCGGGGTACGCTGGCGGGTGGGCGCGTGTGCGTGCTTACCACATGGCTGCGGCGGGTGGGCGGAGGTGTCGCGGTGTTTGTCGAGGTGAGGTTTGGGTGGGCGGTTGGGCCGTCGGTCTGCGCCGTCTCGTGTGTAATTCGCCGGTGCCTGGCTGTGCCTGATCGCCTTGCGTTGGCTGGCACCGCTCGCCTTAAGGGTCTCGGGGCAGAGGGAAACTCGGGGCGACGTCAGCTCTGAGCGACGCGCTGCTCCCCAACGGCCGTCTCAGTCGATCGATCCCCCCTTTGCTGAGCCTGTTCCGGGTTCCGTGGTCAGGGTCGCCTTGACACGCCACCGCTGCGGCTTCATCCGTGGCCTGCGCTGCGCTGCTTGCTGGGATAGTCGCGCTGGCTGTCCACGTCTCCCCGCCGACCCCCGGTGTTCCCTGCTGTCAAGCTTTCTGAACAGGCACACACTGTCTACGCGTCTCTCCACACACACCCAAGACGCCGCCCTCTGGTCCCTACACAGCCACGGTGTTTTCTTTGCGCTGCAGAGCTGCTCCATTCATCCGCATTCCTTGCACCGACGTGTATGCAGTCGCGTGCTGCATGATCGCCCAGCACTCCCCCAACACCACGGCCAGCGCTCAATGGGAACAGCGCCTCGGGGGTCGATGAACAACTGCAAGATACCTTCTGGCGCCGGCTGATGCGGAGGTACACACCATGGAGTCCCCGAAACAGGACAACACCGATGGCTCGTCCATTGTAAGTGCCCGTGTTCCTGCTCAGAGATGCATGTGCTGACAGATTGCGCAGAAGCCAGTATCCTCTCTCCGCGCCCAATTCGAGAACCTGCTCAGCGTGAACAAATCGCCCGCGCCAGCTCCAGCGCCTGCGACTCCGCGCCAGCACTCCCCGGGTCCCGCCGACCGTCTTGCCATGCCAGAGGACCACAGGAGGCTGGACGGGCGCATATCTCTCGACATACCCAGAGAGTGTATGGATCGGCGCTCGCCCAATGTAGACGACTATAGTGGAGCTGGGACCGTCACACCTCGAGCAGGCACGCGGCGCATGCCATGGAGCAACCCCAAGCCCAGGCCGACCTCGATGGTGGCCTTCTCTCCTCCCAGATCGCCCACAAGATCTCCTCCCAAGGTCACAATTCAGTCGCCCAAATCGCCAGCACCGGGATCATCAGGGTCTCCCGTCCTCGCTCCGCGGCCCTCGCGACCACTATCACAGTCAGCCTGGGGTTCGCCTTCTCCCCCAGCGCCGTCGTTGAACGGCAAGAGGTCGTTCAAACTACCCAGTCGTGGTCCCACCCCATCTTCCGAGTCAAAGTCCATATTCTCCTCTAGCGCCGCTACATCACCTTCTGGCGACCCGCGCAAAAGCGATCGCTCCACCGCTGCCGCGCCTCCCATCCCTCCACCCATTAATCGAGCCGGGAAACCAAAAATACCGTCGAAGCCATCCTCTGTCGATGCTGCAGCGCGAGCATCGTTGGCCCCGGAAACCTCTCAGGGGCCTGCAGATGAGACAACATCGCCCTTCAGTACTCCACCGAGCAGCGCAGGCAGCGCAAAGGCCGAGCCTTCTCCTCCTGTGTTCGCTGGATTCACGCGACCCAAAGCTGTTGCTCCAAACGAGGGCTACTTCCCAACACCTCCAGTGCACCATGCAGTCGCCGAACGTCTACCCCCTACTGATCCACGGACGATTGGGAACCCGCCGCCACGGAAAATGGCTCCACCCCCATCACACGCGCGTAGCTCAAGCGATTTGCCCGATGATCGACCTGCACTACCAGCTAGAAGGGAAAGAGATACCTTCGACATGCGAAAGAGCATGCAGCTACAAAGACCACCGCCGCTCGAACCACCAGTCCGACGTTCCTTCGATATGTCCCGCCCTGCTGAGTTCATGGCTGATACTAGGAATAAGTTCATGCCTCCACCACGGCGGACGCAGACAATAAACGTTTCTGCAAACTCAGCCCCTGCCAAATCCTTGGAACCACCGAAACCACCCCCTCCACGGAAGTCCGGTGAGATGAAGAGGCCAATTCCAGCTCCCACACAAGCTTCGCAACCCTACACGTACGACTCGGATGAATCAGATAGCGTTCTAGATAAACAGCCGTCAACTGCTTTGACAGACTACCCCGACTCATCACAAGCGAATCGGCGACCACCAATCTTTCCCGACAACACTACTGGAATCCCAACTGGTTATGAGACCAAGCTGTTCGCCATATGCGGCGATTACATATGCACAACAGGATATGTGACGAATGTGTGGAATGTGCTCAACGGGCGCCTACTCATGAACCAGAGCCATGGAGATACCGTCAAAGCCACTGCATTGGCTTTTCGACCCGCGAAAGACGTCGAGCACGAGGGCAGACGATTGTGGCTCGGCACAAACACGGGTGAGATGCTTGAGATTGATATCCCTACACAAAGCGTGGTCTGCAACAAGACGAACGCTCACGCACGCTCTCCCATCGTCAAGATTTTCCGATATGCATCGGAGATGTGGTCTCTTGACGACGAGGGTAAACTCCATATTTGGCCGGCAGATGATACGGGCTCGCCTTCTCTGCAACAAACCCCACTTACATTCCGTCTTCCACGCGGCCATACGTTCTCCATAATATCTGGGTCGCAGCTGTGGATAGCTTTTGGAAAGGAGCTAAGAGTCTACAACCGCACTACAGACCACAACCACTTTCAACTCATGACAGATGGCCCTCTGTCACAGCTCAACGTAGGAGACGTGACTTCTGGCGCTATCGTTAGCAGCCAGCCCGATCGCATGTACTTTGGACACACCGACGGCAAGGTCACAATATACGCCAAGAAAGACTTCGAGTGTCTTGGTGTTGTCAATGTCAGCGTATACAAGATCAGCTCGTTGGTTGGTGTAGGCGAGAACCTGTGGGCTGGCTACAGTACTGGCATGATCTATGTGTACGATACCAAGTGCACGCCCTGGAAAGTGTTGAAGGATTGGAAAGCACACGATAAGCCAATTGCTGGCATCATAGCCGATCGGACGAGTATCTGGAAGCTGGACAGGTTCCAAGTTGCTTCGTTGGGAACTGACTCGATGCTGCGGATCTGGGATGGGTTGTTGAAGAATGACTGGCTTGGTAGGTGTCTTCTACTCACATCTGGAATGCTGACTAACTGTGTAGAAACTCTGATGCAACAACGCGACTCTGAATACTGCGAATTCAGAGAACTGACTGCAAGAGTCATGACCTGGAATGCAGGTGCATCGAAACCCACCAATATGCGAAGTGCCGAGGACCAGAATTTCTTCCGGGAGCTGCTCGAACCGAGCGATCCCCCTGATATCTTAGTCTTCGGATTCCAAGAGCTGGTAGATTTGGAAGACAAGAAAATCACGGCCAAGAGCTTTTTCAGAAAGAAGAAACCCAAGGAGGACGCAGAACATGAGAAGATGTCTCATCAATACCGGACCTGGCGGGACCATCTCATGCGCATTCTGGACGAATACAGTCCCAAGCAAAACTATGTTCTCCTTCACACGTCCAATCTTGTGGGCCTGTTTACCTGCATCTTTGTGAAGGGGTCAGAGCGTGCCAACATACGCGACGTGAGCGGCGCTGAGATCAAGCTGGGTTTCAGTGGACGAGTCGGAAACAAGGGCGCGTTGGTCGTCCGCTTTTTTGTCGACGATTCTTCGCTTTGCTTCATCAACTGCCATCTTGCAGCCGGCCAAACCCAAACGGTACATCGCAACAACGACGCGGCCTCTATCATGGAAGCCGCACCTCTACCGGGAAATCGTTCACCCATCGATTGCGAGAACTTCTTTGTCGGCGGGGGTGATGGTTCAATGATCCTTGACCATGAGATTTGCATCCTCAATGGCGATCTGAATTATCGAATCGACTCCATGCCGCGGAACACTGTCATTGAGACGGTTAGGCAGGGAAATCTGGCGAAACTCCTAGATCGCGATCAGCTACTTCTCTCGCGTAAACGCAACCCTGGGTTCCGCCTTCGTGCATTCAACGAACTGCCTATCAACTTTGCGCCTACTTACAAGTACGATGTTGGAACCGACAACTACGACTCGTCTGAAAAACAGCGATCACCTGCTTGGTGCGATCGAGTGCTCTACCGCGGCTTGGGTAGGATCAAGCAGACCGAGTACCGGCGGCATGAAGGCGTCAGGGTGTCGGATCATCGACCAGTCAGTGGAAAGTTCAAGATACGTGTCAAGACGATCAATGCGAGGAGGCAAGACGCGGCAAAGGACAAGGCTGAAGTTGAGTTTGAGGCGGTGAGGAGACGGATCGCGGGAGATATCAAGTGAGTTGTATATTCCAAACACATCCAGATTTCATTACTGACAAGACAAACAGGCTCGATCATCTGATTAACGTCTTTGGCCTATCTGCGAAAGAAGCCCAGAAGCTTCTCAAGGTGTAGAATTTAGCAAGACCTTTGAAATATTGTGAGTTACTAATGAGCATATGAGGCGTTGAGATCAGCGTAAAAGCGATGCATGGGAGGTGCACCATAGACTTTACTTTTTGCGCATTTATGAATCGATCGTGGCTTGATCGATGCCCCCGCGGGCAAGGGGATCTCCACCAAAAGTCATGTGTCGTCGCGATATCATGGTGACGTCAATTTCGCGTTCATAAACAATCAATGACGACGATCGACAACAATTGCTATGTCTACTCACTCGTAACATCTGTTCCTACATAACTACACACTCCAAACTCTGCTACTTTTATGTCAATATCTGCAATTGCCCTCCGTCGACAGCCACTTTACTCTGGAACTGCACTACCTCGCGTCCGCCTTATAACTGCACATCTCACGCGACCGTTTACCCAATCGAACTTCAAGATGGCCAAGAGCAACGAACAGGATCGCGGCGATGAGACGACCGGAAAGTCTGAGTGGAAGCAACACGCGCCTTACAAGATCCACGACACCAGCGAATTCGACGTCAAGTACGAGGCCAACTGCCACTGCGGGAAAGTCAAGTACCAGCTGAGCCGTCGCGAGCCTCTGGACAGCAAGCTCTGCCATTGCACTACTTGTCAAACACAGCATGGTGCGTACAGCTCTACTCAAAATCCTGTGCAATTGCTAACTCGTCACAGCCGCCCCCTTCCAATGGGCTGCCATTTTCCACAAGGAAGACATCAACTTCACGCACGGCCACCACGAGCTAGAATGGTACGACCCATCTTCAAAATCCATCGAGCACAAGCTGCCCTGCAAAGTGCGCTGCTCGTACTGCCACTCGCCCATCATGGACGAGGGCCGCAAAATGATCCTGCTCTTCCCCTCCCTCATACACCTCAAGACGGACGAGGACAAGGCGTACTTCAAGCCCCGCTGCCATATGTTCTACGGCCAGCGCGTCATAGATATTCCCGACGGCCTGCCCAAGTGGACCGGCATAAACAACGATTCGGATCTTATTGAGGATAGCCCGCCTGAGAAGGTCAAGGAATTGCAGCGGAAGAGGGAGGAGGAGCGCGAGAAGAAACTTAAGGAGGGTGATGCGGATGAGACGACTAAGGAGGGGTCGGGGTCGAAATAGGAGCGGCATTGAGACTTGGAGAGTTATGACCATGATGAATTGACATTTTCAGTCATGGGTATAAGGAGTATTGGTCTACATAAAAAAAATAGATGTTGATACAATGAGACAGATACATGAAGAACTATCAACCTGCTCCTGTCTGTTGATATAAGGTTTCTGACTCGGTAGCTGTCTACCACACATATCTTCTTTGCGAGATGATGTCCTCGGTTCTAAACTTCTCCAGGTGAGGTTGTGTCAATGTTGCTCCGTTGGGCTTGTGACGAGGTGTAAAACAGCGTAGTGGTTTTCAGGCGCAGATATTATAGGGTGGTCCGGTTAGGGTTAATTGAGATGGTAGGAGAGTGAACATCGTGAGTGAGATGGTGAGTACAGGGGAACTCGGATGTAAAAGCTATGTTGCAGACGATGAGGTGTAAAGATGTCTCTGATGATAGGGTTGGGTTTGTAGTAGTATTTGAGCTCACATGGAAGTACTGTTATGTGGTCTAGGCAATACAGATGCAATACTTTGGATGGCAGAGGTTGGAGATGGATCTAGACATCAATCCATGATCCCTGTCGCGCCGTTCAGCCGCCAAGCCCTCGATGCGACATCATCGGGCAGGAACTCTGGGGATACGCGACGTTGAATTTAGTAATCCCTACGCCTCGAGATACTACCTGAGCCCCTTCCAGATACCAAGAGAAGAACTGGAATCGCACGTGCAAAACACGACATGAAATAGACGCGCACTCGTCGTCCGCCCCATGCCTCGGCCAGCAGAGCCCCCCCGAATTGCGCTGCGATCATGTCCTCGCCGCGATCCCCTCGGAGGTCCACAGAGAGCTTCGAGTTCCTCACGCCCAATACATCGCAGTATCCCTTCCCGCCGCCGCAGAATGAGTGGGCCACGCGGCCGAGTTCCACAGGCGGGCGCTATCAGCCACGTCGCGGGTCCACGGCCAGCTCGATACACTCGGTGGGCGGAGTGCTGGACGCCGGCTTCAAGACCAACATGGGCGCCGTGAGGGAGCAGCACCAGAATGCGATCTCGACGCTGCTGCAACCGCCTATTGTGAGGACTGGTATGCTCCCCCATACCACAGCCACGGCCGCCTCTGGTCACCGTCCGCCCTCAACTCGAGACATACCTCCCGTGACCCTCGCCAACATCCCCCACATCGAACCGACCGCCTTCAACCCCTACCTCGCCCAGATTGGGAATCTATACGATGCTTTCCAGCGTGCAAAGGCAGAAGCCCAAGCTGAGTCTGCGCCGCCCGTCAGGCAGGACTCTAAGAAGAGCGAGCGGGCAGAGAGCCGGGACCGCGGCTTACACACGGGCTCACCAGCAGTCACGCCCAACCTGTCCGGGACACCTTCGACACCCAATGCATCACCAAAAGCAAAGAAACGTACGAGCGGCTCCAAACGCCCCCCTCCCGCTGCCACGCCCCTGTCCACAATCCCCCACGTCTACTTCGACGAGAACTTCCACCTCGAGAACCCACGGACCTTCGACATAGTCAGCGAGAGGTCGGAAGTGGTACGGCCTGTGCGCACCCAGGGTGCTGTTGATGCGGATGTCGCGAATGGTTCGTTGGATGCGCCCATACCGACAGGGAGGAAAGCTCTGGCAACCAATGCGATACTGCAGGAGAAGCTGTCCTGGTACATGGACACAGTTGAGGTGCACCTAATATCCGCTATATCCACGGCATCCAAGTCGTTCTTTGCCGCTCTCGGCTCACTGCGCGAACTCGAGTCTGACGCGTCTGAGTCGGTTACCAAGATCAAAGAGATCAGGGAAGATCTCAAGCGTCTGGACGAGCAGATGGCAGTGGGAGGCCTGAAAGTGGTCGAGCTAAAGCGGCGGCGAGAGAACCTCAGAAAACTCACCGACGCTGTGGACCAGCTGCAGGCCGTCATGGTCGGACTGTCGCACTGTGATGAAGTTGTCAGCAAGGGCGAGCTCGAAGTCGCCATGTCGCGGCTGGATATGGTAGAAATACTCATCACTGGCGCGCTCGACACCACAGACTCCGCATCCACGTCCTGGCTGGACGCGCGGTTACCTCCGAACCTCATCGATCTACGCAATCTAAGAGCATTAGACGGGGTCTTCGAGGGCATACACCAGCTCAAGTTTCGTGTAGGCACCGGGTTTGAGGCTCGCTTTATACAGACACTGCTCACAGACTTGCGCGACCATGTCAAGAACGTACCAAATCACGACACCCTGGAAAGATGGGTCAGAGCGTCACAGAAAACACGAGGCACCCACCAGAAGACAAGATCACTTCTGCCTGCATACATGACGACAAGTGAGAACTTCAGATCGGATCTGCGGACAAGCTTGTACGGACTGAGTGGAGCGCACTTCACTAATCAGGCCAGTGCCACATTCAGAGACCTGATCGTCAAAGAGATGAAGCTGATCATTCGTAAATACCTCCCTAGTTCGACGGACGATGATACAGCGTCCATGACGTCCGTATCGACGAGAGACAGTCGAGGGCACAGCCAGCAAGATAAGAATTCTATCCTCGCTCGCAATCTTCGCGCTATGGACCCTGCAGATGCGGAAGACTTTTTCGCGAACATCTTTACAGATACCGGCGAAGCACTGCGCCGGCTCAGTATACAGGTAAAGGTGCTGCTCGACGTTACTAGCGGCGTTACAACACCTCCCTTGTCTGCCGGTGGGCTACGGTCTCCTCCACGAAGTCCGTTCATGATTGGAAACATTGATGACTACATGAGCAAAGGCAACAGCACATCATCTGGGAGTGATCTGCAGATGGAGTGGATGCAAGCTTTAGATATGTCGAGCTTGCTTGGTCAGGCTGTAGATGCGGCTCAAACACAGATCACAAAGCTATTGAAGGTGCGCTCGGAACCTACAACTAGTCTTCCACTCGAGCGGTTCCTGCGGTACTTTAAGCTTTGTAGATTGTTCGCCGATGAATGCGAGGCAGTCTCTGGGCGGTCCGGGGCAGCCTTGAAGGGTGTTGTGAACAATCACATTACTGACTTTGTATCTAAATATGGAGACATTGAGAAGCAAGAACTCGCAAAAGCCATGGACTCGGATCGATGGGAACCGAAAGACTTCGAAGCGGAAGACACTGAGGTTCTGGCTCGAATACTACAAGGCATGGAGAGCGACCCACCCAACTGGGCGCAGAGTGGCGACATTCTTCGAGAAATCAAGGAGCCAGTTGTAAATGGCAATTCAGAACAGACAAACGGCACCTCCGAAGACAAACCCAAAGAAAAAGGCAAAACTACCGTTCCCGCCATAGTCGACGAAGAGAAGTACACAGTATCGAGTTCGTCGACCTACGTCATCCGCGGCATTGAACGTTTCGAAATCCTCCTCTCCGCCATCCCGAGCATGACTTCGGAAGTCTCATCCTCTCTCTGCGAATACATCAAGCTCTTCAACTCACGTTTATGCCAACTCATCCTCGGAGCTGGCGCCATGCACTCTGCCGGCCTCAAGAATATCAACACCAAGCATCTGGCTATTGCAAGCCAAACACTCTCCTTCATCATCGCCATTCTCCCCTACATACGTGAATGCGCACGCCGCCGATCTACAGCGACGACTAAATCCGCCATCGCCGAATTCGACAACACCAAACGCCTTCTGCAAGATCAACAGGTTTCTATCCACGACAAACTCACCGACATCCTTTCTGGTCGCGCGACAGTGCACATGCGCAGCCTCAAGAAGGTCGACTGGGATAGCGAGGCCGAGGCAAACAAGGCTGTTAGTCCCAGCATGGAGAGCCTGACAAAGGATACGGTAACCATGCACAAAGTCATCAATAAGTACCTGAGCGAGATGCAGGTCCGCATGATCATGGCGCCGGTGTTTGAGAGTTACCGCGAGCAGGTGGGCAAAGTCATCACGGAGGCGGCGGTTGCAACGCCCAGGGGAAAGGCGAGGTATGTGGAGTTGTCCAATATATACGTAAGCACAGGGACTAACTCGTCGCTAGATTACTACGTGAAGCAAAACTCTTCGACGCAAAACTCGGTCCCATCGATGGCGCGGGGAACGTTGGCGCGTATCTGATTCAGCTCGTCGAGGGCAGGACGGTTGCGCAACCACAGCCACAACCACAACCACAATCCGAATCCGCACCCCCTACGAATGAAAAGACGGAAGAGAACACCAGTGCCAATGGCGGGACTGCATAGACTGGTGCCTCATGAGGGCGTTGCTCCCGCTGTATAGTAACACAACGCGAGGCGGCACTTCTTCTGTACCTCCCAAAGCGCCGAACTACACATCTTACCTTCTTTCCTCGCCCCATGCACAGCTGGCCGAACCAGGCGTTCCACCGGCCGAGCTCGTGTGTGGGCTGAGTACATACACACTAGATACAATGCTTCTAGTTCACGCGAAATATCCCCGCGTGCAAATGAAAACTAGCATGGCGTTTTTGGTTCTCGGCGCTCTTGTTGTCACGTCAGGGAGGGGGTTTGGTTGATGTGATGGCGTTCATAGAGCGGTATGTGGATGTGGATATGAATGAATTGCTATGTTGGGACTGTACTTGTGCGGGTGGTGTTCTCGATCTATATCACCATTGCTATTACTGCTCCACTACTTACGTCTCCATCTTTGTCACCTTCTCGTCCGACGTTACCACTCCCTCCTCCCCACACCACCACCTCAATCCCCCCGTACCTAGCGCCTCACACTCAGTCTCGCCATCATCCTCCTCCTCCTAAACTCCGCCCGACCCTTACCTCCAGCCCCCGACGTACCCTCATCAGCCCGCACGACCACCCTCCCATCTCCACCGGCAATAAACACATATGTTCTATTCGATGGGCCCTCGAGGGGGTCGTAGTCGTGAGTCGTGGTGTTTGTGGGATGCTCGTTGTGTTTTGTTGGTGGGGATGGGGTGTGGGAGTGTATGCAGGGGTTGTTGGATGGCGAGAGGGCGGTCCAGGGGTTGGTTGTGGAAGGGGTGTTGGGGGGTGGGGAGGTGCTGTTTGTGTGGGTAGGGGTGGAAGGTGGATTGGGTTGAGTTTGGTTTGATTGGGCGGATGTATTGGAGTGGTTAGAGGATATTGAGCCTTGGTCTTGGTGAAGGGTGGGCGATGTGGGGGGGTTTTGTTGGTGGGGAGAGGACATGTTGAGTTTTTGGAGGTGGGTGTTTTGTTTGTTGATTACTTGTAGAAGTTAAAGGCTAGGTGTTGTGATGTGTTTCAAAGTGGGAAGAAATGGGAGAGATTGAAGTATGAGAGGCTCCTGGAGGTTTACGGTGCGCGCTGTGAAAGTACAAAGTCGACATCATACTCTCAGAGTGGAGGCTATCTACCTGAGTGACTATGGCCGGGCTGGAATCTAGATAGTTGTATATGCTGCTTTAAGGCATTGTATACGTTCAGCTTGCAGAGCCGACTAATACGGCCTCGACCTCTGGAGTCATGTTGAGTCCTACTGGTTCTTTCACAAAAGCCTCTCACTGCATTCTGCCTTGAAGATTCGGCAGTCTTACGTTTCGTTCTTGCATCGACGCTCAATTTAGATCTTCAGATTTCTTTCTGAGAAGCGTTACATCGTGATTCCTAGGCTCTCCCACAGGCTAATATTTAACTTTCTTTACTGCTGGAATTGGCGCTCTTGAAGCGTGTTTTTTGAGGTGTTTGACGCTTGAAAAACCTCTAATAGAAACTTTGAATCACCTCCCGTGCGGTAGGACCCGTTTGACTATGTATATCATATCCATTAGAGTTCCTCCAATCTCCTCTATTTGACTGGTAAACTCAGTCTATATATTTGCAAACCTTCAAGGAAGTTTCTAAATGCCGACACATGACACAAAGTACAGAGCGTTTGGCATCTTCCAATAATCTAGCAAAGAAACTTGCTCAGCTTTGAATATGAGTTCGCGGTGAAGTAATGCCGCAGACGATGCTGGGACATTGAAGCTACTTTTGAAACTATGGCGTGCGTGAAGGCGAACGTGGACGCGCAGAGCAAAGCGCTTGGTAACAGCCTCAACCACCTTCATGAACCATGGTTCTCGGTTCTAAGACACCATTTTGAGTTTCAGATTTGTTAGCCTGGAAGAGCCTAGAAGTTGACCCACCAAAGTACGATCCTGCTGCGGTATTCCACAGCTTCCTCCCGGACTTTCCAAGCTACCTGGAAGCGCGTTGGGCGTGAACGTTCTATGAACGAAGTCGACCACTCCGAGAGTTCTGTAGGAGCTCGCCACGCATAGATTATATTGTCCTCTATCACGCGACCAATTTCTTGCTTCTCGTTCATATGATTGTGACAAGGAGATGCTTTCAATGACTCAAAAAAGGATGCACGTGACACTGAGACTGACTGGGCATGAAATCGCTCGATGCTACTGTCTAGTCACCGATCTATTGTAAACGTGCACACGCGAGCATGTTTGCAAACGCTTCGCAAACCCAAAAAGCAATTGATAAATGCCTCAAAGCCACCCAAGCGCAGTCGATCCATCCATAAGCGATTCGAACGTCATCGACCGCTTGGCACCACGACTCCTCAAACTCCAAGGAGACCATTAAGAAAACCGCACAATATAAGACCCTCTTTCCACGGCCGCACTCACTCTCTGAAGACACATACCGAAAATGGACAAAGTTCAGATTGTCGACGTCGGAATATCCAGGGTTCGTGTAACTCCAGCAATCCAATCGCCGTTACTCGCAATATCTACTCTTCCTAACGTAGAGGAGACTACTTGAAGGCTGAATGTCGTCACGGCTTCTATGCGTGTCCTTTCAGGAGCTCAAAACATGGAGAATAGCTAGGCTGGTTCTGGATCATCATGGACCCGCGCTAACTTTTACCCCACAGATCCAGGGCGACAGGGATCACCAAGAGGACCGATATGTTGCGTTGATGCCAGGCCAAGTGCCCTCGCGGAAGGATTTGGCAATATTTGCGATTTACGACGGCCAGTATGTATACCCGGAAGCTTCGGGACGATTTGCATACAATTGCAGACTATCTCCAAGTTGTTCAGGCTGCCAGACCTAACACAACTCCAGTGGGGGAGATGAAACAGTCAACCATATGTATCAAAACCTACTCAGACATCTGGACACCCACCTACCCAACTTTCCATCACCATCAGCAGAAAGATACAAGATAGGTATCCAAGGCGCTCTCACAGCAGAAGACCAGGAGCTCTCACTGCTCGACCTAAAAGGTGGTTCCACGGTCACACTCGTACTCATTGACACCGCGCAAAACTTCCTCGTAGAAGCGAATCTGGGCGACTCACATGCCGTGTTTGCAGACTGTCCCGACAGTTTAGAGGATGACTGGGAGTTCGCAATCGTGAGTCGAGCGCACGAGCCTGATGAACCGACAGAGAAGAAGAGAATCGAAAAGGCGGGTGGTGAGGTTACGTATATCACAGGAATCCCCCGAATTGGTGAGTGAAACTGCTAACTGGATCCACTGGGTAATGCTTACATATATGATTGAGGTGCACTTTCCATGTCCCGAGCCCTGGGCGATCTGGACTACAAATTACCACGGGTAAACAGACTCGCAGGACACGATCTCTCTGACCTCGCTGGTGTCGAAACTGGACTCGCCCCGGGAAAGAGAGCCACTTCAAACCTCGTCTCCATCCAGGCACATTTCAGTGTACGCTACCTTACTGGAAAATCCCTCATCCTGTTGGCTTCCGATGGCGTGGGCGAAGAGTCCGATGCTTTAGAAGAGACAAAACTAGCAGTCGAGGCGCTAAAGAGCAAAACATGCGCGAAAGAGATTGCGGAGCGTGCTACAGAGCGGGCAATAGTCAAGCCGGCTGCAGATAACTGCACGGTGGTGGTTGTAGCGCTCGATACGGATGGAGATGCGATGAATGGGAGGATTCGTGTGAGGGAAGACAGCATGGACAGTTTGTCGGCTGGAACACTAGAAAAGAAGAGGTCACGTAGGCGGTCGTCGATAAGCTACGTTAAGGGCTCGCTCAACTTTCTGAGAAGCTGAGAATGTTGTGCAGACAGGGGAGTCTGGAGTCTAAAGGGAACCATACAAGCGCGGAACCAAGATTGGAAAGGGTTTGGATGTCGACGAGGCCTATATTTTGCGCTCTACCGAACGATTTCATACTTGATTCCATCGGCAAGCACATATTTCAAAATAGCAGTGGGAGGTTTCTTTGTCTTAGTTGATATCCTGGGGTATTTGGTACACTCATCTCATATATCTCAATGCTAATCCTTCCTCACAATTCCACTCCCGACCCACTCATCTCTCAACCTTCGCCAAATCGCATCGCCTCTAAACCCCCAAACCCACTTCTCCTTCCTCAGCTCCTCCAACTTACTCCTCAGAATCTTCTCTTCGCTCTCAAACCCCCATTTACTAGTCATCCTGCGCCTTGCGACCTCGGCTAGCATCTCTTCAACAGCAACCTCCTCGCTCATGCACGCTACGACTGCATCAAGACACTCATCCACCTCCATCTCCCAGCCCTCTTCCATCTCCCTCAACACCTCCATCGCCCGCCAATCCGTCACGACATGCTTGCGCAGCGCCACAGGAAGGGCAGGAGTGTCCACGCCCTCGATCTTGACGCGACACAGCGGACACGTACGGTGCGGGTACTTCGCCGCCTCGATCTTCGGCGTCATCATCCACTGCTCTAGACACGCTTTGCCGACGAAGTGTCCGCAGTACTTTATGCGGACGGGGTAGTCGGCGAGCAGGTCGGGAATTGTAAAGGTACGCATGTCTGTATGAGAGTTTTGACATATCGGGCATGCAATTTCTTCTGCAGGTGTTTGAGAAGTGAGGAGGGAGAGAGGGGCGGCGCATGCGAAGTGGTCGACTTTAACGTTCCGAGCCTTGACTACGATGGAGTCGCGGATGTCGTCGGTCTGTGCGGTCAGGGCTTCGGTCCGTTCGACGCGGTCGAAGCGTACTTGAGCTTTCTCGCCGACGTGCTGTAGCTGCTGCGCGAGGTTCAGGTGCAGGACTGTGGTGAACGCAGCTTTGAGTCTGTCTTCTAGAGTTACGAGCTTAGGGTCTGTGAGTACCATGTATAGCTTTTCTTTCTCTGACCAGCGCTCTTTCTGTCCTGCCATGTCTTTCTCGATCGCGAGTCGGAACATGCGCAATAAGTGCTCTCGGCTGAGCAGCTTCTCATGGCATGCGAGCATTCCAGATAACCAGTCTCGCGCTTGACGCGCTTCCTCCAGCACGGCGTCCTCGTCGGTCACAATTGCTAGGCGAAAACCGGATGATGAAGGCGGGAAGTGCTGCTTGCCGAGTCGATGCACATCTTCACATGACATCTCAAGGAGGCTCTTCGGGGTTTCATGCTCTTGTAGTAGTTTCCGCAGATCCTTGAGGTTTCGCAAGCGAAGGCGGACATGTTGGTATACTGTTTGGCGTCAGTTGTTGTTCAAGCTATACAGACAACGGGTTGGCATGTTATTCAAACTATTCACCAAGCACCTGACCCACTGACGTACCTGTTGCGCTTGCTGGGGCGTTCATCGATTGCAGTAAGATTTCCTCCATACTTGTTGGTAGTCCTCGGGCGCACTTCTCACAATTTCCTGTACAACGGTGTTGCTGTCGAACTGTTGTAATGGTGGACGAAAAATGGGCTGCGTGGTGTGGAAGTGAATGCCCAAACCCGATTGCATGGATTGGTGGCGCGTGGGGTCGGCCGTTTGCGCCCCACACTTGGACCTACGTCGCTGCCTCATATCGGTAAGCAACTGATAAACAACACTTCTGGGTCAGATCCTTCGTGGGACCTTCTCAAGTGGAGTGTATAAGGATAGCAGTCTAATCGGGATCTTCTTGTGAAAAACGATGATGGCTGAAAAGCTCAATTCTACATTGGTTGGCTATGTACATCAGGAAACTTCACGAATATCGAACCCGTTCTCGACGATGCATTATGAGCCTGTCATGAAGCAATACATCATTGATCCGTTGAGATGGTCAGATCCGTTCTCTGACTGCCAGTCGAAGTAACTATCTTAAGAAGGATCTGTAGACATTCCACTTTAGGATGATCCTATCGCAGAACACATATATATCGTAGTTTATCAACATTAAGTTACAAGATCTTGGAATCATGCCCCTCGCCACGACGTCGGACCTCAATCTGTACTTGTGGAGGTACCTGGAATCTAACCACCCACGTCGCCTTCGGTTTGTTTGCCAGTGGCTTGAACTCGTAGTTCAAAAGTAGATGTGCGAATATGATCTTCAGTTCGTGCGCAACGAAGAAGCGTCCGGGGCTAGATAAACACAGTTAGCACCAAAGCATTTTCTCGAAGTGCAGTACGAATAGATGTTAATATGTACTCACCAGGCATGCCGTCCGTGTCCAAACGGAAGATGACGATCACCTGTAGTGACAAGGCCGGATTGCTTCAGCTTCAGAGTGTCCACCTTTCCCTTTTCGTCGGCATTCATGGCGTCGTATGCTTCTTTAGGGCGCGAATAACGAAATGCGTCGTACTTCAAGGGGTCTTCATGTATAGTATCATCGAATGCGACAGGTGTCCAGGGACATGATAATATCGTTCCATAGGGTAAGACATACCCTTCTGGAGTGGTGATTCCGTTTTTGAGGCTGACCCTACGTTGCACGAATGTCAACGCTATGGGTGACGCGCGCTGTGATTCTCTGATCGCAGAGTCCATGCGGTGCATTCTCGCCAATCCCTGTTTCGTCCAACCGCCTTCTTCTTGTAGTATGCGTTGTGCCTCCACCCTCAGAGCCTCCAGAACACTAGGGTCTGCAGCAAGAATATGATTCATGGTTTCGAAAGCAGTTAGGGACGTGGTGTGAATGCTTGCGAAATTGATGGGCAACATGCGCATAGCAATCCGTCGAGGATCAGCTTCGTCGGTTCTACCTTCTGTGAGTGCTGTTTGAATGCTCCATGTAACAAAGTCATTGGGTGCCTTCCACGATTCATAGTCTGGATGCCCCTTGTTCTTCTTCTCGATGTCCTGAAGTCGTTGTTTGATCAGCGGTAGTGTAAATTTCGACGATTTCCAGTAATGGTACTTCGAAGCAAGTCCTAGAAGATTTCCTATCACCCAGTGCAGTGTTTTTGGTACTAGGAACAGGACCAACTGCGTTCGTATAACGTCCATAGTGAAGCTAAGCACAGCATCTAGCAGGCCTTTCTCACGACATAGCGGTTGACCAACAACCATGCGATTCGTGATTTTCGGAACCAGTCTCATGAACGATTCCATCACGTCCATCTTTTTAAACTCAGATGTATCCATACCGAACAACTCATTTACGTTTTGTATGACCTCGTCTTCAAGCTCAGGGACAATCGCGTTCAGATTGCGCACCAGATTCTTATGCACTACGTGCTCGTGGTACGGGTCTTGCAGTATGATGGGCTTAACAAACGCATATTCACCCTGGAGAAGTTCGTAGTGCGCTCCACTGGTGCTAAGAACAGAGTCCGGCTGTTCAAGCATCCAGCCCATCTGTGATCTTGGGATAACGACTTCAGCGGTCATGCCCAGTACGGCAGGTAGCACGAAAAGCTCGTCACGCTTGCTGTATTTTTCGTACCCTTCCATCAACCACTCTTTGCTCCTCGTTACAGCAAAGAAATTACGGAGGCTTGCGATCCAACCTTTCCCGTATCCTACGCATGGTATTGTTGGTGGCAACCGAGTTGTGCGGAGGTAGTTGTAGGCAGTTGCAGTAACCCAAAATGTCGAAAAGACGATGAGGGCGATGGTTTTGCGAGACGTGCTTGCGTCCAAATCTTCTGCCATCTTGGGTGCTAGATGAAGAGCTGTACAAAGGGCGAGTTTTTGACAGCAAAAGAGGAGGTTAAGAGTTGTTGCAAGTTGTTGATCGGCACCCTATGCGAGACAGGCACATTTGTGGGTCGTATGCAAAAAACAAGCAACAACGCACAACAAGCGGCGATTCTGAAGACGTGCGCGTAGTTATCAATGCTGCCGGGCTGTCTACTTCCGGGCACAAGAATATGGTGACGTGAGTCTAATGATTAGTGACCCATCGTATCCAATCAGCTACACGTGGAGGTCTCACCGCTCGGTCGACCTCGATGTAGTGAAACCCATTTAGACAACGTTCTGTCGCTCCTTTTTCTCGGTCGTTCTTGAAGCCCGTTCAAGGTGGGTTGCACCAACTCTCAATCTTCTGGAGACACATGTGTCGTTGATGGCAGACTAAACGTGATGAGTAAACAACAAAATCGTTGTCCAATTCCATCGTATCGCAGATAGGCATGTGAGCGTCGGCGGGTTCGGTCAAACATATCCAAGGATCTCCAATACCCGCACCGACCGAAATTACGTTTCTTGCGCAAAAGATTCTTTCAAAGCTGGATAAGAATGTTCCCCTGGCACTTTCGTCTATACCTAAACAGTCATCAAGATCAATACTCACAGGTGTGTTGTTTTGTCTGACTGCTCGTATTAAGCCATTTCGCCATGGGTCACACAAAATCTGTCGTCCCAACACTATGACGATTCGACTGCCTCCAGCACAACGCATTGTGAAGAGGCCCTCTTGTTCATTCTCTTGCTCTGGGACTTTTCAAACAATCATTTCGAAAGCCCGCACCGAGCAGGAGATGACCGACAGGCAGGAAGTGCGTATAGTCAAGTTTGCCTCTCGCTTGGTAACTTGGTACAAGAAAAATATTTGTTCTTCCTATTGGCTACCTGGTCCATAAGCGGCGTTTTCGAAGATCCAGAGATATGGACCTGGAAAGTAAAGGGATGAGTGTCAGAAAGAGGGCGACTGTTGTTGTGATCAAGTGAATAAGCCGACCTGCGTTCGTATAGGACGTAATCTTAATTCCTGATCATGAGTGACTTGCGAGAGTTGAGGACCTAATCTCTCTATCCCGAGGGGTAAATCGGATACTGTTACTCTTTCATAACAGCGTAAGAAACACACAAGAAGTCGCTCTGGAGAGCGCACAGAAGTGGCGAACAGCAAAACACGGGTGGTGAAATGCAACATCGGAGCACAGATACGACCGGGCAACACAACAAGTCCTACCTTGCTATAATTTAGATCGAGAAATCACGCGATTTATCTCCTCTACTCTGACTCGTTTTCCTCTTTCTGCTTGTCGAAAACCGCCTCATTCTCCAAGAACCCCGCCCCATCTTTCGTCGTAGCATTTAGCCTCTCAAGAATGTACTCCCCGGCTCGGATCGGCTTCCATTTGCTCTTCTCATCCTCCTTCAGACAGGTAGGCAGCGTCTCGACAACCGTATCGTAATTCACAGAGAAGAAGAACGGCACACTGTACCTCGCCTCGGCGCCTCTGTTTACTACTCGGTGCACGGTACTCTTGTAAAGTCCGTTTGTCCATCTCATCATGAAATCAGCAATATTCGTTAGAAACGTGTCGGGCACATGGGACGCAACGTGCCACTCCCCGGATGGCTTGAGAATTTCTAGGCCAGGTGTTGCGGAGGTGAGAAGCAGGGTGAAGCACTCGTAGTCTGAGTGGGCCCCTAGGCCAATTTGTTCGCTCGGTGATGCGAGGGGCTGTGGATTCTTAGGAGGTGGATAGTAGAGCAATCTGGCGATTCCACCTGGATGCGTGGTCATGTGGTCAAAATATGTTTCTGGAAGTGAGAGCGAGAGCGCGAAGAGGCGGAAAAGATGGCGTGCAAGATCAAGTACCTGCCCACCGTTCAGCTTATGTTCGAGGATATAGAGCCAAAGAATACGACTAAACCACACGTCGACAGGAAACTCACAGCGCCGTAGTATTCCTTAATCACTTCATAGAATCCTGGAAGATCCTCCTCCTTCGGCCATAAGTTTCCATTGTATTTCGACCCATCCAAATTGCGATAAAGCCCATCTCCTCCAGTCTTGTCAAATCCTTCCTCATACGCAAAGTTGAAGCATTCTTTCAACTCCTGATCGCCAGCGATCGAGGTATACTCACTGGGCTCATATCCGAGGCCCAACTTGCTTTTTCTGGTATGCAGTTCTCCCTTCTGTTTTGAGTTAAGCTCATCAAAGAAGCGTCGAGCTTGTTGAAGAACACGGCTACGCGAACCCTCCGTAACTCCATGGTTCTTTATATAGAAAAAGCCAGAAGTGGTGCAAGCCTCGAGTATCTCGTCAGCGACTGCTTGACGATCTGCAAGAGACGAGGAGAACGAGGGTGCAAGATCGATTATTGGAAGCTTGAAGTCCTCGTCGCCAGTCTGGCCTTTGGCAGCAAGTCTCGACTGCAGATAGGCTGACGCGCCTTTACGGGCTTCGTCGAACGTCGTTGTATCAGCCACGCAAGGAGTTATTGAATCTGCTGTTGCCATGGTTTCTGTTGTTTGGTTGTTGTCTTGGGATGCTTGGGAGGCTCGTGTTAGAAATAGAGGAGGTTGGGCATGAGATAACAAAAGCGGGGCATTAACATGTACGAAAGAGCTCTTACAAATTCATTGGCCCGTGCATAATTACTCTTCCACCTAACAAGTTCAACCTAGTCCTTTTCCAATCGCGAGCTGTGCCTCCAAGATTATTGCAAACGATTAAACAATCTTGCGAAGAGAGAATCTGAACGAGCTTCGTGTCTCGCATCACCTTTCGAATCTCTGAACCATTACCGCATAATCTGGCGTAATTAAGCGGTACTAGGCCTCACCAGGCAGGCAGCCAAGCTCCAATCAGATGACCAGGACTGGGTTAACTAGAGGAATATCCGAAAGCGTCTTGCACCTGCAACCACATGTAAGAGAAGCTTAGCGTCTACTAAAGAATGTCTAACTCATCTGATTGGAGCTTGGCTGCCTGCCTGGTGAGGCCTAGCATCGCGCATTCACACCAGATTATGCGGGTACCATTGCTCTGTCAAGGTTGGTTGCTAGCTTGGATCTCCCGTTACGCGCCCTTCATCGAATTTGAAATCTACACAAACACAATTCTGTCAATGCATATGCCTAGCTGCAGACTCTGGATATCAACCAAAACCAAACATCTCGACTCGGAGGTGACTGCATTCAGCCGACAAAGCCGCAATGGCACGGGCAATTCGGAGCACCCCAATCCACTATGTACCTAGGGAATCTCGGATTGGGATCAGGCGGGATCTCCGCTCACGGCAATCGACCAGGACTAGCGACCCGCCAATCGAAAAGCGTGGCGTATCGGGCGAGCTGATTTAGGCCTATCAGAACCTGGTTGAATCTCGTAGTTCGAAGATGATGTGCTACGATCCCGTCGGGTGACGATCTGTCTCCACCCGCCTGCAGCGTTCTAATGCAAGCGTGTGGCTACGATGTCTATGCGTATTGCGCGTCATGGACCAATGCGAAAGCTCGCGAGATGATCAAGCTCTAGATGCAGCAAGCGGTATCGTCGTCATCGTCGCTTTAGTACTGGGAAACTAGCAGTTTTGATATCACCCCTGCAACGTGTTGACGAATTGAGGCGTTTTATGAATCTGTTGATACTCCTAGTTCGCCGTCTAGGCATGAGAAGCGTCCTAATGTTGAGCATCATACCTCCGATTGGGAAAGCTTCTCTCGATCGGGAGTACCCCTCCCTCAGCTGAACTTAGCGGGCGTCAATCAACACAAGAGCATGACGCAAATCTCATGCTTATGTGGATCTTCGTCTTAGGAACGTACGAAAAAGCAGTGGACGAATTTTAAGGTTGGGTTCACTTTTGCGCCATAAAGCTACAGCTCTCCCTCTACAACCTCAAGTATTTCAATCGTCATTCATCTCTATCCTCTTTATCATCACTATCAATCGTCTTGCATACCACAATCATGACGGACCTTCACAGCGAACTACCCAACATCACTCCAGAGAAGCTCACAATGATGAAGATCAGAGCTGGTGGATTCGAACAGGATCTTCTTTCTGAACCTGGCACACCCAGTCGCGAGCGCGGGTCGATGGCCTTCGGCCATTCGAGCGACGCACGTTCATCATCAGTCACCCGCCGCACAAGTCGTGCGCTCAGCGGCTCGTCTCGCCGAAACTCCTTCATGGCGTCGCACCGCATCTCCGCGTCCAAGGAACTCACATCTGGGGCTGAGGGCAAGTTCTTCGCCCTGATGGACCTCATGTCTACAGCTTCTCGGGAAGCTTCATCACTCAAAGAATCCTTCTCTCGCATCATCGCAGAGCGCGATGCACTCTTCCGGGAGAGAGAGGAGCTTCTTGCGCGAGTGGAAGAAATCACTGAGACCGTTGAGATCAAGGAGCGCGAGCACTCCAGCCATGGTCATGAGGCGGAAGAGAGGAAGAGACAGGTTGAGAAGCTACTTGTCGAACTCTCGGTAGCTTTGGCCGCAGTTGCGGAACACAAGAAGCATGTTGGTGACCGAGATCGCCAACTCGAGCAAATCCGCCTCGAGCTGGTGGATCTGCAAGGCACTCTTTCTCACACGCACGGAGAACACAACAAGATCAGAGCTGAGCTCGAAGCCCTGTTTCTCAAGTTCAAGGCTGCTGAACACGACCGTGACCATGCTAGGGAGGATGCTCTCAAACACCATGGGGATCTTCGCAACCTTCTACGCGAGCACACCGACTTGAAGAGCAAGTACTTCGACACCAACACCAAATTCGAAACTTCTCGTAAGGACGTAGTGATGCTTCAGGAGCGTATCTTGGCCTGGGAACTCGAGCGGGATGAACTTCTCCACGCGAAAGACCGCCTCAATGAGGATCACAAGAGGCTAAGGCTCAGGGCAGACGATACAGCCCGAGAGCTACTTGAGCTGACTGAACGTCACGACCGTGTACAACGCGACTTCCACAAGTCGAAGGAGATTCTACGTATCGCCGAGGACGCGCGTGATGAGTACCACCACACAATCGACGTCCTACGTCGCGAACTCAAGGTCAAGTCTCTTGGTTGGGAAGAGGCTGATCAACGGGTGGGCGAAATCACACTTCAGCATGAGCACATCAAGAGAGAAGTCGTGTCGCTCAGGGAAAAGCTGTTATTCGTTGAGACCGAGAGGAACGACCTTCGCGACCGCGCTGAGAGGTCGCGTGAGGAGCTGCGAGTGGTCGTCATCGAGCGCGACCAGCTCAGGGACGATGTGCATGACGGAGGCCTAAAGATTGCCGATGGTCATCGCCGCACCCAAGTCCTTGAAGAGGCGCTACGTCTTGCAGAGCTTGCCATCGTCGAACACAAGTCAGACATTCACAGCCTCAACAGCCGTATCGCTGTTCATGTCCGTGACGACGACGAGCACCGATCCAGACATGGGCATTTGACCACCGAACTGGCAGCTCTCGGAGAGAGGCTTCTCATTTTCCAAGCCGACAACCGCGCTTTGACTGATGCTCGGGATCGCGCTCATCGTGACCTAGAGAGCTGGAGGTCTAAGTACGACGAGGTCACTGAGACCATGACAGAGTACCAAGACGGCAGCGGCGAACTCGAGTTCGAGATTGAGAGCATGCGCACGCTGTTGCACGAGGTGCGCGAGGAGAAGGAGGTTGCTATCTCAGCGCGTCACGCTGCCGATCGCGAGAGGGATGCCATGTACGCCAAGTACGAAGAGAAGTGCAGGGAGATGGAGAGGTTCATTGAGGAGAGTGCGGCCAACTCTCTGGCGGCCAGCAGAAGTGCGAACAAGTCTTCGTTCTCGCGCACTGTAACCCACTCTTCGTCGGGCCAGCAGAACAGTGGTCACTCGCATGGGCACAACGGTGGTTTCAGCTCCCCGTGAATCGAAAATCGGTGCAGTATAATTGAGTCTCCAGGACCACTACATAATGGGAATTTGTGGTTGGAATATCGTTTGTGGCTACCTGCCCCACGATATGAAGCTCCACTCGGGTCAAGAGGTCGTCGCCCTGACTAAAGGGTGGGAAAAAGTCAGCGTTGTTACTAGTTTTGCAAGCATTCAAGTTTTGTTTTGAAATTAATAGTAATACATTTCCATTGCACAACATCGTTCGGCCTGTACCATCTGAAATTTGTTCTAAATGCTCACAAATAGATGAATTGTATCTACCCTCGTAACAACCTAACGAACTGAATAGTATTACATTCTAAATTATACAATCTGTTACTGGGGTGTCTATAAAGACATTGATGAATTAATCTATCTCAGATCGTCGGACCCTATGTCAAAACGATCAAGAGGAGACTTCACGCAATACATAGCAAAGAAACATGTCAACAACTTCCATATCCTCAATCCTTCTCAGCCGGGAATTCGGGAAATACGAGCAGAAGTTACTGCTAGAGAGTCTGTTAGTTCATAACATGCTGCACATCACAAGTGAGTAGATCCTCACCAAGAAACAACAACAGCACGTGTACAATAATCCGCTTGCTCAATTTGCATAAGCATTAGGCTTTTCTTTCTCGCCAATGCTAAGCTATGTCTTGGTCTCATTACCTGCTACTGTTTTGGAAGTTTGCGCTATATTCGATCAAAACTATAGAAAGTTCTTGGCTGGAGGATGGCAGTCGTGCTCATACGTCGATTCGAAAAACAAGCGTCGAACAACATGTACTTCTTCTTGCCCTTGTGGAATTCCCCATGAAGTAGCAATTTTAGGAGTGCAAGCCGTGAGTTAACGTTACTGACTTTGGAAGCTGTTATCGTGGCGTTACCATTCAGTGATACCTAGGATGACGCCTTCTTTCCATCTTTGCTACGCTGAGCAAACGTTTTTGGTGCATCAAGTCCTTCACGTATATTGGTGTCACTCGCTGTACACATGACTTTCTTCAATTACGAAAGCGGAACAGCATCTAGATATCTTCCCGTGACCTGCATGCACGTAGGATTGCAAGCAGATGCCTTCCAACCGGCAAAAACAAAGCGATAGGCGAATTAAACAACATGGCCAAAAACCAACCAATACATCACCCTACCTCCCCATCTCTCTCCTTACAACAACGCCCTCATTCTCCGCCATAGATGCCCAAGGATCGTCCCATCCACACTCCGCCGCATCTTCCCGTCTACGTTCCCACATCCACGCTTCCGCATCCATCCTACGCGCCACCCTCCCCTCACCCACCCAACACTCGCCCAACCCCTTAATCTCTCCAAACGCCAACCTCACCACCATATTCTCTGCCTCGACCCGCCGCTCCTCGTTCTCGCGCCACAACATCTTCCTATACACAGCGTCTGAGCAGCCCTTCATACGCCGCCGCCAGACAGACTGATACCCTGTGTCTAGATTACCTACCTTGACCAGCTTCAGGGTTTTGAGATGGGGCAGGCCCGTCCCAAGCAGCGAGGTAATGGCGCTGATGGATGCGCGGTAACAATACGTATCGCTGCGCATGCGCAGGTACTTCAACGCCGGGAAGCGCAGGACCAAGAAACGAACCTCGTCGACGGACCAGTGCGCTGTAGCATCGAAATGCGTCAACGCCGGGGAGGGGAGATTCGGAAGCAAGGGTTCAAGACGCGTGGGTAGACTGCAGTACGGGCCCACCAGACAATTCGTCCTATCGTCTATGACGAGGTCGCGTAGGTTCGGGCACTGCGAAACAAGGAATGCCGCGTCGCTGGTCACGACTAACTTTTCTACCCGCGGCATCAGGAAGACGGAACTCTCTTGCGGCGGCGTCGATGCAACGGCTGTGGTGAACATGTCTACGCTCCGCCGCATCATCATGACTTCCAGCGTCTTCACCCGCTTGAGTGTGTGGATGAGGCGGAAGAGGGCGAGGGCGTCGGCGCTGCATACGTATGCGCCCGAACACCACCACCACATGGAGCCGAACATGTCGATTTTGCATGTTGTGGCGTGGTGGGGGAGGAGCGGAGTGGGTGTGAGTTGGCTGAGGGGGCGGGTGATGCGTAGCGTGTTGAACAGGAGCGGTACGAGGATGTGTCTAAGGCGGCGGTTTACTAGGGAGAGGTTTTTGATGGATGGTTCCTGTCTTGGCTCGTCCGGGGGCTCGAGGTGCGAACATATCACTAGCAAGACATCTTCACATAGGTCGGGGAGGGTGGTCTTGGAGGGCAAGTCCATGAGTGGAGGAGATGGGTGGATGAGGGAGTCTCGACGGCATGGGTCCATGGTTTTGGATGTATTCAGGAGATGTTAGTAGGCAAGATGGATGTTGAAGTGCGGTTCGACCGAGATATAGCTTCGGAATGCCGTCAGTGAAGCTCCTCGACATGGAGCTACGGAGCTACCCCACGTCTGATGCACACTCATTGCCAGAACTAGCTAGTGTATATGTATCATTGCGTCGTTCGGATCCAGACATTGAGGGTTGAGTGATGTGAAACCTCGGACTTCGTTACACCGAGAAAGAGCAGAAAAGTGTATAGTGGTCGAGGTTGTAGACAGTATCGCAGGACTGAGCGAGTATTCGAATTGATTGCCGGAATTCATGCTTGCGACAAGATCGACATGAAGAATTGCAAATCTAAGCCTAAAGATCAATCTCACGCCCTCGAAATTGCTTCAACGGACTTACAAAACAGCGAGAGTGCAGCTTTCCATCAGCGTCACTCTAGTGAAGAGCATACGAACCTGGAAAGACATGGCGGAAACCCCAACACTGCCGTAGATCCAAAGCCCATGTCCTGTGAGAAATGAAAGAAGAAATGGAGCTTTCCATGCCGACGCGCCCTATTTTCCGGACACACCGTAGTGCTTTAGTCTCCTCTCCTAGAATCCCTTACCTCCCATGACACCCTGATCGACGTACTGAAGACCAAAGGTTGTGATTGATGAAAGAAGTGGAGAACCACCCCATCGTAGCTCACACTATTCGTCATAAGTCCTGGTATGTGTATGTTGTATTGCGTCAACACCGCGATGTTGGAGTCGTGGATGAATGACACTAGCCAATTCGACACACCCAGTGCCTTCATTCTCACGTTATGGTACAAATAGTACAGTATGTCCAACTTCCACGCAAGATTCCCTCTCCCTACATCTACCTCTTCTTCCCCCTGCCCTTGCCCTTCTTGCCTCCCATAGCCGGCGGAGCGCCCTTCTTCTTGCCCCCCTCGCTCGTCCCAAGCGCTTGCTTCTGCCTCAGATACATCCTCACGACGTTCTCCACACTGCCCTTGTCGTGCTTGACAGTCCTCATGTACGTCAACCTCGCGCGTCTCGCCCGCTTCGCCGCGCGTTGCACAACCTCGATGCCCTCCACAAGCGGACTGTAGATCTTGTACCACATCTCCACACCCACACGCGTCAGCTGGCCGCGTAGTAAGATGGCTGTGTCGGTACCCCGCCGCCGGATGTTGATGCACACGCCCGCGAAGGGGTCTCCGGTGCGTTGCCGCACAAGCAGGATGTCGCCGACTCGCGCACATTCCGGGTTGTCTTTCGCGAAGAGGCGGGTACGTGCGCCGGTGGGGTCGAGGATGGAGGCTTGTGAGGCGCGAACGACGGCGATGGGGTTAGGGCAGGTTTTCTTGATGTTCGGGGCGCTGGGCGCGAAGACGGGGATGTTGAGGCGGGCGCCTGGAGTGGATGCATGTCAGTTCTGTGTCCAAACGTGATGTGACGAATGTGCAATTGAATAATATTCAGCACGTACTCAATCGCGGGATGACGCCCTTCTCCGTGTGCAGCTCCTCGCTCAACTTTGTCCGAATTGGCCTCTTGCTCGCCCAAAACCTCGTATCTTCTTTAGGGACTGCTCTTTTCCCGCTGTAAAATTGAGGATACAACGCCTTATGGACCTTCTCCGTGAAACGCAATGGCCTGCCCTCTTTCTCCGCAGGCCTGCTCATAATGGCGGGCTCTGGGCTGGCGGTGACGGCGACGGTCTCGGTACTGGAGAACCGCTTGCATCGTGCGGTTCTGAAGGCGACGCGCGAGGCCGTCGCCCGCGTGCATGGTATTGCGGCTGACATTGCTGAGGGGAGTCGTCGTTGTCGACATGCTGGATGCATTAGGAAAATCAATGTTCAATGTTTAGTCAGCACCACCAATTCACATTTCCACATCCCAATTGACACACACTTGCTTCGATTTCACTCCATCTCACAATGCGTCTATGTTTGTGAATTTTCGCACATTTTTGTGATGTCCAGTATCATTTCCATCTTATTGACATGTTGCAACTATCATCAGCTACACTACATGCACACCCACGCCAAAACATTCAAATGGGAATCTTTATTGGTTACAGAGATATCAGAACTTTTCCGCCAAATGCGCACAAAACCACCCCGTGATTCATAAATGCTCGCTCATGCTAAAAAAGGCAGCCCAAACACCGTGCTGGAGGCGCCATATCGTGGCCCAAAGATAACCAGATAGGCATGAAACGACTCCCGAAATACACCCGTCTCAGGCGCCCCGCTTCTGACACTATCACGCGTACACCCCTCATCCCAGAAGCCCCACTGTGGAGGGCATCAAGGGGAAGAGGGCAAAGACACCGCCGCAATGCTGCCTCGGACGCCGATGGAAATGGAAGGTACAAAGCTAGATAGAGATATTAGAGCCTAGCTTGGTTGAGCTGCTCGGCCAGGCTGAAGAGGCCATTGCCATTGCCGTTGCCATTGTATTGTTGGAAAGGTTCACCCTGCGAAGATAACCCCAGTAGTCAGCAATTGATCTGTTCGAAATCAATCTCGATTTCTCGACGAGGCGTCTCTACCTCTTCCATCCACGTCATGCCATTGGCGGCCTCTTCGACGGGGAACACCTCCTGCGCGTACTCCTCCATGGAACGATTGCCTTCCCACAGCTCAAGAGCAACCTTGGGACATGCTGGCTCGATATCCGGGCCGAAATAAGGTGCGCCCTTCTCGCCGAGAGTATACTCGAGCGCGGAAAGGTGCTCCCGGTAGCCCGTAGGAGTGGGAACGTGGATCACTATGGGGCCCCGCTTGTAGCAGACTGGTCTCCTGAGACCGCGGCTGAAAGCTCTGCAAACTTCCTTTGGTGTCATCATGGCAAATGCCAGTGGTACCCTACACCTGTCAGTACGTAATTCTAGATACCCCTGAGCAGCACGTGCCCTTGCACGTTTTCTAAGCGAGCTTGAACAGTCATAGCAACAATGGAAAATTTCAACGAAGAAACGGTGATGTTAGCCACCACGTCAAACAATTGTGGGACCATTGGCGTGATGTGGAGAAAAGGATGCAGATGCTGGGTACTTACCGCTTGCCGTTCCACTTTCGCGGACCTTCCTTGAATAACTGAAAGATAGCTGGCCCAACGTCGTGCTCCGAGTCTAACCACGGCAATGGCTGGTCTGGGTGAAAAGGCGCCTGCCATTCAAAACTTCCATCGTATTGGTGCTGCATGCGGAACAGCGGAAAGTCCAGGCCTGTGAAATTGTTGTGGTAGATGCCGCAGTAGACAAAAGTCGCCGGGAGGCCAATTTGCCGGATGTACTGCTCGACTGTGAATTTTGGCGACCATAGTGGCAAAGACCTCCAGTTGTGACCAAAGACGGAGTGATCTGGCATGCTCGAGTAAATGTAGTGTTGTATCCCAGCTCTCTTTGCGGCGTCGGCTAGCGATCGGCCAATCGCAACCTCGTCTCCCCAATGTGTGGTATTGATGAATGCGCATTGTGCGCTCTTGAACAGATTGTCGAGAAATTTGGTGTCCTCCAGGCGTCCGATGTAAACGGTGACATTGTCTAACTCAGCCAACTCTTGCGCCACTATCCCGTCCAGATCTTTCATTTGCGCGCGCACCTGCCAACCCAGTGCGGCAGCAACCCGAATGAAGCTCGCCGCCTGGCGGCCATTGCTATTGATGGTAACGACGGTCCTTTGCATTCGTGTTTTCTGTTTGGGTTTGGTGTCGAAAAGTGAGTGGGGCAAAACTGTAGAAAATTCGGATTTTCTATTAGGGGTTGGAAGAACGTGGCATTCAGCAGCAAGGGAGAAGGAACGAGGGGGGTTGATTCATATACGGGCGCAAACAAGGGCAGATGCTTGGGGTCGTGTGAGATGCCAAGTCCGCGGCTCAGTGGTGGACAAGGCGGGCGATGGCAGATAGGTAAAGTGGTGTGAGTACGTGTGTGAGTGTAAGGCCCTTTTCGTATAACGGCGGGTGTCGGTGTAAAGATGCCGCAGTTCGGCGCGCAGCCAACAAAGTGCTCACCGCACGCAAAGAGATTGATATTGACTTTTTAATAGCGCCCTTGAAGCCACACGTGAGTTGCAGGACGCAGGTCAAAGACGGGTATTCGGATATGTGTTGGTTGGTGGGATACGATATATCTTGGGTCCTGCCACACGCAAAAGTGGGCAACGATAGACTTAAAGACAATAAACATGAGCACCACATTGATCTGGCGGAGATGCAGGAGAAACGGCACCTCCAGGCATCTTGTGCGTGATGTTCAGGCCGATTTTGGACTCGTCATTATGCTGCTGGAGAGAATTACCTAATAGCTGGATATAGGAACGAATAGTGTGCGTTTAGCATGCCAACGTTCTCTTCTCTGGCCACCTGACTAGGACCGGGGAACGGCGATGAGTAGTTGAATGAGCATAATGTGTTCGTAATGTATTGCTCGGTCAAGTTCTGGTTCGTTGCGCTCTCACGGCCCGATGGTGAAGGGTTGCACTTGTCTTCTCATAATAGCTACAAGCAACCGATCCGAGCCTGCACAACACTATCTTCGGAGAGTAAGAGGCCTGTCAGGCTAACCCAGACCATAGGCGCGGATCCACACAAACTCTGCTCGTGACGGGCAAGGGCTTGTTCAGAGCGAGATGCGGGGGAGCACACTAATCCAGGAACTGGGAAAGGTGATGGCTATGCTCGGAAAACCCAAGAAAGCCATGAATCAGAGCCGTGGTGCACTATCAGATAGCTGGCGGAAACGGAGATGTATCCGTAGTCTTGCACTACCAAGTGCTGGTCAATAACGTGCTTGTTACAGATTTCTCAACGCAGACGACGTGCATGAGCAAACAGGGTGTCACGAATCTTGGCAGAGAGCATTCCCTGACTAACCGAAACTAGTTCCCGAGCCGAGGTTTTGAACGCATCTTGACCCTCCTTTTCCTTATCCGCACTTTAGACTTTGATCCCTTTGGAGTGATCACGTTGCATCTACACGTACAACGACTTCGGAACTGAGCCGACTATGGAACATCTCATCCCGCCATATCAATAATCAACAAGGTTTGACCCGGCACGTCGAGCCGGGCAGCAGTAACAAACGCCATCAAGCCACAGAATTACTGCCGCGTAACCATCAAAAGCAATCACCAGCACGTTAGACAATCTGTATGCACGTCGGGCTGATCACAGTGCGTCACTGAACCCTGACCCCAACCTGCCAGACATGGCGACATCTGGAGATACCACTCGTCAATCAGAACGTACCAACCGGGTTCCTAGCTGCAGCCAGTAGGACCACAATTACCCGTCGTCCCAGCAGAACTAATCATGTGTGTACAATTCACCCAATGACAAGACGCCATACTTCAGCGTTGCCGTCGCCCTCTGACGCATGTCTCTTTGCCGCGCTCATCTCCTCAGTGTGAAGATGTGCACCGGCATCAATCAGGATATGCACGTGTTCTTTCAACCCAGCGGCTGCAGCCAAGAAAAGCGGAGTGTTTCCCGATCGATTCCGAAGGTGGACAGAGGCGCCCTGGGAAAGAAAGTCGCGCAGAATCTCAGCATTCGGGCTGGTCGCCGCAAGGTGCTGTGGTGCCCGGTCAGCAGTGAGCGCAATCTCGCATCATTGTGCGGAAGAATGTTCCTCCAACGTCCGATGCAGTGCTAGGCGAAAAGATAAGCGGTGTCGTCGTATTACCGCCAAGTTGGGATGGAGAATGGGAGCTGTATGGCTGTACAATCTTTGTGCCGACGGCATCATGTCCCTTTATCAGAGATAGATGTAGACGCGCTTCGCCGTCTCGGATTGCGTGCTATCTGATACCGGTTCCTTGATACGAAACTATAATCGTTCCATTGTGATCGCTTGGGGCGGAAGGTAGGACGAGGTTTACAGATAGGCATAAAGACGCTGACTGGATACCCGGATTGTAACAGGGAAGATCACTTACTACCGGATTGTTCATGTTATAATCTGCATCATTCAGGAGCCATCGACGCTCTCCTCGAATGATATCTCTTGTCTCCTGCAGGTCGCCTTTTTGGATAGCATACCCGAGTGCCGTTAGGCTCGAGAGCTCTGGAGTCAAGACACCGCTTTTCTCGGGGTGCTCAAAGTGGGTTCGTGTTGTTTCGGTCAGCTCGCCACGCACCGATATCATCATTTGTTTTGCGACCATTTCGGGAGTGGCGTCTGGGAGAGCAAGCAAGTAAGCAAGCTTGGTGAGCGCCGCTTCCGTAGTCAGATCCTGTCCGAACACAACTCCGGCTCGGCCCAGAAAGGTCCCAGGAGCATACAATGCACTCACGCTGCCGCTCAAGCATTGCGTCACGTTGACGATCACAATCCCCCTCTTCACCGCATCCGCTAGAATTCGAGTCATCGCGCTGTCGGGTCCTCCTGGGGTATTTCCAGCTCCGAATGTTTCCAAGACGAGACCTTTGAGGCCCTCCAGACGTAGAACCGCGTCCACTAATACAGGTGTGATGCCTGGGAAGATACGGAGACAAACGACATGTGCTGTATCCAGCCCAGTTTGGACACTGAAAGGGCTCAAATCAGTTGATCGGTGGACTCTATGCCACAAAACATTAGTCCTCGTAGATGATATCGTCGCCAGTGGTGGGAGATTGGGGCTCCCAAACGCATCGAAGTCTTCGGCTGAGACCTTGGTAGAACGATTCCCACGAAAGAGTTTGAAGTTGAAGAACAAACAAACTTCTGGGATCATGAAGTGACCAGCAATGATTAGCGAGTTCAATAGGTTATCTTGTGCATCGGTCTGCAATTCCATCATTGGTGCTTGAGATCCAGTCAGAATGACCGGTTTCCCCAAGTTGTGAAACATGAAGCTCAACGCGGAGGCAGAGTACGCCAGAGAATCCGTGCCATGTAGAATGACGAAACCATCGAAAAGCTGATAGTTCCTTTGCACTGTCTTCGCAATTTGATCCCAACCAGCTGAGTCGATGGAACTGCTATCAAGCAGCTTTTCGAATTCGAGGACGCAATACCTGACACGGCGGTCATACGTGCTGGCTGGTGTTCTTAAGCTTTGAACGGCTTTTCGTGTGCCGTGGTCGTCAGTCACGATTTCCAGAGGTTCGGGGTAAGATCCGTCGTTGAAAACAGGCCGTGGTGCAAGTCCAGCTTTCAGAAATCCTCTCGCAGGTACTAATCCATCTGCTGATTTTCGCATACATATTGTGCCGCCTATTTCTTGGTCAGTGATGGAGCTTGAAAAATCATCAAGTATAACAATGCAATCGGGAGCACTTTGGAAGTACTCTGACAATGGCTAGCCCTTGATACACGTTGTGCTTGCTAATGGAGCACGCGGGACAGTGCTGAACACCTCCCGGAACTATCACCATATCCGGCGACAGGAAAAAACTGTACCTGTGATGATGATCAAAACCCGTGACTCTGGGAGCTGAAGCTCAGAAAATTGATCGTCCATTTTGTCAGGTCACTGGCTTAGTGTGATGCCGCCGAAGACGAAGAGGTATTGAGAAGTGGAATATAGGCCGATAACGGAAGTCGCGTCTGCAATCAATCCCAACGAGAAGGAACTCTTCGACCTCGTTTTCCGCAACAGCAAAATTTGGTCGTGCGCCTTCCAGATCGGGCCGTTGCACACTAGTATCCACTCGCGAGGTTGTTCTTACCCCTTCGAAACTGCTTGCTATTACCATTCCAAAACTGAAAATTTTCCTTATACCGATCCGATGGTTTTGCAGGATTCATGGGTTACTGCGGGTGGGCGAGAAAAAATATGCCCTACGTGGCAGGCTTCGGCTTTATTTCGTAGGATAAGTCAGGGAATGACATCATGGGAAGGGATGATGTGAGAGCTATACAAAGCTAAGTATGTTTTGAGCGGTCGACTACGTCTACTATCAAGTTCATGAACGTTGCGGCTGTTCAGCCCGTCTTTGCGGCTTCTTTCGCTGCGTTCGAGCGCGCCTTTTCCAGAGCCTTCACCTCTACCCAATGCTGCTTCACCCAGTTCAGAACGTCGTCCTTGCTCTCTGGCGTGACAACCTTGGCCCACATAGTATTATCCTCAAGTATAGGCTTAGAACTGATACGCGGCTCTCCATCCTCGAAGATAACCCAGCGCCTCAAACCCTGTAGCGTAAGACGCGTGGAAGTGTTGCCTTGTATCGGCAAGATTGCCCGAATATCTTTCCATAGACCCTCGTCGGCTTCCTTCAGAAAGTGTTCTTCCATCATAGCGTCGTACTCGTCACGCTTGTCGAAGGTAGTCAGAGCTTCTTGGAGGACTTGCTGTCGGGTCCATGACTTGCCCACGCCTTTGTCTGGATGCGCTGGCATGTATTCTTCGACAAAGCGACGGTACATGGGCCTCTTATTCTGTCGAGAACGGTCATTCGCTTTCTCAGTGCGGCTGTCGAACACTTCCCACGAAAACAGCCTCCCCTTTGACACCCAATTGAACAAGTCTGCTTCGTTCTCGAAGCCAGCCCAGTATTTGGCCTTGTCTAAGCCATAGAAGTCCATCGCTTGATTTGGATCGCGGGTGAGAAACACGAGAGCTTTCTTTTTGTGGTACGGTTCGATCTCCTCGACTCGAACGTGCAGGCCTTTGTCATTGCAAACGAGTCCCAGAGGGCGATGAGTGACTCCAATGATCTGTAAGAGATCTGAATCGCCTTTCATGAACTTTATCCATTCAAAGAGCCCGGCGGCCTCTGGCGTGTCGTTGCCGGGAGAAAGTTCGACATCGACCTGCACGTACGCGTCTGGCAAGTCTGGATGTGGAATGGCGTAGGAGTGAGAGTCACCTCGTGGAAGATGAAGTTCAGCTCCAAGAGCATCTTTGATGGCTACCGATATCTCGCAGTCTGACGTTGCTGTGGGACGTATGCCTTCCACAAGTATGTCGATGTCCCCATGGTCAACCTTTCCAGGTGCTTCGCGTGGAATGAGAACCCGGTGGAAAAGGGCCTCCAGCCTTGACTGGCATTCTACCGCGATCTCGTTGTAGAGACCTGGAGATATGCGCGGTACCTGGACTGGCTTTCCAGAGCCGGATGTGAAGTTCGCGAAAGCTAGACCTCCCATGACCGGTCAACGATGCTCGTATATGTTGTGGTGTTCGGGGTTGTAAAACAAACGTCGCGTACAGCCAGTTGTAGCCAAGACGTCAGTTTAAAGTGAAAGCGAGAACTGCATGTGTTGCTTGTTTCCCCACAAACGTGTTTCCTGAGGCTTATGACTCTTTCGAATGCGCAATTTCACTTTATGCGTGTTGGGTGCCTCGAGGAGTTCTGACCTAAGAGCCGAACATGCGCAGGGCGATATCAAAGAAAATCGCCAATTCTTGCTTTCAGTACCCTACGAGCAACCAGAGACAGCTTGGTGGTCAAGCTCATCCAATGCAGCGCCAAAATCTTCACGAATCGATGGTCATTGTGAAAAGGTAACAGTCTCGGTTTACTGTTACCGTTCTTAGTATAGACAAACAGGCATCCCAGATACAGACTATAGTTGAACAGTACACTCACGGGACATACTTAGTTGTTCATGCCAATGGAATACTGAAGGTAAAACAAACTCGCTGTTGCGAAACTATGACGGAATGCCTCCGCTATCTCCGCGTCTGTGCGCAAAGCTCCAAATTTTTGAAAGTGAGAAGTTGAACAACGCAACACGACATCACACCACAGCCTTACTACTATTCCAACCGTTGAAACCTCAGGTAGGCTGCCCCATGTAGGCGATTATTTGATGATGGCCCTTGAACTCACCCTGAATAGAATTCTCGATTGCGACACATTACCACACTATGGAAGAGCTACAGGTTAGATTCGAGGAGCTCAGCGTCCTTGAGAGCGACTTCGAGGATGCGGAACTCGAGTTACGTAAGTGTACACGATTTGTTTGAGATACTTGAAAGCACAGCGAATTCAGCGCGTGCGGTACCGTGCTAAACCCCATTGCGACTTTTCGAACCTCGCAATAGACCACCCAATTGAGCACTACTGACTCGACCCAGTCCGCAAATCCGAGGCCCTTCACACACCTCTCTACAAGAAACGCGCCCAAGTCATCTCCAGAATCCCACACTTCTGGTCCCTCGTCTTCGAGCAAGCCCCCACAGAAATCGACAACTTCATTCAGCCCTCCGACTCCAGAGTCTTCGCAGAATGCCTCGATACGTTCGAAGTCACGCGATTCGACCTCGAGAACTCGCCGCGCAGTTTCGCCTTGAAATTTGGATTTTCGGAAAACGAGTGGTTCTCAGACACGACGCTCGAAAAGAAGTTTTGGTTCAGAAAGACAAAGGAATGGGCGGGCCTTGTATCCGAACCCGTCAAGATTCACTGGAAGAAGGGCAAGGATCTTACTGGCGGTTTGACAGATGCGGCGTGCAAGCTCGGTGAAGCGCGACAGAAGCTGGGGAATACGTCGACGCCTGAGGCGAGAAAGAAGGAGGCTGCTTTGCCCGAGTACAAGAACATGGCACAGAGGAACGAAACGGCGACAGAAGCTTCAGTGAGCTTTTTTGGCCTGTTTGCCTTCGTCTCGGGGTACCGATGGGTCAGCGCGGAGGAATCAGCTCAGGTGGAGAAGGAGGATAAGGAGAAGATGGAAAAGCTTAAGCGTGGAGAAGCAGTCGATGATGACGACGACGACGACGATGACGATGAAGCTGAGCCGGAGCAACAAGACTACCAGGAGACAGAGGTCTTCCCTGACGGAGACGAGGTGGTCACACTCATCGCGGAGGACATGTGGCCGAATGCTATCAAGTATTACAGTATGTTTACTCACCTTGCCTGATCAATATAGTGCTAACTAGTCACAGAGGCAGCCTTTGACGAAGATGCTGACGGCTTCTCTGGGGACGAAGATGAAGACCTATCCGAGATTGAGATGGACGACTCTGGGTCTGAGGGCGAGACCGTCGATATCCGCGCTCTAGTTGGCAAGGGCCGGACTGCAAGCGACGCGCCACCTGCTAAGAAGCAGCGTAAGGCGTAGACTATTTTGTTCAGGTTTACGCGTTCCGAGTAACCGTAGGCGGCATTGTATATAGATATGCGGAATCCACCAACCGTCACGCCTTATGAAAGTTAACGACAGAATGTTGGAATGGCCTATCAGCGCTTCGGTCGGTGCCACATAGGCTCTGGATGGCGCTTGAATATAGAACGATGCTTTGTACGAACAGACTCTTCACCAGCCGCCACTCACGTAGACATGGGTTCTTCCCAAAGCATGCTATGAGATATATAAAAAGCGGCATTTTTTCAACGAAGCCAACTCCGTCCAGGTACCCACAACATCTGCACCTCAAGTCTGTGCAATATTAAGTGGCACGTACTACATATATCTGCAGGTTCTATCACTCCTTGTTCAACCGCGCGTTTCCCTTTGTCTTGAAGTTGGACAACTCTCGAATATCGTCTTTGCGCACAATACCTTACTAAAAGCGGCCATGTAGTCCTTGAGACACTACAGAAACCGGAAGTAAAGGCGCCACAAAATTTCCACGATGCGTCTTTTAGTTGTCTACCGAGAGTTTTCATATAGAGTGAAGAGGACGGTGGTAAAAATAGCTCTACGCTAGTCTTCCCCACTTTTCGTCCGAGCCGGGCGCTTGTAGATCGATTTGGACAACTCCACACCAATCGATTACATCTCGTAGCGCCCAGATGGCTCTGGTGAGACATTCCCCAACGACTATCCAATCGACCCAACCCAACTCTCCACTCCACGGTTACGTTCGGAAAGGGTAAACTATCTCCCTTAGGCGTCTTGTTCTCGAGGCGCCTACACCTCCCCGGTCATAGGACTCGTCCAAGAGCATGCGCAACGTGGAGGCGCCGCATCCTAGTAATTCTTTCAGCCATGGACGCCCGCAAATCTGAGCTTGTGTCGTGGAACAGGTCGTCGGGGAATTACCCGTCGTGCCAGAATAGTAGCACCCATGTCTGACTGGCTGGCTGGCTGCATGCTCATGTTAGCCGCATGGGTTCGTACAGGTTGGCAGGAGGCCTACAAAGACACCGCGTTGTCTCCAGGGAACTGCGCCGTTTCTTCCAGACGCCTGAATTTCTTCGTCATTGCTTGCCTGTCTGTCTGTTCGTAGGGTTTGTGTGTGTTACACGATCTTTTTTCCCGCTTTGAACTTTACGACTTGCTGGTTTCAAGCGTTTCTCCTTCTCTGTCTCTCTCTGTCTCTCTAGTCATCAGCCATGGCTTCGCTAGCGTTTTATCTCTCTGCATCTGTCCTGTTTGCTCAGTCAACGGTTGCTTTCAACTGCTCCAAGAAGCCCATCTACGTCGATATTCACAAACGCGCTGTTGAGGATTCGTCCGTTTTTCAGTATGGATCTTTCATCGGGGTGGGGACACCGGCACAGAATCACAGTCTCTGGCCATCACTGGCACAGAACCATACTTCTTTCGCGTCACATGCGTATTGCGGCGACAACAGCACATTGCGGAACTGCGAAAAATCGACAGGTGGCTTCTTCAGCCACGAGGATTCAACCTCGTAAGTCAAACCAAGCGTCGAAGCGGTGGCCGTCTTCTTACTAATACATGGTAGATATGAAGATCTTGCAAACTTCCAATCACTAGACAAGTCCACCGAAAGCTCACTCGAAGGCTTCTTCGGACAGGATACACTCCGCCTATACACACATTACTTCGAAACAGACGGCGCCTCGCAAACCCTCGTGGAGAACTCAACCATCGAAGTCGCCGAGCAGGGCTCCATCGTACCAGGCCGAGTCGGCGTAGGCTCATCCTCAACGCTCCTCCGGGACCTCGAAGCGCGCGACATCATCGCCGGAAAAACCTACTCGCTCTACATCGGCCACGGCTACGAGCGCGCCGGCGGCGTCATAAACGGCAGCAACGTCTTCGGCGGCTACGACTCAGGCCGCTTCACAGGCACCCCGCACCAATACGCCATGAACACAGCGAACCCGAACCCAATGAGCGTGAACATCAAAGACATCCTCCTAACCACCACGCACTCCAACACCAACATCTCCCTCTTCGACCCCTCCGTCTTCCCAGCCATGAAATCCCGCCCCTCCACCTTCGAAGCCCAGCTCACAACCGAGCAATTCCCCCTCTCCCTCCCCTACCAAATAACCCAAAACTTCATCTCCCACCTCTCCGCCCAAGAGGACAACACCTGGGGTGACGCATCCCTCAAGCTCCCCTCCCCTTTCCAAGGCACATTATCCATCGTCCTAGACGACGGCTACACAATCACCCTCCCGCAGGAAGTCCTCACAAACGCCTCGAACATCACGCCCATCCAGCAGCGCGACGCCAAATCCACAGCGCCGTTCCTCCTCGGCTCCGCGTTCCTCGCACAGATATACCTTATGGCTGATTACGAAGCACATACCTTCTTCCTCGCGGACGCGGTGCAGACGAATAACGCCGTTATGCCCGTGACGTTCTGTCCGCGCACGACGCCTGCTGCGTATCAGCGCCCTAGTCGGAACGATTGGCTGCAGCAGGGGCTTGTGGGCGCGGTGCTGGGGGGCGTGTTCGGTGGGATCTTTTTGCTGGCCGTCGCGTATTGTGGGTATGTGGCGTGGATGCGGAGGCAGGATAAGAGGAGGCTGACGAGGGAACTGGAGAGGGGCGCGAGGGCGAAGATGCAGGCTTTGGAGGTGGAGGAGGCGCCGGCGTTTGATCCGCCGCCGAGGAGTGTGGCGGGTGGGGGTGGGGGCGCGTTTTGGAAGAAGAATGGGTTTGCGTAGGGGTGGATTTTGTACTTGTTGTTGTTATACCATGATTTGGGGTTGGTGGGGGGGATTAATGTATCGTGTTGTTCTACTGGGAGTCTTTACGTGCGGTCTTGGTGGTGTTGTGGAATGTGAATGTAGCTGATGATACCATCCCATACCATCTCACTCACGCTGAACTGACACCGTCAACCATCCCCGAACTCATCAGCACCATATTTAAGAAGTTCAGCACACACACAACAGTCAATATCTTGTCCGTCCTTTACAACTATAGTATATTTCACGCAGTATACAGTGAACACGAAGACGAAGACGAATTAATTGGTAGATTCATGCCTCGACAGAAAACGTGAAGCCCAGCAGCGCGAGGATCCTATCCTGCACGACCTTGTTGGCCTGTTCGCCGCCACGCTCGAGGGCAATAGCACCGACGATGGCATACAGCGAGGTCATGAGCACGGAGTCTTGGCCGGAGCCTTTGAGGTTGTCGGCCTGTTTATGTTAGGGATGTTCATGGTGATGGCTACGTGTGTGGGGTAGATGTATGTAGACGTACGCGCTTGGGCTTCCACCTTGTGACCTTATCCAAACCATAGCGCTCAGCTATTCCCGCCAACCGCTCCTTATTCAGCACCAAACTCTCCGCCTCGTCGCTCAGACCCTGCAAGCCGTTCAAAGCGGGGTGTAGGAAAGGCTTGCGGCCGAACTCGTCGAGCGCAGCCTCCCCTTCACGGTTGCACGGCCACTGATTCTCCTGCGGCGAATTGATAAGAGCCTGCGACGTCTGCAGCTCGACGATCCTCCGCCCTTTTGCAAAGCATTAGCATCGTCCGTCCCCCGCACATATCACATCCCTCCCCCACGTACCCAGAAAAGCAAGCCGGTCGTTGAACCCCCGCCGGCCGTGATCGAAGCTCTTATGTGTCACCGCCAGCCACTTGACCTCGTCGTCCAGCACCCGGTCGCCCCCGGGCCCTAGCATCCGTATGTATGCGTCGTCCAGCCGCTTGGGGTCCTCGTTCACTTCGAACACGCCGCCCCTCGCTAGTGGCCGTATGCGGAATGGGGCTCGCATCTGCGGCGGCGTTTGTTGCCATCGCGGTCGGTCGGCTGTCTCGGTGTCGGGTTCGGGGCCCCGCGAGGGGGGCGACGTGGAGAAGGCGCATGCGGAGGTCCGCACGAGGGAGCGTTTTGCGGGCTGGGCTGGGCGGAGCGACGACGACGCGGTGGAGAGGAGCGAGCGGAGGGGCCGTGTGGGAGCCATTGGGGGGTTTGGTGTGTGGGTGTGTGATGTGTGTGGGGTGAGAGAGTCGGCGGGCGTGGTCGCGCGGGTAAAGGCACCGTTTCTGAAGTTGATGATTCGAAAAGTTGAGGCTCGCTCGAATATAGACGCTTGTCTGGAAGTAGCTAGGCGTGTTCGCGCCCCCAGCTTTCAACTTAAACTCCCACGCGTCTTGTTTACTCCTTGTTCCTCTGTGTGCCGCCAGTATGGCGGGTGTGTCTTCCCCCAGGTCGCTGAAGGAGCTGCTGGCCGAACAGTTACCTAAGGATGTGCCCTTTACCTTCTATCACTACTCGACGCCGCCCTCGAGGTCGTCCGCCATCTTCTCCGCGCCGCCGCATGGCAAGGCTGAGCGGACATACTGCGAGTCGCACTTCCTGGCGGCGTCAATCGTGCCGAAAGATTCGACGTTGGAAGTCCCCGAGGAGCTGCTTGTCCTGGCCATTGAGGTCCTCGTCTACACCACCAGGACCCTCACCACCATCTTCGTCTCCAAGGCAGACTCGACCGGCTGCCTCTCAGAGCTGCAGCTGCCGCGCTCGCAGGCTGGGTCGCCTTTGAAGGTCATCTGCGGGACGTTCGTGTCATGGCTGGCAAGGGAGAGGCAGAGGGAAGGGAAGAAGTTGGTCGTGTCGCTGTTCGCCAGAGCCCAAGACCAATACCTCTTCCCTGCAAGCATTGAGAACAAGAACAAGCACGTGCTGGACGACCGAGGGCTGGTCAAGTGGTGGTGCAGGGTGCTCGACCCGATAATAGGGCAATACAAGGCTGAAGAAGCGCGGAGGCCTTTTCCTGAGCGTCTGGCAGAAGAGCGTGGTGGCACCTCGTCGCAGTCAGATGTCACCGCCAAAGGCTACCTCGTCATCCCAGGCTTCGAGCCGTATGATACACTGCGATACGTTCCTCCGCCATCCTCACCAAATACGCCTCGACGCTGGGCCGCTGCACATCCGCTGCTCGAGATTGCACCCTACCCGGCTGCTCCACCACGATGTCTCGTTCCGCATTTCCCTGACGATCCTAAGGCGCGGTTCCTCGACGAATTGGACGAAGAGCTTCCTGATCGTGGTACTGACGCCATAGTGGGTGAGGGAGGCACGCCATCGCGCAGTAATGGACAGTGGAAGAGCGTAAAGACGCTGGACCAGTTCTGGGAGTTCATGGCCTTCCGACAGGAGTGTTCGTCTGGGAGGATCGTCGGCTTCATCTGGGTTGTCATCACACCCCCTAAACCATCCATACCGGAAGAAGACGAAGACATGCCGTCGCAGCAATCCTTCTCTCTACCCCTGTCGCAGGACGACTCTCAAAAAAGCGTGTCTACACCGAAAAAGAAAAAGGCGAAGACAAGCAGTAGGCGTCGGAAAGGCAGACTAGAATACGGACCCATCCCCCTTGTACTCCCAAGAATCAAGACCAGCTCTTCGAACCTGTCAACTGGATCAAATGCCTCGACGACAAAACTTCCCCCCGAGACCAGCCCGTACTTCACCTGGCCCGCCGCCTCCCGAGGCACCATATGCTTCTCCACAAAAGACTACAACCGCGCCCACGAAGTGCTCATCCACCAGTCCTTCGCCACCCGCGACGCAGCAGGGCGGAGCACAAAGAAGTGGAAGGAAGAAACCGCCGTGCTGGGCGGTGTCGACGAGTGGAGCTGGACCGTTACCGGCACGAAAATACACACGGAAGTGACTGTCGCTCCTGCCACCAACGACGTCATGCCCGTCACGGTCATGGGTGTGCGCAAGAAGAGGAAACCCATGCTGGTGGCAGGGCAGCCTGAGGGGGTGCAGGTTCTTGGGGAGGGGTTGGTGAGGAAGAAGGCTAAGATTGAGGCGGGTCCTGATGCCGGAGCAAGTGCTGCGAATGGCGTGAATACTCTGGGAGCTGGGCTGGTGAGGAGGAAGGTTAAGGGGTGAGTTTGGTTGGGTTTCTGCTTTATTGATTTGGGGGTTGCTTTGGTTTGCTTGGGATTTGAATATCAGCGTGGTGCAGGTGGGAGGCTTGGATATCGTGTCCTCCTAGATATTGAGGCAGTGAGTGCTTTATACTACATTTTGCATTGCAATGAGGAGCTATCTAAACATGCTTGTATAACCTCTTTAACGAGGCGCCTGACAGGTACCTGGGTGGGGATACATGTGGAACGACCACATCCACATCCCATCACAGCGCCACGATCAGCAAAAATCCCACAACCCTCACACCCATAAAATGAAGCTTTCACCCTCCCAATCCCTGAACGCGTACCTGCCTTAGCTTGACCTGACCTGACTTGCCACGTGCCCAACATCGCCAACAATCACCTCCGCAAACCTCCGCAACCCGCGATTCGCCAAAACACCCTCACCTCCCTCCCACCCTCTGGATGACACAGCTTTCGCACACGAATGGCGCGCTCGCTCCAGCCAGCGGGGCAGACGACATCGGCCTGCTGCGCACCATCATCGCGAGCGGGTGTCTCGTGTGGTTTGTGTTCATATGGCTGGTATGCGGGATAGGTTTCACGCAGCTGTAAGACTCAACACCTGTTCTCCCCCTTCCCTCCTCCCAACCAGCATACTAACGCGCCGGCGCAGATTCAGATACTACTCCACGCGCCCCCAACCCGCAGTATGCGTCACCAAACTCCCCGCAACCGACGTCCCGCACGTCACCGTAATCCGGCCCGTCAAGGGCCTCGAACCGCGCCTCTACGAGTGTCTAGCCGCCACGCTGCGCCAGACATATCCCGCTGGCAAGATCGACACCGTGTTCTGCGTCGAGGCGCGGTCGGACCCCGCGTTCTCCATCCTCGAGCGCTTGTGCCGCGACTTTCCGCGCGCCCAGGTCCGCATCCTGGTCGAGGAGGAGGATCCGCTGTTGCTGGGGGGAGGGCGGGACGCGCTGGGGCCGAATCCTAAGATTCGCAATATGAGTCGTGCGTATCGCGAGGCGAGGGGGGATGTGGTGTGGATTCTCGACTGCAATGTTTGGGTGGGCAAGGGCGTGTGTGGGCGCATGGTCGATCTGCTGTGCGGGTTTGGAGAAGGGAAGCCCACGCGGTATAAGTTCGTGCACCAGACTCCCGTCGTGGTCGACCTGGACTCGCAGACCATGACGGTCCAGAACCGCAAGGAGCTACTAGGCGGCCGCCCAGAAACACACCCAGACGAAGCCGAACAAGCCACGCAATCCGCCGCAGCAGCATCCTCCACACCACCCAGCTCCTCCTCCGCACTAACCCGCCTCCTCCAGCGCGCCGGCGGCCGCCTAGACGAAGCCTTCCTCTCCTCCGCGCACGCAAAATTCTACCTCGCCATCAACACCGTCGCAGTCGCCCCCTGCGTAATCGGAAAAAGCACAATGTTCCGCCCCTCCCAACTAAACCACATCACGGCTTCGAATCCCCTGCGCGCACCGGGCATAGATTATTTCTCCGATAACATCTGCGAGGACCATCTCATTGGCGATGCGCTGTGGAAGGTGCCGCAGCCTTTCGAACAGAAAGGCAGTAAAGAAGAAGGGGGGGATAAGGGGGGGAAGTGGAACAAACACGCCATGCTCTTCGGCGACCTGTGTTTCCAGCCCACAAGCCACACACCCGTAGCTGCATACCTGCACCGCCGTATCCGCTGGCTGCGCGTGCGGAAATTCACTGTCACGCTTGCGACTTTCGTGGAGCCGGGGACGGAGTCGCTGGTTTGTGGCGCGTATGGCGCGTATGCACTTACCACGCTGCCTTTCTTCGCTCGTATGGGTATTCCGGGTACGTGGGCGGCTTTCCTCGCCATCTTCCTCTCGCATACGGCGCTCTGGTGTGCGTCGGATTATCTGGTTTACCTCCTCCTGCACTGCGCGAAGACGCTGGAAATCGACTCGCACACCCCCGACTTTGTACTGCCTACCTCGTCGGCTGTCACCCAACCCCTGCTCCCTAAACAGCCTCAACTAAGAGACGGCGCGCGCCGCACGTTCCCGGAGTTCCTAGCCGCGTGGCTGGGCAGGGAGGTGTCTGCGCTGCCGGTGTGGATTGTTGCGTTTTGGGGGGGGGTTACGGTTGAGTGGCGGGGAAGAAGGTTTTGGGTGGGGCTGGATATGAGGGTGCATGAGATTGTTGATGAGGGGGAGAAGAAGGGGGATGGGAAGGGTGAGGGGAAGAGGAAAGACTAGGTGCGTTTAATGTAGGAACGAGGGAAGGGGAGGCGGGGTTGTAATGGAGATGTGAAGTGAACTGGAATGGAATTGACAAACACACACACAGTCAATCAGAAATTCCAAAACAATCACGAGTCCCGAATGTGAAAGAATGGCATGATAGAATGACCTTCTACGTAAGAATAACACAACATGAAATCTGATATAATACCCCCTCGCCCTTCCTCTCAGAACCCCATCCAAGAAACCCCCCCACAGCCCCTAAACCCAAATACGAACAAACAACAATGCATACCCCACCCCCCAACGCCAAACAATGCACTTCCCATCCCATCCATCCATCCCATCCCATCACCCCACCATCACCCATCAAAATCCATTCGCACCCCCACGCTCCTCCCCCACCCGCGCACCCCCAGCCGCCTTCCAAACGCGCACTTTCGCGTCGTCACCAGCCGAGGCGAAAACACCCGGGTCCGTGGGGTGCCAGGCGATGCAGTTGACGCAGCCGGGGTGCGCGTCGAGGGCTTCGATCAGGAGGCCGTTTGAGCGCCAGATGTAGATACGTGAGTCTTTGTAATACGTTAGTAAAGATGGGATGGAAGTGTGGGTATGTGGCAAGACAGGGCAAGATGAAATATGGGACAACATACCCTCACTCCCACTAACAACAAAATTTTCATCCGCACCCCCAAACGCCGCGCGAATGACAAACTGCCGGTGCTGATGTGCTTCGAACCGCTGGATCACCTCACCCGTATCAATCTCCATGAGCTTAATCTTATCCTGATTCATGCTGACGAGCATATGTCTCGAGTCCTGGCTGATAGCTATACTAGTCAATTTAACTTCATCGAGCTGCCACTCGCACATTTTCTCATAGCTGGAGAAGTCGTAGACGATGATTGAGTTTTCGCGGTTGTCGAGGATGAGGACGAGGCGCTGGCCGTCTGGCGAGATGGCGAGGTCGTTGACGCGCAGTTTTGTGCCTTGTTCGCAGAAGTTGTGGACGAGGTGGCCGTCGAGGTCCCAGATGCCGCAGCCGAGCTTGTCGTCTTGAGAGCCGATTACGACGTGTTTGCCTGAGGGCGTCCAGGCTGCGGCTGTGGTGGGGTAGGTGAACTCGTTTATGCATTGGATGCATGCACCGGTCTGGACGTGTTAGGCGGGGGCGGTGATTTGAGGAGATTACTTACCTTGACGTCCCATATCCGGGCAGAATTCTCTGGCTGTGAACAACATGATATGATTTTTGTGTCGTCTGGACTCCAGGCGAGCTGTGTTACTCCTGACCCCTGATGGTCATCGAGATGATGCAGCACCTTGTATGTTGTCGTCTCATAGATGATGATCGTGTTGTCCTTGCTTGTCGAAGCCAGCTTTGTGCCGTCGTGCGAGTACTTCAGATACCAGACTTCATCCTTGTGGTGCTTCAGATCCAAGACTGCCTTGGTTGGAAAGTCGTCTCTGTCGCAGTTGTGATCTAGATAGAGCGAAGGCGAGGCAGCAGTGTTGTGGTACAGACAGCTTGAGATCCAGTTGTCCTTGACTTCATCCAGAAGAACTGCTAACCGATGTTCCGGGATCATGACACTGGGAGAGATGGATTCTGCACGGCATGAGTTGAAGCACTCAAGTGGAGTAAGATTCTTACTAACTTGACAGCTCCGAGAGCAAATGAGTCCGTGATTCGCCGCGAGAGCCATCCCATTGGGCCTGGTTTCTCAAATCTTCTGCAGATTGGCACATCATGAGACTTTAGATGGTTAGCTAGTCCGAGCGCATAAAAGTCACTGCCACTCACCTTGAGAGGGCATGCAATCGTCCCACGTCTCTGTGGAGCGGGGTCAGCTCCTGCCGTAATACTGCAAGCGCCTTGCCCAGTTCTCTCCGCTCGAGCAGCTCCAGGTATTTTTGTTGCTTCATCCAGAACAGCATCTCGTCCCGATTGGCGCCCTCTGCCAGTGTCAGGCCCCCGGAATGCTGTGAGTTTGGCCTTGATCTCGACTTGGCCCACGACTTGCCATATGTCATATCTAGACCAACACCTCCCCCGTTGTCGTATGCGTTTGTGCCGAACAACAGCTCTTCTGCCTCGACCCAGTCCCCGTTCAGCACCGAGCTGCGAAACGACGCCACCGTCGGCCCTTCAAGTTGGAAGCCGCTCTCCTTGCATAGAGCCCCCGCTGCTCCATGGTAGCCCAGGTCGGTAAGACTCTGTATCAAGATGCGCGTCACCTCCTCCCGGTCGTGGCCAAAGAAGGTCGTGGGTACTGGCCTGTTGCTCATCACAGCACCCCCATTCGCGTACGAGCCGTTGCTCTCGGACCTGCCATGTGAAGCGCCGTTGGTCGTCCGGGCCAGGGGAGACGTGGGCCCTGTCGACCGTGACGAGCCGTTTGCGTAGTTCTGTGAGGGCGAAGGAGAACTTTTGGAAGGGTCGGCGTCAAGGCGCATTGTCCCGTCGCGTGTGCGCCTGCGCTTCGACCTGTGACTAGCGGACCGGCCTGGGTTGCGGTGGGATTCGGGGCTCTCGCTTTCGGAGAGGCTGCGTCTGCGCTTCCCGGCTGGAGTGAGACGGGATGGGTTTGCGGGTTCGGGGGTGGTGGGGCGGGCAGAGAGTGGTGGGGAAGGAGAAGCTGGCGTGGTCGGGAGGGCTGGGGCGGCGGAGGCGACGGGGGGGAGCGGGTTTGGGGCGGTTGTGTCTGCCAGGACGAACGGCGGGGAAGGTTACCCGCAGATGGCGCGGGTATCGAGGGGTGGCAGCGCTGTGCCTGGAGATGTGTTGTTTCCTAGCTTAACTAGTGACCATGGACGAGTAAGAGGCAGTCGACCATGTCACAGGCGGAGGATGATGTGTGCGGAGTCCGAGCTTGTATGATGCTGTGCGCCGTGTAGCTCCAACAACATGTAAAGTTGCGTGTCCGCGGCCCTCAAGCTGACAGCGTGCTGTGTCGTCGTGTTCAAGCAGCGAGCTGAGTACAATGATGCCTGACACCGAGGCGTCTCTCTATATCCGCCGACTCGGCAGACCGGAGCTTCGAAAAGCCTGCCAGTGCAATATAAAAGGTAGCAACACGTCTGGAACTACCGAGAGAGAAAATAGTTGTTCAAGAAGTGTGCAGGTGCAGGTCGACCATGTCGGAGCATCTGCAGCCATCTATCGGCGTCAGGTGCCTACTGACGCCAACGCTAGACCCCCACCAATCCACGCTTCCAGCTTCCCTCACCGTCACTTCCTTGTGCAACATCAACGCGATTCCTGCTGCATGTCCTGCCAACAAACGGACCGCGATCGAGCTATGCACGTCATGGGAAACAAGGTACGCGTTCAGCACAGTCCTGGCTCGACGTTAGTAGAACTTGGCACAGATATGCAGACGTGACAGGGAGCTGCATCTACCTAGGTATTGTGTCAATAGACTTGGGTTTCTATTTGTTTAATATCCGCACGCACAGTGCCTAATCCTCTACCAAGACCTCCAGTTTGGATTGGAAGTGATCATCAGGTGTCTTTGAGTAGAGACAGAAGAAGCAAATCCATGCCAGAACGTGCTACTCGATGCTAATTCCGAATCTACCAACACGGGTAAACAATTCAGTCATATCCTATTCGTTCAGTACAAGGAATAGTCAAAGTATATGTACCCAGCCTTAACCAAGTATCCTGCCCTCGAAACCTCTCGGGAGCATTCCTCAGTAAGCACTACATCCACCAATCACACAACCTCTCCTCACGCCATTCCCCTTCTGTCACGGACCTCAGGGAGCATTTGCTCCGACAAGTTGTTTAAACGGATGACGTTCTCCAACGTTCCCCATGTTCTTCGACATCTTTTCACCCGTTCCGAGGCTGAGACCCACTCTTAACATAACCGAAATCCACAGCATCGAGCACTCAAGAAGCATGTTCGCATGGCAAAAGAGGGGTACCTGGGGTGATGAGAGGGGAACTCCAGAACAGTGATGCAGTGGTGCGAGAGCTGGGTAAGGATATATAAGCTGGGGGTATAGAATGTCTTTCTCGAACTCTTCTCCTACTTTCCTTGAAGCTGGAGTTGCAGACATGGCTCGATCAATCCCAATCTTCAGTCTGCTCCTCGTCCTTGCGACTTCTACCAAGGCTCAGAGTAATGGCACATCACTCTCCTTCGCCGTGCCAACCGGCTACACTACATCGACATACAATGCCTCAGCACAACCTACGCCTTACACCCGCACGGATTTCTCCCCAAACGCACTCGCTTCGCTCTGGGACCTTGTAGGCCCTGTGTCCACCGGGCCGGTGACAAGTACTGTCTCTCCGACCCCAGAACCCACCGCGTACCCACAACCCAATGAACAGTACTACCATGGACTTGTTGGATCCAACTACCCAGAGGCTAAAGACTTGAAATTGCCAGCAGGATTCAAGTGGGGATTCAGTTCGTCCGCGTACCAGATTGAGGGTGCGGCTGATGCTGAGGGCAAAGGGCCATCCGTGTGGGATCTGCTTGCTCATCGAGTGCCGGGCTTCGTGGCAGACGAATCGACGGGGGATGTAGTTGCCAGCCACTACTGGCTGTACAAGCAAGACTTTGCAAGGTTGAAGAGTTTGGGTGTGCCAGGTACGACTGCCTGCTTCCAAAGTAATACACATGCCGTTGCTAACTCCCAACAGCATTCAGCCCGAGTTTCTCCTGGCCCCGCTTCTTCCCCTTTGGATCTGGCCCCGTAAACGAAGACGCCGTATCCCACTACGACGACGTAATCACAGAAATGCACACCCAAGGAATCCGCCCCGCAGTAACGCTCTTCCACTGGGACACACCGCTCGCCCTCTTCAACGAATACGGCGCATGGACCGACCGCCGCATCATCGACGACTACTTCAACTACGCCAAATTCGTCATCTCGCGCTACGACGCCTACGTCGACGAGTGGTTCACCATCAACGAGCCCCAGTACTGCAACTGGCAGTACGCGTCCTACCCCGCGGGGCAATATTACGCCGCCCCCAACGGCATAACAGGAGGCACAAAGGCGCGATTCTTATGCGGCCACCACACGCTCCTCGCGCACGCCAAGGTCGCGAAATGGTACCACGAAGACTTCAAAGGCCGCGGCCGCATCACCTTCAAGAACAGCGGAAACTACTACGAGGCCAACAGCACCGCGCCCGGCGACGAGATCGCACGGCAGCGAAACTTCGATTTCAGCATCGGGTGGTTCGGCGGCCCGTGGACGACGGGGGATTACCCGCAGTCGCTCAAGGACACGCTGGGCGACCTTCTGCCCGCCTTCACACAGGCGGAAAAGGACTTGATAAAGGGCAGCTGCGACTTCTACGCCATCGACCCATACTCCTCCTTCCTCGCCTACGAAATCGACGGCGGCCTGGACGCCTGCACGTCGAACCGCAGCCACCCTGCGTTCCCAGACTGCGCAGGCTCAACCAGCGTCTCCGCATCAAACTTCCCCATCGGCCCCGCCGCCGACCCCGCAATGTCCTGGCTCTACTCCGCGCCCTCAGGAATCCGCCGCTTCCTCCAACACATCACGACCGTCCTGTTCCCCGCGATCCCGGACATCGTCGTCACGGAATTCGGCTTCTCGGAGCCGTTTGAAGGCGAGTGGACGAGTCTGTCCCCCGCGCTGTGGGATCTGCGCCGCGCGGACTACTTCCAGCAGTATCTTGACAACATTTTGTTGGCGATTCATGAGGACAAGGTCAATGTGACGGGGGCGTGGGGATGGGCGGTTTTCGATAACTTTGAGTGGAGTTTGGGGACGGCGGTTAGGTTTGGGGTGCAGTATGTTAATTATACGAGTCTGGAGAGGACGCCGAAGGCGAGCGCGTTTCAGTTTTTGAATTGGTTTAAGGAGCATGAGGGGGGGAATGCGACGATGCGGGTGTGAGGTTTTAGGGGGTAGATGGATGGACGGATGGGTTGGTTAGGGGTGCGGATGGGGAATGTACATCCGTAAGCGTCCAGCAGCATCATGGATTGAACGTGGAGGAAACGATAAAGTCGAGCTCAATTTTGGATATGTTGAGACAAAATCTGGCTTGCAGATGTAGAAGTAACAGCTACATGCATATCCCCCTATTTGTTGTGGACACCTGCCTGTCCTTGCAAACGCCCCCATCATACCCTAGTAACCGGTGCATAATAAGCGTACTCTCTCGCGATCTTGAAAGACTCCTACAAATGCGAAATGCTAAAAACGCCAACGCCCGTCGAAACCGGAAAGCTATGTTCAAGACCCGCAAACATACATGGTAAGAAGTAGCGCCATAGAAGCCGGCGAACAAATCTTGCACAATAAGAAAGATGCGGTGATATCCGTACGCTGCGATAACGTGAAGAATAGGACGATCAAGCATTGATCAAAACCCATCGCTTTTCCTTCTCCGTCGGGCCAACACGCGCAGCAACGCTACTAAGCGTGTTTGCGATGGCGTCTTTTGGCAGTTTGGGAAAAGCTTTTTTCAGGGCTTCGATCATGCCGATTTTAGTCAGGTCTTTGCCTTCGACTTCTGCCTTGAAAGCCGGGAGTTGGTCGGCTGGGATGAGGCGCTTGGCTTTTACGGCTTTTGATGTAGTGCTAGCGGGTGGGGTTTGTGGGGGGTTGAGCGTGTTGAGGAGGCCGTTCATTGTGCGTTGTGCGAGTGGGGCTCGAGGGGGGTTCATGAGGCCGTTGCTGGTGGCGTCTTTGCTTGGGGCTATGAGGGTTGTTGTGATGGCAGCGGGCTCAGGGGTCCAATACGCTGTGGAGAACGGATCGATGGAGTGAGGTTGTGGTTCTGGAAAAGCGTTAGTTGGATCCAAAAATCGAACTGATGGGATTACGTACGGAGCAAGAATCCCATCTGAAATTCTCTAAAGTCGGTGCAAATCGCTTCTGACCCGTCGTTCAACCTAGACACGCCGTGTTCATCCTCCCAGCACAGACCTGTACTGACGGGCACCAGGTCACCACTGATGTGTCGCCTTCTGGCTTGTGGGTCTTCTTCGTCGTCGAGAAAGCCGTCCATGTCATCCTCTCCTTCTTCGTCGGCATCGTCCTCGCCCTCCGAGTCAAGATCCTCGCCTTCTTCAGGTTCGTCCCATTCAGCTTCGGAATCATAGTCGTAGTTAGTGTCCTGGCGCAGCCTCGAGTGTGGGTTGCGGGCCAGTCTTGAAGCTTCCGCGTCGGTGTATGTGTGCGTGTAGGTTCCGTAATATGGCGGGCGTACGTCCTCGCCAAAATGTATATACTTCATGGGAATGGTCTTCAGCATATCGAGTGGCTGCCGTGAACTGACGTCCGGTTGGTTGGAGGACCCGTGAACGCAATCGAAGACCTCGGCGGCCGATGCACCCCTCATACCCCGACGGACATATGCGGGAAATGTAGACTTCAGTATCTTCGGGGTTATGGGCTCCATGCAAACATTCTCTTGCGCAATGAGGCTGTCGAGTCGTGTCCTAGCAGCTTCCACCTTGGCCGGATCTGTCATCAGCGCATTCCTGGGCGCAATTATGGCGTGCGCAGGCAGCGAAAATGGTAGGAAGTATCGGTCATAGTCTGACTGAGCGTTCCTAACGATCATCTTCTGCGGAGAGGGAGGCACTGAATTAGTAGTGGTTCCAGGGATGTCTGGTAATAATGATACGGGTGGTGCGGTAGGGTTCGGAATTGAATCTACCACAGCTTGTCCCCCACTAGCACTTGTAGTTTTTGGCTTCACGAAAAAAGCGTTCAACTTCATTTGTGACTAGAACTCCATTAGCGACAGGACAATATGAAGACTGATCTACGAGACTCACCCGCTCTTTCTTAGCCTTCTCTTCCTCTTTCTGCTGTTGCTCTTCCTCCTTCTGGCGCTTCTTCTCGTCTCGTTCTCGTTGGGCTTTCTGCTTCTCCTCCTCTTTCAACCGTTTCTCGTCCTCCTTCTGCGCCTTCTGCTCAGCCTTCAGCTTGTCCTCGGCTTCTTTCTGAGCCTTCTTCTCATCACGAGCTTTAGCCTTTGCTTCTTTCTCAAGACGTTGGTCTTCCTTTTCTTTCTGTGTCAATTTTCGTCGCTTGGATGATTGCTGTGTGTTCGGGGTGGGGGTAGCATTGCCAACAGCAGAAGCGCTGCTATTGTCCGGTGCTGTTGTGTGGGGTGTAACATTCTTGAACGGCGATGGCGTCTGAATATTGGATATGACAGACAACGGTGTAGAAGCCTCAGATCGTATTGACTTGGTTGGTGTTGAGACGGGTGGCTCGACCTCGTCTTCAAGCGGGCGTTTATGGGGCACGGGCACGACGGGTGTTGGGTCTTCCATTGCAGTAGGAAAGTCGACTGCAATTATGCAGATGTGTAGTGTATGGTGGGGTGGGATGGACTCGCGTGAGGTAGATGGAGGGACTGGGACGCGTGGAGTTGTGTAGTCTTATCGCTCGAGGGGGACAAGGAAGGAGGGACGCGACGCGACGGAAAGCGCGTTCTGCGCGAGTAGCAGGCAGCGATTGGGCGACTGAAGCGGCGCCAATGGAGCGTTCTCCGAGTTCCAGCCGAAATTTCCATACTAATTTCCTAGTCAAGCCTAGCGCAGCCATGGACATCAAATGGATGAACATCACTCTCGCACCTTCCCTCAATTTACCAGAACTGACACGACGTCACAAGCTGCCATCAGCGCTGCTCAATCGATATCTTGCTTACCAAACTAAACTAACTGCAGCGACCGCAGAGACAGCCCATTGGTACACGCTCATCAGCAATTGTTAACATGGACTCTGACGATCTTGACGATATACTCTTTGCGCTCCCAGCATCCCAAGAATCCCTTGATGATATATGGAGCGACATGTCTGAAGACGATATTCTTGACGCCCCGATGGAGAGCGAATTCGACACACGGGATCTATGGAGCAGTCCATTGCTAATGCCAACAGCAACTGACGAGGAGTCTTTTGAACAAGTCAATATCAAGAATGCAGAAGTTGATCATACGAAAATCAAGCAACACGTTCCTGACAATACCAAGCGACAATTGCGTGACAGGTATCTCATATATCAGTGATAGGGGCTGTGCAATACTCATATCCCCATAGGAGTTGGGTCATCGCTCGCATCGAAGCTGTTCTAGAAACTATCGTCGATGCCCTACTCGAAGAAAGCGAACCGCTAAAGATTACACTGAAATCCCGTGCAGGCCTTTCTCGAAGGCGCATCAACCCTGTCGATAGCAGCGGACGCGTTCCAGACCCAAAAGAACGAGATATCAACTTTCCTGGAAGCAGTGTACAAGAAGCCTGGAACTTCAGTTGAGTGGTTGTTGCACTGTCACAGCAACGCACACTGACTACCAATAAGCTGTACTCCTGCGCATTCTCGAACTCATTCACGGCGCGCTCATTGATGACACTATTATGACAAAGCGGTAGACTATCCACATCTCTTTACTTTGTGGATGTGATCTGACAAGATATAGCGATATTTACTATCGACACCCAGACTTGTTTGTCAAACAATCAGTTGTTGATCGCTACGTAGATGATCTAGCATGCACCTTTGGTATTACAAGGTCTGAGTTACATGTGGTACATTGCCGTCTGCCTCTTCTTCTAAACTCGAATACTGACTCCTTAGACTGCGGCTGCAAAAGGGTTGGTTGCTGGAAACTTCAGTATACTTCGGAATGATGGTCACCGAGTAAATGGAATGAACGAGAAAGAGGTTTGACTCAAGTCTGTTGGTAACTTCAAACACGATCTCACTGTTCCCTAGGGCCTGCTCGTTCCAAAAATTGGCGACGATGACACCTTGTTTCTGGGTTCAGTTCGCTGGGTTCTTGTCATCGAGAAAGAGGTACATTGAATCCCTGTTTGACGTCCAACGCTAACAATATTGTGGGCAACGTTCCGCTCTTTGCTCAGTTCCCCACACTGGGAATCGTTGGGCTCACATGGTGTAACTTTGACCGTAAGGCTCTTCCGTATCATTTTTGTCTGTAGCTCACAATGTCACAGGCAAAAGGATATCCCGACGTAGCTTCAAGAAGATTCCTTCGTCAGTTAACAAACCAAGCCCCTCACATACCGATGTATGCGTTGATGGACTTGGACCCGGATGGTATCGCCATATTATCCACGTACAAATACGGTTCGTACCGTCTGGCTCATGAAGATGTTGCATCAAAGGGTATACCCGCACTAAGCTTGCCCGACATTCGTTGGCTTGGTGTAAGGAATCACCATATTAGCCGGACTCCGACAGACGAGTGTAGCACAAGTACAAGTGCAACGTCTATACCTCAAGGCCTTATGAAGTTAACGGTACGCGACCGCGCAAAGGCAACTCGAATGCTGGAGTGGGATCTGTGTGCTGAAGACGGCCCAGAGCAAGGTTGGAGGCGAGAGCTACAAACAATGCTCACACTCAATGTCAAAGCTGAGATGCAGATACTGGACGAATTGCCTGGTGGTTTGGTGTCGTGGTTAAGCTACGAGCTCGAACAAGCGGTGGGCCAGGTGCCTGAACTACCTAGGAGCAGCTCTTCGGACGACGGGCTGTTATTCTGATGGGCCAATCGTACATACCAGAGATCATGATACCATCTCAACGCGATGTAGCCGGTATCAGATATTTACATCATAGACGAGATACGTACCAACCATTGGACACTTCTTGTATGATTTCTTCTTCACACGACTGTATGTACGGAGGTCTGTAAGAGACCCCATTTTATCAGCGACATAGACATACACACAATACAAGCCTCGCAATAAATGTACAAATTGTCCCTTTCAAGACCAGCATCATCGTCTCGAACGTCTTTGATGCAGGATGAGAAGTGAAAACACCAGAAACAAAGCGCCACTCGAGGTGAACATGTCAAGGCGTCTGGCTACTGTTGGTGTGACAACAAGGTTCATTCGCGTGCTCCTGGTTGGCGCTCCTCGCCAAGTCCGCCAGCACATCTTCGCGATCACCGCATCCTACACCAAACAACTCAGACCGCGGCGTAGAGCAGACATGCATTGACCTGCAGCTCCATAGGAACAAAGCTCACAATGTCTAGCCCTGCTGCGAATCCAAATTCGCTCAGCTATCCTCCTCAGGCGTCGGCGTCTTCACAGCCCACAGCCCCTCTTCCAGCCCACCATGGCTCCAGCACCGCGGATTCGAGTGCACTCATGCCAGCAGTGACGCCTGCAACAACCACTAGACAGTCGGTAGCCTTGGGCGCTTTATCCAACTTCTGGGGAAATTATATCACCCCCACAATCAACGGTCAGGTTATCTTGCCCGACAGTGTCGTGTCAACTATCATCGCCCACGCGCACTCGACAGATGCACAAGAACTACCGTCTGACCTCACAGCAAGTACAGGCTCATTGCACAGTACGACTACCACCTTGACGGACACACTCCCTCCGACACAGTCTGCCGCCATCCGCGCCCTCAATGCTCCCGCCTTCCATTCGTCCACAACTAGAAGCCAACCCGCAAAATCGGCATCAAGTCAAACCAGTTTAACAAGTCAGCCAGTTGTGGTACGCACCTACTCAGGGTCGCGCCATACTTCACGGGCAGGCTCTGGGTTTAATACCCCTCGATCCTTCGCCATGAATGGGCACAGGGGCGCGTCCGCCTTGTCGTCTAGTCTGGCAGGCAGAAGTGCGCAACTGCCCTCAGTGGAAGACTTCTCGTTTTCTGCAATCCTACGCGCAGTCGATCCAGAAATCAGAGATGCCATCGACGCCATCGCCGAGATCTGTGCGAGGAGTAGAATGAGTCTGGCGGATGAATACGACGCGCATCTCCCTCCGCAAGGCGAGATAACTGGCGCAGGCCCTGGATGGGTTGCAAGTACAGGAGCATTGGCCGGGCGGGGTCGTCTGTCACGCCTTAGTCAGGGGTGGACGGCGGCAGACAACACGTTGATGTCAGTCCCTGAAGCAAGCAGCTCGAGTGAGAGACTGGCGCAAGAGAACAAGACAAACACACAAGAAAGTAGCAAGAACAGGAGCCAATCTGCATATGGTAGCTTGAAGAGCGTCATCAGTGGCGGGAGCGGAAGGCGAAGAGCGATCGATAGCGATACTTTCCGAGGCCCTGAACTTGACGATTCAGAACATAGCGGGGTTCATCAACAGCAGCCACGACCTTCATGGGCAGTGCATGCTTCTGCGCCATCATCAGCCCATCCAGCGATCACTATTGTCACTTCACCGACAGCGTCAAATCAGCTTTCCTTTGACATGTCCTATGGCATGAATGAGACTATTGAAGACGGAGCAGATGCGCACCCCCGGATAGCTCTCTCACACCAAACACTTTCGTATCGACAAGGTGCTTCGCATTTCAGTCCATCTGCTTCGCGGTCACGATCAACCAACCTATCCTCCATGACTTCATGGTTACCATGGCCTCGGCTGTCTGATCTCAACTCGAGCAGTCAGCAAGAACTTGTCAGAGCAGAAGTGCGTTTGCGAGATATGCTGCAGTCTTCCCGGAATGTCGGAAAGGGCAAGGCAGTAGTACGTGCTGTGTGAATCGGCACTCTTTTCTTCAAGAATTACTGAAGGATTGAATCGAGCTTTACAGGCAGTACACAAGAGCTTGGACAGTTGTTGAAGCGTAGAGACTGCGACTTGTGGTGTTACCAAGGGGTGTTTACACGACGCAAACGAGCTATGACTTATGATCATGATATCACGATTTGAATGCAGGCGCAAGTATCCGGGGGTTAAGAAGCAGGTCGAGAATGTGCACATTACAAGCTTTTAATCGCGTCTAGCCCGCATTTTTGGTCCCAACAATACAAGAGTCACGAGACTACGAATTTCTTTGTGTTGAAATTTTTGAAAGATCCTCATCTGACGATGCTGTAGTTCTTATCAATTATCAAACTAGTCAACAAACGCAAAGTCTCAATACTGACCAGTGCATGTAGCGGTCAATGAACAGCACCGAGAGCCCCCATGATCTATGCCATGCGGTGATCGCACCAGTAGGGTTGGCCTTGAACAATCAATCGGCCCATCTCATACCAGACTATTAATGGATTCTTGGACGTGTATACCGTAGATACATAGCGTGTCTGGGGTGACAAGTGCAATCCCCTGTGGCAATACAATTCAGTTGACACCTTCACGACGTTCAAGGACTAGCTAATCGTGTTGAATTGACAGCTTTGGAGAGCACATGAACATAAAGTCTCTTAGAACAGCAAAATCAAACTCGACTTGTACTTCAAGAGGACAACAGCAGAGGTGGTGGTCGCAGAAGTCGAGACTTGATATGAGGCTTACGCAGCGTGAGGCTGGCTGGACTTCTTTAGAACTTGCCAAGGACGGAGATTTTAAGCTTCAGCTTCAAGGACTCGCCGATTCATGGAGATTCGTCGTCTCGGAATACCTTCCGCCTCGTTGGATGGTACCGGTGACGTGTACGCCACAACACCGCTCGACTTGCTCAACACTGTCTCTTTGCAGCAAGCCTCAAAGTGCCGTAGCTTGGTCGGTAGTTGGAGCTTGCCTCGCCCAACGCGACGTTTCACGCCCACACGGCCCGAAGCGTCCCACAGCGTACGCGTACGGAACGAACAGTCTCGTCGCCCTATCACTCTGGACGTGTTAGGGCGTCGTAAGCACCTGCGCTATGATTGGTGCCGCTTGTTTACTGGGCTTTGTTTTCCATGAGTCGAGTGCCGCGCAACATCATAGCGGGTGAAAACACGCGTCCAAGTAGCTTTTCCAGGATATGCGTGTTCTCAGAGGCGGAGGCTTGCGAGAAGGTTGGTAGCAAGATGATAGACGAGGGAGAAAGTATAAAAGAACGTTGTCCACCAATGCATTCATACACAGCATCAATCTTCGCATATCACGCCTTTCTTCGTTCAAAGTCTCTCACTACATTCTTCAACATGTTGACCAACCAAGCCCTCGTTACCCTCGCTTTGGCGCTGACCGCCGCCGCGCACCCGCATCATGAGCTGTCTGCTCGTGAGGTTGCCGAACACCAATCTATCTCCAAGCGATGCGCCGCCGCGGCAGGTGCTTTTACCATGCAGCGCAAGAAGCGTTCTTTGGCCAAGCGCCAGACGATTCTGCCTCGAGACACCAATGTAACGATCCATACGGAATCTCCCCACTACGATACTATCCAGAACGACACCTGTATTCTCGTTCCCGAGGTCACTGCTGGACCGTATGTCTGGCCCCGATCGGACACGCTCAGACAGGATATGAGTGAGGACCAGGCTGGTATCCCACTGTATCTTGACATTGGTGTTTTGGACATCAACTCATGCTCGCCGGCTGAGAATATCTTGCTCGATATGTGGCACTGTACGTCTTCACACATTTTCCCATTTCCACTTCGACCAGCATAACTAACTGCGAGCAGGCAACTCCACAGGTAGTTACTCTAGCTTCGATGGACGCGATCCCAATACACCTTTCGAGGTACGTAGAGTACCCCTGTTGTCTCCAACCCCGCGGGATTTTCAATGCAACAAATTCTAACAACACCAGACACTCCTCGAACAGCTCAACCTTACTACCGCTAGCGATCTCGATCTGCATACAGGAGACTCGACTTGGTCCGTTTCAATCCTTCTTATTTGTTGTGAATCTATTCTGATAGTTCTTTAGGCTCCGTGGTATGTGGCCCACCGACGGCAACGGTGTGATGGAGATGCAAACCGTCTTCCCGGGATTCTACATCGACCGCACGATTCATATCCATGTGCGCGCGCACACGAACTGGACGGTCCGGGACAACGGAACCGTGTCAGCCAGCAACATCGCGTCGACGGGACAGATCTTCTTCGACGAGGAGCTGAGCGCGCAGATCATGGCCATGGCACCCTACTCGAGCCACACTGAGATTAACCGCACGACCAACTCCATCGACTCGATTTACTCAGACGAGACGCCGACTGGGTGGAGCCCGATCATCCAGGTTGAGCCCCTCGATGGCGTGGATGTCGCTAATGGTATGATTGGGTACATCACCCTTGGTATCAATGTTACGGCCACCAGCTCCGAGTCCAGCTCAGGCGGAGGTCCGTCGGGCGGTATGCCTTCCGGTGGTATGCCGTCCGGCGCTATACCGTCGGGTGCTATGTCGTCTGCTGTGTAGGCGGCTCGAACAAATTGAACCATTGGCTGCGCGAGTGTGAAGTTTATTGACTTGTATAAGTCAGTATGATAGAGTGTTATAGCATGTTCTTTTATTTAGACCGAATATACCGTCTCTGTTTCTCATTTCTACTGTACGCAGTACTCTCACGAAGCAGCATTCCCCAGCCGTCTCTTCACAGATCTACCGAGTGATATCTAGACAACCTAGGCTCTCTGGAGTTAGACCACGTTGTTTTCAGCAAAAGAATTCAAAGACAACAACCCGGTAGGCGTTTATGAATTACACTAAAGGCGTACAAGTTGTCAAGCTGATGCAAGATTTTGCTGCACCTTGATTTCTGGTATTCCAAGCAACCAAGATACTCGTACGCAAGAAGAACAAAGACGTGTATGGACTTAACCATCCGCAAACGCTCTACCACTTAGATGACTAGGCTTTTTGGTATCGACCATTCTATGGCAGTCAAATGTGATGGCGATTGACTATCAAGCTAGCCAATATACGCAAAGTGAGATCGTCTATAGCGGCCAGTGAAACCATCAACAAATAAGCTCTTATTGTCTACTTAATCGAAACTGCTCAACTCCAATAGCTGTCCTCACTTCAATCAACATGTGGTCCGTCCCAAATCCATTGAAGAAGAAGGCTCGCTTGGTATTTCATTCTAGGGCGCGGATCGTGCAAACCCAAGGCATAGCAATTGAATTAGCCAACTTAGACTTCACGTTCAGCATCAGAGGAGTATCTTCAGAGTCAATGCTTGCCAGCTTCTTGGAAGAAAAGGCGAGACAAGTAAGTCTGAAGCGTATAGCAAGCAACAGTGCCAACGCTAACATTCTGAATAGGGTTCGGGAGATCATGCAAGACAGCTCTGGGGAAGAAGATAGCGAGGAAATCATATACAAGACGCGAGCCATCAGGAATCGCAGGGCCAAGATCGTTAGAGAGTATGACGATGATGATGACGAGGAGGACGAAAAGTAGTCTAGGGAATATCAGCCAAGGACTGCTCAGCGGGATCAGATAGGCTCTTTGTTGGTCGAAATACCCGGTACTAAGCTGCGGCGAAATCTTGGACAACTACATACAGAATTCAAACAAAGTTTGTGTCTCTCAAGCATTATCAGTATCCATCTAGCCAGCTTTACTTGTAGCATTTAGTCTTATCGTTGAGTTGCGTGAAAGATTAACGAGAACGTAGCTTAATTGGTATTTCGACTAACTGAGAGACATGCAGACAAACACTATAAGCAGACCATGTCTTCGACGTACTAATATCAATCCGCGGATAATGCAAAACTGAATGTAAACTATACAAGACTCCCTGCAGAAAATACAAGTTTACACCTAGCAGTACAATACCTTACATAGATGATCGAAGACTATGCGCAGGCAGTCCCAAAGCTCTACTGAACAGAAACGAACTTCCCTGCAATAGGTACCCTGGAAAGGTAACAGAAGCAATCATCTACACTTTCCGCTTACTTCTTGAAAGCATAGTAAACCAATAAGGCAGTCAGCCAGCCATGCATTTAGACTTTTGGGGAAATGAGTGAATGGAATGACACGCATCTGGACTGCAAAACACCTCAGCTGCCTTCCCCAGGTCTTGCAACAATGCCAGACTGCAACTTTGATACACGCGTACCCCCCTATGTAGATAGCTAGAGATACGCGGTATTCTAACTAAACTCCCGTCCTCCATTTAGTTAAAAATACCAGGAACCAAGCTGGAACAAAATCATCTTGCAACACCTTGACAACTACAAGAAAGGTTTGCGAATAATTCGTGCGCTTTATCTATCACCAGTATACGCTTAGAGTTGCTTTGCTCATAGTATTGTTTTTCTAGTTGAGTTAGGACTGGTTTCTACGATATGTATTTGGGCCGACCAAGAGTTGCTCCCTCTGTATCCATCATCAACCTATTGTACTGTATTCTTGTTCTGTACCTCTCTCCAAGAATCTCTCGACCAGGATGATTCTGCCCATCCACCCATCACACCACGCTCCAGATACAACGAGATGAGAAATACACTACGCATCCTCTCGGTCATGGGTAGAAGCAAGAAGTAAGCTGCAACCTTTGTGGTTCCCAAAAACCGCAAGACCACAACGAAAAAAGTTATAAAAGTGCATTTTGGGCGTACACGACTAGATATTGGGGTATAATACCACAACACTACTCTTAGATGTAGTTATCAAGCTGTTGCAAGGTTTTGCTTCATCTTGATTCCCAGTACTCAGGCCTCGGCTCCTCACACACTGATTTCCTTGCATCGAGAGTCGAACCCCCGAAAGCTGCTGGGGAGCGTTATTTACGGCAGTCACTCTAATCCACATGTTGTCAGGGATCCCAGGAGAAATGCACAAGTGAATTCGATGTGTAGTTGCGCAAATGAACAGGTGTAGTATTGATAGCTTGGTAAGGCTGACTGATATGTACAAAACTTAATTGAGGATACTTTCAAGGCAAAAGAAACTCAAATAACTGAAAAATATTTACAGGAGTAAGAGAGTGCACCATGCGACCCAGTCATGGACAAGCTTCGTCATCCAATCCACAGGGCTCGCCTACTTGTACAGCTCTATAGCATCCAAGATGATGTTGGGTGCAAGGTAGGTGTCTCCAGAGCTTCCACTCGCGCAGCTGACGGTGATGGTGTTACTACCGCTGACTAGCGTACCAGAGGGGATGGCGTAGGTGTAGATTTCTCCAAAACCTCTGTAAGCACCGCGCGTCACACCACGTGAGTCGATCTTGGTCGGTGCAGCTGGCGTCGTCGTACTGTAGGAGTTGACGACGACGGCCGGTCTGCAGCCAGCGAAGGAGAGCGTGGTTCCTACACGGAGAGTTGCCGCGCCGGTGTATGTGCCGGTGAACTTGATTGTCAGGGGGTTGAGGTCCTTCCAGATAGCCATGGGCACGCTGTCGAGGGTGCTCGTGCCAACAGTGTAGGTCAGGGGGCCCCAGCTCGACATTCGCGAGTCTGAGGGATGCATACGAAGCTGCTTGTCGGCGTTGCGGAATCCTGTAGGCTGCCCGTCCCACTCTCCAATTGTCCAAATAGTGTCGCGAGTCTGTGAGTCGGCAACGATGTTTGCTGTTGTTGCTGAGCCAGCTTTAACGGTGACACTTTGGGCTTTGAGTTGGTACTCGTCTTGGTAGAAAACCTGGGTGTATGTTCCGGGCTTCATAGCTGGCGACGTGAACTTTCCAGTGCTATCCGCGTATACCCAGTATTGTGCGGCACTGTTGTACCAGTGTAGGACCTTTTGCATGCTGGATGCGGCGCCAGTGGCTGTTCCTGTCACTGTTCCACGAGCGGAGGGTGCTACGTATCCGGTGATAGAGAGGTCCTTGAAGAAGGTTGTATCCAGGGAGGAACCGCCCGATGGAATGCCTGAGCGGGTGAAAGCCATCGCATATGGCCCGTGTAGCCCCTGTCGGAAAGACTCGGTCTGCACATGACCAGAGTTCATGTAGAAGTAGAGATTGGTTGAGTCACCGGCATTGTTCGAGTTGATGTCGCGGTGGAATGGGCCGCCGGAAGAGGCCTCGTAGGAGTAGTCGTTGAGCAGCATGCAGACGTGGACGTCTTCACCTCTGTAGACACATTGCTATTTCGCGTCAGTGAACCCGCTTACAGTGACACTCTAGTTGTGTAGATCATACCCTGGTATCATCGATGAAGCGTTCGCTGCTGTAGAACTTGGATCGTGTTTCTGAGCCCACATTATAGACATCTGAGCCCTCGACTGCAGAGCTCGAGCCGGCAGTCGTTGAGACTACGCCGAAGGGATACTCCGAAGGCAGCGTTGTGGGATTGAGACGAGCAATGAAGCGCAACTCGCCAATGTCAGGCTCCGCGGTAGTGTACGTTGCCATGTATATGGTCGACTCGCCACTCTTGACAACCATGTATTGTGTCAAGGTGGATGTTGTGCAGGTAATTTTCACATACTGGCCTAGAAGAACCCTATGTTAGTCGACGCAATCCAGGAAGTAGAAGAAGCCTTACTGCTGACGATTTCAGACTTGACAGTCGCTGTTCCAAGTCCAGAAGAGATATGCGATCCCTTCGATGCGTATTGGAACTCCTCGCCACGGTACTTGATCGATGTGATGTCGCATGAGCCACTGTTGACAGTGAAGACCAGCGCGTTGGACGATCCTGCGTCAACGACGATGTTGCTGCCAGAAGTGGTGACGCCAAAGGCTAAACGGTTTTGATCAGCCGTGTTATTTCTAAACTCTCATACATCTGTATACATACCCGCTAGAGCCGAGGAAGTAAAGGCGGCCGTAGCCACCAAGGCGCTTTTGAGAAACATAGCTAAGCAAGGAAGTAAGAACGAAAGAACGGATAGATGGTCAACCTCAAGCAGACTTTGAAGGCTGGCAATCAGATCACAATCATCACCGTTCACTCTGCCATATATACACGAGAAAGAGTAGACTTACTCACAACCCTGGACGATAACCTAAAACGCCAATTCTACCTAACCCTTTTATTTCCACCACTGCCGTTCACACCCCCGCGTAAATCGCCTATGTGGGCGTGTCGTATACATGATTGAATCACATCACTTGACTGATCGTTTAATAGAGCTTGTATCGGAACAAAGCATGCATGATACCAAAAGAAGTCTTGAAGTACACACCCGAGCCAGTAGGAGAATTACCACAACAAACTTCTCCATTTTCCGTATATGAACGTTGTGAAGGATCCATAGGGGCTGCCTGAAGTGAACTAAGAATACCAAGAATCATAATGACTCGTGCAAATGTATCAACCCTGAGTGGCGGAATATAATGCCCTAGGGCTAAGCATTATATTAAGCACTATCGACCCTTCGACAACGGTGTGTGTGGAACGGGCGGGTCCAGACTATTCCTGGGGAGATATGGGGTGTACATAGATCTCTTATATGAAACTGAGGGGATGTTTGTAGAACAAGACCTGCAATACTATCACAACCAGATGACACTGGTCAGTAGTGAACAGGCACCGAGAAAGAGACGCCTTGGTATAGAGGCTCGAAGCCTAAGTGGCGGAAATAGAGGGGATGCAACGAGAGGTCGCGTAATAAGACGATCAGTTTCCTGTTGCAGGCAGCACGCCTGAAGGTCTTGGTAGCGATGCGCCCATATGTATGGTTAGGAACAGAGTCAGGGTGGGCCTGGTTCACGACTCGAGAGGCGCATCCATAGAGAGGATGGGAAACACGCTAGTGACGCGCAGAGCTGAAACGAGAACAAGGCAAGGCTACGGAGGAATAAAGTCGGAGGAATAGACTCGCGCAATACATCCCTTGCCGGGCGTGACCACGTCAGATGATCAATCGTCCTCGCCTGCAAAACACACTTCCTATAAAGCTTCTGTACTGCAAACCACGAACTGCTAAAAGCTTGTGCCAGTATTGCAGGCCTTGAATATGGTTACCAAAGATGAGATTCAATTAACAGCCAATGATTGGAGCAGAGTTTGGTGATAGAATCCTTAGAGACGTTGTGTTTCGGAGAATTAACGTGATACTTGATCTAACCCCATGAAGAATGCCAAGCTAATGACGATCATCCTGCATTTTGTACTGCAACTACCACAACTCATAAGCCCAAGCGAAGTCTTCGACATCCCTATTGAGTCTGGCCGGTGGGCTCCTCGAGTATGTATCCACATACTCTCGATAAGCAATTCCAAGAGATCCCGCGAGATATGCCGGTCGCTCAATCGGGAATCTCGAAAACAAAATCGAGAAACACTAAACACTTAATATCCAGCTCTCGACCGTCAGCGTTCATCAATTTGGTCGGGTACAGTGGGTCGCATCAAGATCCACCCGGTACCACAAGCAACGCAGAATTACACACGATGTATTCTCAGTCCCACGTTTGCCGCCCAACTGCGGCGTCTAGCTCGACAATGTCAAAAATACCTTTCTGGGAGATGTCTATCGGCTGCGGTTATCCATCCAGTCACATACTCCACTTGATGCCCAAAAGGCCATCGTCGTCTATTAAATCTTCCGTCATCCCTTATCCCGATGAAGGTGATATCCTCAACCCGTTTCTTTCGCTGTCGATATAAGCAGATCAAGACTAGAGGTTCCTACTAGCACTATTTAAGTCTTGTTCCGACGCTGATTCCTGGCTTGGTGAATGTGGCGAGAAAACTTGCATACGCGCTGGAAAAAAAAAGAGAGAATTTCGAAGTGGAGCTGTCAAAGTGGTACCAAGAAGAAGGACAACTATATTGACCAACGTCATAAGAACGCCATCAAACATGCCAGCGAACCCTGAAGTTGTAGTTGTCTCCCAGGTCAATCCCAACAACGAGAGTCGATACGTCTGTACCTGTAGAGGGAATGCCACCAATCCGCCTACCGATTGAAGAGATTTATCAAGCTGATTCCCAAGATGAGAGACTTGAGAAAAATGCGACAACGATGAACAATCTACCTGGTTTCCACACAACCAAATAATCCAGGTCACGAAGTCAGTAACAGCTTTACCCAAAGTACCATACACGCGCTCGGATAGAACTTTCTAGTCCACAAAAATCACAGGTCAATGCTGCACGTCAAAGCACCAAACGACGCAGCAGAAACAGCAAACAGCGTCAAGATGCCACTCGAGGTAGTAAAACATTTCTGGCATTAACAAGCGAGGAAGACTACAATATACGAGAAAATCTCGTTCTGTCTGCATCTTCACCTGATCATCTCTAATCCTCACGTCTATCCAAGATATTTCGGCCACTAACTGACCTACTCATCTCTACACCCGCCATCTCTGAGAATATAAACGGCCCACGAGGGAAAAGACAGCACACTTTTCTGATGTGTTAACAAATCTTTCTTTTGTACAAACAGTAGCACCACAAGCGTACCAAGTGAGGATTTAGGATTTGACCTAAGATAAGAGAGGAAGAACGCACGCTACTAAAGTATAATTCTCTGTACCCTCCAGCACGGTGATCACACTTGCGATCTTGACATTTCTATCTGTCTCACACATAAAAAAACTTGCTATCCCCCCCCTTCCCCCTCCCTACAACCAGGTAAAACAAGAACTCACCTCTCTCCAAGGCCCCGTCCAATACCCACAAAGCCAGGAATACTGTCCCGGCAAAGCTCTACACAAAGTACTAATTTACAAACGTATATTCTTTCCCTTTCCAAATCGCCTAGACGAGATAGCAATGCAACCAGCAACTTCCCTCCTCTATCTCTATCTCTATCCCTACCCCTACCCCTTCTCCTCACCCGTTCTCCTCACCAAACAGCCCCCATCCCTAATCCCTATCCCACGCGCCCGCCCTCGCACCGAGAAGATGAACAACGCTAAACTCTCACATCGCTGAGCCGACACACATGCCCAACAAAAGGTCTAGATAAACAGACAGATAGATAGATGGACCGACAAAAACCACGTAGATACACTGTACCATAAGATCAAAGCGCATAGTAGAAGCAAAGCAGAAACCCACCAACCCATCCCATAATCTTAAACTCTCACATGAAGCATAAAACTAGTCAATCTGCACTGCCCAGCCATCCTTTATTTCCTGCTTGGTGTATTAATCCAGCCTAACAGGTGTTTTCACCTCGACTTTTACTCCAACTACAACGCACTTCGCGAAAAAGCGAGTAAAGTCATATAACACCAACAATATATCCGAACCGTAATTTCGTACATGAAAAACACACACAAACACAAACACAAACACACGAACGATGTCAGAAAAAGGGGGGAGAACATAACAGAGAGATATCCATAGAATGTACTGCAATATACCAATCGCACACCTCCCGCCTTCTAGGCAAGCAAGCAAGTTTCAATGCTATCCTATCCTACACGCCATATCCCACCCATCCCAACAAACAAACAAAACAAAAACGCACGCTGAATACGCTATAAAAAGACGACCATGTATAACCCCCGCTCCCCCCTTCTAAACGCCCGAAAATGCCCAACCCCACCCCCATACCCCCCACCCCCTCTAAAAACTCCTCGCAAAAACACCGTAACAACACATCTCCACACTACGCCCTCTTCTCCCGCATCGGCGCGCTCGGGCCAGCACTAAACGCACCACTAAAAATGCGCTTCAACGTGCCCGGCTTAAAGCTCGTGCTACTCTTCCGACTATGCCCAGTCCCCGTCCTAGTAAGGCCCTCCTCGCCAAACACACCCGCGGCGGCACTATTCCTGCGCGCGCGCCTCGTCGCATCCTCGTTTTCTTTCTGGTGGAGGGATTCGCTGGGGAGCAGGATAGCGCGATCGAGCGCGTAGGGCAGGCCGCGATGCCTGCCGCGGATCTGGGTAGCGATGATGATGAGTTTCGACAGCGTGCGTAGCTGCCCCGAGAAACTCGTGTTGACGCCGGGATAGCCGAGGGAGAGGCCGACGGTGCCGTATGCGGAGACGATTTCGAAGAGCACGCTGAAGAGGGTGAAGGCGTAGTCGTTTGTGTTTTCCAGGCGATCGCCTTCGATGATGGCGATGAGGAAGAAGCCCAGGAAGACGAACCACAGGTCGAAGGAGAGTTGGCGGCGGAGATGGTGGGAGAGGAAGCTGGATTCTTCGTCGGATTCGTTGCTGTCGGCGAAGATGCCGAGGGATTTTTCCTCGTAGACGTTTGTTTGCCGCAAGCTCATGGCGATGGGGAAGATGGATATGTACATCATTACGAGGTAGCTGACTTGGATCGCGGGGTGTAGGTCGGCGATGTTTACGACGGCGAAACCGGCGGTGCGGGTGGCGGCTGCTTGGAAGAGGCCGCAGAGGAAGCGGAAGCCAGGGGGTAGCGATGTGACGGTTGAGTCGTTGAGCTGGGCACGTTAGCTGCATTCACAAGATACCCAAGGACGTGAACGTACATCGAGCACAATGAAGAAAATCAAGTCAATCCCGTTGAGACCAATCAGCACCCAAAACAGCCACCAGTTAGCTCTACTAGGAAAGAGCAGCGTGAAGCATCGCCGAGGATGGTCGAGCAGGAAGCGGAGTTCCTCCCATGTACCGCTATGCTTAGGGACGAACATGGAGCTGAGCCAGATGACAAACCGCAGCATGCACGGAAATCCCGTGTTTCCAATGATGATGAGGAACGTGCCCAGCACCAGGGGGAAAACAGCAAACTGGAACGACACCATCGAGTCCGGAGTAAGCGTGAAGCCCAGATCGTTGAACATGGACGCAGGTGTGAAGAACCCCCACCAGACAGGGTTGACATTGTCTTCCGATATCAGGTTCGCGTAACGGGCGTCCCGAACAACCCAAGGCGTCAGACAGACCATGCCGAGTAAGTGGAAGCCGACGAAGTAGCAGACAAGGATGATAGCCAGTAGCTTCAATGCGCGGTACTCGATACCGCCCAACTCCTCTCTCTGCTCCTCCGTCAAATCAACAAAGTTGGAGTTGCGTCCCAGAGTCGGCGTCCAGCTGAGATACGGCATGGGATCAGCCTCTTCCTCCTTGGCCCTAGAAAGGAAGCTGGTCAGAGTCTTGGATCTCGACCTATTCCGGACATGCATTCCATTAGAAACCACATCCGCATCGTTGGGTCGCACACGGTTATACACTGAAGGACCATTAGTTGGCCCCCGTCCGCCAGGCCTATCCGGAACATCGATGGTGATGTGATTTTTGAAATCCGGACGGTCCTCTGAGCTGTCGTCGTCGCCGAGAGAAGCCGATTTCGAGCGTTGGCGCATGAGTTCCGATTCGTGTGAAGACCTGGTCTGCACCTTGTTGAGGTCTTGCTCGCCCTCGACAACAGCTTGCGGCAGCTGTCCTCGATCAAAGTCGCGCGGGCCGGGGATACGCAGAGTAGCCTTCTCCTGCGGATTTCGCTGTTTCTCCACGAGCGCAATACTCCTGTCCTTGTCCTTGACGGGGAGGCGGTTCGAGGGCGATTCGACCGGCTCGCGCTCCTGAACTCGCTGTGCAGGCGTGTCCAGATTATCCGCCCACACAACATTCGACTGCAGCTGATTTGCAGGTGTGACGGGCCGTTCACTGGGAGACAGCGGGCCGTCGTCTGCAGTCATGGGCCTGCGATTTCCGTCGCCGTTCGCCGCGTCCTCGAAGACGTTCCTATCCGCAAATGTGGCGGCCTCAGTTCCATTCCCCAGCTCAGAATGCAAGAACCGGATCTCGCGATTGTTGACGCCATGCTCTTCGTTTCCGACATCCCGATCAAACGCGCCTTTTGTATCGCTCTTCCTGCGCGACAACGTGCGGCTGTGGCGCAGACTACGCGCTTGAGCGACGTTCTGGAAGCGCTTTTCGAACCAGTAGAGGCGCACGAAGACGACGAAAGTATTGATGAAGATCGGGGTGCATATACATGTGATGATCATGATAGCGACCTAGCAGCACAGTCAGTTGGGCGCAATCCCTCGCTGCCATCCATCACTCCTTACCTGCTGGTACAACTTCAACTTATTAACATCAACCCTACCACACCGTCAGCAATTGGCCTCCCTCCCGCTCACCCACACACACTTACGTATTCAATCCACTCTGCGTCGAAGACCCGCTAGCAAAAAAGAGCGCATCGATATACGGCATATCGCCCGATCCATAGATGATAACCGACCCAACAAGCGTCATAATAAAGAGATACAAGTCTACCAGCGCGTCAGCCCTTATCCAAAAACATCTTTACCGCGCCAGAAAACATACAATGAAGCGTGATGAAGTTGAAACTGGGCTTCAGCGCCGCCATCTTGGTCGGCAGCCGCTCCTTGAGCCATTTGCCCGCGAGGAGCCATTTGCCGAACATCGTGCTCGCCTCGAGCGGCGGGTGTAAGCTCCGTGGGCGTGGGGATTCGAGTTGCACGCAGTCGTCGCGTTTTGGCGTGGAAGGGAGGAGTCGCAGATACGTCGTGCAGCAAAAACAGCAGCAGCAAGGAGTCGAGTCGAGTCGAGGTGTCCCGTCTTCAAGCTGGCCAAGAGTGCTACGACGGACCGAACCGAGTAGTGCAGCGCGTCGAGACTAGTGTGAGCATAGTGACAATGACAGGGACCACGTAGGTGAAAGAGCGTCGTCTTGTCTTGTCTGATCTGTCAATCGTTGGCCAGCAGTGAAAGGGCCCCAACAAACGTGCCGCGTTCGATGACGCCAAGCGTAATTTGCTGTCCCAAAAACTACGCAGCGCTGCCTCGGAGACTTGTCACAGCAAGCCCACCCCTGTTATCCGAACGCGATTTGTAAAAAAACAGTCCCAAAACAAGCATTTTCCGCCCTGAAACCGCGCTCCCGGCTGGACCGATCCCTCGAAACAACAACGCACGCACCCTCTCCTTTTGTCACCTCACACGGCGCCCAATTTCCCTTATCTAGGCTGGGGGGCTGCGCAATGCGGTGCGATGACCTGCCAGGTCAAGTCAAGTCGAGCCAGGTCTGACCTGACGTGCATCACATTGCATTGCATTGTCCCCACTGATGGATTCGATGAAGTTGCATGGTTTCAGCTGTCATCAAACCAGCTCTTCACCGTCCAACACTCACAACAAAGAACTCAATCCACACGTCAAACACGTTAGGTACATTAACAAACAAAAGCTACAGCTACATTTACATCCAGCGCACTGACTCTCCTCTCCTCTCCTCTCCCGCGGACACCTATCCGTGATTGTACATAACATGCACATCTCCCATCTCCCATATCACATTTGCGCAAAAAGCTCACTCACTCACAAACCAAAGAGGAAGAAAACCAACACTTTATGCCATGTAATTTCCCTTCTCCCCATCTCCCCACATCACCCGTCCGTCTCTGCGCTTAGTCGGCGCCGTTGATCGCGGTCGGGGTATTGGCGCCCGAGTTAGGTTTGCTCTTAGTCTTGAGCGTGAGCGGGAACGAAAAGTCATCAGGCTCCTCCTCCTCTCTGCACATACGTTAGTGATAAATCTTAAATCAACCATGATGGTAAAAACTCACGGCAGCTTCCACGCAATGTAATCCTCAGTGCTAAGACCCTCACGACCCTCCTGCAGCGACGCAAAGTCGCCCGGCGTCATCATGCCCGACCGCTCACGCGGCGATCCCGGCTCGGACAAAGGTCGCGAGATCTTGTGTTCCTGGGAGCCGAAGAAGTCTGGCTCCTCGTCGTCCTCGTACGACCCGGGGTACGCCCTTCTAAGAGCCAGCTGACGGGCCTTAACGTATTCCAAGCCCATGCGCTTCCAGTCGAGCAGGTCGCTCAAGCGCTCGGTGCGGTTACGTTGGTTGATGCGCTGGCGCTTGCTCTTCTTGGTGAAGTCGAACATGTAGTCTACGAGCTGGTTGACCGAATCGTCCACGCCCTTTGTTCTCCGGTCGACAATGTAGATGCCGTAGTCGGCGGCGTTGTCGATCAACTCCTCCATGTAGCAACCGAAACCAGACAAGTTGGTGGTGATGCTGGGTACTCCCATCACGGTGCACTCAGCTGGGGTGTAACCCCATGGCTCATAGTACGATGAGAACACACCAAGATGGGTTCCGCGTACGAAATCATCGTAGTCAAGGGGCAGAACCGGGTTCGCAGAGTTCAAGAACTCGGGATGGAACACAACCTTGACGCGATCCGAGGGGTGGTTGAACAGCTGGCAGCGACGCAGCTGGTTCAGCACTGGGTCTTCGGCGTCGTTGGCCATGTTGTGGGTGACAATCGGCGGCAGGCTGTGTCTCTTCATGGCGAACAGCCGGCGACGGAGCATGATCTTGTCCTGAGGGGAGAGCAGGTCCTTGTCCTCGGGCAGCTCTTGACCTTCTGTCCAAGTCAACGAGCGCTCAAACAGCTTCTTGGCAATGTTCTCCGAGATGTTGTTGATCGTGTCGTGGAGCGATTTGATAACGGCCTGTCCCTTCAGCGAGTCGACCGACAGCGAGGTTGTTTGCGCAGGCAGGATAATGAAAGCGACAACCGTCTGATTCGAGTTCTCGCTCTTCATCTTGTGGTTCAATCGTGCCAACGACTCGATGAACATGTCCACACCTTTATTCCTGTACTCGTACCGACCAGCCGTGAAGAAGTACAGCGTGTTATCGGGATCGAAGTCGTTGTGGCCGTAGAAATGACCTCGTACAAAGTCGTTGATTTTGACCTTGGACTGCTGGTGCAAGTTTTGGAACTCGTGTGTGGCCGAGAACTTCTTGACGTTCAGCCCGTTGGGCAATACACCATCTGGCTTTCGCTTCAGGAGATGCTCGCTCTCATACGCGGTGATGTGAGAGACGGTCGTGAAGACGTCCGCAGCGTGTGTAGCAGCACGCTCGATGCAGTAGCGGTGGTAAATGCCGCGCTTTCCAGCTTCAGCATCTACATCAAAGTATTGCAGATTGTTGTAAAAGTCGACAGAGCCGGCGCATAGGTAGCGGCCAAGAAGCGTTGCGTGCGTAGTGAAGATGGTCGTCACATCGATGCGACGCTTCTTGCAAAGCGGTACCGCAACACCAGCCAGCCACTCGTGGAACTGGACAATGACGGCTCGCTTCTTCTCGTGGAAGACATACTAGCCAACAGTCAGCAGGGCGCCATAAAGGTCTCAATCGCACTTTCTCATACCTCGCCAAGGAACCACGCAATCAGATAACCAAAAACGATAGCTTCGTTAGTTTCCGAGTCGCCAGGCGGCGAGGGAATAGCAGCCGTGGACCACAGATCAGCCTTCCACTCATCCAGCCATCCATAGCCGGTGCCGGTGTCGAAGAGCAGCACGCGAGGCGCGCCGTCAATCAGCCATCGCCCGTACAGCGTCTTGATGCCGCGATCATTCATGCTCTTGATCGTGGCGACCAGAGCCGGGTCCTTGGGCTCCAGGATCTCAACCTCGACTTGCGCCTGATATGTCGTTAGCTGGGGAGGTCGAGCCGTCGCGCAATTGCACGTACCGAAGCTCTGTTCCAAGGGCCGAGCAGCGTATACGACGCGCCATATTCAGCCGTCGTGACCTGGGCCTTTGACTTGAGGACAGAGTAGATACCGCCGACTGCAGAGGCGTCAGCATTCATTTACGTAGCAACAGACGGGATGGGGGTGGAGGGTACCTCTGTTTGCAACCTCTGTCGCAACCTCAAAGAGGACGTGGTTCGTGACGTCCCGTGTCTCTGCCATTGTGTGTGCGTGTGTGAAGAGAGCTCAAGCTTCAGGCGAGGGCCGTTGTTTTGAGGGGAAAGAGCTGGAGCAGGATCGGAGAGCTCTCTAAGCTCGGGGGAGCTACTGCGGGCGGCCCACTAGACAAGCGCGTGTATTATTTTAGTTGGATGGTACCAGGTCAGGCGATGTTGAACCAAAGCCACGAAGCGAGTAGGTAGAGAGACAGAGAAGCCAATTGATAACGTAGACACTCAATTGCAGTACCAATCCCCCCGCGTTAGTATGAAGAGGAACAAGAGAGACTTGGGATCAAACAGCAAAAACCGTCGACTTTGTGCTCGCGAGCCGTGCTTGCATTCGACCGAGCGCAGAGAGGTTGGGTCACGGTCAGAGCTCGATAGGTAATCCGATATGACGTAGTGCCCCCATCCCAATTGCACCTTAGACCGCACGCTTGCCTGCCCATGTCCGCGTCCATGGGGCGCAAAAACACCTCCGTCGCATCAACCACCGAAGCCGATCAAGCAATACACCCAGACGGAGCGGGCAAGGACTAGGCATCGGGTTGCGGCTCAACAGCTCAACACAATCCAGTTGTGGAAATGAAACCGGGACCATGGACCGAACTCGATAGCTTTACTTTTTTCGCTCAACAATCAACTATCTAATGCATTTTTTTTACCTCTTAATTAAGGCGTGTGCCCCCGACTTTCGGGGTGTGTGTGTGACGAGATGAGATGCGATGCATGTCCTTCTGCACCGCGGCGTCATGCCGAGTTTGCGGGGTCGCATGCTCCGCTACAAAACGAGTGGGGTCTTGGGTTGGGGGGCGTGGAGGCGGAGGCGGAGTCGCACGTGAAGCCTGCATGTGGGTTTTCGGAGGAATAAACGGGCAGACATAGCGACGGGAACGGGCCTTTTCTCGAGTATGGGCTACCATTGATTGGATTTGCCACCGTTAGAGACTGGCAAAATATGTCTTCTTAACTGTCTGTCTTGACTGTAGATGGAGGCGTGGCTACATAAAGTATATGGAAAGATGCCCTCTTGTAACACGAAATACACGACTTGCACTCTAGTTAAACCTCATAGTGTGAGTCTTCAACAGCAACAATAGACGCGCGTTGATCATCACTACCTTGAAACACCTATTCCCCGTCAGCTACCCTCTCCAATCCAGGCACAACCCCAACCACCAACAAGACCTAAGGCGATATCTACCCAGCACCGCCGATCCTCACTGAACTGTATATTTCCAGCAACACGCATCACTACATTGCACAGTGCACGCCTCGATAAAGCTCCTACAACTCCCAAAGCAGCTATCGACATATAAATGGATATAAATAGGTATTGAAAAGCGCCCAGCATCTAAAGCCACAATTCATAACATCGTATCCCCCCCCCCCCCCCCCCCCCCCCCCCCCCCCCCCCCCCCCCCCCCCCCCAACCCCTTCCCACGCGCCCATAAGCAAACCCTCCAAACCCTCCAAACACGAGAAAAACACAAAAAACGCCCTAAAACCCGTACTCCCATACCACACCACACCACACCACACCAAAACACCCCCACCCCAAGCCCTCAAACCCCAAACCCCTCTACCTCCCCGACCGATCAACAACCGGCCCCGCACTACTCGGCAACCCAGAAAGCAGACTGCCGACCGCAAACTGCTGATGATCCCCCAAATCAAGCATAGGACCCCTAGCCTTCGATCCGTCCATGACGCCCCTTCCCACGGGCGCGCCGGCATGCATGGGCGGGAAGTGCGTTTGGTCGAGGAGGCTGCCGCCTGTGAAGGCTGTTTTGTCGTCGTCTGCGTCTCCGCCCGCCGCCGCAGCAGCAGCAGTATGTGGGTGCGTATTATGAGCATGGGGCCGCTGCGCTGCAGTCTGCGGGCGAGCGCGCCATGGGTCGGTGGAAGCGGGGACTTTGATAGCTTCCTCTGGGAGGGTGAAAGTAGCGTGGTCGACTAAGGGGCCGGAGCCGACGGGGCCGGTGTATCCCTTCCCCTTGCCTTCTTTGGAGTGTTGGGGCAGGGCGCGCGTAGCGGACGGGATCTTGATAGCTTCTTCCGGCAGGGTGAAAGTTGCGTGTTCGACTAAAGGGCCTGAGCCGGTGGTGCCCGTGTAGCCTTTTCCTTTGTTTTCCTTTGAGAATTGCGGGGGCGCGCGGTAGGCGGGTGTTAGGTCTACGAGGGGCTCTGGCATGGCTGGGTGGCGCTTTGAGGCGTGGCGGTGCAGGTCGCTGGATGGGTTGTGGCGGTGGGTGCTTCGGACTGAGGAGTTTCGGGCGATGGGGGAGTCGTTTGGGGGGGCGAGGTTGAAGCGGTCTGCGCTGTTGTTTAGTAGGGACGGGCCGTCTGTGAATGCTGTGTTCTGCTTTTGCTCGCGGTCGTGGGCGGCTCGCTGGCGGTGCGTGTATGCCCGGCCTAGCAGGCCTCCGGCAGCGAATGTTTCTTCATCTTCGTGCTTGGTGACGCTATGTGTTAGTGAGTTCTGACGGCTGCTGTTCTGGTTCGTAGCACCCTGGCTTGTGCCAGACTGGTTCCTGGCGTCGGCGACAAGACCGTTTTTGAACGCCGGGGGAGGCGGCTGTTTCACCCGTACAGACTTTTTTCTTGCGTGCATGACTTTTGAGTCGAATTTCGCAAGCGGTGCATCTTCGGGAAACTCTCCAGGTTTATGTACCTCAATCGTTTCCAATGTCTTGTTGAGAGAATCAAAATCAATAAGCGTGGTATATGTTCCCAATTCGTAGTGCGAACCGACAGATTCACCCCGATTGTGCGAGGACGTCATATGTGGCAGTTCGGCACCCCCAGCTATAGCTCGCTGCGCTACACTCTTCTTCGTGACGCCCTCACCCTTTTCGTGTTTCAAATGCCAGCTTCTCCAGCCCTGTAGGGCCTTGTAGAAGGTCGTTGCTATACTCCTGTCGTTGGTACAGAAAAAGTGCACGTATTGCGACTCATTGGCGAAGATGTTGGACTTCTGCATGCTCTTCACAGCATAGCAGATCTTCTTGGGCGGTTTGATCTTGGCCAGTTTCTGCTGCGAGACTATGTAGATATCGTAGTCTGTGAGCGTACAAATGTTCTCGACCTCCTTTGAGTGTTCGTTTTTCGTCATGACCAGCTGTCCGTCGGGGCGCAGAGTGAGGAAACGTTTCACCCATTTGCCAGGTTTCGAGGAGTACTGGATGGTCCAGGACATGCCCTCTGGCCTTGTATCAGGGACCTTGTAAGCCAGCAAATCGTCCTGGTCAACGCCATCGAGCGATGAATCGACGATGGTAAGTTCGTTTTGACTGTCGGAGTCCCAGGAGTTCATGACCTCGCGCACATACTCAAAGTTACGTAAAGGTCGGCTGATGGAGACTTTGACAAACAACTCGGTAACAACGGCGGTTCGTACGTCGACATGAACGGTGAGCACAGTGGCTGCCGACTTGATGAGGTCGAGAGGAGTGGTGGTTGGATTGACCGGGAGTAGGATGCGCTTGTTGCTGCATACAACTGTCACGCGCTGCCGTATCTATTAGTACTTTGTTTCCACGAACAGACACATACATACCCTGTCACCTGCGTTGACAGCTGAGACTGGAGCGTCGATACCGAGGACAGCACCTCCACCGCCAGGCCTGATGGTCTCGGGCTCGCGAACACTACTGCTCGTCTGACGTGACTTCACAGGCGCCGTAGTCTCCTCTGTGGACATGCCGCCGTCCTTCCTCCGCTTGAACAATCCAAAGCCTCCCTCGTGACGTGGCGGCGAGACTGGCGGGGACTGTGTGTGTGCTCTGCGGGCACTTTCCTCGCTCCTCGCCTTGCGCTCAGCTTCCTCGAGCACTGCCTTGCGAGCCTCTTGCTCTTTGTGCTGGAGATGTTTCCGGGACGGAGCCTTGCGCAACCGCTTCCCGCGCTCCTTTTCCGCTTTTTCTTCCTCTTGCTGTTGTCGCAATGCCGCAACCGCTTCTGCCTCGCGGTGTGTCTTTGCACGCGCCACTTCCTCCTCGTCTCTGCGCAACTGCTCAAGCCTGTCCATTTCCGCCTGTTTGGCCTCCCTCTTGACGCGCGCTTCAGCCTCGTACTTCTCCCTGACTAGTCGCTGCCGCTCGTGCTCCTTCTCCATCAGCTGTCTCGCGCTCTCCTCTCCACTCTGCGGCGGCTGGCGAATATCACTCGAGACGGGAGGCGAGGCATCCGTGCGCTGCTTTGCGGTTCTCGGGCGGGACTGGCCGTTGCTTGGAGCATGCACTGGACGGTAGGGCGAGCTGACGGCACGGTTGCGGGCGCTGGAGAGTGTTGCATGGGGCTGCGGCGGTGCTGGAAGGGTGCTTGCGGGCAGAGGGGGGGGCGCATTGGCTGTGGTCGCGTGCGATGTAGTCGGGCGGCGATGGTAGCGGCTCATGCTCCTGCTGAGCGACGCATCTTTCTGCGGCTGCACGTCCGGTAGTGCAGGCATCGGCGGGACTGCTGCTGGAGGAGAGGCCTGCTGCCGAAAAGGGCCCGGCAGCGGTGGCTGCTCTTCCTGGGCCCGTCGCACACTTCGATAGCGAGACAGGCGGCCCATCTTGCCGGCTGCGGCGTCTGCCAGCGACGTTGTGTCGGCGCCCATGGTGCAGTGGTTGTCGTGGTACAATCAATGCGCTGCGTGCCTGCGCCGAGTTGATGCAAGGTACGAGAGCCACATGTGGATGCGGGTGGGTAAAAGGGCAAGTGCAAGCGGGTAAAACGGCAGTCGCGCAGCTGTCGAATGAAGTACTCCCGACTATGCACCGCTACACCAAGATTAGGCGGGGTTGGAGGATGCACTCAGGGGTCTACTATAAATAAACGCTGACACAAGCTGAACCACGCGTTCCACCATGATATACGCCTTGACGACCAGCACGTAGCACAGCATATCCTGTCCACTCCCAATGTCTCATCTGCAATCCAGTCGCCTGCCAGGAACCGTTGGACGCAAGAACACTGCATCGTCGTAGCTCAAAACTCAGACATGGTCATGGCCCGTTCCGAGCGATTCACCTTCAAGATTGCAATTGTACCCCTTGGACTCTGCGCTGGTGAAATTTGGCTTGTTTAGATGCTATGACGTAACTAAGATGGCAAGGGCTGGACATAGCTGCAGCAAAAAATAACTCCATGACCATGTACAAATTCCAGCTTTGCCCACCACATCGAAACCCAGCCATACAAACGCAATATGTCGACGTTACCAAGGAAAACCCAAAACCCCCTACTTCAGTCATACAGAATTGAGCACGTGAATGGGGTATTCGAAGTGAAGAACCGGAAAAAGAGAAGAACGAAAACCCCCTTCCCCCCACAAAAGATAGCAATGGAGATTGACTTGGTGCGCACGAAAGAGGAGCACCAACCAGGAAAAAGAATATGATCCAAGTGACGTTGCGAGGAAAACGATTGTCAAAGTACGTTTCATGTGAGATTACCGCCACAGGTCTGCCCTCGAAGCCCGCTTCTCACGTCCAGCATGGCTCATCCAACTCGTGCTCGGTGTACGCCCATGACCACTGCTGACGCCCAGTGAGTTCGAATGGCCATGTCCCATGCCTCCACTGGGCGTCATCTGTCCCGCGCTCCGCGGCCTAGCGTCATCCGCGGGAATAGCAAGGAACCCACCGAATCCGTTGGGCACCACGATACTCTTCCTCGCATCCCCACCCCACTGCGGCCCAAGCCCTTTGTGTGCGGAAAAACTGCTCAGCGGGCGGCCACCAGCCATGGATGCGCGACGTCCAGTGGCTTCTGGTGGGATGATGGATGTGAAGATCCAGTCCAGCTCGTCGAGGCCCTTGGAGTAGACCTCGAGGGGTTGGTTGAACATGGGCGGGGGTGCCTCGCTGAACGGACGGACGGGCGGCGCGAGGGTCAGAATCTCAGGGAACTCGGGGTCGCGGACGTAGAGTTGGCGGAGAGCAGGCAGGCAGTTGGACATGAGGGACCTGGCGAGGTATTGGTAGTACGAGGCAGCAGGAGGATAGACCTGGCTCGCGGAGCTCGAGACGATTTCGAAGTTGAGCTTGTGCAGTGCCAGAGAAGCCATGGGTGGGATTGGGTCGAGGGGCAGGGCGGCTGTGACGGTCGCGGTGTAGTCTAGGGTCTTGAGGTTGCCTGCTGCGTGCAGGATGATGTGCAGGTCCGCAACGCGGATGCCCGAGCAATGCTTGATGTCGAGCGTCTTCAGCTTGCCCCCGCACATGGGGTTGTAGAGATATTGCGCCAGTCCATCGGCGGTGACGTTGTGGACCTTGTCCAGTTTGAGCGTGTCCAGGGCGGGGAAGGGGGGCAGACCCGGCGCGTCGTGGAAGGTCGAGTCGTCCATCCAGGAGACGCCGGAGATCCTGAGCTCGCTAAGACGGGGGAGCATGCTAAAGGCCTGCCTCAGCACGCCCGGATCAGTGTGCACCTTGTTGAGCTCCATGACGCGCAGCTCCTGCCAGTAGCCGTGCAGGAGCGACTCGAGGCACTGCTCCCCGCCCTCGTTATACTTCATCTTCTGGATGTGTGGACAGCGGGCCTGCAGCTCCTGGCGCAGCGGATGGCACGACACGTCGCCCGTGTAGAAGCCGTCGGGCAGATCGATGTATTCGATGTTGGGGCAGGCCGACACGGTGCGGGCCATGTCAGCCTTGCACGACTCACGCGTCATGTAGGGCAGCTTGATGAAGCGCACGCGCTGGCCCAGGTACTGGTTCCCGCGCACGCTCTGGCTGAGCTGCTGCAGGCGCAATGTCGGGGCATCCGTCTCGTCGCCGTGGCGTGACTTGCGCCGGCGCAGGTCGGCGTAGACTTCTTCGAGCTCGCAGTAGTGCACGGCGTCGATGCGGATGCTGTTGTACCTGCTTGCTGTCAGCCACTGGCCCAAGCCTGCATGCAGGCGCGGGCACTCACAGCAGACCGGCGGCAATGCTGTACCATTGCCGCTTGACCAGGGCGCAATGCGCCAGGTCCCGCATGTCGCAGCTCATGCAGCCATCGTTGCCGCTGTCCTCGCTGCCGACGAGCGTCTCGTCGACCGCGTGCGGACACACCTCCTCGAATATGCGGCGCAGGATCGTGTCGGGAAGGCGCTGCGTCTGGTCGGCCCCGTGGTACTCGTCGACGGGTGCGGCGGGAAACTTGAAGTCGTTGTGCGCGGCGCTCGCCTTGTTCTTCCGCTTGGTGAAGCGCTTGAAGAAGCCCATGATGCCGGAGAAGGAGCTGTCAATTGGTTAGGCGGGGGGGAAATCACGGTTGCAACGGCGAGGTCGGGGTTCAAAAGTGTCGTGTTGGACAAGGGAGCTAGGACACGCACTGCGGGGAGTAAGGGTTCACCATGCTGGACAAAGAAAGCCGCCGTTAGAGTTTCAGGCGCTATGAAACGGACCCGCGCAGTAGGCAGACGGACTAGATTACTGGAGTGCAGCTACCCAACGCGCCGGAGAGGGCGTCCCCCAGGCCATGTATGTACTGTACAGCACGCAACAAGCAACGAGCGACGCGTCTCAGGGGTCGCCCTCCACAGACAAGATCAACATGGACGAACACATGGCTGCAACCTAGTGCTCGTTTGTGGCCCGTCAGCCAAGCCACCAAACGCCCTGGAGGAGAAGCTTCCATCGCAAACGCAGTGCCACTTGAGAGTGGTAGCGGGGAAGCGCTAGGCGTTGGCAACCGGAGAAGCGTGAGCAGTGAGGAGACATGTCATCTTGTAGGTGGTAGCTCTGCCAGACACGACGCCAGCCAGCACACGACGGTGGAATTCAACAAGTTTCAACAACGACGCCGTGCTCGCCGTAGGAAACGCAGGGCCGTCTCGATCAAGCCTGACACAGCTGGATGGGTTGGGCTGCGGGCGGGTGCACGGCGGAGGCGGGACACACGTGAGAGCATCCAACCAGACGCGTGCGTGCATGTCGGTGTCGGTGAAGCTACCATTCGCCGCGCCTTGACGTGGAAGAGTGAGAGCGAGGTGAAGTTTGGTAGAGCGTACCGTAGTCCAGAGTTAGTCATTACAACTGGTATGGTAAGTAATACCGCGGTTCGTAATTAACACCATGTCTTTGTTTGCACACACTATCACGTCGCGGCCATGTTGGTGACAGCTGGAGGCGCACAGTCGTCGTTATGCCAGTCGTTATGCCGCCAAGCTAGCTCTCCGCTATCCACGTCAAGAAATCTTCTGAGAACATTCGCACGAGCCTCCAGACTCCCCTTCTGCATCCTTACTCCGAGTCTCATCTCTCAGCGGAGACTCCTTTCCTCGCCTCGTCTCCATTGCCCGAGTCGTACGTGTCCTACTCCCCTCGCTCGCAGCCACACCGCTGGCTCCCCTCACCACCGCCCGTCTCCTTCACCTGCCATCACCTGCTTATTCCCTGTATAGCCGGACTGGTCCATCGGCTGCTGGGCTCCTTCCTCGCACGCATCCTCGACGTCAGCCCGCAGCTGAATACGCCATCGCCGCCCACTACCCACCAGGAGCTTCGAGATAACAGAGCTGTCCACCATGGCTACTCAAACAACACCCAACCCACAAGCCCCCAACCTGGACCGCTACGTGGTGATACATGTGGCCACGACCTGCGACGAGCATGGCGTATACGTCACCAAGGACTCGGCTGAGGTGATTGAGCTCGGATGGATCCTGCTGGATGCAAAGTCCTGCGAAGAGGTACCTTCACCGCACCTTTGATTGCTGTTGCAGCTGCTGACCCGTGCCAGCTTCACCGCGAGAGTGTGCTCGTGAAACCCGTCAACACGCCCATCACGGCCCTGTGCAGTAAGTCTGCATTCACCTGCTGCATTCACTGCGCGCTGCTGACGTCGACATTGCAGCCAGCTTGACAACCCTGACATGGGACCAGGTCCGCAACGCCGGCTCCTTCCGTGATGCTGTGGAGCGCTTCAATGCCTTTGCCCAGGAGCACATGATCCCAAAGAACCTCGAGTTCGCCTTTGTGACATTGGACTCGTGGGACCTGCGGGTGCAGCTGCCCCGCGAGGCCCGCGACAAGTCGGTGGTGCTGCCCCCATACCTGCAGCACTCGAGGACCTTTGACCTGCGAACAGAGTACCAGCGCTGGCAGGCGCACCACCCGGAGTCTTTGCCCTTCGGCTCGAGTGCCCTGACGAACATCTGTGCGGCGTTGGAGGTGGAGCCGGTGCAGTCGTCTGCGCCTATCAAACACAACCTGCCCTTTCACCTGCAGGCCCTCGCGCCTGCCTCGCCAAGACGTGCCATGGAAGAAGCGGTCACGCTTGCAAGAGTCCTTCGCGGCTTAATTCGCAAGAGCCAGCCTCCACAAGAACACCCCGACGTCCTAACAAAGCCAATGGATGCACGAGCCGACGTCCGCGCGTTTCTGTCCGAGCGCAGCAAGGTCCTGCACATGAGCGGCCTGCCCCACGACACGACCCAGTCTGAGCTCGAGAGCTGGTTCACGCAGTTTGGCGGTCGCCCCATCGCCTTCTGGACCCTCCGCACCCCAGACCAGCACAAGCCAACCGGCACGGGTTTCGCCATCTTCTCGTCTCACGAGGAGGTAAGTAGCGCTCGCCCATACCTTTCACATCACACGCTGACACACGCAGGCTGCTGAGAGTCTCTGCATGAACGGACGCGCCCTGAACGAGAAGGCCATTGAGGTCTCGCCATCATCCAGCCGCGTGCTTGACCGAGCGGCTGATATCATCACGCCGTTCCCACCCAGCAAGAACCGACCCCGCCCAGGTGACTGGAACTGCCCCTCATGCGGCTTCTCCAACTTCCAGCGCCGCACAGCCTGCTTCCGCTGCTCGTTCCCCGCCATGCAGCAAGGCCCGCCTAGCGACGCAATGGCCTATGGTGGTGGGTACGGCTACGGACACCCTGGCATGATGGGTCCTCCCCAGCACCACATGGGTGGTCACGGTCACGGTCACGGAATGGGTGGTGGCCACATGCGCGGCGGTACTGGTGTCGTGCCCTTCCGTGCCGGTGACTGGAAGTGCGGCGAGAATGGCTGTGGCTACCACAACTTTGCCAAGAACACTGCTTGTCTGCGCTGCGGTGCTAGCCGTGCCGGCGCTGCTGTCGTTGCCGACTCCGCCTTCCCGTCCCCAATGGACACTCCCTCGGGCTACAGCATGGGACCCCCCTCCATGGGAGGTACCCCTGGTGCTGGACCCTACGGCCCCGCCGGCTATGGTGCTGGTGGTTTCCCTGCGCAGCAGTTCGGCGGACCCCCCAGCTCCTATGCTCTCCCCTCCGGCATGGGTGCCGCCAGCCCGTACCCTCCCATGGGTGCTCAGTACGCTCACAACGGAGGCATGCACCAGACTCCCTTTGACAGCCGCTCAGCCGAGGCTGCCTTCACTGGTGCAGACCCCTACCAGAATCAGGGCGCTGGCAACGGCAACGACCCCTTCTCCTTCCTCTCCACTGGCTTCGGCTCGCTGTCGATGAACGACGACCGCCGCAACGTCTCAAACTCCGCCAACAAGTCACCGGCGTAATTGCACATGTAACATAAGGTATCGATTATCTGGAGCCAATGATCTTTGACAAGTGATTTGATATGGGACGGTTTCTTCGGACAGGCTGGCGCGATACAAGATTGAATTTCGGGGAGTTTTGTCGTCATTCTGGCTGGATTAACATTTCGTGGCATTTGCGGCTACCTGGCATGGACACGGGCAACGGGGAATCGCGTATAGACTGGAGATCTTTTGGTGACGGGGAGTTTGATACCTAGGTGGACTGGCGGTGTTTGGGTGGGGGGGCATGGCAATGGGCATGGGCATGGGTATGGCGTGGATGGGCAAATCAACTTGATAAATTTGTTTGTTTGTTTTTTTCTCTTTCTTGCAAAAAGACGGGGACACAGAGGAGGGGGAGGAAGGAAAAGAAGAAAAAAAGCAAAGGCGGGTTTTTTAGTAGAAGAAGATGAGATGAAGATGAAGACGATGGAAGCGTATAACTACTTCTCTTTTGGATGTTTTTTTCTTCGCTGGAGGGGTCTTTTCGTTGGCTTTTGGAGGTTGCTGCTGCTGTTGAGGGTTTGCTTCTTGCTTTGTTTCTCCCCTTTCCCCCTTTTCTTCTTCTTCTATCTCGACTGGCGATTTATATATGATTGTGGTTGTCTGCTCTTAAGGACTTTTGTTCACTGCTTGCTTACCCACTTACTTCCTTACTTACTTACTTACTCAACAAATTGACCGTGTTTATTCGATTTGATTCGCTGATTTCATATGGTGACTACTCTCTGATGCTACGTGTAACGGTGGTTAGTACTTTAGCATCTGACGTGATAGAATAGCATACTCTTCTTCCACTCTCTTCTCTATCTCCTCTATCTCTCCATCCCTCCTTCCCTCACTCCTCCTACCTCTCTATCCCCTACCCCCTCCTCCACCTCCCTCCTTCTCAACACCCCTCCCCGCTCCCCCGGTACCCTCATATCCATCCATCCATCCACCCACCACATCTCCATCTTACACACTATCCCTCGTCCCATCTCATCTTTCTGTACTCCTACTTCCCCAGCCCCATCTCGTTCTATGTTCTATACATATATGTCTCGCCTCATCTTGTACAGAACGGAATAAAATGGCGTGCGACTCACAGGCTATGTTCACTTAGTAGGTAATTGTTAACAGTTGGTGTTGTATGTTTACGAGGTGGTTGCTTGTAGATTGGTTGGTTTGTCTTTCTTCACATGTTTCCGTTATTTATATAGTTAATTGAACGATAGGAAATCGAGGTATAAACGAACCGCCTGATGAATATATCTAAGGATTAGTATGTGGAAGGGGACTATCAAATCCGCCGCACTGGAGTAGAGTAGGAGGTTAGTCCTCGTCTGAATGGCCAGACAGACAGACGAACACTATAGTTCTCGTAGTGATGCCTTGGCTTCTGCGATTCTTGCTATAGATAGGGGTACGTAACATGAACCCAGAGAGCCAGTCCACCCATGCCGAACAGAAAGACGACGAGAAGAGAATAAAACCCGCAGAGACAGGAAGAAGAGAGGGTACACGAGCAAACATACAACCACACTCAAAACACAGTACATCTTCCAGACTGCTCAAAACACGCTAGAACCACCAACACACCCCCCCCCCCCCCCCCCCCCCCCCCGTCTCCTCAGACAGCACGCCCACGCTCCGCCTCCCCCCTCTCCTGCACGCTCTCCTCCACGCCCTCAAGCGCACTTCCACCCCCCGTCTTCTTGAAATCCTCACCCCCCAGCTCCTGCACGTGATGTTACACTTCCGCTTCTCCACCGCGGGAACAAACTTACCTTCTCGCCCGCACCTCCTGAGGACGAGGTACTCGTGCCTTTGGCCGGGGCGTCAGACTTTTTGTCTGTGGAGCCGGAGTTTATGGGGTTCTGGGGCTGGGTTTCGCTGGATTCTTGGCTTGTGAGGGAGGACATTGCGAGTTAATTTCTCTGCGGGGTTTGTTGGTAGATCGGGGGATCGGGGGAATTATGATTAGGACCTTGGGATGGGGGAAGGGGTGTTGTATCAGAACGCTGGATGGGTGGATGGGTAACGAGGTGGAGGGTACGTCATGGTGATCGAAGAGGGAATGGGGGGTCCACATTTCTTCTCTCCACGAGGCTGGATTCGGTGCATGAGTATGGAGAGTTGCTTTGCGCGTTGGTTATGGGTGGAGTGTTATTCGATGTTGAGGAGGTTTTCGCGACACGAGGTTGGGGAACCGAAGTTTTATTGATGGCTGCCTGGGGGGTTGAATATGCGTGGTACATTGGGCAACTAGTAGGAATACGTCGAAAGCTAAACGAAACAATCAAATCACTCACTCTATCCTTGGTTTATGGGAGATGTATAATTGAACTATGCACCGAATGTTATTGTTAATTCGACAAGAACTTTTACCGTTTCCAACAATATGAGACGCGGACTCGAAGAAAGCGATGTCTGAGAAACCTTCTCAGAAACCACATTTCCGCAACACCAATGAAATAACCCCATTCTCAACTGAACCCTCTCTGTAAAACCTCAGAATACGTGCTCCTCCCAGTACAAATAGTAAATCCACGAAAACAGATCAACAACCAAGAACAAAAGTCAAACTCCCACAATTCACCCCCCTAAACACCCAAGCAAGAACTCTCAGACTTCTTTCCTCCTCGGAGCTTGAGTTAGAAGCCAAAAGCCCAAAGAACCAGCTCAACAATACTAGTACTCAAGCCCAAAACTGCGCAGCAGAAAACGCAGATGATGCAGATGATGTGGAAGAAGCGAAGTATACCCCTTCCCTCGTTCTCGTTTAGGACGCGCGCGGTAGATAGAAGCGGCGTCTTCTCGTCTATGGTGGTAAGCGGCAGAATCGGGGTTTGGCGAGAAATGCCCAGGGTGATTGGGAGGATAGGCATCATTGTTCGGTGAAGTGGTTGGTTTGTGGTGGGGATTGGGTAAGGTGAGGTAAGGTAGATTGAGGTTTGCTGATGGGGAAATGTGAAGATGGAGACTGAGGTTTATATACTAAGTGTGGAAAAAGATTTGTTGGAATGCGTGGATTGTAAGTGGTTGGAAGAGTTTGATATTGTGGTGAAGATTGGTTCGGAAGTGGAGAAGAGCCATATCCAGATGTTGACAACACCAAGATCAGAAATGTACTGGAGAGTGCACCGACCTGATGGAAAATCTCAAAGGTTCTACCAGCAAGCTGGAAATCCAATCAAATAATCTGGGAATACTTCTAATTTCATCGTAAGTGTGACGGCGTCCATCAAGCTTATTGAGAACAGTCAGCCTTAAGGGTCTTATCTGTTCGATTCGCGTCTTCAGCTTTGTGTGATTCAAAGTTGGTTGTACTGCCCTCTATAGTATTTGTAATTTCTACAAAATCTATAGCTTGCTCTTGCCAATGCCCCAGATCTCAGCTCCGGGATCATTGGTGTTTTTGCCTACAGACGCGCCCGGAGCGACACCTTCTTGCCCTTCCTCGATGAAAAGGGCCTGCGATTTTTTCATCGTCTCGATGGCCTCGCGCTCGATACGTCTGAGCAACTCCTCGTTTGTGGGAATGTCATGGATGAGACCGATAACCTGACCGGCGGTCCAAACCTGCACTCGTTGTTAAGTTACATACAGATGGAACGTTTTCATGGATACTTACACCAAAGTCTGGGTCACCGTTCTGGAATACCTGTCGGCCTCGCTTGCCGCTGACATACTCGGCGACCTCTTCGAACTTTCCAGTTGTGCTGGTCTTCTCGATATCGACAGCTTGCAGGGCAACCTTGTTCGCGAAGAGTCGCGAGGTGTTCTTCCACCGTCGCAGCACGAGAGTAGTGTCTGTCTCTTGCGCATCGACGATGGACTGCTTGATATTTTGGTGAATAGGCGACTCGACAGTACACATAAAACGAGTTCCCATGTTAATTCCGCAGGCGCCTAGAGCAAGCGCAGCGGCCAGCCCTTGGCCATCTGCGAAACCCCCAGAGGCGATGAACGGCACGCCTAGCGACTGGCGAGCCCTGCTCAGCAAAATGAAGTTGGTAATGTCAGTCTCGCCCACATGTCCAGCGCACTCGAAGCCGTCAATCGACAGGAAATCGACGCCCAACTTCACAGCAGATTGAGCATGCCTGATGGTGGTGCACTTGTGCAGGATGGTTGTGCCGGCAGCCTTGAGCTGCCTTATGACAGGCCCTGGACTGTTTCCAGCCGTCTCCACAATGTTGATTTTCTCCTCGATGATGACGCGTGCGTAGGCGGCATAGTCTGGAGGAACCAGAGCAGGCAAGAGCGTAAGGTTTACACCAAAGGGGTTCTTCGTCATTGTGCGGCAGCGACGGATCTCTTTGCGGAGATCTTCAGGCGATGGCTGTGTGAGCGCAGTCAACTGTGCATCGTGAGCCGCTGTTTTAGTGAACAAAGAGATGGGATGAAACATACCAGCCCCAGACCACCCGCATTGCTGACAGCGCTGGCAAGTTCTGCATAGCCAACCCACTGCATTCCACCCTGAACGACGGGCACTATTCAGGACTTGTTAGTCTCGTGTTGCTGGGCAGTGAGATGGCTACTTACCTCTGATGCCGAGTGCACGCGTAAGCTCTGTGTTAAACGGCATGTTGACGTGTATACAGAAAATGGACGACTACCTCGAGAGAAGATAACGATGTATGTGTTGAAAGGGAGCTTCAAAAGTTATTTGAAGCTTCCCCAGCCGCGCTGCTTCAACCGGCCGTCGCGAGACTCGTGTGGGGAAACGTGTGCCGAGGCATTCCAGATGCGTCGAGGCGTTGTCAGATGAAATCCAACGACTCGTGCGCCGGTACGATTCGGCCATGCTGAGTCGCTCGTGACAAAGTTCACAAGAAACATCATCAGTAGCGTGTGGGGATGCCGCTTGGTGGGGTTGGTTGAGTAACGGCAGCAGGCCAAATTCAGGGTAATCGCCGGTTTGTAGAGTGTTCTTTCACATGTCTTTGAAACAGTCCTTTCGCTCTGACGAGAATTAGTGTATATCAATAAGTTACTGGTTGGCTGTGCACGCGTTATTGGATGGGTCAGCATTTTATTATCAATTGTAATCAAAAGGTACTCGAAACTAGGAGGTTCTAGAGTTATGTTCAGGTCATTCCATGCAGCGACTCTTCTTTGTTCGAACAAATACTAAGGCGCGATACCATAAGACGATAAGATCTGACGAACTCTGTGTTTAAAGAGTACTGGAAAGTGCAACGAGGCAGTGATGGCATCTAGCAACGATGACGGGTATTGCCCCCGGAAAGTGGCGTTTGCTTTCTTGACATGCTACATGCGACCTCAACTGCAGTCATGCTTGCTTAGGCCACCAACGCTAACACTTACAACATACTATATATTTCCACCTCCATGCCAGTCATTCGTGACGCACTCACGATGTTTACTCTGATCACTCTTCTTGGTGCAACCCAGCTCGCTCGCGCCTCGAGTGCGCCCAAATCCTACGACTATGTCATTGTGGGTGGCGGGCCAGCAGGTCTCCTCATGGCGAACCGTTTGTCTTCCAATCCGGATACTACAGTTGCTGTGATCGAAGCAGGAGATTCTGCATACAACAACTCAAATGTCAGCTCTATTACAGAATACGGTGCAGGTCTCAACACCCAGGTCGACTGGGGTTATGTCAGTGTACCGCAGATATCCAACCGCACGTTATTATACCACCAGGGTAAGGCGCTGGGAGGCACCACAACGATCAATGGTATGACATACCTCCGAGCGGAGAAGACTCAGATTGATGCGTGGGAAGAGTTGGGAAATGAGGGCTGGAACTGGAACAGTATGTGGCCGTTCTATCTTGATCATGAAGCTTTCCAGAAGCCAAGCAAAGAGCAGCAAGAGAAAGGCGCAACATACGACGAAGAATTGCATGGATTCAATGGTGATGTCGGTGTGGGATTCACTCCGTATCTTATGGGTCAAGGCGTGTTTGACATACTCAAGAAAACTTCACAAGCCCTCGACTATCCGTTCAATGCAGACCCGAATGGTGGCAGTATGCGTGGGACCTCACTTTGGCCGATGACGCTTAACACTACCACAAAAACACGCGAAGATGCTGCAACTGCGCTATATTATCCGATTGCAAAAGAAAGACCGAACTTGCATGTGTACCTCAGCACGATCGCAACACGCCTTGTCTGGGACAAGAGCTTGTCAGCGAATACTGGTCTGGTTGCCTCGGGTGTGGAGGTGATTACTCCTAGAAACAAGACTGAGACACTGCGTGCAAAAAAAGAAGTTATCATCTCTTCAGGATCAATTCGCTCACCTGCACTGCTTGAGCACTCAGGAGTTGGCAACCCAGCTGTTCTTGGACCCCTCGGAATTGAACAGGTCATTTCACTTCACACTGTGGGTGCAAATTTACAAGATCAGCCGCAATCGGCAATCATGTACACTTCTTCGACGAATTGGACAGGATACCCTACATTCGTGAGCTATCTCACGGCGTCTGACCTTTTTGGCGATGATCTGCCTATCCTCAGGGCTGAGCTCAATGCCAACATCAGTGCGTACGCATCGACCATTATCACAGACTATGCGCCAAACACAACTACTCCTGAAGTCCAAGAACGTCTCCTGAAGCACCAGATAGACTTGTTGTTTGACCCTAATAGTACGATTCCGCTGACAGAACTTCTCTGGGCTCCCACTGAGAATGCGATCGTTGTGGTTTTCTGGAATCTACTGCCGTTCTCTCGAGGCTCAGTCCACATTACCTCTCCTGACCCCACGATCCCACCGGCGATAGACCCGAGGTTTCTCCAACTTCCTATCGACACGTATGTTCAGGCCGCAACTGCAATACGTGTACGCGAGTTCTTCGCGACGGCACCACTGTCCACTCACGTTGGTGTCGAGCTCGAACCTGGATTCGAGACAATTCCTGCAAGCGCAGGCTGGCGAGATTCCACTTGGAAGGAATGGATTACACAGAAGTACTCGACCAATTTGCACCCCATCAGTACGTGTGCGATGATGAGTAAGGTCCTGGGAGGCGTTGTAGATGCGAAGGGACGGGTGTACGGAACAAGTAATGTCAGGGTTGTAGATGCGAGCGTGATGCCTACGCAAGTCAGTGGGCACCTGACGGCGAGTGTGTATGCCATTGCCGGAAAGATCGCCAATTCTATCGTGGCTTTTTATAGTGGATAGCTTGTTATGCATGAACAGTAGGCCCTCCTTGGCGCTAGGCAGCAGCAGCTTCTAATAGCATTACACATCCCAGACAACTGTTGTTCTCAAACATTGCTATTTACGTGTGATCGGATAGTTCTGTTTGCTACTGCACACTTGTTTGGTCACACCCTTCACCAGTGGGGGCAAAGCACAACAAGCTTTGGAACGTAAGTACGCAAACCTTGCAGATCAAGATTTTTACTAACACGGCTAGATACTGTCGATGTTCCACGCAGTTCGTGTTTACAATCGTTCAATAAGTAGATATTGCCCAGGCAATCTCAACACGACTTCGAGATGTCGTCACTCATGACCATACCCCGCGAGCTGCGCGATCAGATCTGTACATATGCTCTCCTGGCCCAGACAAACGAACCTCCTCTACTCGAAAAAGACTTCTATGAGCTCATCAAGGGACGAACAATCTACGCTCAGCCAAAGATGTTCTCCTGGACTGATGTTGTGCTCTACCAGCTGGAGGGTAACATCTCCAACGCCTCCAGCCTTTTACGAGTCAACCATCAACTACATGCCGAAACTCTGGAGAACCTCAAATTCATTCCAGAAGCCCGCACGTACGACCTAGATGTGGTTATCCTGGATGAGGTTCTCCCCCTGCCGACGTGGCTCCGCGTCCCAGCTCTTACTTCAAGCATCGACGTTTTGAATGCCACATTTCGCATTTCGGGCAACTTCACTACTATGGGAGGAAGGCGTGGGCATGCATACTCCCAACTCGGGGTCTACAATGGATGGAGAGTGGGCGACGGTGGGCCCCCAGCTATGACTTGGCAGATATACAGCTTGCTGGGGCGCTTCATTAGAGTCGGACCGACTGGAGAGCGAGCTACGGACAAAGAACACAAACATGTCATCGTCAAAACACTCTGCATAGATGTCAAGTCCCCGCCTAGCGTTGATCCCAGTCGCTTTGGCAAGCCCAAAAGCGGTCGTGGTTGCAACTGGGATGAGGAACCGGAGCACGTTCTGGATCCACAGTATCTTGTGGACTTTCTCGTTGAACAGATAGACTGGCTACTGAGTGGGGATCATGGTCATGAGTGGTTCAGCTATGGGATGATCTTGTATGAGCACGTGGATGAGATCATCGTGTCACAAGACAATAAGCACATGCGTACGTGGGACGTTGCGACACATCTAAAACACGTGGATGGCTTTGATGAGCGATATTTCTCAGCGGAGCGGGTGAAGGAGTATAAGAGGAAGACCTGGCAATGGAGGAAGGCGAGAGGTTTACGAGTTCTGGATGGATGAGTGCGCTGTGATTGGGATGTGGTTTCGTGGGCCATAGGTGAAGGTTTAATCAGTGTCATTCGGTTGTTAATTAGCTAAAGCAGCCAGTTGAGGTGATTCAGTCGTAGAGTTATTTAACAGTTTAGACACATGGAAAACTCAAGCATGTGGATTTGATTCCATATACAAGGTCACGAAAGACTCCACCACAACAGAAGCATACATAAGACTTTGAAAAGATTAACCATAAAGATGCCGTTCGCTACTTGTAAAGAAATTACCCGTAAAGAGATCACATTTGCAAAGAACAAAGAAAGTGCATGTCGAGTTGAATTTATCATCTAAATCATAAAGGTTGCTTGATGTATACTTTTTCAATGTCCTCAGAAACACCATGAGACTATACTCCAAATAGCCTGTACCTCGACAGACCCTCATTCCCACCGCCAGACTACTTACGTTCAGTCTTCGCAATCCATTTCAAGACAACATCGGCAATCTGTCCATTATTCTTCTCCAAGTGCATGAAGTGCGCGTTGCCTCGGATACCAATCTCGCTCAGCTTGATCCACTCAGGGTTACCGCCAACCTGCTTCAAGTAGTTCACAATGCAGTGATCGTATGTGATGTGCACACTGGCCTCTGAAGTGATCTGCACATACGGGACCTTGGCAATCTTTGGCAGCTTGCGCGCAGGTTCGACTTGTTGGTAGCATTGGCGCAGCGCGGTGGTGGCGTTACCAACTTGTTCGACAACAAGCTCGGAAGGGCTAGAGATGGGTGGGTCGTAGTCAAGGGGGGTTGTTGTAAGACCATAGGGGTTGGAAGCGTAGCCGGTTGTACCATAGCTGTACCAGTAGAATGGTATAGTGCTGCCTTCCAAGTTGATATTTCCAGCAACATACTGCGGGCAATCGTTTGACAACATCATGTTGGTGCCGGCACCTGCGGAATGAGCGATCAGGTACGATGGCCCGATGAGCTCGAGCAGTGCACATCCAGAAGCGCGAAGGCCGAGTTCAAAGGCCGTGGTGTTCAGCGGATACGGAACCAATTGTTTCTTGAAGTTCTCGAAAATGGGATCTCCAACTCTTCCCGAGCCGGGGAATTGAGTATGCAGTTGGGCCTGTGGGTAAGCGTTATAGTATTTTACTCCAGTGAAGCCCTGTTCGATCAGTTGAGCCGTTGATCCGGCAGACATGGGAAAGTTGGTCAGATCTGCCTCCGCACTTCGACCCAAACCCACCGAGTCGACGATGTAGACAGTATATCCCTTTTCAACGAAGTAGGCGGCGAAGCCCTTTCGATTGTCAGGCGTATTCAGCTACAATCACAGACGCGAAGTCAGTACATGATTCGCGTGAAGATAGTAATCTATTTTAACGTACCCATGTTGCTCCGGTGCAACCTCCACCGTGGGAAAAGACCAGTGGCTTGGACTGGTAAGGCCCACGGGATGGAGTAATCTTCTCGACGTAGAGCTTGTCCGCCGTCAACTCGCCTGTAGCAACTGTGAGAGGTCTACCGCCGACGTAGAAAAAGTCGCGGGTATATGGAAATGTATCTGGGCTACTGCATTTGGGACTAATCGCGTTGACCCCAGTACAATTCGTCCTCTGCGCAGATGAGAGGGTGGCAAGGAGGGAAACCAATATCAATGAGGATACCATATTGACGACTACTAAGTGGATAGAGTGGTTTCAAAAAGCGAGTAATGGACAAGTGAAGATGTACTGTCTCGATCTCTTCTCAACAGCTGCGAGCTGGCATCAACTTTGTACCTTGCTACCACCCCTGTGCTGTAAACTTTACTTTGGAAAACACCAGGATAGATGCAGTGCTACTGCAATCCTCCGGAGCTGCGACTACATGCTCTTGACTTTGCGGTGTAGACCGGATCCTACTTGCAGGTAAACATGCGCTGGAAGCAGTTCAGGAGGATTCCTCTAGGATCTCGAGTCATTTCCGCACCGGAACCATTCTCCCGAGACGAACAGCTACTCTGCTCACAATCAAGAACTAGTTCGTGTTAGGAATCACCAATTCTAGAACTACAGGTAGCGAGTCGTCGTAATCAACGGCAGTGTTGCGACACAGACGAATCATGTCGATGAAAGAAACATGAGGGGAAGCACGTAACAGAACGTGCGGGTCGGGTCAGCAGCCCCGGCTTGGCACGTGCGGGTGGCAACTGCATCTTTACTTCCGGAATTTAACCGCGCATAAGCATAAGGAACAACCTCGTCCTCATTGCTCTAACATGGTTGACCTTGCTAACAGTGGTGGGAACTCCATCACCGTGTCCACACGTATATCGGCCGCGGTGAATTCCAGGACATATCGCCGATTCCTCGCCACATTGAAGGATGAGCCAGAGGAAGATTGCCAGAGCAACTCCGCATTCCCGTACGAGAACCAGAGTTTCCAATGCATAGGATGTGCCAAACCCTGCAATGAGGAGAATTGCCCCATGCACAATTCTCAGGTCCCGTATTCTCGCTCAGCCCGTGTCTACGAGATGACGATGTTCAAGGATAGGTTGTTTTGCGAGGCGCAAGTATCATAGCCTCGCGGCAACGCGCCTCACTGGTGTTTCTCTTTTATAGTGTGTATCGGGTGGGATTAGCGTTCTGGTGGTTTCTGTTCTTCTTTTCTTGGCTTGATGTTTTCACTGCTGCCGTTTTCGTCATCTCTTCCGCGACGAGTACACCTATTCTTTCCAGATGAAACCAACGTCGATATCCAATGATCCTTCCACGCTCCCTACCTCAGGGCCGTCCGCCATGATCGGTCAACCGCCTGCAAATCTTCGAGACTATTATATCGTCAAGGGCCTGTTCCGCATGGTCACTCTCAACGATGCGAATCCTATGATGGGTTATTTCCTGGCTGTTAAGCCTCCATCCGGATATGTGCACGAAAGCCGAGCGCCTGGCATTCTTGTCGGTATGCTAGTTGTGATTACAGCCATTGTGTTACCGACAGCCACAAGACTGATATTGAGGCTGAGGCAGAACAAGATGAAATTCGACGAGGATGACTGGGCTATTCTAGCGGCAGTGGTCAGTCGATTGCATCTTGCAGACCGAGACGACTTACTGACACGAACGAATAAAAGTTTCTTGCAGTGGTTTTTCCTACACTACAGATCGTCAGTCTTTTCAAGGGCGGCGGTGGTCAACATACCTGGGAGATAACGTACGAAGTAATGGAGTACGGAAACATGACCGGCTATATCTGCAAGATCACGTTCTACCAGGCCGTCAGCGTCATCAAGCTATCCATCGCACTCTTCGTCCGTCGACTGGCGGACCCCTTGTTGCTAAAGTGGCGATGGTTCTGCGATGTTTTCATCGGGAGTGTCGTAGCCTACATGCTCGTAGCGCTATTCTGGACCATCTTCGCCTGCGATACGCCCCGAGCGCAATGGTCTCTCTACGAGCGTGGACGTTTAGATTCTCCCCCGCATTGTTTGAACACAAAGCTGCAATCGCAGGTCCTTGGCGGTATTCATCTTGCGCAGGGCATAATGCTGGCGTCGGCGCCAATCTTCATCCTGTGGAAAGTTCGCATGAATCGTGCGAAGAAGATGCGTCTCTACATTTACTGGATCACAGGCGGTATCACCATCCTGGGTGGACTCCTGCGGACGATTCGGCCAGGAGGGTACAAAGACGTGACGTGGGAGTTCGTCGAGGTTCTAGGCTGGACATGTCTTGATCTCGTGTTGGGCATCATCACCGCATCACTGCCCATACTCGACGGCATGTTTTCGGATTGGTGGAACAAGGTGATTAGGTCATCTGCCGACAACCATGAGATATGCTCTCTATCTCAAGTAAACACGTTCGACGGCTGGCCGTCCAGCGATCCAAAACAACAGTCACACAATCATGCAGCGCATCATCTGTCTTTAAGAGTGCAGGAGTATTCCGAGTCGAGCGAGAGCATTGTAAGGAAACAACCGTCATTGGAATTGGGTATCTTCAGGACTCGAGAGGTGGAAGTCCAAAATTCATCAGCATCGATTTCAGCTGATTGCACGCTCGACAAGGTGTCCAAATGCCAGGCTCCATTGCCGGTGTGAAATGAAAATATCAAAATGGAGACAAGATGCTTGTTTGGGCTCGGATTCGACAACTCAAACAAAGCGACGACAACCCGCTCTGGTGGATGGCACTGTGTATATATGATATGGGGTATCATCAGCTATCCCTTCCTACACGTTTGGGACGATATGCAAAGGTACGTGGAACTTACTCCTTGTGATCGCCATGGTGGAATCCCTACTCACAAACTATAGTATCCTTGTGTTATGACTTCAACGTCCTGTTACATTGGAAACATAATTCCATCTCCTCGTCAAAAGTTACAATAGAACCAGAGAGGACTCGCCACGCCAACAACCCATCAAGACTTGAACGCCCACTCAGGCAACGCCTGCCCAAGATCCTTCCTCCCCGCCTTCCACCCCTCATACGCCTTCCAAACCCTAACCGGCAACTCCTCCGGCCGCGGCCTCTCCTCAGGCCTAAGCCGCAAACACATCCCCACAACCCGCTCCAGCCCCTTCTTCCGCTCCACCCCCCTCGCCAACGCCTCACACTCCCTCGCATCCGGCACCCCCACCCCCTCCGCCAAACACCACCCCACAAGCCCCAACATATACACATCCCCCATCTCGCTCCACCGCGGCGCCTCAGGCGGCACAAACGCCATATCACACGCAAACGGAATCGTACTCTGCGCCTCGCGCATATCGCGCTCACTAACCGCGCACCCAAAGTCTCCCAGCACCACACTCGGATACGGGCTAGAATTCGCGCCCAGCCCGTCCTGCCACGTGAGAAACAGATTCGCAGGCTTGATGTCGCGGTGGAATATCCGGTTCCAGCCCTCCTTCCGCGACACACTCGACCCCCCCATCGCAGCGCGCCCGACGCTCATCCCGTCCCGCCCAGTCTGCAGATACGCCAGCGCAAGCGACACATCCCACAGCGCTTTCCACACGAACCCCGAGTCAGGCAGCGTGGCGCCGCGCCGTGCGAGTCGGGATAGCAGTGCGCTGACGGACCCCAGGTCGCAGTAGGGCATGAAGATGCTGCCGTAGCCTGTGGCGGAGTGGGAGAGGTCGAAGCCGCTTAGTCCGATTATGTGCGCGTGGTTGCATTGCTGCAGGGCGCGGACTTCGCGCAGCGCGAAACCGCTGGTTATTACTGAGGGGGGGATGCGCTTTTCCACGCAGAGTGCGTTTGTGACGCGCGAGCGCACGATTAGGATCCCGGCGTTCATGCCGCCGTCGCGGCCGAGTGGGGTTTTGCGGACGGGCTTGAATTGCTCGCGGGGGGACATGGTTGGGTGGTTGGGGTTGGTTTGGTTTGGGGTTTGGGGGAGAGGCATGTGGGATAGGAGGGTTTTGATGTTTGAGGGAGGGTTGGATGGGGTGAATAGGGGGTTGAGGTCGGGGAGTGAATTGTGAGTTCACTGGCTTGGGGTGGGCGAGGGAATACTACATTGTGGACGTGAAGAGCTGGGTGGAATGGACGTTGTGCTGGTTGATGTTCAGCAGTGAGTTGTAAGATACCCAACGTGGCGGTCGACGTATGAGGTGACATGGTTTCTTTCTCAATGGAGTCACAGTCGTGGGAGCGATGTCGAGGTAGTGAAGAAATACCTCGTGTACGAGTATCTCAATCATCTCGTAGACTCGGTGATGCGTAGGAGTAAGAGTATTATCAGTCCGGTGAATAGCGCGGGCACTCTACTCGCAGTCAGTAGTCAATACTCACCGGGAATCATCCCGTTCCATGCTCTCTTGAGAATCATGGGCCATCCAGACAAAGAAATGGCCGTTCCCACACGATAGATACCACAACTGTTGCAAGGCGAGATGACCGAATCACGGAAAACGAAGAACAGAACAAGGCACAAAGATCAAGAATCAAAGAAATCTGTACATCTACTACAGCGAGATACCGCCTCAATCCATCCACCAACCCACGCTCCAAATCAGCAACGACACCCCAGTTTGCACATGAACAAAGAATCACCTAGTGACGCATTGCTCCGTCTCCCCTTTGCTTCCATCTAAGTGGGAGTTTGACGTGTGGACATGATGGAATCTCGTGCTGAGTGGAGAAATGAGGTGCGAAAAGCTCTGCCGTCTATTTGTCGTCGGGGTACATGGCCTCCTTGAGTGGGATGCCGAGCTCCTCGCGCATGGGCTCGAGCTCGGTGAGGTACTCTGCGTATTGGCCCTTGTTCTCGACCTTGAACTTGATGCCTGCGGGGTGTTAGTAATCGGGTTCATCTGACTGGTTACAATTCATCTCGAAAAAAAGACATGAATGTTGCGTGAAGTGTTGGATGCTAGTATCTGGACTGGCCATGACATACCCTCAAAAACACGGACAGCCGAGGGGAAGTCGTTGACACGCCTGGCAGCGCGGAGAGCAGCGGTGATGACCGAAGGCGAGGGGACAAGATCGTAGGCAAAGCAGTTGTTAAGGTTTCGCTGTCTACCCGTCAGCCCACGTGCGTCTTCGCAAGAGTCTCCCCCGCGTCATCGGGAGGTTCCGGCGCGGGTCGCAACAAACATACCTGAAGCTCGAAAACGTCGTTCACTTTGTCGAACTCGGCCTCGTATCTGTAGTGATACCACACACGTCAGCGACACAGCTCGCGACAAGCTCAATGGGGCTCAATGGCAGCCCTTGTGCTCGGGCACCGCTCCCCCATGCTCCACTATTCTGTCCCTCCCCCCCCGCGGATGCGTCATACCTGGCGGTGAACTCCTCGAACGTCTCTTCCGAGTGCGCGTCGTTGCAGCGGACAGCCGACTGGGAGAAGGCGCGCTGGGCGTTCCAGGCAACGGGCGTGGCTCGGTATACCGGGGCTCGCACGCCCGCTCGGCTGACCTTTGACGTGGCGCGAACAAAGGACATTGTGGGTGTGAATGGCCTGGCAGGGAGCTGCAGATGGACGTGGGAGGGTGATTGGGCGCGGTAGCCGGACGGTGTGGTGGTGGGGGCTGGTGTTGGCGACGATTGCTCTGCTGAGGTCTTGCGTTTTGCATCGAACGACCCGAGTTGCGTTCAATGCCAAGTGTCGAAAAGTGGGTCGCGCCTGCCCGTTCCTGAGTGACGACACACCATCTCTCCGACATATCGGGGAGAGTTGGGATATTGTAGGAGGTGAGCTACTGAAATGGTCCATTACAACTTTTCATGTTCTGTGATTGCGAGGACGTTATAGTACATGATCGACAACGTCTTGCCTGCCCGCTGCTTCGCGTATCACCCACAAAACTGTAACATTTGTTCACCTCCCATCTACACTCTGTAGAGACCACCAAACGGCGCAGGGCCCTCAGATGCCGCTCGTGAGAACGTGGCAAGGCCATCGTCATCATCATCGTCGTCGTCGTCTCCATTGTCTGACCCCCAAGCTCCACCAGCATTCTCATTCCGTTCGCCATCTTCACCATCCCCTTCGTCCTCATCCTCGTCATCCTCGTCGTCGCTGCTACCGTTGTTTTCTTCATTCAGAATCGCCTCCGCTGTAATAGGATCCTCCGTCATATCCTCGGGAATGTCGCCGTCCTCTGCTTCGTCAGCTTGCTGCTCCGCCGCCTCCATTTTCTCAAAGGCATATCTCGGGTTCCTTGCCGCCCATCGCGCACTGTGCATGACGTTGTGCTCTTTGATTTTTTCTTGATGTATCTCGCGGTTGTTGACCTCGTCTCTGTACGTATCGTATATCTCCTTGTCGTCCCAGAGCTCGGGCCACTCGATGAGGCGCCTGTAGATACTGTCATCTGGCGTACCCCCTCCAATGATAGTGTTCATCTTGTCCTTGAGAATGACGGTTGCCTTTGCCCATGTTCCAACATGAAACCATCCTTGAAAAGTCGGCGCGCATGTTGCCCGGATGTCGCTTGTGTCCAGGATGTTTGCAATCAGGGGGTCCGTGATGTCGCAGAACTGGAAGAGGTTGCCTGTGTGGGACACAGTGACTCCGTCAAACGTGTGCTGATCTTCCAAATCCTTCGCCGACATGTGGATAAGCTTCTGCACATGCTGGTCGTGAGCCTTGAAGTGTCTAGGGGTGCCTGTCTTGAGATAGGATAGAAACGACACTGTTTGATAGCTCCGGTATTTGGGGTTTTTACGCGGATCAAGTCCCCATTTTACAAGCGCCTCTCGCCATGGTCCACTCTCGAAGAAGTAGCCACAGTACACGGCGGCTTGTCTTAGCTGGTAGCGTTTACTCCAACCTAGTTTGTTGTAGAGTATGTGTCGAGTGATGATGGGTCTTGATGCTAGTTCGGCTCTGATCTGCGCGATCAGGGTCTGCAGATACGGCGAGAGAGATGACTCAGGCGGCAAAGTTGGCTTCGGACCAGTAGGAACACCTTGGGCGGTGGGCTTGATAATGGTATGGCCACGGTAAGCCAAGCTTTTCTGCAGGTTGACCTCGCCTTTGCCAGTGTATTTGATATAAGTATTCTGCTGGAACCTGGAACCTATCAATACGCTGATGCAAGTGATGACCTGCACAAACATACCGATAGTTGAAAGCAACAGGCATTTGCAGAAATTCCGCAGAAGGCCCAACTGACTTTGTCGAGTCTGCGCCGGCCGCCGTGTTGAGTGTGTAGTTCTTCACTTGGCTGTCTACAAATATGATTAGATACATACACTTCCGCGTCAACCAGTGTTGGCTTACAGCGTAAAGGCAGAACATGCTGTCTGAGGCCAGCCATCATATCGCTATGAGTGGCAGCGTATTGCAAGTCGGGCATAGCTGGATTGTTAGAGGGTGTTCAAAAAGATGAAACTTGGCACTCACTACGAAACCGATGAGTCTCGTCGACCATTCCAGCGAGGGCGACTTTGTAGGTGGAGACATTGTCCTGGAGACTCATGTAGATGACCGCGGCGTCCACATACGGAGTCGTCGTGCTTCCTGTCTCACCTTCGGCTAAGAATGGTCCCAAAGAGCCCCGCTTTCGTCTGCGACCAGTCCGTTTGGGCACTGTGACTTTGAGGAGCAGGTTGCTGGTCGTCACTGGGGTGGAGAGCAAACGCTTCGCAAAGGGGTCGTCTGGCCGCAGGGACACTGAGATGAGTTTCTTGAGCTCATCGTCGCCTTCTGCGTTGGTGGTTGTTTCCAGCTTCGACCTCAGACCCTGAGTGATGTGTCAGCCGCAGACAGTGGTGACACGCATAGCTCTCTTCCTGACCTTGCTCAGTTTGACAGGTCCTCCCAGTGAGGCAATGCCCTTGTCGATGTTCTTGATCAAGCATGGGTGTTCTACCACTGAAATGGCGCGGGACGGGATGGCCAGCCACGGCGCATGCTGTCTGTCGCCGTTCTCGCTCACGGCATCACCGTGTTCGTGGTTCATGTTGGGGTGCAGGCCGTGGAAAAATATGAGGGTCGCGTCGCAACTTCCTCTTCAGGATCAGGGGCCTGGTGATGGTGCTGGCGGGCGCGCAGTCGAATCAAGCCATGACTGCGTGCTGCACAATGTCGGAATCTCTGCCCCTGCCCTCTATGTAGCCGTCGCCCCAGTCTCTCTCTTGTCGCCATGTCTGCCTGCACCCGCCGCCGTGATGCTCGGTGCTCTGCGCAAGTGGGGTCTTCCACAAGCGGCCTAGCGCACAGCGAGGCGGTTTAGCGTCCAGCGAGCATGCCATCACGCTGGCGGCCGTCGAGGTCCTGAGTTGGCAGCTCGAACGTCCTACTGCATTTTCATCCTCCCGGGCCGCCTCGCACACCGCTTTCCTCTGCCTGGCAGCGTTGACTGAGTCTCTCCGCAGCTGACAGGGCACTAGCTGCCGTTCGACGTCGCCGTCCCCTGCGAGCTCTCCTCCTCCTCGCCAACACCCGCCGACCATCCCCAACTCGACCACCACCGACGATCCGTTGCGGCACGCGTCCGTCCTCTATGTCGACCTGAGCCTGCCGCCATCTGCTCCTGCCGTATCGTGTGTGCGCGTCGACCCTGCTGTCCATTGGCGCTGTTGGCCTGCGACGTTGCGACTCCGCCGCGGACGTCTCGAGGGCAGCCCCCAACCCGCATCCCCTCTCCGCACCCCGTCCGCTCTGCGTGACGTGCATTTGCGCCGGTCACAGTCATGAAGGGCTTCAGGCAAAGGGTTGTAAGTCCTCCGCTACCCCCTACGTGTGTCCTCGCGCGCTGCCCGTGTCGAGCCTTGCCCCTCTGTGCGCAGAAGCTAACATGGTTAGCATGAACAGCTCTCACGGGCAAAGGATAACAAGTCATCTAAGAAGAAAGACTCGACCTCCGGCACCGCCTCGCCCTCGCTCGGCGCCTCCAACTCGCCCTCCAACTCGGCCCAGCCCACGCCGTCCTCGTCCCAGACGCAGCTCGCAGACGCGCGGAGCAAGATCCAATCGCCCGCCGACGGTTCTCCCGGACCCGCAGGCCCACCTCAGCCCGGCCAGTCGGGCGGACCTGCCCCTGCGCCTGCCGGCGCACTGTTTGGGCCCCAGGGCCTGATGAACGCAGGCGCTGCTGCCACTGCCAATGCCGGCGCTGCTGGCCCTGGCACCTCCCACAGACTCGGGCAGCCTCTGGCCCCCAGTGTCGTCATCAGCCCAAGCGCTCCCGTGAGTGATGCCACCTACATGCACAAGGAGCACTGGTGTACTGACGCTGTCCCAGCACATCCCTCCTCCAGGTGCCGCTGAGACCATGCCCGGCGACCTCGCACCCCCGAAGGCTGGCGCCAAATCCGGCATTTTCGATCGTCTACAAGCAACGCCCAAGGACAACATCGAGGGCGTCAGGACGCCGAAGCGACAGCACTCGTCACGATTCGACATCTCCGACCAACGCCAGCGAGAGTTGGAGAAGCTGCCAGGGTTCCACGAAGTGCCCCCGAACAAGCGGGAAGAGCTCTTCGTGCAGAAGATCGACCAGTGTAACATCATTTTCGATTTCAACGATGCCAGTGGTGATATGAAGTCGAAGGAAATCAAGCGTCTAGCTTTGCACGAGCTGCTCGACTATGTCGCCAACAACCGGCAGGTCATCACCGAGAAGATGTACCCCCTTGTAGTACAAATGTTCGCCAAGAATCTGTTCCGCCCTATCCCACCTCCCATGAACCCCCAGGGCGAGGCGTTTGACCCCGAGGAAGACGAGCCCGTGCTCGAAGTCGCATGGCCGCACATTCAGGTCGTCTACGAGTTCTTCCTGCGTTTCATCGAAAGCCAGGACTTCAACACGAACATTGCCAAAGCATATATAGACCACAGTTTCGTGCTCAACGTAAGTCCATGTCCTCATAGCGCCCATGCAACCAAACTGGTTCATATATTTTGCTAACACGGCTAAGCTCCTTGAACTGTTTGATTCTGAAGACCCTCGCGAACGCGATTTCTTGAAGACTACACTCCATCGCATATATGGCAAATTCCTCAACCTCCGCTCATACATTCGCCGGTCCATCAACAACGTCTTCTTCCAATTTATCTACGAGACTGAGCGGTTCAACGGCATCGCGGAGCTTCTTGAAATCCTCGGTTCAATCATCAATGGTTTTGCGCTGCCACTAAAGGAGGAACATAAGCTCTTCCTCACAAGAGTGCTCATTCCAATGCATAAAGTCAAGGGTTTGAGCATGTATCACCCGCAATTGGCTTACTGCATCGTTCAGTTTTTGGAAAAAGATGCTGCCTTGACAGAAGAGGTATGTATTCTCCAACAATCCATCAGTATACGCTAATAATTGCAGGTTGTACTTGGTCTTTTGCGCTATTGGCCAAAAGTCAACAGCACCAAGGAAGTCATGTACCTCAACGAAGTGGAGGACATCTTTGAGGTCATGGACCCTGCCGAATTCGCAAAGGTCCAGGAGCCCCTTTTCAATCAGCTGGCGAAGTCGGTAGCCAGCCCTCACTTCCAGGTACGTGAATGTTTTGTCTATACACAATGGAGTTACTGATCATGCTGTAGGTTGCTGAGCGCGCACTCTATTTCTGGAACAACGAGTACTTCTGCAATCTTGTCAGTGACAATGTTGAGGTCATCTTGCCTATCATGTTCGCTCCTCTGTACGAAAACTCCAAAGGACATTGGAACCGGTACGTTCGCCACACCAACAACACGCATGCAGTTGCTAACAACTGACACTAGAACAATTCATGGCATGGTCTACAACGCCATGAAATTGTTCATGGAAGTGAACCCACAGCTCTTCGACGATTGTTCGCACGACTACGCGGAATCTCAGAACAATGCAGGCCAAAGGCAACAGAGTCGGCAGGATCGTTGGGACAAGCTTGCCAAGCTTGCTGAGGATCGTCAAAACGGAAAGATGGAAAACGCAGGTTCGACGGGCACCAAAGCAGCCTCAACAATGCGGTTAGATGACTCGGATCCGCTCAGCCAAGGTCGACTGGAGAACCTGCGGCTGCAAGACGACGGGTCGGCATCAAGAGACAAGCGGCCGAAGGATTACGAGCGAGCGAGCAGCCAGACTTCGGTACGTTGATTCTCACGTCCTTGGAACTCAGGATGAGGATTCTCTGTGGGCGAATCAATGTACTCTTAATTCTATTCCTAGATTTCTAGGTCTTCTTCTTGTTCAAGACTTGTATTAGGTTCAGGTGGAATCTGACGATTATGCTTGCGATTTCTGCAGCGCCGGCACCACGCCTCGCAAGGAGCTCATCACGTACAAACTCATGTTGCCCGGCGGGCGTCTACCGGAAGACCCAGGAGCAACAGCCGACCTACTTCCTCTGGCAGCTCTTCTCGCAGTGGAGGGCAGAACGGGATTGTTCGCTCAAATTCGGGAAAATCCATTACACGGGATCGGGACGTTTAGCTTGTGGCAACACATTTTCTTCTCTTTTGCCAACTCTTTCCGCCTTCGTTTTTTCCTTTGCTGTGTTTTCAATGAGTTGTAGTGCGATGGTGTGGATTGCATTGGCATTTGCTGGTCTATCAGCATTGCGGGCTGTTTGGATTCTCACGGTCTTGCCAAAAATGAGGGATTTCATTAGGGTGTTCGGGGCCTGCGAGTATCTTTTTTTTCTGCAGACGGGCATGTGAAGATGAACTCAATTCTTTCACGCTGAATAGATATGGAATACAGGGATTCTTCTGACGCGGCTTTGCCAGTCTTGTAAATGATATGTCACTGTTGTTGTTCTCCTGAACAGGGGGACGTTCTCGGACTTTCGTATGCCAAGGTGTCCGGCCAGCTCCTTCCTCTCAGGTCATGCATGTGATAATGGCCCTTTTCGAACTTACGTCATACTCGAATGAACACATGTAAACAATGGATTGCTGTGTTGAATCTGGGCCAGGTGTGACAATGAGCAGTAATTTCCTCGTTCTAGGCCTTTCAACCAAGAGTCTGATAATTCGCCTCGGTCGTCGCATCGCAATTTGGGCTGCGCCTTTTCAATGAGCAACGTTGCGCGTTGGACAGGTTGCGGAAATGAATGCCGACCGCTACGCTAGGCTTGTTGGCATGCCCCCTTTCCGAGAATTCAAGCATCAAAACCGCCGGGCAACGCTGTGCAGTTCTTTTTCAGCATTTAGACGTGGCCTCGCTTTGCTGTCGAGCCGCTTCCACTTCTCCGTCGTTCTTTCAGCGTTTGCTGCCTTTCTTCTTTCTCCACATTGGCTCGTGTTTGCCCAAGCGCGACCCTGCAACTTGCATCGTGGAGCTTCGGAACCGTCTTGAACAGCACCACCTACTTTCCCGCCAACAACAAACTACACATCAGTCATCATGGGTTCTCCTGACTGGCTTGAGGTCGGTGTACCGACACTCGACCGCCCATTTGGTCTCGCTCTGTGGCCCATCTTTGAGAAGATCTTCGAGCCCATTGTTGGATACAAGCCGCAAGACTTCCGATTCGTGTCCGGCGAGACACCACTCTCGACGTTCAAGGCATGCGCTGCCACCCTTGTCGTATACTACATCACAATATTCGGCGGCCGCGAGTTCATGCGGAATCGCGAGCCCTTCAAGCTCGAGTTCCTCTTCAAGCTCCACAACTTCTACCTCACCGCAATTAGCGCCTCCCTCCTGGTGCTGTTCGCGGAGCAGATCATCCCCATTGTTGCGAGGAATGGCATCTTCTTTGCCATCTGCGACCACCGCGGCGGCTGGACTGACAAGCTCGTCATCTTGTACTACGTGGGTACACCGCATCACACGACTGGAAGAACACAACTGACATGCATAGCTCAACTACCTCACCAAATACGTCGAATTCATTGACACGGGGTTCCTGTTCCTGAAGAAGAAGCCCTTGAGTAAGAGCGCTCCTTTTCACGTTCAATTCGTTTGCTGACCTAGCTAGCCTTCCTCCACACCTACCACCACGGCGCGACCGCACTCCTCTGCTACACCCAGCTCATCGGACACACTCCCGTCTCATGGCCTGTTATCACGCTGAACCTGGCTGTCCACGTCATCATGTACTGGTACTACTTTCAGAGCGCGCGTGGTATTCGCATCTGGTGGAAGAAGTACATCACGATCGGACAGATCTCCCAGTTCGTTCTTGACATCGGTACGGTTCTCCCTCTTCCCAAACCAAACATGCGATGCCACAGTTGCTAACTAAAGCAGGTTTCATCTACTTCGCCTCGTACACCTACTTCACCAGCACATACTGGCCCCACATCCCCAACATGGGCAAGTGCGCCGGCGAGGAGTTTGCTGCTATTGCTGGAATCTGCATCATCACGTCGTACCTCCTCCTCTTCATCGCTTTCTACTTCGCTACGTACAAGAAGCCAGTGCCTAAGGGGCGCCGCCGTGCTACCAGCGCGTTGGTTGAGATGAAGGATGGCAAGGTTCCGACAGTTGGTGAAGCTCGCAGGCGCCTGTCGACCTCTCGCGCGGAACTCTCCCCGAACGGAACACCCAATGGCCGTGCTACTCGAAGCCGAAAGGCTTAGACGCGTCGAGTCCGCGCGCAGATACATTTGTGATTGGGGGTTTCGCCTTGCGCAGATACATTGCATGCAGTGCAATCACGTCATGATATCAATGGGAGGAACCTTTTTGGCTGGGCTCCCTACCCTTTTTCAAACTTGACTTACAACTACCCTGGAGGGCTGCAATTTTATACTCTATTGTAATTGTCATGCCATTGGGTTGCCCTTTTTTCTCATCTTAGGTGGCACCCTCGCGTTACGAAAAGCATATATGTAGGAGTATGGGTGTCGGGGATTCACGACGACTTCGTTTATCGGTGTTGGTGGATGGTTGTCCTGGAACAGGGTTACTTGGTATGCTGTTTGGGACGAGATGTAATGCATAATCGTCATGAAGAGAGGATCTTACTGTTTGCTGAATTGAGTGCTGTGAGCTGTGCTGTGTCATGTTTGGAAGGGGTTGTGAACTGATTGCTGGGAGAAGGGTCTTGATGACCCCTTTCCTGTACGGAGGACTGTTGCGATATGTTGATGCCTGTTGAGATTTATGTCCAAGGCTGATGTTTGATTGTTTGACTTTGAATACCCTGGGATTTGGGAGATGGTTGCAGTACAAGTTAGTAGATGGTTGGCTTGTTGATGGTAGAACTTTACCGGAGCAAATAAATAACTCTGTATACATCACAATTCAACATTCTCCATCGCCTTCTCCAAGCTTCGAGCAATGGGCAACCGGAGTTGACGACGCCGACTAGCGACTAGCAAGGTTGTCTATCCAATCAAAAACTCCTCCAACCATCATCACTAGACTATCCAGGGACTAGCTTGGATTTGGATTTGGTCGACGCATCGCCCGCCCAATGCGCAGAGACAGAGCTCAAGTCGCGACACCAGCAGCTTTCACGCTGGACGCGACCTTAGTCCCACCACCAACACTCTTTGTCAGGTCATGACTGTAATGACCATATAGGCACCGTAGCCTCCCATTTCCCTGCCACCAAATAATATTCACCCGTGCTACTCGCGCACACCTACTGCAACCCAGGCGAACGCAGCCTCCCGACCAATGCACCTTCCTCCTACCGCGACATAGACCGACGATATTGAGGGGGAGTGCAGTCGAGGACTCAACTGAAGATACAGACGAGCGGCGACGCGCTGCGCACAACGCGACCATGGCGACGAACAACTTCGAGGCTATGGCCTCCAAGCTGGACGATGCGAATTCTGGTACGAAGGCTTCCTGCTGGGGACACTCGGTGTGGGAATGGATGCGTAGACTGTAGTAAAGAGATTGGGAGCTGATTTGGCGCAGACCTCCGAACGAGGGGCACCCTCGCCATCGACATACGGGACAACATCGAGACATACTGCCAGGGCGCACAGTATGCTGTCTTCCTGAACCACCTCGTTCCCGTCTTTCTGAAGATCCTGGATGGGAACCCCGTCTTCATATCCACGTCGCCAGAACAGGTGAGCGCGCCGCTTGCGACAGCAAAGGACTGGCTAACGTGTGCCCCAGCGAATACGGAACTGCGTCCTGGAGATCTTGCACCGGCTTCCCATGAACCCAGTCGAGGCGGTGGAACCCCATGCGGCGAAGATAGTGGACAAGCTTATGAGCTTGGTGAAGCTTGAGAACGAAGATAATGCGGTGCTCTGCATGAAGACCATCATGGACTTCCAGCGACACCAAACAAAGGCCCTCGCGGACCGCGTACAGCCCTTCTTGGACCTCATCCAGGAGATGTTCGAGACAATGGAACAGGCAGTTCACGACACGTTTGACAGCAACGCGCCCGCGCCCGCGTCGCAGGGCGTGCCATCGACGCCCAACAACCCACAATATTCGCAGTCGCCACGACCGAGCTCTCCGGCGACCGCCCTCACATCAGGCCCCGCGGGCGACATTGGGTCTGAACACCAGCAGACGCGCATGCTGCTCAAGGGCATGCAGTCGTTCAAGGTCCTCGCCGAATGTCCGATAATAGTAGTGTCGCTCTTCCAGGCATACCGCAACTGCGTGAACAAGAATGTAAAGCTTTTTGTTCCCTTGATCAAGAACGTGCTCTTGCTCCAGGCCAAACCGCAAGAGAAGGAGCATGAGGAGGCAAAGGCCCAGGGCAAGATCTTCACCGGGGTCAGCAAGCAGATTCGCAACCGCGCTGCGTTTGGAGACTTCATTACAGCTCAAGTCAAGACTATGAGCTTTCTGGCTTACCTGCTCAGGGTGTATGCGAACCAGCTGAACGACTTCCTACCGACGCTACCAGACATTGTGGTACGACTGCTCAAAGATTGCCCGCGGGAGAAGTCCGGCGCGCGCAAAGAACTTCTGGTGGCTATTAGGCATATCATCAATTTCAACTTCCGGAAAATCTTTCTTAAGAAGATCGACGAGCTCTTGGATGAACGCACGTTGATCGGCGACGGCCTCACAGTGTATGAGACTATGCGACCACTGGCCTACAGCATGTTGGCTGATCTGATACATCACTTGCGCGATTCCTTGTCGAAGGAGCAGATCCGCCGCACGGTCGAGGTGTACACGAAGAACCTCCACGACAGCTTCCCAGGCACGAGTTTTCAAACTATGAGTGCGAAACTTCTCCTTAACATGGCTGAGTGTATCGCCAAGCTGGAGCCGAAGGAAGACGCGCGATACTTCCTGATCATGATCCTGAACGCCATCGGTGATAAGTTCGCAGCTATGAACCGCCAATATCACAACGCTGTAAAGCTATCTGCGCAGTACAGCCAGCCTTCCATCGATGCGGTTGATGAGAACCACATGGCTGTGCAAGAGCAGCCTCCTGACTGGGATGAGATTGACATCTTCAACGCGACACCGATCAAGACTTCGAATCCACGAGATAGAAGCTCTGATCCGATTGCTGACAATAAGTTTTTGTTCAAGAACCTGCTACATGGACTGAAGAATCTGTTCTACCAGCTGCGAGTATGCAATCCCGCCAAGATCAAGGACGAAATCGACGTTGCCAATGCGTCAGCCAACTGGCACGAGGTGTCATTCGGGTACAACGCAGAAGAGGTAGAGGTTTTGATCAAGCTATTCCGCGAGGGCGCAAAGGTCTTCCGCTACTACGGAACAGAAAAGCCGCAAGATGCACAGGGCCTGTCGGCAGGAGATCTCATGGGCAACCTGCACATGATGTCGAGCGGAAAGGAAGAGAAGGAGCTTCTGGAGACGTTTGCGACTGTTTTCCACCACATTGACCCGGCTACATTCCACGAAGTGTTTTCATCTGAGATACCCCATTTGTACGATATGATGTTCGATCACCCGGCGTTACTCCATGTCCCGCAGTTTCTGCTCGCTTCCGAGGCGACGTCGCCCAGCTTTTCCGGCATGCTGTTGCAGTTTCTTATGGATCGGATAGAAGAAGTCGGGACTGCGGATACGAAGAAGTCGTCGATATTGTTACGCCTCTTCAAGCTGTCTTTCATGGCCGTCACGCTCTTCTCGGCGCAGAATGAGCAGGTTCTTCTGCCGCATGTCAGCAAGATCATAACGCAGTCGATACAGTTGTCGACGACGGCCGAGGAGCCAATGAACTACTTTCTTCTTCTCAGGTCGCTGTTTCGAAGCATTGGCGGCGGGAGATTCGAGCACCTCTACAAGGAGATTCTCCCCCTTCTGGAGATGCTACTGGATGTGCTCAATAATCTTCTGGTCACGGCACGCAAGCCAGCTGAGCGTGACCTGTTTGTGGAACTGTCTCTCACTGTGCCGGCGCGGTTGAGTAACTTACTTCCTCATCTCAGCTACCTTATGAGGCCGCTGGTCGTGGCGTTGCGGGCTGGATCAGATCTCGTTGGGCAGGGGTTGCGCACGCTGGAGCTTTGCGTGGACAACTTGACTGCTGATTATCTGGACCCGATCATGGCGCCTGTCATCGACGAACTCATGGCTGCGCTTTGGGAACACCTAAAGCCAAATCCTTACAGTCACTTCCATGCCCATACCACAATGCGCATTCTAGGGAAACTCGGTGGCCGGAATCGCAAGTTCATCACTGGACCCCCGGAGTTGGAGTACAAGGATTACTCGGACGATCAGTCGTCCATCGACATCCGTCTCATCGGCTCGACCAAGGACCGCGCCTTCCCAGCTGCCATCGGTATCGACACTGCGATTTCGAAACTCCATGAGATACCTAAGCTGCCGGCTGCGAAGAAGTCGGACGTTTTCCACAAGCAGCAAGCGTTTCGACTCATCACTGCGCACACGAAGCTCATGATTGGGTTCGACAACTTGCCCGAGGACTTTGCGCAGTTAGTACGACTACAAGCAAATGACTTATGCGCGAAGAAGTTCGACCTTGGTTACGACGTCCTGTCGGCTTCTGAACGCGAGAAATCCATCTCCAAGAAGAACGTCGAGCAGGAAACTCTGAAGAAACTCTTGAAAGCCTGCGTTTTCGCCGTGTCGATACCGGATCTCAAGTCGGAGGCTGATACCTTGGTGACGAATCTGGCGAAGCACTTCGCTATTCTTGAGCTTGGGTCACAATTTGCTATTTCTAAACACAAGGCCAAGCTATTCGAAGTGCACTCTGGAGAGGGTCCGATTGTTATCGAGAGCGATGTCATCTCGGAAGCCCTTGGCGAGTCCCTCGCATCTGAGCATGGGGTAGTCAGAGACGCCGCTGAGCAGGCCATCCTGACCATACGGGATACTGTTCGAACGATGTTCGGAGACAATGACAAGCTCGATAGATTCCAGTTTTTCAACGAGCTCGCCAGCACGTTTTGCCACAACTGCCACGCCGACGACTGGTTTATGAAGTCTGGAGGAACACGTGGAATAGAGATCATGATACGCAAGATTGGTCTGCCTCAGTCGTGGATGGTCGCTCGCCATTTCGAACTCATCCGAGCGCTGAATTTCGTTATGAAAGATATGCCTATTGACCTGGACTCCAAGACGCGCATACAGGCCGAGGGGCTCATAGAGGACTTGATCCGACGATGTCACAAGACGACGTCTAAAGAAGAGTTCGAGAAGGGACAAAACATTACGCTGCGATTGTGTGGACAGTTGGTGGGGGATCTGTCACATATGAACAAGTGTGTGCGGGAAGCTACACAGAAGGCATTCCACGTCCTGTCCGACGTGACTGGTCTCGGTGTCCATGAGCTCATTGTTCCCGTCAAGGACAGACTCATTGTGCCTATCTGGACGAAGCCGCTTAGGGCGCTGCCATTCGGAATACAGATCGCGTACATCGACGCCATCACCTTCTGCCTGAAGCTCAAGAACAACATCCTTGAGTTTAACGACCAATTGACTAGATTGCTTATGGAGTCGCTGGCGTTGGCTGATGCGGAGGATGAGGGTCTTGCGAGTAAACCCTTTGAGCAACGTAATGCGGAGCACATTGTCAACTTGCGCGTCGCTTGTATCCGTCTTTTGTCTACGGCGCAGAATTTCCCTGAGTTTAGCACCACGCCGCCGAATGCTACGTTCCTTCGCATCATTGCGGTTTTCTTTAAGTGTCTCTACTCCAAGTCGCCGGAGGTTATCGAAGCGGCCAACATTGGCCTGTCTGGCGTCATCTCGGCGACGAACAAGCTGCCAAAGGATATTCTGCAGAGCGGTCTCCGGCCGATTCTTGTTAACCTCCAGGATCCGCGGAAACTGTCGGTTGAGAATCTGGACGGCCTGGCACGATTGCTGAAGCTTCTTACCAACTACTTTAAGGTGGAGATTGGAACGAGACTCCTGGACCACTTGAAGAGCATCGCGGACCAGAACAGCCTGCAGAAGATTTCTTTCACGATGATCGAGCAGAACCCCAAGATGAAGATTGTCACAGGCATCTTCAATATCTTCCATCTCCTTCCTCCAGCAGCCTCGACGTTCCTCAAGCAGATTATCGAGAAGGTGCTTGAGTTGGAGACGGCGTTGCGACGCACGCATTATAGTCCGTTCAGGGAGCCGCTGATCAAGTTTCTCTGCATGTATCCCAAGGAATCTTGGGATCACTTTGCGCCAACACTGAAGGATCAGACTCAAGGTCGCTTCTTCGCGCAGCTCCTTGAAAATGAGGCAAGTGGCCCGCTGCGGAAACAAGTCATGGAGGATGTGCCTGGTTTCTTGGGTGCGTTCCAGCTCGATGCATCGGATAAGGAGATATGCCAGGCTCAGCTCAACGCTATCCACATCGCCTATGCGCTGAGTCAGTCTGAGGACACGAGCAAATGGCTTGTCTCCCATGATGACTTGCGGAAGGGACTACTTGAGGCTGCGAGGTCACTGGAGAAGAAACTCCGACAGAACAGTATTGACCCTGAACTGCGACTGGCGACGGAACAAGCTGGCGATCAGATCATGGTCATTCTCACTACGTACCTCAAGCATGAGCCCGAGAGCCTGGACTTCTTCTTCGAGCTCGTCGATGCTGTTACTTCGGAGGAATTGAAGGCTTCCCCGCTGCTGTTTGACTTCATCTTCGACCAGATTGTCTCGAACGAGTCCGTCGAGTACTGGAAGACTTTGATCCATAAGTGTATCGATATGTACACGTCGCGGAACTCGTCGCAGAAGACGAAGACTTTCATCTTCCGGTACATTGTCAATCCTATCTTCGCCATGGATGTCAAGCGGAACTGGGACGGGTTGTTCGAGCAGAAGACGAAGGGTACCAAGTTGATGGACAAGGCTATGACGGAGACGATTCACAACCGTTTGTGGAAACCGCAATCCTTGACCGATACGTCGGAGGAAACGGCGCAGCTTGGTGTCGACCATTCGCGGATGGAGTTGCTCCAACTGACCACACTGCTGCTCAAGCACTACTCCGGCATGATACAGGATGCCCGCAAAGATGTCATCAAGTTTGCGTGGAATTACATCAAGCTGGAAGACATCATCAACAAGTACGCAGCCTACGTTTTGATCGCATTCTTCATCGCGCAATATGACACCCCCGTCAAGATCGCAATCCAAGTCTATCAAGCCCTCCTCAAAGCGCACCAGAACGAGGGTCGTTCGCTGGTCATGCAGGCCCTCGAGCTCATGGCGCCGGTTCTGAAGAAGCGCATGGGTGGCGGTGACGCGAAGATGCCTCGCTGGATCCAGTACCCACGCAAGGTTCTCTCCGAGGAAAGCTCTAACCTACAGCAGCTCATGAGCATCTTCAACTTCCTTGTTCGACACCCGGATCTCTTCTATGAAGGCCGCGAGCATCTGTCCCCAATCATCATCACGGCTCTCTCTAAGATCGCGCAACCGCCAAACTACAGCACCGATGCGAAGAAGCTCGCGCTGAACCTGATCAGTCTCATCCATAAGTGGGAGGAGCGTACTGCAAATGACGCTGGTGGCGCGATTGACCGGGCGTCGCAGTCGCCGCAGGGGTTTAAGAGGAAGGCGGATGGATCGATTGTCGCCCCTGGATCGCTGCCTAAGGGATTCGTCGCTCAGCCCGCTATTCGCATGATGCTGATCAAGTATCTCATCTCATTCATTGCATATCTTCCTGAACGCTTTCCTGTCGCCTCGCCAAAGTCCAAGGAAGTGGCTCCCGTCGCTGCAAACACGCCACAGCCTGCTGAGATCTGCAGAAAGGGTGTGCTGCTGCTACATGATTTGCTCTCGTCTCGACTGTGGAGTGATTTGGATCTGGACCTCATGCTCACGAAGAAGATCGAGGAGATTCTTCTCTTCGAGATGAAGCAGGATGACAAGCCAGAGGTCTTCAACACGCGCATGATCAATACGCTTCAGCTTGTCAAGGTCATCGTCAATGTCAAACCGGACGATTGGGTGTTGCAGCGCGTTCCTCAGTTCCAGAAGATGCTGGAGAAGCCGATTCGTTCCGAGAATGCGGATGTCCAGGCGAGCCTTCATGCGGCTGATGAGTCGGAAGACGGGTCGATGAAACTGAAGCCGATACTGAAGCGTATCTTGGAAGTCATGCCAGAGCCCATCACAGATGACGAGGGGAATACAGAGGAATCTCCATCGACAGACTTTGTCAACTTCCTTGGTGCTGTTGCGACAGAGGCGCTTTCTAACGGTTCTTATGTCTGCGCTATCAACATACTCTGGACTCTGTGCCAGAAGCGCCCGGAAGAGATCGACCAGCACATTCCGCAAGTCATGAAGGCGTTCCAAGGGAAAATGGCTAAGGACCATCTCGCTGGTCACAGCGCTATACCCGGCCAGCCTGCTGCTCCTGGCATGCGCCCCGAAGGAGGGAACCCGCCGACCGACCCCCGCGAAGTCGAAATCCAGACAGACCTCGTCCTCAAAACAGTTGACATCCTCGCCGCGCGCATGAATGAACTCGGCGAAAACCGAAGGCCGTACCTCAGTGTGCTGGCGTCGCTCGTCGAGCGATCTCAGACTAATTCTGTTTGTATGAAGGTGCTGGATCTGGTCGAGGACTGGATCTTCCACTCTACCGAGCCGGTGCCGACGCTGAAAGAGAAGACGGCTGTGCTGAGTAAGATGCTGTTGTTCGAACATCGACAGGATACTTCGCTTCTGACGCGCTTCCTCGATCTGGTCATTCGGATCTATGAGGATCCGAAGATTACGAGATCGGAGTTGACGGTCAGGATGGAACATGCCTTCCTCATCGGCACGCGGGCCCAGGATGTCGATATGCGGAATCGGTACATGACTATCTTCGATAAGAGCTTGAGCCGCACTGCAGCTAGTCGATTGAGTTATGTGCTTGCTTCGCAGAACTGGGATACGCTTTCCGATAGTTATTGGTTGAGCCAGGTCATCCATTTGATGTTTGGCTCTGTGGAGATGAACACGCCCGCGCAACTGCACGCCGATGACTTCCGACTCATGCAACCGACCACTTTCTTTGGCACGTACAGCAAGGACCCGAGGATCGCGGATATCATGGTCGACGATGATCTGGAGAGCTTGGTCAACAACCATCGCCGTTTCTGCAGCCAGTTGGCTGACGTGAAGATCAAGGATATCTTCGAGCCACTGGGACATTTGCAACATACGGACAGTACTCTGGCGCATGATATTTGGGTTGCTTTCTTCCCCTTGGCGTGGACGGCACTCACGAAAGATGATCAGAGCGATCTGGAGAAGGGCATGACCGCGTTGCTCACCAAGGACTACCACTCGCGTCAACTCGATAAGCGACCAAATTGCGTTGCTACTATGCTGGATGCCATCGTACATGCTCGTCCGCGGGTTAAGTTCCCTCCGCATATCATGAAGTACTTGGCTCAGACATACAACGCTTGGTACACTGCGGCTGTGTATATGGAGGATTCTGCCATCTCGCCGGTCGTCGATGTGGAGAAGCTGAGGGAGAGCAATCTCGACGCTCTTCTAGAGATCTACAGCGGCTTGCAAGAGGACGACTTGTTCTATGGTACGTGGCGACGCCGCTGCCAATTCATCGAGAGCAATGCCGCCCTCTCGTACGAGCAGTGCGGCATCTGGGACAAGGCACAGCAGATGTATGAGGCAGCGCAGATCAAGGCAAGAACTTCTGTGCTGCCCTTCTCGACTGGGGAGTACATGCTCTGGGAGGACCACTGGGTGATTTGCGCGCAGAAGCTGCAGCAGTGGGAGATTCTGAGCGATTTCGCTAAGCACGAAAATTTCAACGATCTCTACTTGGAGTCTACATGGAGGGTTTTCGACGCCTGGCAGAATACGGAGACGAGGGAGCAGCTTGATGCGACGATCAAGGCGGTGAGCGATGCGCCGACGCCGAGACGAGTGTTCTTCCAGACCTTCATGTCGCTGCTTAAGCTGCACGCGAAGCAAGAGTCGCAGCCTGAGTTTCATCGGCTGTGCGATGAGTCGATCCAGCTGTCGATTAGGAAGTGGCATCAACTTCCTAAGCGCATTACGCAGGCGCACATCCCGCTGCTTCAACACTTCCAGCAGCTGGTGGAACTTCATGATGCTAGTGTCATCTGCCAGAGTCTCGCCCAGACTACGCAATCCAATCTGGATATGAAATCCCAGGAGCTCAAGCTGCTTTTGAGTACTTGGCGCGATCGACTGCCCAACTTCTGGGACGATATCAATGCGTGGCAGGATCTTGTTACGTGGCGTCAGCATATCTTCCAGCTCATCAATGGTGTCTACCTTGCTCTACTTCCGCCAAATCAGAACAACGCCAGTGGTAACTCGTTCGCGTACCGGGGCTACCATGAGACTGCCTGGATCATCAATCGCTTTGCGCATGTTGCTCGCAAGCACAATCTCCCGGAAGTCTGCATCAACCAGCTGGGTCGCATTTACACGCTTCCTAACATTGAGATTCAAGAAGCTTTCCTCAAGCTGCGGGAACAAGCCAAGTGCCATTACCAGATCAAAGCGGACCTGAACAGTGGATTGGATGTTATCAACAATACCAACCTTAACTACTTCGGCCCGCAACAGAAGGCGGAGTTCTACACGTTGAAGGGTATGTTCCTGGCGAAACTGGGACAGAAGAGCGAGGCGGGCGAGGCTTTCGGAACGGCATTGTACTTTGACATCAAGCTTCCGAAGGCTTGGGCAGAATGGGGTCGTTACAACGACATGCTGTTCAAAGAGGAACCGAACAACTTGGAGCGAGCCGAAGCAGCGCTTTCCTGCTACCTCGAAGCTGCCAGCCAGTTCAAGAACGCAAAGTCCAGGAAGCTGCTCGGACGCGTGCTGTGGCTGCTTAGCTTGGACAATCCGGAGCGCAAGCTGGCGGAGAAGTTTGAGGAGTTCAAGGGTGATACGCCGGCTTGGTACTGGATTACGTATATCCCGCAGCTGCTCAACAGTCTTTCTCGACAGGAGGCGCCGATCGCGAGGTCGATTTTGGGGAAACTTGCCAAGACTTATCCCCAGGCGTTGTACTGCCATATGCGCACGACGAGGGAGGATATGGCGGTTCTGAAGAAGAATCACGAGATGAAGGAGGCGAAGGATAAGGCGGCCAAGGTTAAGCAACCACCTGCACAAGGATCGCCGGTTGCGAAACAGGGATCGCCAGAAGCGGGATCGACGTCGGCGAATGGAGATACAAAGCCTGTTGCTAACGGTACTCCGAATGGCACTGTCAAGACGGAAGGCGGACAGCAGGGTAGTCCGGTTCTCAACGGCCCACCAGCAGCTGGCGACACTCCCCCAGCGCCTAAGAAGCCTTGGGACCAGGTCGAGGAGATTAGTGCGATCCTCAAGACTGCCTTCCCACTGCTCGCCTTGTCCATGGAGACCATGCTCGACCAAATTCAGAAGAACTTCAAATGCCCTCCAGACGAAGACGCCTATCGGTTGATCGTGGCGCTGCTGAACGACGGCCTGTCCTATGTAGGCCGCCAACCGAACCTGTATGCGCGCGAGATCAAACTCCCCACGTCCACGGAAGCAAACATCACTCGTTTCGCGGAGTCGGTGCTACCACCGCATATCCGCAAGGCATTCGAGAACGACTTTGTTAAGCACAAACCCACCATGTACGAGTACATCCAGAAGCTCAGGACGTGGAGAAATCGCTTCGAGGAGAGGTTGGATCGCAGGAAGCTGTCTATTCCGTTGGAGACGTACACGCATCAGCTTAGTGAATTCCGGTTCTTGAAGTTTGATGATGTTGAGGTTCCAGGGCAGTATTTGCAGCATCGGGATAAGAACTCCGATTTTGTGCGTATTGAGCGTTTCCTGCCGGACGTCGATCTGGTGCGCGGGGTTGGTATCTGTCATCGACGCCTTAAGATTCGCGGGCACGATGGGAGTGTACATCCCTTTGCCATTCAATTCCCGGCTGCAAGGAGTTCGAGACGAGAGGAGCGGATCTTGCAACTCTTCCGCATCTTCAACGGTATCTTGGCGAAGAGGAAAGAGAGTCGCAGGCGGAACTTGCAGTTCCATCTCCCGCTCATGGTCCCCATCACGCCCAGTGTGCGTATGGTCCAGGACGACGCGTCGTACATCAGCATGCAGGGCATCTACGAAGACTACTGCAGGAAAAACGGGCTCAATAAGGATGAGCCCGTTCTATTCAGCATAGAGAAACTCCGTGCCCTACAACCGGTACACATCCCACCTTCCCCCTCCTCCCAACCCGCAGACACTAATCCCAGTAAGCAGAAGAACATCGAACACGCAACCTCAATCCGCCTCGAAACCTTTGCCGCTGTGCAGGAAAAATACGTCCCACCCACCGTCATGCAGGACTTCTTCCGCAGCACCTTCCCCAACTTCGCAGACTTCTGGCTCTTCCGCCGCACCTTCTCCTACCAGCTAGCCGCATTGACATTCATGACGTATGTCATGCACATGAACACGCGTTTCCCGCATAAGACGTCCATCTCGCGCTCGTCGGGCCGGGTGTGGGGCTCGGAGCTCATCCCCAGCATGGCGGTCGGCAAGCCGATCCTGCACAACTCGGAACCCGTACCCTTCCGCCTGACGCCGAACCTGCAAACCCTGCTCGGCCCGCTCAACCTCGAGGGCATCTTCGCCCCCGCTGTCATGTCCATTGCGCGCTGTCTCATCGAGCCTGAGGGCGAGCTGGAAATGCAACTCGCTATCTTCATGCGCGATGAAATGAATCATTGGTTTACGAGCCAGCATAAGAGCAGCCAGTTGACGCCCGAGGTGCTGCGTGAGTCCGTGAGCCAGAATAGCGAGCTCGTGGTTAAGAGGGCTAGTGCGATTGGGGTTTTCCCTCAAGGGGCGAATTTGCCCGCGAATCAGACGGTGGTTGATCTTGTGGCGCAGGCGGTGCATCCGTCGAAGTTGGCGATGACGGATCCGCTTTGGATGGCATATTTGTAGGCAATGATGTGGGGTGTATGGGGTGTTTTGGGTGGGGATACATTGTATGGGGGTTTGTTTTGTGGCGATTTGGAGTTTAGGGCTGCTTGTTTGTTTTGGCTATTTGCGTGGTGTAAAATGAGGGCGGGTGTTGTTTTTTATCGTTAGTTTGGCGTGGTGGTACTTCGGAAGGCGCGCAAGGTGGTGTCATTGTTTTGAGTTTATAACGTAGTGGATATTTGAATCAAGTCTTATTCGATGCATCTCACAGTACATTATGTCGGGGAGGATAAAGTAATAAAACACTTATTCTGCAAATCAAGTCTTCTCCAAGAACATATAACTCCCCCTGATCTTCAACGACAGACACCACACCACATTCCCTCCTTCCACTCACTCAGAACACCTCTACGCAGCCAATTTGCTAACCGGCGCCTTGCCGGGGTAGTAACTAGCCTGCAGCGTCGGAATCGGGATACTGCTCGCGGTTCCCCACGCAGTAACAAGGTTCTCCTTCATACTAGCGGCCGAGTACCCAGTCGGGATAGCAGTCTGAGTAATAGTCGTCGCAGCATACGACGTAGTCCCAGAGCTCTTAAGGCAGAACCCCTTTCCATACCCAGACCTGCACTGCGAAACCATCTTGCTCCCCGTCTCAGTCCACATATTGATATTCGACAGCGTGACATCGGTGCACGGCGCGCCATCAGCGCAAACAACCTTGACGGGACCGCGCTCCGCGCCGTTGGCCATGGTGCCCGTCCACCCGTTGAACGTCAGGTTGCTCAGCGCGACGCCCGAGCCTGACAGGGCCGACATGCTGGTCCAGTACTGGTCGATGTCGATGGAGTAGGCGTTGCCGTGGCCGGAGAAGTTCTCAAACACGACGTCTTCGACGTAGCCGCTGCCGCCGTTGCTCTTGATCATCATCATTTGGTTCGACTTCCATGTGTAGATGTTGCGGTAGGTGACGGTGGAGATGGCGGTGTCGACGGGGAGGGAGCCCATGCCGCAGCCGCCGCTGATGTTGCAGTGGATGTTCTCGATGAGCAGGTTAGTGGAGGGGGACTTTACGGTTACGCATTCATCTTTGTTGGTTACTGCGATCTGAGTGGGGGTTAGTGGGCGTGGATGGGGATGGGGAAGATAGGGGGGAGACGTACGTCGTGGATCCAGATGTTTGTGCCCGAGACGTCGACGCCGTCGAGACCGCCCCAGTCACCGCCGCGGATGACCATGTTGTATGCCTCGCCGTTTGTGCCCTTTGCGATGACGAAGTGGAACCTTTGATCCGTTAGCACTGGTCTCTCAACTCCACGTCCGTCAGATCTGCTTACATGGGCGCATCAACGAGCACGATATCGTGGACGGAGAAGTTGGTACTCTGCTCCACGCGCAACAGACGCGCACCGGTTCTCTTGCCATTGACATGGTCCTGGTAACCATTGCCTACTCAACATTAGCACAACGATCCATGCAATCATCCATGAACACTCCGACTCACCCTGCACAGCGCCCTTGCCCGTGCTGCTAAACAGCTCGAAATCGTTCGCATTCCGGATAAACAGCATATTGCCCGAGTCAGACCCGGTGCGGTAAATCGTGCCATCAAGCTGCAACGCCCACGCCTTGCCGCTCTCAAATGTCACCCACGTCGCCATGGCGTAGTCGCCCGTGGGCACCACCACGGTGCCGCCCGTCTTGCACGCCGTAAATGCCTTGAGCAGCGGGGGACCGATATCCGTCGACTTGTCTGCCTTGGCACCGTAGTCTAGCACGTTGCATGTCTTCTTTGCCGTCTTGACCGCGTGGGTAGTCAGGGGCCCAACTGTGCCTGAAAGCTGGGCGAAGGCCGCGGGCACGAGGGCCGTGGCGGCGAGGAGAAGCTGAGAGATATGCATGGTGAATAGATAGATGAATTGATGAAGGAATGAATGTGGGCCTGCACAGCAGGGCGAAAACGAGAAACGGTGAACGAGAGGGGAGAAGAAAAAAGAACGACTGTGGAATGAAAGCGTAGAGTGAATCGTCAAGAACCGCAATGGTTACCTATATACTCGATGCACTACAATCCATGTGGAGATCGCACCTCCTACTCAGGTAGACAGGGTACAATCGTACTATCGTGGGTAATTAGCAACGCACCACTCCGCCACCAATCTCTCCACCAACAACCACGTAACATGGAGAGAACAAAGCATCGCATCCCATCTCTGGAATTCGGAGAAACACGGCCATTAACTCACTAAACTCAACCTTTCCGAAGCATCTTCTCGTACTCATATTCGAGCTGCCAAAAGCACCTACTCCCAAGAACCAGTACCATGCATGTGCCGAAAGCCTCAGTATGCAACACCCTTTCCAAATAGTTGCCCATGGTGTTTCAAAACGAGGGCCTCGAACCTCAACCGGGAATCGGAAAATCTCCGGTGTGGATATTTCCCGGCTCTAAGGCACTGCGGGATGTTTCACCATGCCGATGAAGGGGGATGCGCTACCGGGATCGTATTCGAGTCATGGCGTTTCACAAGCGGGATGTGGGCATACCTAAACTAGATCGGATCTTGCGCAAGGCGGCAATGGGAAATTGTTGTCGTTGGTCGGCAATGGATAAAATCCGATGTTTCTGAGACTTGGAGCGTCGTCACCTTTTTGATTAGGTAGCCCTGCCGCGTCATAGCCGTGCATTACTTGGTAAGAACACTATTCTAACTACAACGCTTTTCTGTGATTCTTCATGGGTACTGACGGTTATCTCATCAACCTCGAACACATGGGGAGGGCATTACCAAAGCCCCAAAAAGATGCCCACTTTTTCTTTCCTCAGCAAACATCCCCGTGAACCCCACATCTAAGCCCACATAGCCTTGAACTTGGTGTCAAACTCCTCCTTCAGCGTCTTGAACGCCTTGAGCACATTCAGTAATCCTGCACCCTCCTCCCAAGCAACCGGCTCCTGGTCCGAGTCCTCACCGTCGTCCCAATTCTCACCACCATCATCCTCCTCAGACTCATCCTCATCATCCCATGACTCCACAACCTTCTTCTTTGACTTCTTCGTCTGAACAGGAAGCGCTTGTTTCTGCTGACTGACGTTGGACGACGCGACGGATCCGGCCGTAGAGAAGGTTGCCACCGAGGAATCGCTCGGGAGCAATCTGTCCTCCTTGTTCTCTTCTTCCTCATCACCTCCACCTCTCACGTCGATGAAGTCAAGATCAGACTCGGTTGAGAGTTTCATGAAGTTGGACAAGCTAGTGACGATAGTAGCCAGCACCATACTGAGGTCGTTGAGTGCAAACCAGATGTCGCCCTTGCGGATGCGATTGGCAGTGGTGAGGGCAACAGGGTTGCCATGCATGAAGAAGTCGTACAGGTAGGCATTGAGTGGCAAGTCGGAGTCCTCTGGGTAGAGCCCCAGATGGGGCACAACAGCTTCTTCCAGGAAAACGCCAGAGCGACTGGTGCTGCAAAGGTCGTGGATTGACTCGAATGTATCACCGGATCCGGAGAGAGCGACAAAGGAAGACCTGACCTTGGTAGGTGTACGATGCGCCAGGCCATCTACGGAAGAATCGCCACCGACCACGACTGAAGTCAATGGCAGGGTATTGTCCGGCTCCTTGACGTGTTGGTCCACGAAGGTACGAACGTATGCTGTGAAGATATCGAGCGTCGTCTTGTTGTGATTGCGCAGAATGTTTTTGGCCTGCTCAGGCATAGATGGCAAGAACACAATCGAAGTGCTTCCCTTGACAACCTGGATAGACTCCTGATCGGCTTGTCTGCAGTGGCGCCGTCCGAAAAGGTGAGACAATGTTAGCATGAGTTCGCGTAGGACCGCCTCCTTGCTCGTATCAATCTTTGCACACAGCTCATGGAAATATCCATCTTTGAGTAGTGCATGGAAAGCAAAAGACGAGTTCTCTGTGAAGTACAGATGACTGACAGCGCCTGCGAAATTCAGAGGCACACCCTGCGAGTCCAAAAGGGACTGGCGTCGAAGGTATTCAATGGAGAATCGCAGGTGGTGGAGAACCGTCATCTTGGCGTCCTCTCCGCCGAGGTATAGTCGCGGCTGCGAGAGCATTGCATTGATGCAACGGACTGCGAAGGCGGAATTCTCTGACGAATGAAGAAGCGCAAACAACCTCAGGACAAGTGTAGTCGTGATTGGGAAATGTCCGTTCAAGTCAGGAAGGCGAGAGCTGATCAGTTTATGGATCTTGCTAAGTGAGATCCCATGGAAGACGACGTTTCCGAGCATGTCGAAGCCTCGACGACCGGCACGACCAGCGGCCTGACGGAAGTTGAGAGCCGTCAGGAATACAGAATCACCCGAGAACCTAACAAAGAACTTAAGTCAGCAACGAAATCATAGAGTGCACAAGACAGAAAACTTACACAACAGTCTTACAGGGCATGTTGATACCGAGGGCTAGAGGTCACCGAGTCAGCGAACGATTCATGATATGCACCTTGCAACAGACTTACCTAGCGTTCCGGTAGCAATGACGACCCTCAAGTAGCCCCTCCGGAAGAGCATCTCAACAACGTATCTGTACTTGCGGTTCATACCAGCATGATGGACAGCGATACCTCGTCTGAGTCCATCCAGCAGCCATTCGTCGACTCCACGGTAACGCATCTCTCTCTCATACTCACGGAGCTCCTCTTGAGCGCATTTCTTGTTGTTCGCGAAATGAAACCCTTCCTGAGGTCTGTCGGGGTCGAACGATGCGAAGGGATTGACTTCTTGGCTGGCAGCTTCCCTCATCTTGTCCTCCTTCGTCATGCCCTTCGACGATCCACGAACACCCTGCTTTTCTTGTCTGGCGGCCTCCTTCTTCCACTCGTCCCAATCTCGTAGTTTTTCTTGCCATTTAGGACTGGACTCTTTCCACGCAGTTTCTGCGTCCGTCAGTTGAGTCAAGAGTGTCTGACACATTCTCTCGCAAGCAGATCGATCGTAGTTGAAGATAATGCCGGGCAGCGCATCTTGCTGATTAAGGCTTGCCAAGAGAGGCAAGATGTTCTCGACATCGTGATCAAGCTCCATCTCATCGATATCTGAGTCGTCGCGGGTAGACTCGGCACTTCCGCCGTTTTTGGACACAAGCATGGACTTTACCAAAGGCCCTTCCAAGTCCTTCAAAACTTCTGTGAAAGGCGAGTCGCTATCTGCCATCCACGCACGGAGTACAGTCTTGAGAGAAGACTGCCACTCAATGATATCGATCTTCCTCATGACATCAGGAAGAGTGGTAGATGGATCCAGCGATTTGTCCAACGAAAATTTGGCGGTCTGGTGCTTTGACATGCTCTGCCACAAGGTGAAGCAGTCGCGTGCTTCAAGCGTCAAATCGGTTGGCATTCCTCGTGCTCGGTTCGTCAAGCTAGTTACAGGGTGAAGGAATGTGAATTCGGAGCCTTCTGTCAAAGCGAGTTGAGCGAATGCGCGATTCGAGGGAAGAGGCAGACAGTCAGCCCGCTCGGTGGGTGGCGTGTAGACGTATTTGCGTAGGTCGGAGTATCTGTGTTTGTGTTCAACCATAACAAGTTCGTTGCCTGCAGCCTTCTGAGTAGATTCGAGCCAATCGTTGAAGGCCTCAGCATTGCCAATTGTAGCAGACAGAGCAATGATGGGGCAAGGGGCCATGAGCAGTAACTGCTCCCAGATTAGACCGTCTTCGGCTTGACCAATGCAGTGAACTTCATCAAAGATGATCCACTTGACTCGCTTGGACCAACTGTTCGCGTTGTTTGGCGCAAGCAACATGATCTGGAGGATGTGAGGTACGGTTACCAAGATCTGGCAACCCGTAGGATTCTAGAAGCAAGGTCAGCACATGTCTTGAACGCAGTTTATACGTGGTTTTGACGTACGTTGATACGAGTATCTCTCGTGTGGATCCCCCAGACTGAATTGGCGTACTTGTACTGCTTGGAGAAACGAGCTTGAACTTCGGCAGCGATTTGGTTGACCAACGCCTTGGTCGGAGCGACATACACCAAGATGTCCTGTTCGTTGAACTCTAGTACCTGCTTCATAGCGTAGAACGAGATGAAAGTTTTACCGGCGGATGTTGGAGCGATGACGAGCAAGCTGCGGCGGGCATCAATCTCGTCCAGAACCCTGCGCTGCCACGCATCTGGTTCGAATGGCACACGAGAGTCAGGTGCCGAATCCATAGTCCGGTCAAAGTACGGTCCACAATGAAGCAACTGGAACTCTTCGGATGATAGAGGTACGGAAAGGTCTACAGTGGAGGACTCATCCAAGGCGAACTCGAAAGGGAGCTTTCGGTCACCCTGCTGTGCCGGTACTTGCATGGGGGGCAGCTTGAGGCTCTCGATAGTGAGCTTCAGGCGTGTTGCAACTGCCCCAGTGACAGTAGAAAGTTTGGAGAATTCCCTGATGATGTCGAATATAAGCGCAGCGACATGCATACCTTCGTCTTTCTTCGACTTCCGGCAATAAGCTGTCCAGATTTCCAACAGTACACTGAGCATATAAAGTCGCACTTCTGCTTCGAGTGTCCGTCGTTTGAGGTCATCGTTGATGTTGTTCAAGTATTGCTTTGCCTTCTCGTACCGTGACACTGCTTCCTGCTTTCTCAAGCCTTCACAGAATGTTGCCCAAGCCATCAGATGCTTCTTAGCGCTCTCCTCGTCTTTACGCTCAGAGTCTGCGGCAATGTTCGCCAGCATGAGCTCCTTCCTCGAGCCTTTCGCGTTCTTCGATTCTTTTTTGGGCTTGGAGTTTTCCTGTTTCTGGCTAGGAGCGGGAGTGGGCTTCGCAGGCGGTAGCTTTGATTTGGCGCCTGTGGTTATGATCTCCGGCTCTAACACCTTGCCAACTGCATTGGTAAGACTAGCGGCATACGATGTCATTTCCGCCATGAAGAACTGATTGCGGCGAAGAGCGCGTTTCTCTGCTTTTGGGTCCTTTACTGGGGGGCCTTGCTGCTTCTGATCGATGCGTCGCTCGTTCTGCCAGTGTGACACCTCACGGAAGATTCTTGCTGATGTAGGATCTACTCTACCAGCAGACTTCTCTACGTCCAGCTTAATTGGGTTAAGATGTTCGTCGAAGACACTGTTTGAGAATGGCAGGACGCCATATGAAGAGGCCTCATTCGACTGGTCTTTACTCGCACTTGCGTCCTTGGAGGCTGTTTGGGTACCATTCGATTGATCTGATTCACCTTGTACACCCAAAGATGCTGCTGCGGTTTGCAACGACTTGAAAAGCTCACCAGTACCTATTGTGGGCGTCTGAACGCAGGAGGCAAAGAGTCGTCCATCAATGAGATCCGCGACATCGCAGGTGGCATTGATCTCCTCGACGTCTTCTGCCCATGTCGCCTGTTTGAGAAGTGCGCGTGCTTCGCGGCAAAACTCTAGAACAAAGCTGTGAGCATCTGGCGAGATCTCTTGAGAATCGATATGTCGGTCCGACAGGCGAACTTCCGAGAGCAATGCTGTGTGACGGAGAAGTGCGGCGGAAAGGTCGTGATAGACCTCGCTCTTGGATGCTAGTTTCGATGCGACGAGCACAGTAAGATACTCTCGCTCTGTGAAGACTTGCTCGCTTGATGCCCTGATAGTCTGCAAGGATTTGCTTGCGAAAGATGGATCCTCATTCGACTCTTCATTGTGGGCAAGATTCTGATGCAGCTGTGTTAGCTCCAATCTATTCATCCTGTTCCCACAAGTCTGCCACGAGCACCTCTGGTCTTACGTCTAATTCAATGAGAACCTTCGAAAGTAGTGCTGTTGCTTACTGTTGAGGGAATCCCGAAAGTCATTAACCGGGAGGGTTCAATCACTGTCGTAATGACTTTTGTGTCTTGCCACTCCAATCCGTTGATCAATGCTGTGCTGTACCCTTGCTGCATCATACTGTAGATGAGCGTACGGAGGGATGATTTGTAGCGCTGTTGACGCTCACGGAAGCTATCGTCTCCATCCTGGAAGGCGTCCAAGCTTTTTTGCGAAATGGGTTTCCTCTGCAAGTCTTTGAACGAGGCTCCATCATGGCATAGCACGAAGTAGATATCGGTAGCCTGTAAGTACTGCTGGAATAGTTCAGAGGAAGCAGACGGAAATACGTTGATGTCAATATCAGAATCGGCGTTCCGCAAGTTGACTTGCAGGTGGCGAATGACAGCTGCCCGCGCGAGAAGATATTTCTCGCTGATCGCAGGAGACACGTCCTGGGGTACACAGAGATCCTGATGTTCGTCGAAGAAGGCTACGTGGAAATTGCAACCCCGAGAAACTAGACCGTGCAAGAACTTTTCGACCGTGTAAGTGGCATGAAGCAATTGATACCCAGGATCAAAGTCGATATGCTGGTCGCTGAAGCAGTGCAAAAGTAGAGACTCGCCGTGGATCAGGAACCGTTCGCTGCCCGCAAAATCACCGACGAGATCCACTCGACGGCTGTACAGCTTGGTGTACCAGCCCAGGATCTGTTGTGTGGTGTCCATATCAGAAGTGGTGTTTGGCGTGTCGTTGACCGTTGTTGTATCAACTGATGCCAGAGACAAGATTACGAGGTTAGTGCTGAGTGGGGTGGTGCGCAGTGATCATGCTAGTGAGAGAAACGTTTGTCCTTTGGTGTATCGCTCGTGTGATAGGAGCGGCTATTACTGCCTCTGAAACTAGGGTGACATCACAATTGGCCGGTGCAGAGACTTTTCCGGAAGGCGCTAGTCTGCACTAACCAGAAAGAAACGTTAAGCGCATCGTGGATCCATATACGAGATGTTGAATCCACGACAACTCTGGTATTGGCTCTGCAGTTGCGGACTCAGAACAGCCACCCTTGCTGAGCTGGATTGAAGTGCACATCATGCCATCAAGTATCCTCACTTCGTCCTAGCCTAGCCGCACCAGCATACTACAGTTTCACAAGCACACCGCAAGTTCACATGCAGATAAGCAACTTATTACCTCTTGAATGAGAGAGCCAGATTCAAGAAAGCGACTTGAATGTTAATGGCGATCCATACATCCTCAGGTATTACGTTTCACACTCCCGAGAGATGGTTGTAGTCGTGATTCGACGAATAATGAGGAAGAATCAAGCGTTTATTGTAATGTACCAATAGCCATTGGTGTACAGGTATACCAGACGCCTAGAAGTGCCCCAGACGTAAGCAACTCTACTATCAAGTCTACCAGAGAAGAAGCCCAAACATTCTATACAAGTACAACATGAAAATAATAGGTGGTTGAATGCGAAATGAGCACTGTATGCGCCAGACGGAGATATGGCAAGCAGGACGCGTATGTTGGAGCAACGCAATATATGCCAAACCTGTATGAACGAGGTTAGCGCGGCTATATCATGCACAGAAGGCGCCCTTACCCAGATTCTCCACACAAACTCTGGAACTCAGATCTCAAGCGGCGCAAGGAAATCGAGCTTGACGTGAAATTAGTCTAGTCCAACGCTGATGAGAGCTATACCATACCGAGATGGAACGGTTCCAACCGACAGGGCTTGGAGGAGGCTGAGGCGGGGGAGAAGGCGGGTCGTCCCTCGATCTCTCTTGCGGTACAGCAGATGTCGTATAGATGATGGAGTTCGTGGCGGCTTGCACATTGTGTGGACAGACCAAGTTGCAGCTAGTGAAACCATTCATAGCTGATTTGGTGATCGCCATGACGAGTGCTAGTTCGAGGTCGAGAAATACAATGTAGGTTGAACCGACAGCGTTGATAGCGTCTGAGAAGGTAAAGGGTATTGGGTGAGTGACAAAGCTGCTGTGCGAAGAATGCAGCCAGGTGCTCTGGAGAATGAAAAATGAACACTGTCGCTCGACGTTAAATAATCCGTGACAGAAGTTTGGTAAGTGGTAGACAGGGGAGTATGTCAAGTTGGGACACCTGACAAAACAGGCAAGAAGCAATCAGTTGCAGCGGCCCGTACGGGTAGACGGGTGGCATTAAACAAGGCTAATTCAGACGAAGCAGAATTGAAGTAGGATAGTGATTTGGAAATGAGGGAACACAAGCGGGAGATGAAGCACTCCTCAACCTTCCAAGAAAAGCTGCGTATCAGCCATGAAGACAAATTCTCAGTAGCGGTAAAGAATGTGGCCATTGACAGGAGTCAGATAATGACCATGATTCCTGTGTACAACCTGAGAAAGCAGGGGACGGATACAAACCTGGGCGTACCATTTGCCGGGGAAGAGGAGCCGCAGCCGTTGGTACCGTCGGTGAGAATGCTCTAGCGATACGTCTTATTGTTGAAGAAGGTTTGAAATGGCGGTCTACCAGAAAATAACCTGCTCGAACCAGTACGTGAGCGAAGAAGCTTCGTAACTCGCGTATTTCCAGTCGGCGACAAGGCGAAAACAGCCGTATGGCTGGCGAGAAAACTGTGCCAGACATGTCCAGAGCTGCAAGTGAGAGCCAAGCTAGAAATGGCCATGTTTGTCTGGTCTATGGGTCGGGTCTCCAAGTGAAGCAAACCGCAGTACCACAACAGCGTTTGATGAACCTGAGAAAGCCCACAGAGACTAAGCCACACAGTCCTCGCACACAGATAACGATGATCGGTGTGAAAGACGAAGATCTGGTTCGTGTGAGTGAGGCTGGTGATGGGAAGGGAAGTCGCGCTCGGACAACAATACAACAATGATGCGCCTGCCAAGAGTCCAACGCGACATGCGAACTGCGCGCCGTTCACCCTGACAGCTTGACTTGACCAGTCGCACCAGAATATCAGCAGTAGTGAATAACCGAGTACAGGATCACCCGCAGTTGAATCAATCTCCGTCGTAGCCTGTCGAGCAATTTGCATGCGCGCATCCGACATGTGCTTCATTTGCGTATAGGGCTGGCAGTCACAACCACCAGCTCGCATCACCCGCCGTGACACATTCGCCGCCCTCCCATCGGCTCGCTCACGTATCCGCCCTGTTTTCTACGCGTCTAGAACCTAACCGCTGTACGACTTGCACCCCACACCTCACGATTCACACCGCAACCCGCCGACATGTCCTCCGTCTGGAACCCCGATAATGTGCGAGATGTCGCTGAATCCGTGGGCGTCGCCTCACTCGCTGATAACGTAGTCGAAGAGCTGGCGCGCGATGTCGACTTCCGGTTGGCGCAGGTGCTGGAGGAGGCGCTGAAGTTCATGCGACACAGCAAGCGGACGACACTTAATACACAAGACGTATCCAATGCTCTGAAGGTATTGAACGTGGAGCCACTGTACGGTTACGAATCCACTCGCCCACTACGCTTCGGAGAAGCCTCACTAGGCCCTGGCCAGCCGCTGTACTATGTCGAGGACGAGGAGGTTGACTTCGAGAAACTCATCAACGCTCCGCTGCCAAAGGTGCCTCGAGAGATTACGTTTACAGGTAAGTCCCCCCTATCTGATGGTTGCTGTTCGCCGCCTTTTTATTGTATTACTAACATGTTACAGCACATTGGCTTGCTGTCGAGGGAGTCCAACCATCAATACCGCAAAACCCAACCGCAATTAACGCCGATTTGCTGCCTAAAGGCACCAACGCCAACCCGCATCTTGCAGCTGCTAATGGACTGGACAACGTCAATGTCAAGCCAGCTGTGAAACACGTCCTCTCAAAAGAGTCACAGGAGCTATTCGGCAAGCTATCGAGCGCACTGGTCGACGAGACCAACATCGAATGGCAAAACGCAGCGCTTGCAGCCATCCGGACAGAGCCGGGCATTCATCAGCTTACAACATACCTTCTCACCTTCATCGCCGAGAAGGTTACACACAGCATGAAGAACACTTTTGTCCTGCATCAGATGATGCGTGCCACTCACGCCTTGCTAGATAACCAGGCCATTTACTTGGACCCGTACATTGCATATATGGTACCGCCAGTCTTGACGTGCTGCACGGGCAAACATTTGGGTCCAGCTACACAACAGGCTCTATCCAACGCCTCCTCTGAAACACTTAACGGAGGCAGTGTTAATGGACATGGTCCCAACACTCAAGATCACTTCAGCTTGCGCAGACTCGCAGCATCCATTCTTAATCGCATCTGCCAGAAGTACTCTACGACCAACCAAAATTTAAAATCGAGGGTCGCGCGGACATGTCTGCGGGCGTTCATGGAGTTTGGCAAACCGCTCGGCACGCATTACGGCGCCTTGCTGGCTTTGCTTCAAATCACCAGTAACGAGGGAATGAAGATGCTGGTGCTGCCGAATTTGAAAATGTATAGTGATGACGTTCTGAAAGGCAAGCTGGCAGACGAAAACACAAGAAGAGAGGCCGAGCAAGTGCTCGAGGTGCTTGTGAGTGCCCTTAGGGGCTTGGGAACAACGTGTCCTCCATTACGAGCAAATGGGGTTGCCAACTTGGAGAGTCTGAGAGAACGACTCACTGACAAGGTCGGCGATATTCTGGCTGACCAGATCGTTGCCCACAAACTGTCTGCGACCGCACAGGTGGTATTAGAAACAAATGTTAGCATTTAGTGGTGGCGTCATGCGAGTCAGCGCTTCAGACACCTACATCTCTAATCTGGCATCTGGCATCATTGGCGTTGGCAAGGAATCTTACTGGATGATACCATTTCTGTAGCGAATCGTAAAAATGTCTGCCTGATAATTCCGAAACTTGTCCTCTGTGATGTCTTGCATGTGAGGCTGTTGCGCTTGCCAAGCCCAGCGCAAGCCAATTCCCCCAACTTTTGGAAACTTGTTGCAGCCATCCTCACAATCAAACAAAGTATCTGACGGAACTTAATCATGTGGATGATCAACTGGTAACATGCCCCCGACATTGAAGCCCTGACAAAGTACTGACATAAGGCCAGGTGTAAGCACCCCCGAGGCGCTCCGCACGCGAGCAGCTCGCAAGTTCCACAACAAGCACAACGCTGATATACACGCGCAGTCTGGGATTTGCTGGCCTCGCTGGGCCTCTCGAACAAGCATGCGAAGCTTCTGGTACGCCATCACAGTGCACAACACCGATATTCCATGGTACACACAGCTGACGAGGAGCAGTTCCTGGGTCTCGACAATGCGGGCAAGACGACGCTGCTACACATGCTGAAGAAGTGCGCATCTTCTTTCCAAGAATTATTCCAGTCTTCATGCTGACCATATCGTCTCGTGTAGCGACCGAGTAGCCGTCCTCCAACCCAGTAAGTCACGCCAACCAGCTCTCCTGATATCCAGCTAACACTCTCAGCTCTCCACCCCAGTACGCTTCCTCTCCCCACCCTCCCAATCTACCCTCTTAACCCCACGCAGCTTCCGAAGAGCTCTCGATCGGCAACGTAAAGTTCACAACCTTCGATTTGGGTGGCCACGCACAAGCGCGCCGCCTCTGGCGCGACTACTTCCCCGAAGTATCCGGTATTGTCTTCCTCGTTGATGCCAAGGACCACGAACGTCTTCAGGAATCCAAGGTCGAGCTCGACGCGCTGCTCGCGATGGAGGCACTCAAGGACACTCCCGTGTTGGTGTTAGGCAACAAGATCGACCACCCCGAGGCCGTTAGTGAGGATCAGCTGAGGAACGCGTTGGGACTGTGGCAGACAACGGGCAAGGGCAAGGTGGTGTTGCAGGGTGGGCAGAGAGCCGTGGAGGTCTTCATGTGCAGTGTGGTCATGAGGCAAGGTATGTGTTAAATCTTGTATGGACAAGCGCAATGCTGATGTTGGACAGGTTACGGCGAGGGGATCAGGTGGCTGAGTCAGTATGTCTAGGCTTTGGCGGCGAGACCTCCTGGCAGTACAACGAACGCGTTACGTTTACCGAGAAACCTAACAAGATTGAGACACTACGGACGATCAGCACAATTGTGGGTCAGGAACGTCTACATCTGCAAGTCAAAGGGATTGATCAGGTAGACATGGTAAAGAAGCTATCTTCTTTATTGGAATAGTAATTTCCTGTCACCTTCGTTTGTCACTCTCAGATCCCTAAGTCCTCACACCAGGCGCATATAATTCTACTTATTCCAAACATATTATTCACTGTTCTAGTCTGTCTCAAAAGCATCTGCGTTATTCCATTGTCTCGTACCTAAGTTGTTGCTTTGTGTCCTCACAACTCCTTGCCTGAAACCTTACTTTCAAACATTGTCCTGCTACTCAATCTCAAGGTTTGTATTTGTCCTCAAAATAGCATTATTGATATCCACATCTCCTTGTGGATAGCAAGTTTGTGTTGGTATTTCGAACTCGAGAATACGCTTCTTAGGGCTTCAGCAGCAGAACAGGACTCCGAACGTGCCGTTGTAGTCACGCGTGGAGAGTACAGGATGTACATCCGAGACATGAACAACGTAAAAAGCATTTCTCCTTCAGCGAGCTCCTCCATATCCTACTCAAGCTCATGCTCGCTTCCACCATCTATCTCCATCGCTCACCTAGATACACCGGCATCTTCCCTTCGCCCCACCACCCCAGAGCACACGATTGAGCACGATGATATCTTTTCCCAGATCCACAGCATAATCCCTGGAACACCCATGCTCTCTCATGCACCACCGTTTCCCTCAAGCCACAATCCAGCGACAACAGCAATAGCAATCTCCGCGCAAACGCCTGCTGCAAGATCCGTTTGCACATCAAACTACCCGCGCCCCTCGCCCCCAACCTTTCTCTACCCGTCACCAATCGTACCTCCAACACTGTGCAATCCACCTCAACACCACCACGCTACGTTACCGCGCATGGCAGGCTACACAGCTGCAGCTTTTCCCCTCGGACTGAAGGTGTTGATGTTCACGGTAATGACAGTGAGCTTACTATGCGCAATTACCGCCTGGCTCATAGCATTCCCACCCGGAACATGGGCGTGGCGGAGGAGCAGCGGGACCAGAAAGATAAAAGCAAGAGGTGGAAGCAGAAAGACATGGTGGGCGTTCTGGCGCACGCGCAACCCGGAAGGGAAGAAGAAACCGCTGGACAAACCGAGCAAGTATGCGCCCTTACCGTCTACATCCACATCCACATCCACATCGACTTCACCCTCATCAGCCCGCTCATGCACTAGCAGCGCAGCATCAACGTATCTCCCCCACCAGCACAAAGCGTCGCACGCCATGCAACTCACACAGCGTCCGCGCACACACACCGCAGAAGGTGAACGCAGCGACTCCGTTCCTCAGCACCATGTGAGCACGTCAACAGCGACGACGACGTCTTTTTCCCCGCCGAACCCTTTCCTCACACCTCGTACCTCTTCTCTCACTACCTCGTCGCTAAACCCTAAATCCTCGGCTGAATGGCTACAGGCGCGCGCCGCGTTTTTCTCGTCGCCCTCGCCTTCCACGATGTCATCGCCAGCAGACGCGTACCCGACGCCCTCGATATATGCACTCGATGATGGTCAGCTCGACGCTTTGGAAGCGGGGACTACGCCGCCGGTGCGTGTGCCCGATGGGGTGGAGCAGAGGGGGAGTTGGATTGATGCTGGGTTGGAGCATGTTGATGGGGTAGTGGGGAGGTTTGTAGAGGCGATGGTGCGATGGACGGATGACGATGATGGTGCAGATCTGCCGTTGGGTGGGCGGGGGTAACGATGATGGGGTATGTGGTTGGGATACTTGAAATGCGTGGTTCGTCAACGGGACTTAAGAGTGTTGGCGAAATTTAAATCAAGATGTATGATGAAGAAAGTATATTATTCTAAGCGCTGCGTGACAAGCCATACTGCGCGGATTAAGCCGTGGATCATGTAAAACCCATGCTACGTAAATGAGTATCCAACGGCGGTGTTGTACTGATCTATACCTACATTGCCAAAATAAAGGCTCGAAGGCGAACTAAACTAAGTTTTTAGAGAATACGCGGAAATGCTACACAACGCTCTTGAAGATACGACCGTGAAATACATCGGGGTAAAGAAAATACAAAACAATACATGTGCAGCCCTGATACGGCAGCGCTCAAGACAGACCGCAACCCTGCTCATCGCCTGTTGAAGTTGAGGTACTTGGCCGCAAGGAACAAGATGATCAAGTTGCTAGCGATGAAGGCAGCAAAGATACCCAGATCGCGCCACCTGTGGTTGAACTCATATCCGAGCGGGGTGTAGAACTCATCACCGATCTTGTATGCGCAGTATCTGCACGCATCCGTCGCGTTGTTGAGCAGATAACCCGGTGCGCCGCTGGAGAAGAAGTCGCCCATGTACGATCCGCAATCTTGGCCCTGGGGAGCCTGGAACTCGTTGAACTCCGAGGACGTGCACACGACGGGCAAGCCATGGAGTTCAGTGACGACCATACCACCGATAAGACGGGTGAAGGGGTTGAGTTCGTAGAGCCAGACACGCCAGAATTTGGGGATCTGGGGCTTGGGAATCGTGACACCGCAGAAGAGCGAGAAGATAATGATGATGAAGGGGTTGACGTAGGAGGCGATGAAGGGCGAAGGCGTCAGTGCTGCAATTGCCTGGGCGAGCGTGACGGAGAAGATCTCCGTGATGAGGATGATGAAGAATTGGTAGCCTGCGCGCGAACTTTCGGAGTTGAGACCGGGGATGTAGTACAGTGGGAGGAAGAAGCCCACAGCGCAGAGGATGCTGTATGGCAGCTCGGCGACCACCATGGACAGGGCGAAGGGGAACGTCTTGTAGGCCTTGGACATTTGCTCGCGGAACGAGATCATACGAGCGAAGGCGTACTTGGGCTCAACCTGGGCGAGAATGAGAGCGGGAAGAACAGTAGCCTGGAAGATGATGAAGACGCGGTACTGCAGCGATTCACGTGAGTCGTCCAACTGAAGATACATCAGTCCGGTTAGCAGAGCGATGATGACGTGGTTGAAAAGCCTGGTGAAGCCGTAGTTGGGAGTCCTCCAGAACGACTGGTTCTGACGTCTGTTGACCAACTTGATCTGATACATCAGGGGAGTCGCGTATTCTTTCTGAACAACGTCTTCGGCAGACCCGACTACAGCTGCGCGCTCTTGCTTCATGTGACCAATGTGACGCTTGACCTCAGCTAGCTCTTCGGAGTCGGCCCAGATATCAGCCCAGTCCCTATCACCAATGCGAGCTGCGGAGCCTGCACCCACGGCATCAAGCATCCATTCAGCTGGGTTGGCAGCAGGTGGGCAATCAGCGCCATGGCGATGGAAGTAATCCAACAGAACGTGGGCGTCCTTGCCAATGTCACCAAAGTAGACGCATTGCCCACCGCGCTGGAGCAGCAGGAGACGATCGAAATTCTCGAACAGAGCTGAGTTCGGCTGGTGGATAGTGCACAAGATAGCCTGGCCGGCAGCAGCGAGTTTGCGGAGGAAGCGGACAATGTTGAACGCGCTCTGTGAATCAAGGCCGGACGTGGGCTCGTCAAGGAATAGCAGCAACTCAGGCTTGGCCGCAAGCTCGACACCGATAGTCACGCGCTTACGCTGCTCAACAGCAAGGCCAGTTTCCGGGTCACCGATGATGGCGTCTGCAATGTCTTCCATCTCCAACAGAGAGATGACCTCCTCGACGTAGGCATACTTCTCTGCTTGGGGTGTCTCATACGGTTGTCGTAGGTCGGCAGAGAAGCGGAGAGCTTCACGAACTGTGGTAGCCGGCTCGTGAACGTCGAGCTGTTCGGCGTATGCGGTACCTCGCTGGAAGGCAATACCAGGAACTTTACCGTCAACAAGCTTGTCACCGCTAATCACACCAATGTTTTTGCGGTTAGCCAGCACGTCGAGGAGCGTAGTCTTTCCAGCGCCCGAAGCACCCATGAGCGCAGTAAGTTGACCAGGTTTGACATAGCCGTAAATATTGTTGAGGAGTCGCAGCTGGCCTGAGGGAACCGGTACATCGTAGCAGAGATCTTCCCAAGTGAGAACGGCCTTCGACGTGATGTTGAGATCCGAGCTGTCATCGGCGCCCTCCATCTTTAGATTCCGCTTGTCGCGCTTCTCACGTAGTTTCCCATTGAGCTCCTTAAGTTCCTTATCCTCTTTGACGAAATAGGTAACAGTTCGACCACCTGCGCCCCACTTCACGAACTCTCCGAGGAAAGCGTTGGCTAGCAGAAATGCTACGATGAGAGCAACGGATATGCCCCAGTTTCTCCATAGATCCTTAGGGTCCCAGGCGAAAGAGGCTTTGATGTAGTCGGTGCCGGAAACAATGCTGGATCCTGCTACACTTCCTGGAAGAGTGCAGACCTGTGAGTTGATGTCATTGTAACCGGAGCCAGATGGAACGAGTGAGGTGCCGGCGCAGGTCATGTCCAAGCGTTTGAATTCGTTCTGCAGTATGTTAGTCAATGTCGCGGCCAGGAAGATAGGGGTACACAAACCATCATCAGTGCGGAAAAGCCAAGACCCAAGGCGTTGATGTAGAAGATCCATCTCAGCCACACCTGTTCAGACTGCCACTGGATGAGATATCCGGATGTCAGCACAAACAATGTGATGATTGTGGCAGCGAGTCGAATAGCAACATCAAAGTCAGGGCAGAGACATCCAACAGTTCGGAAAAAGAGCGTCATAGCCAGATAGCCGGTGGTAATAACGAGGAAGAAGGTGAAGAAAGCTCCAGCGTCTCTTACGAGGCCTGTCATGAAGTACACAATGATTGAGAAGATCAGGATCTGACATGACGCAAACAAAAGATCGACACCAATTTGAGCAATCCAAAGAGCTGATGGGCGATGGAAGGTAAATGCGCGATGTTTGTTGATAATGGGCCGTCCTATCATAGTTGATGCCAGTTCCGAGAAAGCCTGAAAAGCGTTGAAGAGCAATGCGATGAACATAACACCGCCACGGGTGAAAGCACCAGCGGAAGTGTCGGGGAGGTCGAGCCAAACGGTACCAATGATAATAGCGATGATAATAGAAGTGAGCCAGGAGACTGTGAGGGCAAACTTGTCCTGCCACTTGAGCAGAAACTGCCGCTTGGCCAACGCCCATACCTGGAGGTGAAACGGAATCGAGTAGACCGACTTGTTAGATGCATGGCGCTTGCTTTCCTTGATGGCGGTTTGGAAATCATCGTAGACATGCTTCTCCTCATCCATACGTGCATGATACTCCGTCATCTCGGAAGCGAGTCGTGATGCAGTCGGGGACTTGTTGAAAGCCTCGGCGAGCGCTTCTGGTGTCGCTGGAACATCATTCGCACTCCTTCCAGCCTTGAACTCACGCTCGAACTGATCCGTGCAGCCAGTGAGATAATCTGGGGTCGTCTGGCGAGGCTTCTCCAAAAATCCGAGTCCCTCAAAGTAGGCCCGGGCTTCGTTGGCAGGTCCATAGTACACCTGGCGTCCGCTGTCGATGACAAGGACCTTGTCGAAACATTTGTAAATGTTCTCGGATGCCTGGTAGAGGGAAACGAAAGTGGTGGTCTTGTAGATGTTTGTCAAGGCTCTAAGACTTCGCGCATAGTCCACAGCTGTAGATGCATCCAGTCCTCGAGTGGAGTTATCCCAAGACATCAAAGAGGCGCCAGTTATCATCGTCTCGGCGATGGAAACACGCTTGCGCTCGCCTCCAGATACACCGCGCACGAAGGGGTTGCCAACAATGGTGTTCTTGGTGTGTTCGATATTAAACATCTTGAGCATCAGGTTAACGACCTTCTCCTTGAATTCCTGTCGTGAGAGTCCAGCAGGTCGTTTCCCGGGTACCTTTGTTTCGAGAGCAAAGTCGAGGGTTTGGCCGACTGTGAGTGTTGGGTGATGGTTCTCCTCTTCCTCGCAGTACACAGCCTCACCACGGTATCTTTTCTCGAAAAAAGCGGATTCAAAGGGGCCGTACAGCACGTTGCCATCGACCTTGGTATATCCATACCGCTGGTTGCTGATCACTTTGAGGAAAGTCGTGCATCCTGATCCAGGTCTGCCCAGAACAAGTACCATCTCTCCTGGCTTGGCCACTCCTTTGAAGTCTTTCAGGATGTCGAATTCTCTACCCTTCTTGCCAAGTCCAAGTAAATTCTGGACAGTCTCGAACACGTTGAAGAATGAAACAAAAGCATCCGGGAAGGTCTACGTGATTGTTAGTAAATTTGTCATGAGTAGAATTGTAGTTTACTCGCCTTGACGTAGTTCTTGACTCCTCCAACTCCGCTTACTGTCAAGCCGTCCCATACAACACCAATGCGCTTCGATTTGATGCCTGCCTCCTCTTCCTCACTTCGATTACCGCGCAATGTTGCTTCAAGATCGAAAGGCTCATCTGACGAAGTATCGGTCGAATCAACGCCCTTCTCAACGTCGGCGGGAGTGTGGTTCTTGTGACTCTTATGACTATGGGCGCGACTCATTCTGCGTGAGACATTGCTCGACCGCGAGAGTTCCTGGGAAAGCTCTGCGAAGTCCGCTTCAGCTCTGGAGACATTGACGCCGCCATGCTCATGGTACTTTTCCGAGTTATGGGCGTTGGTGTTGTCAATCGATTCTGTCCTGACACTGCCTCTGTCATGCTGCGTATGCGCGCGTGCAGGATGAATGGACTCGTATGTTTTGCCCTCGGTGTTCTCCATGACGCTGGTAGTTATTAGGTAAAGCCTAGTGGCGGGAACAGCGCCAACACGCAGGCGCGAGAAAAGAATTCGAATCAATTAAGGAAAGTATAGATGATGAAGTGATGCATCAAGTGCAGATGATGTTGTGACAACGGTACCAAACAAAAATATAAAAGGACTAGAAAGCTAAGCAACGGAGATAAGGCGCGTAGTGGATCCTCGTTTCAGAAAGGGCGGAATAAGGGTCACATCGATTCTCAACACCATCCGGAAAGAGTACTTTGTGGATGATCTGATCAGTTTAATCCTATCGAGACTACAAGATGTCAAGGGGTTTGCTTCCGACGGACTACTTTCAACGGACGCTCCCTCTGATCATATATGGGTATCGTCGGTAACATCATCGCGTAGAACTCGCTCGGACAAAACTTCCTTCAGAGAATCGCCGGCATTTGATCTACATCCTCGCACAACCTCTCAGAAGAACAAACTTGTGACAAACAACGAGATATACCCGAGGCAGTACAAACACAACACCTCAACATCAATCAAGTCAGCCCAATTCAGCCCAAGTCTGACGAAGACTGTTCCGCTGGGAGGGCACGCTCGCGAGGTGGTGATGCAGGATTCATTGCTTTGCATTGCAGTTTGTCAGCAACACTCGTATATCGTTGACGCGTGACTCATGTCAGACTCGACAAACTTCGACCTATTATGTGTCTGCTGATGTTCTGCCAATCAAAGCGGGAGTACCATACCATCTAGTTGACAGGATGAATATGCGTTATGGAAGAGAGAGTTCGTCATCATCCTCGTCGCCGCGTCATTGCTTGGTGTCAAGACAGATTGAAGTGCCGTAGGCGGAGTGTCACTGTCTTGGCACCGGCATCTGAATGCCGATGTGACATGACTCAATTTCACTCATTTCACATCCACACACCTCAATCGCCCCAACATGCAAATAAGCAGAAGAAAGGGCGGCATCGTGCAGGACCTTCCAGAGAGTGTCTTCGTCTCACACCCACCGCAATGTAGACTTGCTTCTCACCGTTAATAGCTTCTCGCTACGCCACTACAAATAGTACAGACATTTAATGGCCCGTTGCTCCGGTCAAGGTTCAAGACATTTAGATCTTGTTCTTTAGTTCGCGACTTTAGAGCATCTATCCAGATGACCTCACCAGCCTCGACTACTGTAGCCAGGTCGCCGTTTCTCAACTCCTATTCGCTCGTTTTCATGGCGGCTTTCAGCTCCGGCTCGTATTTCCTTCCGGCCGTTTTGGGACCTCGTCTCGAGTATTTATAAGCTCAGGACCAGTTGTTCGCTGAACGCTCATATGCCAATGGCATATATTCACACTCGCCAGTCGGAGCTCTCTCCGTGCCAGGGCCAAGGCTACGTATTGGTCGCTCAGACAAACGGCACTCTCAGGCTACAACTCTGTGGGGGGGACGAAGAAGACCATACTTTGTGCGAGGATGTCCAAACAATACCTATCAACAAGCCACGGCATCTACGTGTCTGGTTGCCAAACGCCAAAATCGCTGTCGCTTGCTAACAATTCAACATTTATCCAGCTACTTTTCTCCACACATGCCCATTGAGAAACGTCCTAGCCTACCGACTATGTACTGTTCACGAAGTTGGCCCCAGAAGTACATCCCTCGGTGTTACTCTCGGCCACAAAAGCCTGCAGCACATACATGTGTCTCGCGAACAGCGCTATTTTCAGTCTCACCAAGGCTCTCGCAAGCAGCAACTGAACCTTCACAAAGGCTTTACAGCATTCAACCGAAGCAATCAGATGCTTTAGACTCGCTCATCACCGCTTCTGTCGTCCTTCGCAACTCCCCAAACTTACAACTACTCGTCTAAGTAATCCAGATATGAGCTAGGCACACTGTCCAGACAGCCATACGATGTACACTCTCAGGCTAACACATCAAACTCGCTACTTCAAACACGAAACTACACGGCACGATGTCATATGCAAGCTTGATACGTAGAGTGCGTATATTTAGACTATGGCTAGGCAGGCAGGTAGGCACCTACACAACGCACAAGGCAGACAAGACATGACATGACGAGATGGATCAAATGATAGATTTCCCGTCGGAAATGCTATATATTCTCTAATTAGGGGTATGGGTTATTTCTTGGTCACAAACTGCAGTACCCTTCACTTTCACTGTCATACACGTCGATACAACTCCAACTATCTCTACACTGATCAATCTTGCACTTCTACAATGTCCTTCCCACCCATACGATTCGCTCCATTTCAAGTCGGATCCACTATATCTACACCGGCATCGACATCTGCATCTACATCAACAAACCAAGCCGATACAGACACAAAGACCAACACAACCACAAACCCACGCCATCCATCCCACCAACCCCCACAAAAAGACACATCTACAAGCGAGAAACCAGTAGATATATCCAAACCATCAACAACGAGACCAACCAATCCGCAAAACAAGAAATAGAGGCCCTACCACAGCCACTAATATCACAAAGAGAGGCTGAATTAAGATGGCACCTCACGCGTTTTCTAGGTGTTGATGGTAGTCTGGTCTCTAGAAGGGTGACATTGCATTTCACTTGATATGGCGGGAGTTTGGCGTTTGAGCTTTTTGTTGGGCGGATAGGATGTATAAGTTTTTGTATGGCAATGCATGTCATTTGAGGGAGGGTGTATGGGTATATCTACGTTTTTTTCTCTCTGACGGTGTGTGTTGACTGATTAGTTGTGGACGGTGTATAATCGCCGTCATCATCATCACCGTCATTAGTAGCAGCAGTCAATACGAGCGTACATAACCAACTGAGATATCGAATGAAAGACACACATGACACAGGATACTACATGGTTTTTGTTGTTCAAGTCAGAAACCAACCATCTGGCTGTGATATAGTTTAGTCCGATCTGATCTGGTTTAGTTTGATCTCGTATCCATTTAGTCTACTGGCGAGTAGGAGTCGGCCTTGTGGAGTACCTCGTTAGGAGAAGGGGAGGCGTTGTGGTGGACGGAGTGAGGACTTGGCGGGTTCGGTTGGGAGATTGTATGTGGGGGTGTTATGGGGGGTTAGAGACTATGAGGAAGGTAGTGTGGATGTGTAATTGAGTCATGTATGTATATATGTATGTTGTGAAAGTTTTGGACGAGAGGTGGATTGAAGTGGTTTATAGGACAATGGTGAATGGTTTATATACGGTTTGAACTCGCATGAGGTGCATATTTGAGATGGAGAACCTCAACTTAGCAGTCTAGTATTTGAACTCTACAAGCAGCGATTTGAGATCATGTACCTCGTCCATGTGCATTCAGAGTCAGGATTCTGCTGGTCAACCCCCTCGCAAGGCTGACTAGGCGGCACGTGGAAGGGCGTGAAGATGACGCGACCGGGTAATTGGAGGCGGGATCCCGCTTCGCGAGCCCATTGGCCTCCCTGTGAACCGAGGGCTGAGGATAAACAAGTAGGAAACAACCAACTAGCGATTGGCGCGTTGACGACCGTCATTGTGTTGTGTGTAGACGCCCGCCTACCCAACTGCTCCGCTATCCACACATCCCCCTCAACAGCACCATAACAATCAATCCCACAACCGCATCCAAGCCCCCTCCCATCAAGACGTGAAAGAAGCCAAAAACCACGTGTGCGACCATATGTGGGACAATGCCTCGCGTCGGTTGCATGTCAGCGCGTGCCAAGCAAGTGCGTGGCGCGAACATGTGATAGGATTGACATGTGAGAATCATGGGATCTGCCCGTTTTCGAGTCCCCCATTCGATTCGCTGTTTCCCCCAATGTCCACTCCTCCCCATCCCCTCATCAGAACCTATCGACCGTATCCGAAGGCTCATCGCGACCTGGGCTGAAGGATTTTTTTTTGCATATTTGCAGCGATTGAATACGAGGATTTGGGGTTGAAGACTACACGACGACGACGTTCGTCGCATTGCTCAATTCCCAGGACGACGGGTCCGCGGAGTGCTGGTGCTGTTTTTGGTAGCCCCTCCGACGCAGCGTTGAGGCATTGAGGCAGGTGACGGAGATTGTTGGGAGTGAAATCATTAGAGTTGGGATTGGAGCGAGCATAGTCGAGATTGGGACGAACATAGTCACGATTGTGCGTCGCTGAGGAACGTGGGGTAGCCGCCAACGCTCCCATCACAACACCACGGCAGAGAGGGCCCCGACGATGCAGCAGGAGCAGCACATCCAGCTCCAGCGCCCGCCGCCGCCCGCCTACGCGCAGCTCGAGCACCACCACGAGCACGACCCCGAGTCCCTCCACCTCCCGTCTGTGCCGACACACGCGCCGAATGCGCCTGCCAATGTCCAGAGCTTGCCGGGCATAAGGTCGCTGGACCTCACACCACGTCATACCCCGAGGAACTCGATCGAGCTCAGTCCTAGAAGTCAGTTCGATGGGCAGTGGGGGCACCTGCCGCCGTTGTCGCGGGCGCTGAGGGACGGCGATGTGGGGAGCCCTATGGACACGGCGAGCGTGCTGAGTGCGCAGGACGAGGGGAGGAAGCGGGACACGAGCGTCAGCATGGACGACCCGGACGTGAGGCTGGCGGCCGAGGCGCTGAGCGGGCTGGGGAATCTGGGTGAGACGACCATGTCCAGATGATGACGATGCGTGCTGTGCTGACTCCCCAGACTTTGTGCGATCCCCCACGGCACGCTCCATGACGCTGTCCGCCCACGAGTCCACCGCAACCGAGCCCGAGCCGCTGCTCTCCCTCATCACCTCCAACCACCCGTGGCTCGGCGGCACAATCAATGGCTCCATCTCCGCCTACAATGCCACCAAGGGCTACTCGCCGCGCTTCGTCAAGTACGGCGCCGAGCTGATCGAGCGCAATGTCGGCTCGCCCATGGTCAACACCGTGTCGTCGGTCGGCAGGAGGACAGGCATGGAGCAGAACCTGCGTCGCTACCTCGGCGAAGTAGGCCGGCGGCCCAGCGACCTCGAGCAGGGCGACAGCGACGCCGCCCGCAAGCGCCAGCGCATTGAGAGCCCGCTTGCCGACGCAATGGATCTCGACGCAGCGCCCCCCGCGTCCCGCAGAAGAGGCGGCTCGCAGTCATCGTATGCAGAATCTCTACCCGCCTACGACGACCAGCGCTCCCCCAGTTACGAAGAGTCAGCCGCCCCCACCACCACCACCGCCACAGCAAAACACTCCGACCCCCAAGCCCAAGACCGCCGCGTCGCATGGTCCACACAGCTCATCATGACCACGTCCGGCCTCGGCGTCGCCCTCAGCGCCACATCCCTCCGCTCGCTGAAACTCTGCCTCGGCCTACTCCGCGGCGCAACAACCCACATCGACAACGTGATGCGCGCGCTGAAGCTCGTCCTGGAAGAATACGAAGCGGCCCTCCGCTCCCGCCAAACCCACCACCAAACCCACTACGACGCCGAAAAACAGCCCCCCACCTCCCCAACAGAAACACACCCAGCACAGGAATCAGACGACGTAACCCGCATCGCAACCCGCATCAAAGCCCTCAGCGCAGACATCTGGCAAACCCTCCAATCGGTCGTCGCATCCGTCTCGCGCTACACAGGCGGTGCCCTCCCCCAGAACGCTTCCCAGGTCGTCCGCACACAGCTGCTCAGCGTGCCGCAGCGCTGGCAGCTCGCGGGCCGTACTACGCAGGGCGAGGGCGAGGAGGTGCGCGGCGCGAATCGGATGTTGGCGTTTGCGAAGGAGGGGCTGGATATGATGGGGCAGATTACTACGGTTGTGGATGGGACTGTGTGTAGTGCTGAGGGGTGGCTTGGGCGGATTGGGAGGGGCGAGAGGAGGGAGAGGGGGGAGTGGGAGGTGGGGAGGGTGGGTGGAGGGGCGGAGGTTGGGGGGGAGAAGAGGTAGTGTGTTGGTTGGTGAGGGGGAAGGAGATATACATACCCTGCTTTTTTCACACTTTTTTTCTCTTTGCTTGTCTTTGTCTTTCCATGTCTTATCACCTCAGTATACCAAGTTTCAGCGTTTCAAATTCCCTTTTGTTTTTTTCCTTCACGCCATATCATGTCGGATTCTTCAAAGGTCTCCTAAGCGATTCATCCTATTCCACAAAAGTATCTAGCTAGAAATGCGAGAAAAGCTGCTGATTCAACTCAACATAACCACCTCCCTCCCCCTTGCTATCCCCTATCCCATTCCTCCCCCTTCCCCCTCTTAAGCAACCACCCCAATAAACCGCCCAACATTCCGCCAAAACCCAACCCCCACCACCCCACACGCCTCAGCCAGCCCACCCACCCCCGGAATCCGCAATAATTCTTCCTCGCTCGCGGGTCGCGTCGTCACAATAGTGCGGAGCGTGTGGTCTGAGATGAGGGGTGGGGTGGAGGCGGGGCGCGGGGGGAGCTTGCGGGTGATGAGGGTGCGGAAGGCGGTTAGTTTGTTGAGGGAGAGTTGGGCGGTGGGTGATAGTGGGGGGATTGGTGCGTTTTGGGGGGAGGGGGGTGGTGATGGTGATGGTGATGGTTATGTTGATTGATTGGGGTGGGGGGGATGGGCTGTGGTGGCGGTAGAGGGGAAGTGGTAGGTGGGGGGTGTTGACGGGGTGATGGGACTTTGCTGGGTTGTGATGGTGCTTGAGGGGTTCTCGAAGGCGCGGGACTTGTTGTGCGGCGCCGTTTTGCGCCGGATATTCGTCTTGGGGGTGTGTTGAATTTTAGGGATGGCAGGGAGGAGTCGGAGTCGGGGTCTGCGTCTGCGTCTGCGTCGTTGATGCTGACGCGCTTAGTGCTTAATGTTGTCGCTCCCATGTTGAAGGATAGACCTGTGTGGAGCGTTGGGCTGGCGAAGGCGGGTGATGAGTCTTGATTTGTGTCTTGTCGTGCGTCTCGTCTCCGCCTTGTGGGCGTGGAGGGAGCACGTGTTGATGTTTTCGAAGCAGACACATCCAACGACGTGCTGTTGGACGTGGTCGGCAACCCGTTCGCGGAGAGATACTGCGAGATCACCTCTATCCACACATGGCCGTACCTCTCTTGGTGCAGCTTGCCGATGCCTTTCACGTTCAATAGGGCGCTTTTGTCTAGCGGTCGCTTGCGTGCTAGACCTTCGAGTACAGCGTTCACTGCAATCCGATGTATAGGCAACTTGGTAGTCTCGACCAATGCTGAGCGACGAATAACGAGTTCGTCATAGAGGCCTTGAGAAATCGCGTCAAGGGGTTGTGCTGGTGTTTTGGGCTTTGGAGTTTCAGCCTTCTTCCTGACCACCGTGCTTCCAACTGCTGTCACCACCACAGTGCTTCTACCCTTCCTCATCTGCAGCCTCGCTATGTCCTCTTCTTTCATAGGCACTTTGAAAAACGCATCGGATGTAATGAAAGAACCGTCTGCTTCCAAAGCTTGCAATCGAAGAGGGGTTATCTTCGAGAACTTGAACGGCTGGTATATGTCTGCGTGAATCGGCAAAGGAGGGGCAGGAGTCATCTTCAAGCGCTTAGCGTTCATGCAATGGTAAAGCATAAGGCCAGCGTAAGCGTCTCCAGCCGCGTAGTTGATCTGATCTTGGGATAGCGGCTTACTCCAGTTACTCGTCCGCACATCGCCTTTGTACAGAGGGTAGCCGAGCTGGTCCTCAACCTGGTTTGCCAGGCTGACCATCTTAGTCGAGACGTATTCCGGTTTGTGCGCACCATACTTGATGAGTCGATACAAATGGCTCAATTCAACAGCACCCTTCGGCTGCAAGCCAAAGAACCGGCGCAGGCGAGAGAAGTCTGCGCTCAAGACCCCGACCCCCAACTTCCCAATGTTGGGGTCTTGGATGAGTTTCTTCAACGACGGCGCGATAATGTCGTCTACTGTTTTCCCCGGATGCAGTCCAATGTGAAATAGAGCTATCTTATCTTGGGTAGCGATTTGTATCAGCCCGATCTTGTTCTGTAGATCATCTCGTTTCCAGTCATTCCACGGCCACTCCATATCGAATCCAATGACAGTCTCATTCAAAAAGTGTTGGGCAATGTCCTCTGATTGAGCTTTTGTTCTGCTGTACAAGATCTGGACTTCTTTGTTCCCAGGGCCTCGATACAGTCTATGAGACCACCAACGCTTAGGTGTTACTCTACCACCTGCGCTGACATCATAAACTTGAAACGTTTGTTGCCCACTGTATGCGGGGTTCAGTGGTTGTAGACTGTATGCAAGAGGCCATCGAGCCGTGTCTTCGCGGTGCAGGCCAACTGCACCGTCTGAACTAATAACAACCGGAGCCTGCTCAGTCATGATATGCGCAAACAAAATCCAACACAAACTTCCAACAAATGACAAGTGGATGGAGTGAGCGAAGTGTGGTAGAGCTTCAGCCTTCAGCTGGCCAGATCCAGGGGATGACACCCTCCTACGCTAACCTTGTACGGAAGCAACCAACGCGAAGTCAGGTGTGCTGAGTGCAGCGGTTCATCCTTTCTCGTGCCAACAAATATCTCATCATCAATTATTTGGAGTCTCGATACAAGGTAATAAGCTTCGCCAACTTGACGCAGTATGCGAGGAAGGTCGTGCGCGTTCAATCCGTGCTCTGCCCTCATGAGGCGCTGCCACCCAACCGCGTCTTCATGACATTATGCAACCAGCCAGTCGCCGTTACGGCTTGAGACCGCTCACCCTAGGCCCTCCCAGTTTCTCCGTCTCATTGATGAACATGCTGTGTTTCCCAAGTCTACCGTCGTGTGGTTTCGTATCTGAGGGAAATGTCGCGACCTCGCGCAATTCCCGTTTCAAGGACGCGGGTAAGCACCATGTCTACCAGTTTCCAGAATGCAATGCAACAAAATTTGCCCTGCTTGTAGCCGCTATGTATCGAGGACGCGTATTCGATAGTATATGTACGTGGTGTGACCTCGACGAGACACTTCGACTGAGAACAACCACAATCCATAATCTGATCTCTCTTTCCAGGTCTTTGCTCGTGTGCAGGCCTTCTTCACGATAATATGTATTTCGTTCCATTTCTCTTCATCGCGACCTTGATCGGCTATGCGCAGGCGCAGACTCCGAAAGGCTTCACACCCTCTGTAAATACCAAGCTGAAAGTACTTTTCAACGACACATCGGTCAAGACACCGGGGCAGCTGTTGACAAAAGCTGGTACGTGAGACATTCAACACACAACAAACCGCGTCTAATTTCAGACAGAAACCGCGAGCCAACCCCAAATCGCCTTTGACAGTACCAAGCTCTGTTCAAATGAGACATACATGTTCGTGATGCTCGACCTTGACGTACCTCCCGCACAAGGAAACACCACACGCCGTGTTCTACTACACGCCTTGAACACGGGATTCAAAGCAACTCAGCAACCAGCCGGCGGGTCTGATACTCTCCTCGTTTCGTCCAGCAAGGGACCCGCACCCTACCTCAGCCCTGGTCCTCCGCCAACGGACACCATTCCGCACCGCTATGTACAGTTGTTGTTCAAGCAGCCGGAGGATTTCAGCTTGAAAGCGTCGGACTTTGCGGACACGGGAGCTAGGTTCAATTTCGATATCACCTCTTTCATGTCGAAGAATGGTGTTTGTGCGCCGCTGGCTGGTAACTTCTTTACGGTGGATGGGAGGGCGAACGCAACTGCAGGTAGAACCGCAAGTCCGACCGGGAGTGTAAAGAAGAATGTTTTGCGTCGTGTGAGGGTGCGGCAGGGAAAACACAAGCGTCATATGGGGTAGTGGAACAAGTAGGTGTACTGGCTTGCCTGCAAGTGGTTCAGTATCTGACATGAAGAATTTGAGTCTTTGAAACATTGTGTGAGACTATTGTTGTACCCGATTGTCTTACAATACTTGTGAACATGGCATTCACTACTTATAACGTACCTGCATCCATGCATATATCTTCCAGCGGGAGTTTATGTTCTCCGCGTTGTCTCCACAAACTTAGTTCAACCGTGTCGGGAGCAAATAACACACACAACAGCAGCTAAACTGATCACAAGCATATTTTCAAACTACAAGACAATACAAAGTATGCCCAACGAGAAAAGTAAGACAGTTGAGCCAACTGATACCAAGGCTTTTCAGAATTTCCAGCTCAAAACCAGCGCATTGGAAATGCGCGACCTCAAAATCACCGCGCAAGCTGCTGAGATTCAAAGCCTCAAGACCCAACTCAAGATCCTTCAACAAGCTCACGAAGCAGAAATAAGGATTCGTAACGCCGAAGCAATGGAGCAAGCTGCTGATCTCGAGGAGATTGTTGCTGCTTGTCGGCTTGCTCGTTTGTTTGCTAATAGGTGAGTTGTTAAGGTTTTGGGTTGGGGAACAGAATTTGGTTTGAAAGATCTCTGATTTTATGAGCGATGATTTGGGAATTTGTCTCATGAATGTATCGTATCAAGAGGCATTGTCAGAAAAGACTTCTGAGTTTTGACTAAAGAATTAAAATCTAGATGAAAGGGTATAATATAAATTACCAGAAACTCGAGCAGTGAGGAAAATGGAGATCGTGAATATCAGAGAAAATGACTACGAGATGCCCGATAAAGCCAAAGGTAGACCGAGATCCAGGGGTCTGGCATCCCTCAAATATACCCAGAACTGACATCCCCGTCCATATGACGCACTCTGTACTGTGTGTTCAGGCTCCCACCTTTTGTTCATCTGGTCTTTACCACGGTGACCGTCGAAGGGTTCTTCTTAGCTTTCGTGCTCTTCTTCTCTTCAAGCTTCTGCTTCTTCCTCGGCTGCAGTACACTAACCTTAGTCTCTCTTCCCCGCTTGCCCCCCTTATTCGCCTTCTCGCTCTCATCAACCTCGGACTTCTTCTTACCCTTACCCTTGGCATCTGACGCCTTCCCCTTACCCTTGTCCTTGGTCGTCTCTTCGTTACTCTTCTTGAAACCCCTCGGAACTCCCTTATCCGATCGCTCTTTCCTTGCTTTCGGCTCAGGCCTCAGTAACCCAAACTCCTTGATATAGTAGATGACATCGAGTGCTACATCGCAGAACTCTTGCGACCCGCGGATTAGCTTGAGGGGTTGCTTGTTGCTCTCCATACCCGCGCGCCAGCGATCTATGACAGCAAAAAAGATCTCGTCGACGTCCGCGTCTTTAGCATCGCGGTATCTCTCATACTCTTCATTCTCCGGTCCGTGTTCCCCGCGCTGACGAGCTCCTGGTGAGCGTCGTGGACCATATCCAAGCTCATCACCAATCTCGAATTGAACGTACGCTTCAATGACCATGACGGCGATGGTGTGGAAGTTGAGCACTGCGTGCGCAGGGGCTGGATCAGGCGTGGCGAGAGCTTGCTGGCCTGGGAGGAAAAGATTCAACAGAAGGTGGAGTTCCTGCTTCGGGTGGTCTGGAGAGAGGATGACTTCTTCGCGGACGAGATTTGGGATCGAAACTTTGGCGCTGGGGAGGTCGTCTTTTTCGGTTGGCGACTGGTATATTGCTTCGAATTGAGGGAGTTTCCAGCAAATCTCTTCGGACGATGATGGATTGGTGGGAGTAGATATTTGCAAGGGCGCGGGGAGTGGACGACGCATAGCAACGGGGTTCTGAAGGGCTTGGTGTTTGGATTTGGTGCCAATGAATTGAATGTCGGAGTCGTCACCTTCGTCTTCGTCTTCGTCTTGGTCAGCTCTGTGAACTATGGTAGCTGAAGGTGAACTAGTTTGATCTGTAACAGAAGTTTGAGGTTTCACGCGCGATCTGAGCGGCTCATCATCATCGGTACCCTCGTTTTCTCCGCCATGTTCGGGATTCTCAGCGATGCGCTGCGGCGTGTTCAGATACCTTGGCGACGTGTTGGGGTCTGGCACTGGCTGCAAGGAAGATGGAAGTGTAGAGGGCCAACGGGATATGTCGTAAGCACCCGGAGGGAAAAGCTGATATGCCGAACCCGATGCAGACTGCCCGTGAGGCATTGGGGGATAGAACGTATTTTGGTAGTTGATGCCATGCTGCCCAAAAGCGGCGTGCTGTTGTCCATATGGTGGAGCATTCTGATAGCCCATAGGCATCATGTAAGCTTGCGGAGTATCCAATGGACTGTGTACAAAACCGTTGTGCATATTTCGACCCGCCGTGGCGAGATGTGATGCATTGCGAAATTGTGGTTGCTGAGCCTGCGTCTGGTTTCGGGAACGCTCGTTAGATCTGTTTCCAGTAGCGGCATCGTGACGAGTATTACTGCTTTGCCGCATGGGATGATCGGAAGCAGCACCATGTTGCTGGAGGTCGGAAGAATAAACTTGAGATAGCTTTGACTTCACAGCCTGCAGCTTCGACGCCAGAAACGATGTTCCACCACGTAGGTCATCAGTGTTGTCTTCGTGCTCATCCTCGTCGTGCGAAGCTAGTCCGTCTTCCTCGGAATCAGAATCTTGGGCATCAGCCATGTTTGTATCATCCTCGTTTACTTGTCCCTGGAAGTCCTGCCTGCTAGGGCCGGCCACGGTATTATCCCTGATGAAACGTTCCATAGAATCGGTGCGGACGAAGCCATAGCCATCATCCTGATCGTCATGCTCGTCAAGTTCGTCAACGATTTCGTCAATCTGAAGTTCAGCATCGGTGCTGATTGTTTGACGTGCGTCGCACATTGACTCTTCTTGCGAGGCGTTATATTCTTCAAGACAACTGCCGAGCTGCTGTCCCTCAGCTTGCGGCTCCTGCTTAAGCAGAAGAGTTGGAAAAGGGTCTTGATGTCGGTCGACCAGGGGGCTGTTACGCGGACCTTCCAAGATGACTGCACGCTCGGTAGCTTCATCCTGATCCTGGAGCCCTGTAAAGCCTATACTATGTGACAGGTCATCCAAGCTAAAACGAACCTTCTCACCAAGTCCTGGCTCCAGCTTCACAAAACCTTCTGAACCATGATTCATGGCAACGTCGTCTGAAATGGTTTGCTTTACATGGTCGCCGACGGAAGGTAGATATACTTCTTCCTCTGAGATATGAGGACTAGCGGATTGGTGATCTTGGTGCACAACCTCACTGCCCGTATGCTCTTGCACCGTCAACCCCAACTCTTTCTGAGACCCCTCTGCCTCAAGATCTGGATCATTGGAATCGATCATCAATTCTTGCGACGCCTTATCCGTGCTCTTGTTGTGTTGTTGCTGGCCCGCGACCTCAACCTCTTGCCTCGCGTTCTCAACCTGACTAGAATCAAACCTAGTCTTGTGCATGTCGTTGTCAGCTTGGTGGTTACCGCTCGGGTCGTGCTGTGTGTTTCCGCCGCCTTGCAGTCGATCTTCAATATCGGAGTCGCTCGTACCGTCCATGGCGCTCATCGCTCACTGCTTACGAGAACTGGAACAGAAGTTTCGCGGTGAGTCTGCCAAGGGCAACCGGCAAGTTTTCGCTTTCGCAGCGATCGGTATTTGCTTCTGAGTTGCGTCTTGTTCGAGATCGAGGAGAAAGAGAGTCACAAGTTGAGAGGTGGGGTGTAAGATATGAGGTCGCAAATAGGGAAAGGCTTGGTGACGGCTGATTTATATAGCACATATGGCTAGCGTGTGTGCTGATAGCTACACTGGGGCTACCTTTACCTCGAAGCTTGCGATTAAGCTGCCTGGTTTCTCACCTGCTAGCAAAGATTTGTGCAAATCCAGTTGTGGCGAAGAGAGGTGTAGTCCAGTCGCCTAGGCAATATGAGCGCAGGAAGTCCATGAATGACTCATGGAAATGGGGTCTCGAATGGTTGGTGACAAACAAACTACCCATCATAACCCATGATGTAGACAGGCGATGAATGTAGACGAAAAATATACCGAGCAACGAAGGTGTGCGAGCATGAGCACTGCTGTGCATTCTCTATAAGCACAACATGCCTAAGAGTGAACTCGTCGAGTATAACAAGGCTGCGAAAGGCAGTTCGGGATGCAAGTGTGTGCGGGAGTGGAGTGATAAAGGTCGAGTGCTGCAAGAAAGTGAGTCTCAGTCGTGCTTGTCTCCAAAATGGGACTTCACCTCAAGAAGTGAGGAAACGGAGCACCTCGAGTATCGTAATCACCGGTCATGAATACGTGGAATTTGGTATGTTCGTTAAAGCCTTGATTATCCAGTCCTCACAATCTCGTGTCTAGCTCCTACTCCGGATATCATTGACCAGTCGTGTCACAAACCCATCAAACATCGGCGCCAACGAGCAATCTCGATACTTATCCACCAACGACTCCTCCCCCCCTTTTGCTGCTAATACCTCTTTTCCATCAACGATAGTCCCCTTCGGATACACAGGCCTTGTCCCTTCTTCAATCAACTGCACAAACGCTGGATCGATCGGTACACTCCCTAGAAATGGCACTTGGAAGTCCCTCGCCATGACCTCTCCACCCCCCTTTGAGAACACATTCGTGCATTCGCTGCAATTCGGGCACACGAACCCTGCCATATTCTCCACCACACCCAGCACTCTGATCCCCGTCTTTTTGCAGAAATTGAGTTCCTTCTTGACATCGGATATTGAAATGGCTTGTGGCGTTGTCACGATGACGGCGCCAGCAAGTTGCTTGGTCCCGGCCGTTTGTTTCAAGAGGGTCTCGAGAAGTGAGATGTGCTCATCCGAAGTACCAGGTGGTGTATCGATGAGCAAGTAATCAAGGCGCGGCCACAGCACGTCAGTGAGAAATTGACGCACCATTGCGGTTTTCTTGGGGCCACGCCAGATAACTGCGTCGCTGCGGGAGGCAAGAATAAAGCCTAGAGACATGCATGATAGCTCCCCCACTTCTTGCGCTCCATCTTGGTTTGTGTGTGTGGGCAACTTCTGCCGCCCGTGAACCTCAACCGGTATCCAACCCCCAGGTGCCTGCCTGACCTTCTTGTCTTCTATCCCAAAGAATCGCGGTATGGATGGGCCTGTAAGGTCGATGTCCAGAACGCCAACCGTGTGGCCTTGCAACGAGAGCGTCAGGGCGAGCTGCGTGGTGATGCTGGATTTGCCTACCCCGCCTTTGCCGGAGAGGACGAGAATGATGTTCTGGATGTTTTCGAGCGGCATCTTGGACTCAGTCGGGTGCACGCGTCGGTGTGTATAGGAAGGGCGGTGGTGTGGGTCGTAGCATTGTGACTGTGAGGTTGGTACAGTGCTTTGAAATCGATATCGGTGGAAGTGGCGGCGGGATCGGAGGCAGGGATCAGCGAATGAGGCTTTCTGCACGCCCCAAGGGTTCAGTGGCACATCCTCATGGGTCGATGCATGTCTTTGACATGTCTCAAGTACCAAATGATAAAGTCTATCTAGTTGGTCTCGCGAAATGTGCTTTTCGAATTCGTGATATGCATGTAGATTGCAAAAAGCACAGGAGCTAAGCCCGTTCAAAATCCGGCGCTAGATGGCGCGTCGCGTCTCCATTGTGCTGCCACCATCAACATTTGCCTCCCGTCCTTGACGTACTTCATCATCGTAACATTGTCTCAGACACCTCGAAAGTTCGCTACAGCCGCTGGTAATACCCCAGACGCGCGATGCACCATCTGCACCTACGTACCCAGCCTATCAGAGCGCACATCCCAGTATCCTCGACGATCCAACACTGCTCTTTCGCGGAGTACGGGGGAGTGTATGAGGGCAAAGCTCAAATGATAGGCGATTACTCTCTGTCGCAACAGCAACCAACCCAGACTTGTATTGATTGTCAGTCACGATGACTGTGTTCTCAGAACCCTCAGGCCACCTTTTTTTCATTATTCTCGCTCTCATCTCCTACCGACCATTTTTCGAACCTCATCCCTCCGGAAATTGAGCGAGTGGAAGAACCTCTCCGAGATAACGTAAAATGGAATGGATCGAATCCGTGCCCCTAAAGCAGCTCTCCACGCCTACCAAAGACTACACTTGCATAGCCGCGGTTCGTCACATCCATACCACAACACCAGGAGTACTCAATGCACTTTTCCAACATGCCGATCGCAAAGGACTCCAAGAGCTAAATCGATGCACCCGAAAAAAGTCGGTGATATTTGGGATATTGACAAAAGTTCTACCAGAGCCAGACTACCAGCCAACGAGGTTTAAGTACCCAGAAATCACCAGAAAAAGGCCAGCGAGCTACAGAAAAAGCAGAGCGTATCCGCCTGGATCTATAGTTCCGTTCTGGTGTTTAAGAAACAGTTGGTTTACCAGCCAGATCTTCAACATAGGATGGTACTAATACCATGTGACTTCACCTCAATGGAAGCCAGTCGGTTCTAGCTTTGGATCACAGTGAGAGGCATCCTTGTTGAGATAACAAGAGCAGAAACTAAGTCAAAAAGGTACAAGAAGCTTTGACCTTGATCATCATTCTTCTAAAGGTCACAATTTGAGCGTAATTGACAATGCCAATCTCATATCCCTCCGAAGTCTACACCTGCTATGAAGTTGGTACGAACCCCTCATCACTGAACTCCTTCCATGAGGTGTTGATGTGTACCAAAAAAGTAAGTCAGCTTCCCGATCTATTTTGCTTTTGCTGATCTCGTTACGAGATGCCGGTACGCAGTCAATATGGCCTCCAGATATCGAATGATTTTGTTTTAACATCAGCGTGCTTACCTTAACTGCTCAACAACGTGGAGATATGTTTGCGCTTGTCCCAAACCACCTCATCACCCCGCATCGCACTTTCAATTAGTACCAAGGGTTACTACATTCATAACTCACACCTTCAACCTATCACAAACCCTTCTACTACTATGCCATTTTGCCACAAACCACAGTCTCTGGTGCCGGCCAATGCGATTCAAGTCACCGTTGATATCGTTGTGGAGATCAGTGAAAGCAATACATCGTCCAACTCTTACGACATGGCACGTCCAACGACACCTCCAATTCCAGTACCATCCATGACTACGATTGTGGCCAGCTCGTCACAGCACATTTCGGCTCCTGTCGGCGAGCAGCTGCCATCTGGCGATGCGTTTGCTCAAGCGGCATTACTCTCGATCGTCCAAAGCGAGCGGCTAGGGTTCTATCCAACGTTCAGCGTTTCGGACCTACCGCCACTAATCCCTGTGTTCACTGCCGAAGAAGCTGTCAGCCAGATCCGGAGGAGCATGGAAGAACTTGCATGTCTTGGCCAACGACTGACAAAGTCCGAGAAACTGGAGTTCCACGCGGAAGTTGCTCCTGCAGAGGATATTGAGCTATCTCAAAGTGTGTCACATTGGGTGTTCAGTCTTGCAACACTCCAGCAAGTGGATTTTTCGCTATATCACATTCTGCGTGATTCTTTGTATCCTCACACCCCAAGACATATCTTCCTACGCTGGAATGCCTTTCGAAGTCATCTCAACGCGACTGGACATATGCTTGCGAACGTGGTACGGCAGGCAGAGGAGCTACCTCAGCGGAAGTGGTCGCCGCTACTCTGGGAATTCTACTTCCTTCTTCTTGAGTATGTCACCAACATCCACAAGTTCTGCTCGTATCGATGTACCAGCGGTCTTCGAACTTATTGCTGATGCCTAACAGTCACAACAATGCTTTGGCTGAAGACGCTTCGTTTGATCGCACAAACCCTGACAGCATTGGATGCCAATTGAGTGCTTATTGCATTGCTCTTCGTATCAGGTTCTATCTCTGGCGCATGTCGCAAAAGAATCCTATGTGCAGTTTGCGGACTTACAGGAGGCGAGTGCAGGCGGAAAAGTTTCGCGACTACCTGAAAGAGCTTCTCGCCATCTTGGCTCAGGAATTCAACCGCCAGCAAGACCCTGCACTGGGGCACCTCCCCAGTGTTCAACGTACTATTGTTGGCAGACCAGTCGACGTCGCTTCTATCACCGAGCCGCTATCAGGAGCCACCTACGAATTTTGCAGCATCTGTCAGGATGAACACGCAGCAGTTGCATGCGTTAAGTCCCTCGAATGTAATTGTGTTTTTGGTCGAGACTGCCTAGAGCCATTGCTCAATCGCGACACCCCTTTCAGTAGCACCTGTCCAAACTGCAGAGCACACTTCCACAAACCGTTGAAATGGAAGTCCATTCAGACGACTAGCGACCGAGAGCTGCAAGTCGTCTCCCTTTGGTCACTAAGATACAATATGGCGTCGCTCAAACGCGAGATCATGGCTGACCCTGAGCCTTTCGTCGCACGCCAGCGTCTTGTGGACTGGGCGAGCCGCCTCATCCATGGACGCTGAGATCGAATGGGGCTGAAGAGAACGTAGGGTGACTACGGCGATGTAGTGTCAGATACTTCCGAAAGATCAGACTTGGGTGAAAGAGTCTGTAGGTACTGGTTAATCTCTAAGTCGAAGTATGCAACCTTGACAGGATCAATGACAAACTTACCATAAATAATTTTGTTCGAACAGGAGGACGTATACGGGTAGCGACGTAACATGAGATTGACGGATACTGTTCTTGGTATGCAAGGCGACTCATTGGACGGTTTTATCACGTTACATCTATCCAGCTTTGCAGCGCATGATTTCTAAACACCGAACTCCTGAGGTTATTCTAACCTCAAAAGCAGATCATTCGCGGGTCGTTTGACGTTGCCGTGTGCCATGCTTACGGAAGATTGCTGGGGAACAATGTCAAGTTGTCATGTCTCACAGTGCCCTGTCACGGCGAACTCCGAAACGCGAACTTTTGATACCCGAAACTCAACGCGCCTCATACCTTGTCTTGATAAACCGTGTTTGTACCGTAGGGTAGAATCATATTCTCCTGTATTTATCGGCGCCGCTCAATGTGGCTATCTTAGTGTTTGAAGCTGGTGGATACGCTTCATCATGCATGTTGATCTGCAAGGGAGTACCGACTACAAGCACTACCAGACGTTGCCAAGAGTAGTCTGAGGCGCTGACAGGATGTTATCACACACACACGTTCCTTCAGTGTGACGGTAGTATGTCTCGTAGCAGTGGACACCACTGTGGGTACTATACGAGATTATTACTCTTCCTCTAAGCGCCCGACATGGCCTTACGGACTACATATATGAGTTGCTTGCGGGACTACTTGCTCTCATCATCAAACATCATTTGGCTCACACTTCAGTTTCTTTGTCTTTCTTTCAACCCTCCTTCTATTCTATTCTATTCGAAGCGCCGGACGCACTCTTTATCTTAAACCTCAATCAAAATGTATTACAGCTCTCCCATCTTCGCGCTAGCCGCACTTATTTCCATTGCGCATTCGCATGGTGTCCTTCTTTCCGCGGTGGGAGACTCTGGTGAGAGTCAAGGCTTTTTAGGTACGCCTACATTTATTGCAAACCATCGTCAGTGACCTCCTACTAACACTGTCCAGTTAATCCTGAACTTGCGCGTAACTGTACCACCATTTCGCCCTGCCAGCAAGACTCAACCATCATCCGCGATTCTGAAATCAAACAAAACATTGTCAACGCGTGCGGACGTACCGAAATCGCCGGCAACATCGACATTGGAGAGCAGACAGAGAACGAACTAGCCGTGAAACGAGTTACCAAGGTTTCTGGAGGCAGTGTCCTGGCCGTGACTATCCACCAGGTACATCTACCCACACTTTGACTGCACGCAATGTAAACTAACATTATTTAGGTCAACGCGGACGGCGCGGGCCCCTATGAGTGCGATATGGACGAGACCAGCAACGCAACAACAGATTTCACCCCGTTAACTGTATCCAACAACATCCCAGGCGCCAACGGCCTCTCCCAAGCGAAAGAACAAGACTTTGTCATCAACGTGCAGATGCCAGACAAATTTAACTGCATTGGTGCCTCCACGGGCAACATCTGTACCGTGCGATGCCGCAACGCCGCTGTTGCAGGGCCGTTTGGAGGATGTTTTGCGGTCCAACAGACTGATGGGCAGGGAAGAAAAGCCGGTGCTTCCGGTAAGTCCAACGCAATTTCCTAGGTCTTTCTATCGATCAAGACACATGCACCTCTATATAGTTGGTGAGTCCATGCTGAGGTTCGCTAGGTGTCAATACAGCACAGACACTTAAAGGTATTCAAGCGCAGATCCTGCAGAACCAAAAAGATCTTGATGCTGCTATTGCGGCGAACCAAGCGGCTGGGGCAGCGGGAGGAAATGAGGGCGCGAGTGCTATTTCTGGTGCGTTTTTCGCTTGATAACAATGATGGAAAAGAGGCTAATCCAATGTGAAGCACTTGCTACTGCGACTGCTACGGCGGCAACGACTTCGAATGCTGCGGCCACTGCTTCAGCCTCTGCTACGGCGGGTGCTGGGAAGGGCAACGGCAGGGGCAAGGGCAACGGAAATCAGAACCAGAACGGCCAAGCCGCTGGCCAGAACGGTAACACCAACGCCGGTCAGGGGGGCAACGGGAACAGAGTCGGAAACGGAAATGCAGCCAACAACCAGCAGGGTAACGCTAATGCCAATACCGGTGCGCAGAACGGTATTGGGAACACCGGTAATGGAATTGGCGGCGGCCGTGGCAACGGCATTGGCAATGGCAACGGACGAAATCAGAATAAGAAGAGGGGTGCGAGGTTTATGTCCAAGATTTGGTAGGCTTGGCTTGGTCTTGGGATGTGAGGATGGAGTGTCGAGCTTTTGGTAAACACTCCTTCTCTTTCTCAACTTGAGCATAGGATGAAGGAGCTCGTTTTGATTTTGTCCTCGTGTAGATATACATAAGACGTACTTCGCAGCTGGTGAGAGCTACTGCAATATACTAGGGTCCTTGAACGATACTTTCGTATATTGCTGTAGCTTTGTTTATAGTTGAAAATTGTAGAGATAGTGGTTATACTCCTTGGTACAACTTTGAGAAACGATGAGTGCTACCCAATTCCTGTGCGGGTCAGATATGTTCGACTTGACGAGATACGTATGTTGAGAAGAGATTGAGAGTAAATGTTGAATGTCATGTATGTCAGCGGTGTTATAACATAAATCATTTTCCCATTCGTTAGTTTTACCTTGATTTTTTGCTGTTGCTAGCTGTATGGAACATGTATACCAGCCCGCACTGCATCTCGGTGTCATGTGTCCTATCTATTAATCCATAACTCGCTAGCGTTCGATTTGTGTAGAGCTGAATTATGTATAACACGCTAGCACTGACGTATGACTTTGGCGTTCTCTCTAAGACGCCAACATGCTAACTCTTCAAGAAATGGAAGGATCATTTTGAACAGTTAATACTCTACAATCGCAGCATTTTCAAGTCCGTAATTGTGACCAACAAAACAAATCCGAACAAGAAGAACTCAATGACGACGACGGCGCCACTGACCAGTACGGCAAAATGCCAAAGAAATCCAAGGCTACCCCAAGGCTAACCCCACCGAACGGGAAGGCGAGCTCTCGGTTAAATGTAAAAGCTAGCTACCGTTGCTTACTTCTTAGCACCAAACCACGACGAAACCCCAGGAATCCATGCAGCAAACAAAGTTGTTTGGCGTATACCTGTTCTACTTAAAGCACTTAAACTTAGAAAAATTCCGTCTGTAGCTGTCAAGCTGCTGCGAGGTCTCATTGCAGCTCGGTCCCAGCTTTCACGCTTAACCGAGAGGGGCTCAATGGATCCTTGCATCTTGCTCATCCGTTCCGGGTCCTTATCTCGAGTGCATATTCACATCGAATGACAAGCAACGGCTATAACCACCTGTAGCACCACGCGAGTGCACGCCCACGCATCAACAAAAGACAACGCTATCTCGGCGCAGATACGGCTGCCATGGCCCAGCTTTGCGCTCGCGTCGTGAATGGTCCCCACGTCCCCGTCTAGCCTTCGAGGCGTTTGTCTAGAAAGGTCCGCGATTGCGGTTTCGGGATGGCTTATCTTATCGCACATGGTTTGGCGACCCAGCACCAGATAGTGGGGAGATACTACTAATACCTCGCCGGAGCAAGGGTAAGTATGACCTCGGGGTTGGGGAATAAAGAGGCACGTTATCCCGTTGTACAGAGGGTGAGCTTGGCTACCTTTGTTCGTCAACTCTACATCCCAATAGGTGAATTGTGGGGTAGATAGAATGCCGGTATTCAAGAAGCCAAATTTTGCGCTGAAGGTTGAACAGCCAAAGTCGACATTTGCGGAAGGGAATGCGAGATGGTATGTTCGGATGGAAAGATGAATCAAGAACATTGGGGAGACATACAGGATATCCTGCTGATACTATACAGGACGAACAAAGATCTCGATCCTGTTCCTCGACATGGGCGAAAGTGGGGAGTGTCGAGCTTCCTCGCGTACTGGATTTCTGATGCTTTCAAGTACGACTCTTCGAAAGTCCGATTCCTTGCACATAAATACTGACTGGTGAAAGCGCTGCGACATGGCAATTTGCATCGAGTATCATCGCAATTGGTATGGATCCCTGACTGGACCTTGCCCTTGGAGCTTGCTAACCTCCACCCAGGCCTAACATGGCGCGAGTCCCTCGGGATAGTCGCTCTTTCATTCTTTATCATCTCCTTCGTGATCGCCCTGAACGGCGCAATCGGTGTGATCCACCACGTGCCCTTTCCTGTACTCGCACGCGCGTCTTGGGGATTCTGGGGCTCCTATATCGCCATCATATCGCGCGCCATCCTCGCCGTCTTCTGGTTCGCTATCCAAAATATGAACGGTGCCAACAGCATCAGAGTCATGATCGCCGCTATCTGGCCCTCGTTTTTGACAATGCACAACGGGATTCCTGAGTCTCAGGGCATCGAGACAAACACATTGATCAGCTTTTTCATCTTTTGGGTGATATCGTTGCCGTTCTTGTGCATCCATCCGAACAATCTGCGTTGGCTGTTCATGGCCAAGTCGATCATTGTGCCGATTGCATGGATCGCGATCTTGATCTGGGCATTCAGGTCCACGGGCGGCGGCGGCGAGATGTTTAATCAAAAGGCTACGCTCTCGGGATCGGCTTATTCCTGGGCTTTCTTGTCGAGCATGACTTCGGTTATTGGAAACTATGCGACCCTTTCTGTCAATCAGGTATGTTTTTGATGGCTCAGAATTGCCTTTCACGCAAAACCAATATGGAACATGAGCTAATCAAGTCCAACAGGCTGATTTTTCGCGTTATTCTCGCGTCAGTGTCAAATGGCAGATCATATACGTTCCTTTCTTACCGCTCGTCTTCACATTCATCGCCTTCATCGGTATCGCGGCCACCTCCGCCGGTCAGATCAAATACGGCGAACTGGACTGGGACCCTATGGCTCTGATCGCCCATTGGGACAATCGTGCATGCCGCTTCTTCGGCGCGTTCAGCTTCGCACTCGCCGCACTCGGTGTCAATATCTCCGCAAACTCGCTCTCCGCTGCAAACGATTTGACAGCGTTATTCCCGCAATACGTCAACATCCGTCGCGGACAGTTGCTTTGCGCCATCCTCGCTTGGGCGCTCGTTCCCTGGAAGATTCTGAAGAGCGCAGGAAATTTTTTGAACTTTATGGCTGCGTATGCAGTCTTCCTTGGGCCTATTGCTGCAATCATGGTGTTTGACTTTTGGCTTGTTCACAAGCGCAAATACGACACTCTTGCACTGTACCAACCGCATGGCATCTACCGCTATACTTATGGCATGAATTGGCGTGCTGTCGTCGCATTTGTTGTTGGAGTTGCACCCAACATGCCCGGATTCATCCAGTCTATCAATCCGAAGATCGACGCTGGAGTGGGAGCATTACCATATCATTTCGGGTGGCTGCTTGGTTTCACGGCGACGAGTTTAGTCTATGTGGTCTTGAGTATGTTGGTCGCGCCGCCGAGAGAGACGTTCATCGATAGGGCGGTACTGCCGGACGAAGTGTATGATGAGCAAAGTATTGTGCATGAGGGCTTGTCTGTCCACGGAAGCGGTAGCGGAGACGAAGAAGGAAGATTAGAGAAGACTGGTTGGAAGGCGAAGATGAACAGGATTCTGTGAGGTGGTTGTAAAAAGGAGATAGAGTAAGGAAGTGGCTTGTTGGTATGGATTAAACTTGTACATGTGATAGCAAGAAGACCCATCACCTCAATTTGCAGCTAACCGAGAGTCTGCATCTTACAAACCCCCCACTACACCCAAGACTGCTGCACCAATTGCCACACCCAAACCCGCAGTCTTCATCGGCACACCACCCGTACTTCCGCCTGTTGTCACGGCACTTGCAGCAGCAACCTGCAGCCCATACGCAGTCGTTACGACGACACTGCCCGACATGGTAGTCGTAACAACACTCGTCGCTGTTGTGCTAGCCGTGCAGCCCGACCACGTAGTCCACGGTGCATCCGTACTCCAGGATCCCGCCGTCCAGCCCGGCCATTCGCTTGGCGGACACACACTGGCATCATTCCACCATGCGGTCCACGGCGCAGAGCGCCAAGCGCTGTTTGTAGACCATTCACTCCAGGGCACACTGCCGCTTCCCCAGGGGCCGTAACCGCTGGGTCCTAGTGGGTGTCAGTTTGTGCTACGAGAAACAAGACGAAAGAGCTCTAGATGTTGCGTACCTCCCCATTGCCCGCCGGAGGCCTGTGGTCCCCAGTTTCCGCCCCATGGTCCACGACCCGGTCCGTAGCCAGTGGTCGGCCAGGGTGCTGCGGTTAATGTAGAAGGGATTTTGCCATCAGACACAAGCGAGTTGTAGATTGAAGACCATTCCGGGTTTGAAGTTGCCCATGGAGGACCAGAAATGCCGTTCGAGGTGATAGTTGCAGCGGGGTCTGCCGTAGTTGATTGCGCGATGACTGGGATGGCGAGTGCCGCGATGGAGAATACAGAAAAAAGCATTTTGTTGCGATGGTTGGGTTCCTTTTTTTCTTCTAACGTGGATGCGTTGTCGGAGAATGTGGGTTGTAAATGTTGTTGTTGCTTTTTGCAAAGTAATCCAGTATTTGGCTTGGAAATCCACGGCAGTAATGATGTTCGTGAATGAAAGACAGAAATTTACCACGCGACAAGCCAACCTTCAAATACCATCCGGAACGACGTACGCGGCCCTTGCCATCATCGGTCTCAGCTTGCTTACTTACCTGAGACCCGTCGCGGAGGAGAAAACTAAGCCGGAGGGGTCCCGCTGGGGCTCATTGATCATTGCGAAGATGGGCAAAAACATTATGAGTGCCCACTTACGCGTCATAATCGGCTTAGTCTACCCTCTATAAGTCTGATGTGCTGATGGTTTGGTAAGACAAAAGTGCTATTGGCTTGAGAACAGCTGCAGGGCAATTCAGCCTCGTGTGTCGAGCAGCTGTCATGGAGGTCAAGTTAGATCTGATTGCTTGGCCAAGAAGAGGGGCTGGAGAAGCACACGGTATTGGCTGCGGGACGCCACGGATCACTGAAACAGGTCGAAGTGCGCGTGAGATTCGACTTCGGAGAATTGGGCGGGGGTTCCGTAAGGCTTGTTAGTTATAGCAAAGATGGGCGAAACCAGGTCACGAGCGCTAAGTACACGTTAAATTTAACTTAGTCTACTAATCTTCGGACTATCACCCGCGTAGTATAACTAAATAGATAGCAATTTGCTTTAGGATGTCTGCTACTGCGCATAAAGTGCATACTCTGCGGAAAGGGCTTCTAAAGTTATAGTCTCTTAGCTACGATTACCAGAAGATTGAGTTACAACGTTAAGAGACACCGGAGTTCAAATCGTAGGAGTGAGGTATTGTCGGAACCGAGTTAGGCATCCCCCGACGACGATCAATTTTAGATTCACATCGGCGAGAATAGACGCCGATGTGAATTGAAACGTGACACCATCTACCGTTGACAGCATCATAACACGACATATGCGAAGTACTCTACGCGTCGTTTTCTTAGCTGAGTACGTGGCTGTGTGGAGATCAGCATGAGGAGTGACGTGAGCTTACCAGTATACCTCCGACATTTGGTAGCACATTTATGTCGGAACCAAGCTCCAGCAAGATCTTACGCACGTCTGACTATGTCGATTAGTTGCCATTTTGTGCACAAACAAATGCAGCTTACTTCGAGCCTTTACACTTAACCGAGAATCAGACAGGTTTAGAGTGGGAGAGCAAAGAGCAGGGAGAGTTCTGGGTTGATGGATGAATACACTGGTATGACGTCAACGGGTCAAATGTGCGGTCTTTACGATTATGTCTAATCAATCTTTTGTGCTCATTGATGAGACACCACCCCACAATGCAACTTAGTCATATCTACTTGCAATCTTGAAGTACAATTTTGGTTTACACGAGATCAATCTGGAGCTTGCCGATGTGCTTCCTCAAACTACACCATCGAATCAAAGATTGTAGCCACAGCCGTATCGTCAGACTCCATGTCAAACTACTTCCATAACGACGACTCACGCTCAATATTCGGGTGTTGGTCGTGTAAAACCGCTGACGTCTTCGTTCGCGACTTCGTCTTATACACCACACAATACACGTAAGCTAAGACTTCTGTACGGTGAGGAGGATAAGCTTGGAGTGAACTAATGACGCGCTCATGTGCTTCATATTTGCATTGGTATATTTATCGTCGTCAAGTACTTGTTCAATATACACTAAGCCACGTCCGGTAATCGCACAGCGATATCGCCTGACTGTGTAATGTATCGCACCCAAGGCAGCGAGGGATATTGCAGCTGTACGTCCGTTAGTAGGTGTGGTAAGACCCCTCGAAAACCTGCTTACCTTGGGTTCAATGATCTTCAAATACCGGACCTGGATGCCAGACGTGGTGAAATATGGTATCTCAAACTTGACGTTGATTGGTCTCTTCGCTTTCCCACCTCCAACACCACCCATGCTACCTCCAAATCCACCCATCATGCCGCCACCCTTTTCGTCGTCACCGCGCACAGATGGCAGGTTGAGCTCTGCGCGCATGAGAAATTCTTTGCCACCGCCAAACTGCTTAATCTTCCATACTATCGAAGATGTTTCGGGTGCATAGTGTACGGTACCGATATTTGTGCGGAACCGTGGTGAGTCTACATCTTCGGGGACAGGTATTGAGATTTGGACGTTGTTGGCTGTGCTGCGCCGCTTAAACTGTGCTTTCGCCTGGATATTGTCAGTCGCCATTGTCAACTGTATAATGAATACCGACGCACCTTCAACATATACTCTATCCTACTACCAGAATGGCTCTCAACTATGCACTCGACCCAAATCAACGGCTTCACCTGTGTGTTCAATCGGTAGCTCATCAACTCGAACTCGCCGTCTGGTGGGATAAAGCTGATGGTCCTGTCGTTCTCAAATCTCGACAACCGCACGCACTGGTGGAACTTGACATCCTCCATCTCAACTGCCTTTCCCCGCGTTGCTCTTCCTGTTGTCTCGAACATGGCCTTGTCGTTCAGCCCTAAGCGCAGCTCAGGCATGCCCGACAGATAACACTTCATCTTGACAGCGCCCAGGATCTCAGACCGTAGTACATTGCCGGTCGCAGAAACAAGAAGGTTGAGAGACTCGACAACGTCAAGAAACACCTCGTTCTTGCGGTAGCGGATACCCTCGCTTCGCCAGCTGACTGCGTTGGTGACTGCAATGGGCGCACGTGGCTGGACCTCGAGCTTGTGCGATTCCTGTGTGATGTACTCTTGCAATATCTTCGTCTCGGTCGTTTGTGGGTAGCCAAAGTCCATCATCTCGTCCAACAGCTCATAGATGACGACAAAGTTGTCGCGTATGCTCTCCTCCTCAAGCTCCTTGAAGTACTCGGTGAAGACCTCGACTATCTTGTGCAAGAACAGTAGAATCTCGGCGGCGTTTGAATTTCGTTTTGTGAGGGCGAGAAGGTACAGGTTGTTGTGGCGGATGTAGAGGTAGTTGATGCCCTCGTTGGAGAAGCATGGCGGGACGGCGGAGTTCTCTTCTTCGGCCTCGCTGAGCAGTACGGGGAACTTCTCGACAGCTGACATGGGGATATCTCCCCTGTAGTTGCGCGCCAGAAGGGTCTACAGGAGCCCGTTAGCATGCACTCCTCCCATGACTGCCCCACAAGCGTACCTTGCCCTTGAGGTCGAGAAAGAATAACGCCGACGCCATTGTGAAGGAAGGAGATGGCCAGCAGGGGAGGGAGTATATGGCTCGTCTACCGGAGCATTGTTCGTAAGGTAGGAAACTCGCGACGGCGTGCAGACGTTATTGTTTAGCCCAGCGGTGATGCCAGAGTCGAATGCCCGCGGTGAGGCAGAAACCGTGCTAGCCCACGTTCAGGATAGTACTGATCTTAGTCATCCACATGCTCACCTTTCCGCAACTGTCTTCTTTTACTTAACATTCAACTTCCACCGCACAGCTCGTTTGCCTCTGCGGTAGTCTTCGAATGTACATCACATATGAGGTCATTACTCGCGTTTGGGATAGCAAATGTCTGCAAACATGTAGTATTACCTCATTCTGGACTCAACGATACAACATAGCTACCAAGTCAGACATGCCCCACCTCAATGATTTCCAACTAGTCAATGTATTGCGTTGTTTCTACCACCCATTCATCGTGGGATTATGCTGAGCGATCTGCATAACCTCGTCCCGAACAAGCTCTTCACTTCCAGAGAAGACTACTTCGACCCACAACACACTCCTAACAACCTGCATAAGCTCATCCCATTCCCTAATCTGCATACCACTCATCATCACCGCCATCATCAAAACGAACTGATTGCGCTCCGACAGGTTCTTCGTCTCGATTGTAGCGAAATATAGAACCCAGACAAGTGCCGGTTTGAGTTCGTTCCACTCCACCATGTTTCCCATCAACACTCTCAAGAGGTTTCCTGATATTCCCGCAGTCCATACTGGAGACTGTCCCAATACTCTCCAGACTGGAGCTAGGAATAGTAAAGTACCTAGACGTAGCACTTCTTCAATCACGTGTCCATGCAGCAAGGGCCGGATGACGAGGAGACGCCATATTGTGGGCTCCATCCAGCTCCCGCTCGTAATCGCCAATGTCAATTGCTCTTCGTTAAACGCGTGGTCGAGCGAGATGAGATGAGCCATGTCGTCGAATATTGTGATCCAGTCCATTTGCATCGGTAAGCGTTGTTTCCAGATTAGAGATATGGGACTGTATGCTCGAGGGGAATTGGGTGGAGATTTAGAATTTGCTTCCCATTTCCGGGGTAGAGGCACGAGGGGAGTAATATCTTGCGAGAATGAGCCGACGAGATCGACCCTGTTGACGAGTGAGACGCCGTACATCTAGTAGCCAAGTGTAGGAAGGAACCATATTCGGGAGAATGAAACATACAGTAAACTCACCAAGACAAGGTGATTCGAAGGTTTTCCTGGTCGATGGCAGCAAAGCCGCCTCTGAGCTCAACGATGTTGATCAGAGCGTTGCGATGTTTGTGCCATTCTCCACCAGCGAAACTGCCCAGCAACGACTAAGACGCATCTGTTATGCACCACGAACTGAATGGACATAGACTTACATGATGGCACATGAAAGATGCGACAGTGCCGACAGTCTCATCGCTCATGTATTTGGTAGGATCATTGATCATCTCGTTAGCAAGTCGAAGAGCTGTGTGATGATGAGTCAACGCTTGTGCATTATCCTGCGCTGGAAAATGTCCATGAAGCTTCTCAAAAATGAAGTTTTGCGAGTTCGACAGAACGTTGTGGAATGTTGCTGCGCAACTTAGCCCGACGGGATACCAGGAGCCTCGCAATTGACTCGAGTGATTCGTATTGTGGCTGAAGACTACAACATGTCAGAGACGTAATAGCGTCAAAAGAAACTGGCTTATCACTGTTTGCGAGCAGAGCTTGAGAAGACTCATCAAGTTGTATGGGGTATGGACCAAATGGGTCTATTGATCCACTACTGAAACGGTCGAAGTCCAAGCGGTCTTCCCTTCGGTTGTAGATATCGGTTGTCAATTCATTACCCTTGCGATTTGAATTTAGCCTCCTGCGTGATTTGCCTACCTCCCTCATCGCGAGTCGCCGTATTCGTAGCTGCGTCTCCTCATCCTTGAGGTCGTCAGGATGTTGGAGATTGACGAAATTAAAACTCGGTCTCGTGGAACGGTCCATGTTGTTAGCTTGAGGGCACTGCTGAACTTTGGGTGGGAAACTAAAAAGTCGTTCTTGTCATTTGTTCAGAAGTTTAGTGCGTCCGCGTGTGATTCTGTTTTGATATCGTTGCCGCTTGCATAGCAGGCTTAGGCGGGGAGTGGCGGGGCTGGAAATTCCACCGACAATGCAGGCTTGCAGGTAAAATGCAGACGAGATCGGATTGCTGCAAGCAAATCACTCAATCATATGCAGTGCACTGCCATGGAACCTCTCAGAATGTTCTTGTGCGCTTTCGTGATTGAAATTTCTAACGTAAGGATAGAGTATTTGTATTTCATAGCTGTGCATTAGTAACGCCACTCCAAACACGCCATAGCGAAAGGCTGCACTGCGTATCTATTACTCTGGAAGACGCGATGTGGAAAGTGGAGTCGGAGATTCCCAGGAGATCAGAACGCGCCTGCCCGCTCACTCTGGACGCTAGCATGCTTTTGGGCTGGCGCGCCAAGCTATCGTCTTGATAAAACTCTTCGTGGAGCCGCATCTTGTTTGCTTCTTAACGCACCATCAGACAGTTCAACCGTCCATCTCATCCGCTTCTCTACGTCTTGTATTGAAGCGCACCGAGTTTACCTATTGGACGGCTGCGATTTAGCGCTGCGGAGAGGAAATCTGGTACTCCATTAGAGCTGGCTGCGCATCTTTTCGGTTGCGCAGGCGGTGTCATAGGGGTGGCACATATCACACTCAATCTTTGCTTCTTGACGACGTCATGTAGTCACTAGTCACTCTCTGCTTGAGTTCGGCTCTTGAGGAGAGTTCCCGTGTATTTGTTGGTCTGTATGTTCCGTCAACTATAGATCGAGGAAGTCAGACTCTGCATGCTGCCAAGCAATCATGAACGTTGAATTTACGAATCAACAAGTATTCATGCGAACTGTATCAACAGTGACGACCAGTACCTAAACACTCATGTGGGTCGTCTACAAACGGTAAGAGTTCATCGTTCCAAGCAAACATTTCGAATCAAAGTCCGTCCTCGCTTCATGTTGTTATGTTTTGAGGCGCAACAACGGTATAATATACCTTGGAATGACAAACATCTGGTAGCATACTTAACCACCACAAATCCGCCCATTTCACTCAATGACTGAGCTCAGCCTCAGGATGTGAAAGGATACAAGCACAACTTTTTGTATGTCCAACTGTCGGTGAATGGTTTCACGGACTGATGGTCTCACCGTGCTGCACAGATCCCTGTCGCTCTCGGGTTACTGCTTTCATAAGTTAGAAGACCACCACGTCGTCGCTCTCTATCAACCAACCACCCATATCATCGACTTTCTTGCTCTCATCTATCAATCACACGTGATGGCGACAGATGAACCAGTTTCCCGTTTGGAGTCACTCCCTGCGGAACTCTTCAACCGTGTTCTAGGCTATGTTCTTTATCCTGACCGTTCCGCAATCCCAGATTCATCAACACAGTTCCGCACCTATCGCTTTGACACAGCAATTCTGCGCGTCAACAAGGCCATACACCAGCTTGGAAAGAGCTATCTGCACAATTCTCTCTCGTGGATTCGTTTCGACATCAACTGGAGCGCATTCCTCATCGATCCGCATTGGCTGGGTGTATCGTACATCACCATCAATCGCCGCGACATACCGCAATCATTGCCGTATTCATACAACGGTAACTCCAAGCGTCGATGGATAGATCAGGATGCCCCGGCAGGACGTCTACATGTACGCGTCGCATTCCCGCCAGCAACCACCCCGGGGCAGAAGGAAATTGAAGAACGAACCAGCAACTCTCACTTCACATCGTCCATGTCGTTACTTGTGCTATCGACGGAGTTCAAGCGCTTCCTTAACGCACTGCGAATGAACGACCTTGCTTTTTGTAATCGCACGTCTTTTGGAGAGACCGCTGCTGAAGGAATGCCTGCTGATCCTGGGATATCATTCGATATTCGTGTTACAGTTGGCCAGGAGCTTGCCAAGTTCAAACATCTAATTCACGAGTTTCGAGTCTTTCACGGACCACCTCATCAATGCAATATATTAACTGCATCGATCGTCACAAATATGGATTCCGTACTGAGATTGCGTAACAGCGAGGTAGCACGCTTACAGACGTTTTGGGAGGGCGTTTCACACTTGTTCTATCTGAAGTGGAAGGGCGATGAGTATCTGCGTACGAAACAGTATTCCAATGCTTACATGTGCTATGATGCGGCGTTGTCCTTGGAGAAATACTGGCTAGCACACGATTCGAATTCATCGAAAGAGAGGTTCTGGAAGCCTACTGAAGATATAGCCAAAGTGTTTGGGTTATCTGTTGCTTGCAATATTGCCATAGCTGAGGTCGCTGGAGGGCTACGTATGGGCAAGAAGCGTATCCGCGGCAATAGCATGTTACAACACCTGCGTACACTGTTACACACAACAAGATCGATGGCACTCAACACAATGCTGGCAGTCATATCCACCGCGGCTCTGTTTGAGGTGTTCACCGAAGGACATGATCTCATGGCAACACGACAGATGCTGGAAATGTTTACTACGGCATGGGAGCTGCATCATGGGACAAACTGTGCGCATCGCGCTTCAACTGGCTTGGGCAAGATATACAGCTCCGCCAAGTTAGTCTTGGATGCTCTGAACGATTGTCCGAACCATCCGAACGATATCGGAAAGCGTGTTGAACCTTTGCGTCCTGTTGCAAAAGGCGTAAACTTCGAACCGATGAAATGGGCAGTCCACGAATCACTAATCCCTGAGCGTCTCAAACTCCGTACCAAGCCTTTTCTAACGACGGTCCAGATCAGGAAGAATGGACATTACATCATACCATCAGATATTTTGGTGGTGATCCCGGGATTCAATCAGCCCAGTGAAGAGGCGACCCGAAATGGTGAGGAGGGGAAGAGGTTCTTGATCTGAAGCATCTGAACGCGTCGAATTAAGGACCAAATTGTAGTGATTTTTCTTTGAAGCAACAGAGCCTGGAAATATGAGAGTACGTACGGCTTCGATACGGCTCATTGGTAGGATGGACGTGTATTAATAAGAGTTGAGACAAGAGAAAATAGGTGCAACTCATGTGGTTTTCAGATTAACGAACTTCCGGTTCGCAGGATAACATGACAGCATATGGAGGCTTCTAGGATACCGACGACATATGACGTTGGGTACGTTTTGTTGTGATATGCATGATGATTTACAAATATGATGCCTTTTGACTAGAATTGGGAGTACGCTTTAGTGTCATTGAGACGATAGATTCAAACGTGCAGATGCCTGCATAACTTGTGTGACCCGTCTCGACAACTCCTCTGTACACTATTGATCCCGGGCTACGTCGAGCATGGCTGGAACCAACCGTCGTACTAACTGTGAAGGTTGGCTGTCCCAGCAATGATGAATATGCGGAACCACGCTATGCCCAAAATAGAACCCCCGCCAAGCATCCCGAAATCTCTCAGACAAGCAACCGCAACACTCACCGGCCAAAGCAGAGTAGCCATGCTGCTCCCACGATTACTCGCACCCGTGCGCGCCTGCACAAGATCTACCGCCCCATTGTCCCGCGTCTTCGAAGCCCTGCGCGCGCCCACGACGGTGCCGACCCTCGCCCTCACTTTTACCAGGAACGCCTCACATCAGTCCCAAGGACGTGCCAACGGCGCAAAGGACGGGCCGGGAAAACGACTGGGAGCGAAGAAGACTGGAGGTACGCAACAGGCCCTCGCCAGTTCCTCGTCATCCGCGGACATTCCTTAGGCATGAATGCTAATGCATTGATTGCACAGGCGAATATGTAATTCCCGGAAACATCATTTTCCGCCAACGTGGCACTGCGTGGTACCCCGGTGAGAACTGCAAATTCGGCCGCGACCACTGCGTCTTTGCCACGGAATCGGGCTATGTACGGTACTACCGCGACCCGCGGAAACATCCCAAGAGACAATATATTGGCGTTGCCCTCGAGAAAGACCACACGCTGCCGTATCCACCAAACGCCGCGCGGAGGAGGAGACTCAACATGCTGGCTGTGCCCATCGAGCCCGAGACAGATGTTGTCGTTGACCCGCAGTTGGTCGAGGTTGAGGCTGGGGATGTGCAGGTGGTAGAGGCGAGCGAGGGCACGCCGCGGGAGCAGACAAGGAGAGCTTTGACCATTGGAAAGGGATATGCGTACCGGGAGGCCAATTGGCAGATTGGTCGCGCGGCGGAGCGGGCGAATGTTCAGGTCAAGAAGTTTGTGCCGGGAGATCGATGGGCGGCGTGGAGGAAGAGCAATGCGCGAATTGAGGCGAACGCTGAGAGGAAGAGGCTGCGGAACGCGGGTAAGAAGACGGCGAAGCCTAAGCAGCGCCAGCAGAGGCAGAGAGCGTAAGAGTTGAGCATGTATGAATACGGGTATCGCAACCACAACCACAATCACAATCACAGTAAGACGAAGATCTGCAGACGAGTTGACACCTTTGTTAGTCTCTTACTGTGACTATAAACAGGAATCCATGAATCATTAGAGCTAAACACTATCATCTCTCATACACTACAACTTCGCTCCATCCCTCCACTCCAAGCCCCCCTTACTTTCAACAAACTGCCGCCCTCTCGTCCAACCCATCCACGAGTTCAAAGTTTCCTCCCCTCCATCGCCAGCTTTCAATCCCCTCTCTACCCATCCACTTCCCTCCACCCCCGTCCCCTGACCCACGGCTGCCTCTCTCGCCTCCCCTCCCTCCTGTATCGCGTATCCAGGCGTCGCCCTCAACGTGACAGCAGGTCGCTGATCGAAACCCTGAGCCTCAAGTTCTGCATGGGTAAGCACAGGCGTGACGCATGCATCCGTGCCGTCAAAGATAGCTTCCCATTCCTCGCGCGTCTTGGACTTGAACGTGTCAGCGAAGAAGCGTTTTATAGCAGGCCAGTCTGATTTATTGTCCCGTGTGCCGGGGAGGTCCGACGGAGAGAGATTCAAGCCCTTGAGTAGAGCAGCGTAGAATTGTGGTTCGATAGCGCCTCTGATAAAGTGTAAGCATCTGTCATGAGTGTGTAGTATCGAGCGGACTTACACAGCAACCCACCGCCCATCCGCCGTTTCGTACGTCTCGTAAAACGGCGCCCCGCCATCCAACATATTGGTGCCCCTCTCCCCGCCCCAGCTCGCCCCCTTCAGTCCCAACCGCGGCATCGTAGCCAAGATGGCACTCCCATCCACCATATTCGCCTCGACGACCTGTCCCCTCCCCGTCCTCTCCCTCCCCAACAACGCGAGCAGAACCCCAATGAAGCACATAGCGCCCCCGCCCGCAAAATCCCCCATGATGTTCAACGGCGGATACGGCCTCTCGCCCTGTCTCCCGAACAGCGACAGAACACCGCTAACAGCAATGTAATTGATATCGTGCCCCGCCATAGCACTGTACTTCCCGTCTCTCCTGAAGCCCGTCATTCGCGCCAGTATTACTCTGGGGTTGATACCGAGCAGGACGTCTGGGCCCAGACCAAGCTTCTCTAACACGCCTGGTCGGAACGGATCGATCACCACGTCGACTTTGGGGATGAGCTTCTTGATGAGAGAGATGCCCGCTGCGGATTTCATGTCGACGCGTATCGACGTTTTGCGACGCGTGAGCTGGTCGCTCGGCGTCGTGGTGGGTGCTGTGGTTGCGCGGTCCAAGCGGAGGACCAAAGCACCGTAGTCGGCGAGGAGGAGGCCTGCAAAGGGGCCTGTGTGTATTGTCAGCTTAAAAAATCAACATACAGAGATAGAGAGGAGCTTGCCTGGAGCCAGACCCGCGAACTCGAGCACGCGGATCCCAGTGAGAGGGGGTTCTTGGTGTGTTGCCATCGTCTTGGACTGCGGTGTGATTGTTTGGCGTTGGAAATTCAGGTAAGATGAATATGAAAGGGACACTCTTGCGACAATGTCAAAGCATTCGAAGACATGCTCGACGTCGACATTGTTGATTTATGAAGGTCGGCTGGAGACTCCCGCGGGGAACCTTGAACGGCTGCCGAGGTGTGGAGAGCTGGGGTAAGCTCCAATGACCGGCGAGTCAGCGACATCACACAGATACCGATACAGCAATTTTCGGATACAAGAACTCCTTTCAAGACATGAATCGGATCACATTCTGGCACCCGGCTACCAGGCACCGTACATCATGAGTAGACTAGAGTGTCACCCAAACACTAAAACAAGTCAAATCTGTCCACCCTTCCATTCCTACCTTCACATCCACCAGACTACTGCACCTGGTTGACAATCTCCTGCGCCTTCGACAAGCTCTCCACCATCTGTTGGCAGTCCTTCCTCCTCTTGACTGTGTACTCGCTTTCTTTGAGCAGCTCATCAAGCTCGTCGGTCTTGTACATGTTCGTCAGGAGCTCGCCTTGCATATTCTCCTTGCTCCATGATACAAGATTGAGCATGATAGCCTTGGGGACCATGTCAATCATTGTCCGGCGGACAATATTAAAGTATGAGGATATCAAGAGTTCTGCACGGGCATTAGTAAACGATGACTTTGAGTGGTAATTCAAATACTTACTGATCACTTCAACCTCCTGAGACTCCTTCTCTGAGAGCGTGCCCGAGGCCTTCAAAGTTGCAGGCGGAGGCTCCATAGCCGCCATCTTCTTCTTGTTCTTACTCGCAAAGAACGAGCCGAAGAAGCCACCACCGTCGTTGACCTCCAGTGTAGGTGATATCGATCGCGGCGGAACCTGGGGAGGGAGGGGCTTGCCTGACTTGGGGTCTACTTGCGTCGGCCTTGTGTTGTGTCGCTCGTGAACGATAGCCATAGCTCTGGAGCCGTTGATAAAGTCAGGATGACCCGTGTTGATGTAGCAAGACTCCATGGCAACCAGATCCTTAACGAGCTTATTCGTTGGCTCCATAGCTTTCTTGAAGAAGTGAACGACAACTGCGTGCAACTTCTCCTTGAGTGCAGGATACCGTCTGAATGTGTTCTTGTTGAGGAGCTGGCCAAGAATGCGGATCAACTCGTCGTAGACCAAGCTCACACATTTAATGCTGGGATCTTCCAGGCGCTTGATCTGTTGCTTGACAATGAGTTCAAACGCAGTGGTGCCAACAAACAGCGCTGGCGAAGATCCGGAAGAGTTGTACAGCACCGTCCGGATATCCATATCCTTTACCTGGTCGAAAGGATCCACTGCCTTGACACCGTTGGCGTACAGTTCGTGGTAGACAAATGAGATACGGGCACCTCCGGAGAGTTCTATCGCAGACAGCTCCTGGTTGTTTCCCTCAAGAACACCTCTGTACTCGTTGGTGAACTCGGTAATCATGTTGAGAACGATGTTCGAGCTGTTGGTAAGTAAAGAGGGTCCGAGCTGAGAGAGTTCTGCCGCGTATTTTTGCAGAGAGGATGCGATACGCGCCTTGATGTCGGGGAGAGTTTGTTTGATATGCATCATGAGGATCTAGAGCGGTTAGCGATAGTAGGTCGAACATGACATGAGGAAACCCACCAAGTTGAGCTTGCGCGCCAGATACGGTGTACCACAGTAGGCGGCCTTGTTACGGTACGCCTTGTGGTTCTCGAAGAATTGCCTCTCGTGCTCGAGAGCATAGGAGATGGCCTTTTTGTTTTCAATATCCCTTTGCCCTCGATTTACCACCGGGACGTAGCCCAACCGCAAGGGAATAATGCGGCCGGCGAGAATGTCCACGACGTCGGTTCCATCGTCCATCAGATCGACCTTGGTCAGCACACCGATTGTCCGCTGGCCCTCTGGGTCGACCTCTCGCGCGAGCTTCAGGCCGTCCGAGTTGGCCAAATCGGTGTTGGCAGCGGTGACGGCGAGGATGATTGCGTTCGATTTGCTGATCTGCTTCAGCACCATCTCGCGAATCTGGCGCTCGATATCTCTCGGCTGGTCGCCGACAGGCACCTTTGTCAGGCCCGGCAAATCGACCAAGGTGAGTGTTAGGACGTTGGGCGAGTATATGCGCAGGTTGATGGGGGCCGGCGAGATGCCTCCATTGCGCCCGGTCTTGGATTCCGTCTCGCGCACGATCTCCTCCCGAATCTTGCTGAAGTCGTAGAACTTCTGGCCGGGGACGTGCAGAAACTCGCCCCACTCGTCGGTGTTGGCCGCCGAGTCCGATGTCTTGACTTCCTCACTGACGCCGTTCGCCTGGCCCGATCCGGCGCGATTGATGAGCTGGAGAATGAGCGGTCTCCGCGTGACGATGCCGGTTCCTCGAGGTAGACTGGAAGCGCAGACTGTCAGTATACAGCCTGGGAAGCTCGCGCATAGAGTCGGGGGCTGCAACCACTTACAAGTCTCGTCCGACAATGTTCTCCAGCACCGAACTCTTACCACTGGACTGCGATCCGACGACAGCAATCTGCGGCAGGTCTATGGGGTTTTGTACCTAACGCAGGCGTCAGTATGCTGAGAGTCGGGCGTGGCAGGCAACACGGGCAGCGACATACTCCTACTGTCGTAAACACATCCTGGAGCTTGTTTACGAGGGTAATCAGCCCTGGGTCGTTGACATTTATGCTGCATGGACGTCAGTTCTCCACATGTCTAATCCCAGACCGCATCCCCTCGAGATACATACGCATTTGGGTTCGTCGCCATGACGAGCGAAGCTGGCAGAGAATGGATAGAGGTTGAGGTCGATCTGTGTTCGCGAGTAGAAAACCAGGTGCAAAATGCGTGTTATCTGCCTTGTCGAGGGCGAGCTTGCGTTGGAGGGTGTTGCGGGTTGCGGGTTGCGTAGTTGGCTGTGGCAGGTGCGGTGGGTCAAAGCTCAGACATGTGGCTGAGTCGTGAAAGTGGCCACCACCCTGCACGCAGCAAACGGCAGGCAAAGGAACCGGATAGAACCTACACGTATGGTCGGTGATGGACAGCGGTAGCCTGAAGGAGAACAGAGAATGAACATCCCGCTTGGGCTTGACGCGATTCAGCGCGGGTGACGACGACTACCGTCACAAGATGCGCATAATGCGTCGTCAGCGATTCAGGCATCAACATTCAACTCATGATACAATTCACAATCTATCTATCTTCAGGAAATACTCGACACAACCGCGCATGCAAACACCACTAAGTATCCGCATTTACTCGTCAGCGACCGCCGCAAACTTCTCAGTCATCTTCTGGAGCAGCTCCTCGTACTAGACAAATTGTTAGTCCAATGTTCATGCACAGGCCCAAGTCGAACTTCTTACCTTCTTCGTGATCGCCTCTTCGCCTTCGCTAGGAACTTCAAACTTCATCGAGCGAAGTTGGCCCTGGATCTCAGATGTCGAGTCGCGGATCTTGGGCCAGCTGTGTCCTTGCGAAACTGCCTTCTGGGCCTCATCGTGGAACGCCATCATGTTCCTCATCATCCACTCCGTCTTCCACAATGGGCAGAACTGGTCATAGTCCGAGTAACCGTTTTGCTGCAGGAAGTCCTCCTTAAGCAGTGTTGCCACATCGAGCGTGATTTTGTCGCCGTCACCCAGAGCTGATTTACCGACAAGCTGCACAACCTGGTCAAGGTCGTCCGAAGTAGTGAGCAACTCCTTGATGCGATCGCGCAGACGAGGGAAGTCGGGGTTGTTCTTCGCGTAGTACTTGTCGAGCGGCGTTGTGTACTTGCTGTAACTGATTGAAGTGTTGACGGAGGGGAAGTGCTTTCGCTGGGCGAGCTTCTTGTCGAGACCCCAAAAGACCTGCACGATGTTGAGAGTACTGGTGGTAACAGGATCCGAGAAGTCACCACCTGGAGGGCTGACAGCACCGACAATCGATACACTTCCATATCGCTCAGGGCTACCCAAAGCCTGGACGCGACCGGCACGCTCGTAGAAGGACGCAAGCTTGGCACCGAGGTAAGCAGGGAAACCTTGATCAGCAGGCATTTCTCCGAGACGACCAGAAATCTCACGAAGAGCCTCAGCCCATCGAGAAGATGAATCTGCCATCATGGCGACATCCTTGCCCTGGTCCCGAAAATATTCGGCGACGGTGATACCAGTGTAGATGGAGGCTTCTCGGGCAGCCACAGGCATGTTGGAGGTGTTGGCGATGAGGGTAGTTCGCTTCATGATGGGCTCCTTCTTGCCGTTTACTTCGATGGTAAGCTGTACCAGTCAGCAATGCGCCCGATAGATTAGCTAGCTGTGCGCACCTCGGGGAAATCCATCAAGACTTCAGCCATCTCGTTACCACGCTCACCACATCTGCAAACAATCAGCAATGTACCCAATATTCTGGCTGGCTTTTTGTGCATACCCGACGTAAACAATGATGTCACTGTTGGAGAACTTGGACAGAGACTGGGAAATGACAGTCTTTCCGCAACCGAAAGCTCCAGGAATGCACACAGTGCCACCCTGAACACTGGGGAAAAGGGCGTCAAGGACGCGCTGTCCGACGATAAGGGGCTGGTCAGAGGACAGCTTCTCGTTGGAAGGACGGGGCACTCGGACGGGCCATCGGTGCATCATGCTGTACTCGGTCTTAGTGCCGTTGAAGTCGAGCTCCAAGATCTTCTCGTCCACGGTGTAGCTGCCCTTGTCTGAGATGCGGGTGATGGTTCCGCGCGCGCGAGGGGGGAGCAAAATCTTGTGCTCGTTGAGAAGACTGTTCTCGAAGACGGTACCAAAGACGTCGCCTCCCGTGATGTGGTCGCCGACCTTGAGGGAGCCGGGGGTAAAGTCCCATTTCTTCTTGCGGTCCAGGGCGGGCAAGTCGATACCGCGAGGGATGTAGATGCTTTCCGAGTCATCGGCGATGCCCTTGAGGGGACGCTGAATTCCGTCGTAGATGGTCTCCATCAGACCAGGGCCCAGCTCGACGGACAACGGCTGTCCAGACCTGAAGACGGGGTCGCCGACAGTCACACCAGCTGCTCAGCGTCAGATTTGGTTGTCCAGAGATGCGCCTTGCGCTGAACGTACCGGTCTCCTCGTAGACTTGGATGGTGGCCTTGTCGGCCTCGATTCGGATGACTTCGCCGACCAGGTTGTCGTGACCGACGCGGACCTAGAAGCGTCAGTGGAAGCTCGTGCAAGCTGCAGCGTGCCACCTACAAGCTCGTACATGGCAACTCCAATCATCTGCTCGGCCACAATGACGGGGCTACATCTATCAGTATGCGACTCGATGCGGCGGTGCGGTGACGTACCCGGAGACGGAGTAGACGGCGCCTGCAGAGCGTCAGCAGCTTCTCTGAGAACAGGATTGCGAACATGTCGCATGTGATGACTTACCATGCTCTTCACCATCGTCCTGCTTCGTCTGTGGTTTCTGCCGCCCCGCCAATTAGCCATGTGCGCACAATCTTGGCCCGACTGGTGGCAGAGCTTACCGGACCCATCTTGGCGGTGGGCGTCTCTTTGCGTTCCTGATCGCTGTCGGTGGGCAGGATGAGGAGCGGCGGCGAAAGCTCGCTGGGGGCCCTGCGCGGTGATGTCGGTGGGCTCGGTGGCAGCGGGACACGGAGGGGCGTGTCGTCAGCGTCAGGCGGGGGATTGGGTGCGGCGTGCGAGCGTCGAGATGGCGTCAATGGTCTTCTTCTGGATGAGGTGGAGAAGAGAAGGCCGTGTCTGCAAGCGAGGACGGAGATGCAGCATGCAAAGGTCGACTTGGACGTTGTCGCTCACCTCGCACTAGCTAGCTCCACTCACCGTCCAAGCTCCTCCAAGCTGCCGTCATTCGTCATTCCTCCCACTTTCCTGTATGCCCCATCCGTTTGTGCACATAACGGCGGCTGCTATCGAGCTGCACAAAAATTGCTCGTTTGTGACATGTTGTGCAGTCTTGTTCCATTGTGATCATCAGACTGGCATAGAAGCATAGGTCCTGCGAGGCGTGTAGGTCGAGTTTTCTTTTGGGTACGTCATCATCTACTGTCAAGCTCGAGAAACATCAGCCAAAGCGATAAACATACCCTCGCAACTTTGAAATGCTCTTAAATACGGATTCATCACATAGATCCGAAACATCTCGGTTAATATGTGTGCACGTTGCTCGAGCAGCTTGGATGCAAATACACGTGTTGCATTAGTCGTACCATTATATAGTAGCAGGACTTCCACTCCTCAGACTCCTCCTGGGATTCCAGGTCCTCTCCGGCCTCTCAACCATCCCTGTCGTCACACCACTCATCTGAAGTGCGGTATCCCTCCTCTCAACATCATCTTCCTGCTTCTCCTCCTCTGTCGCAACCCCGTCCAGCCATAACAAACCCGCCAGTTGCCTCCACTGCCTCACATCCTCACTGGCAGACATTGGTTGCTCAGACACCATAGCCGGGATGAAACGTGCGAACAGCGGTTTCATAACGAGCAACGAGGCGCAGATGATGGAGAGATTGACTTCGAGTGTCGACCAGATAAGGACATACGTGGCGGATTCTGTTTGTGTCAGTGGGTTGGGGATCCACCAGGCAGATGGAGGTCGACGTACTTGTGACTTTGCCTTGCTCTGCGAACCTGTGGACGAGGACAAGGCGGAGCACACTGACGATACAGACACTGCATATGGTGGTCAACTTCATCTCCAATCCCAACGTACTCAGCAAACACTCGACTTACAATATTCCCAACCCAAACACGACCACCAATCCTATCTTCTGCCGTTTTGGCAACCTTAATCTCCCCACCACCGGTATCGGCAATACCCAAATCGCGCAGTCAAGCACAATGCCCATCACACTCGTGCTCCATAAGTGCATCTCTGCATCGACGCAACTCGAGTGATCTGTGAGGGGCTCAGACTCAGACCCTTGCACCGACTTGCATAGGAATATGATACCAAACCCACCCCAAGCTGCAGCGCCAAGAATAAACCCCAGAAGCGCATAGCATATGTATATCATGGGTCGGAAGACGGAGAAGAGATGCATGTACTGCAGAACGAAGGAGGCCTTGACGAGGTTGATGGTGATATGGTAGAGAATTGATTGCGCGTAGATGATCTGAGTATGTTAGCTACAGATAAGTGCCATAAAGTATGTGAACAGTACCTTGAACAGGGTGGCGAATGTTGCCAAATTCTGCGCCTGGTCCTCATGTGCGCTCCCAAGGCCATACTCTGGATGCAGTCAGCCATTGCCGCTCTATAGTACCTAACTCATGGTATCACTTGCCTACTCCGACTAGACATGTTGTACCTATGGATAGAAACTTTGAGTGTCAACATCAGCTGCTACTACGCCCAGTTCATACTCACCATAGCAACAGTAACAAGATAGTCTTCTGTCTTGACATACCCCGGCCTCAAAAAGATCCGGCTGCACCACCGCAGAACAACCACACAAAGAGCAAGGAACGAAAAGATCGCCGCCGGGATAAGCGCCGCATGTCGAATGTTTGCGGTCGCCTGAGACGATAAAACAAACCACTCCCGATCTTCAGAATGCATTGTGACGACCAAGTAAGTTGAGTGTGTAGCATTGACGATGACAGCATCGACGTAACAGCAAAAGGAACATGAGAGCCACTACTACATCCGTCAGCATCTTTTGGTTTACTGGCAGGCTGGAACGGTCCACATAGTCGAACTCGTCGAAATTATGGTTGAGATGATGTCGTACATGAGCAGTTCGGGAAACTCTCCAGTCATCGTCCATAAGGCCAACACAAGCCTCGTCGTCTAGAGCTGCTGAACATATCGAACAGAGTCCGTTACCGGAATGATGTCAATTTAATTGTAGCGACGTGCGACACAATTGTTTTGCACACATTGCATTGGTCGACGTCGTGGGACAATGGGGTAGCGAGACCCTTGGACAAGGGCTGGAATGCTCGTGAACTATGGTTCACATGTGGGGTTGTTGGATCATCGTACAAAGTACGCACAGTGGCTGGAAGGACGGCGCATCGGTAGGAGTGACGTTATCAGAACTTTCCACGATGAAGATACGTGGCGCAAAGAAGTAAAGTTTGTCGTCAGTGAGACATGTTTGGAATACACAGTTAAGGTGAATCTATCTGCCACGCGTTACTACAGTTTAACTGATGACGTGTTGATTTGCAGTCTTAGATACAGGAAGCTCACGTTTGCTTTTCGAATCGAACGCTAGCTCAAGACAGAAGTGCTGTACATTCCAGATAGGGTCTTTGCTCACAAGATAGTCTTGAGGTTTCCAACTCTACTTCCGAGGCGAGTTTAATTGGATATTGTTCATGTTGAAGTATTATCTTTGTGCTCGTTAGTTGCTCTCGATCACAATGGGAACAACAAACGATGGGTGAACCGAAATGTGAAATAGCTTTCAGTCTGTGGTCTCTGTATTGAACAAAGTCTCTCTTCCCACTTCTTTCCCTTATCTTGTGACCAGTAACTCAAATACATGGCCTGATGAGGCGGCAGAGATGAGCAGCCCCCAAACGATGTCATCAATCAGGAATTTGTTATTACTCTGGGACTGCTGATAGGCTCGAGTGCCAAACAAAACTCGTGATAATCAGCACCTTGCAAGATGATGGAGATTCTCCAAGGATGCGAGCCGCCTAGAGTTGTGGCTGCAGATATCAGGGTGTGTGAGCCAATATCACACATGCAAAGGTTGTATTGCATGCATATCTATGCTCGAGGCTGTCGCAACCCAAGCTCTTGGATCAGCTAGTATTTGTCAATGAGCCAAGGAAGGGAGGCCTAATGAACATGTATTCGTCGTATAGATCGTACATTAAGGTTGCGATAAAAAAGCACCATACAAGTACCACTGCGAAAGCGTGAATTGCGAGTTGATTTGCGATTGTGGAAACTAGCGTTGGCTGCTGAGTACATCTCTACATGGAGACTGCTCATCAATGGATAAATATGACAAGCATGCCCAAGTCGGTCAAAACGCTTATCCGGTCCATGGTCGTTCGGTCCGAGACTTCGTTGGAATTGATGCACCAAGGCGTCAAGAAATACAATCTCTCCTTGAGCTGCTCCACTGTGCCGCAATCTGCAGCTGCGCGTTTGTATCGAAAATGATGTCCAAGCGGATAGACATCGATATCGTTCAGTGCCATCTTGATAACATACCTAGCTTACCTGGGCACATTTTGCGACGGTCAATGCATTACGGCGACCATGCGGGAAAAGTTGACGTTTCAACATTCGCGAACCTGATGCCACGCTGACAGGGATGTTTTAGCGCGGATCTCGTTTGGAAATATTTGGAATACTCACCACCAAACACCAATTAGTCGCACACCGTTTCCAGTGGCTCGCTGAAACCCCGTCATTTGTCAACGATGGCATGATTGTGTCTTCGCGTATTGCATCAACTGCAAGTTTAGGCTCGAGTTCGCTGGCCTCTCTCTTTCCTATTGGGTTCAAGCGACTCTTCTCGAATGCGCGATGGGTTAGCCTGTTGATCCTTGTGGAGCCACCCGTAACTTGAATCTGCAACACAGTGTAGTGTCATTTGTCGTGTCGTGGCAGACTCGTCCTGGAATCACATGGAGGTGAGGTCGCCTAGGTGCTAGTACTGTCACAGACTCCACTACGAGGATGATGAAGATAAGCTGTTCATCATGCTTTACAAATTGTCCAGTGCCCATATATTATGTCGTCGAACCCACGACTTAACCTGATCAACAAGTCTTTCCATCCACAAACACACCCATCTCAAATCCATCTCACATCTATCATCAATCTCTTCCTCAACAAACATCATGATCACGACACCTGTGTCAACTCATGGAGCGCCTCATCCCTACTTGACGCCGAGTCGAGCATCCTCAATCTCGTCATGGACTTCGACTTTGTCTGAACAGCCCTCATGTCCACACACAGTATCAGAGGCCGAAGCGAGATCAAGAGAGGCTGCCATCGAAGACTACCAACGTCTCAAGCTAGCTCTCTTCTCCAAAGCGTGTACCTCGACTTCGAAATCGACCTGATCCCTTCGCGATAATGACGACCGAGGAATCCGAGGTTACGATCGTGGCAATACAACCTCCAGACATCACCCTTCTCGGCACTCCGTTGTACTTGTCGGTGTAGGACTCTGCCAACTATTGTCATGGCCCAAAACCAATTCGGATTCCCACTGGCCAATGACGAACGTTTTACATTATTCGCGATACCCACAATTAATGAGCAGCGGGCGTTACTTTGGAGCATTTTTATTTGTTTAGGCGTTGTTCTTGCGGGGCGAGTGTGTCGCATTGGGAGTCGGGCATCTGATGATTGCCGTCAATTTGGAATTCTTGTGTAGGCCATAGATTAGCGCCATCCGATGAAGAATGTTATCTCCAAGACCAAATGTCGTATGGCCGCGTATACCATCGATCGACTACGTCTACCAGTGCTTGCTGACCAGCTTCTTGGAGTACTGACACCAGCGTTGCATTCTTCAGGCTTCATGACCCCGCGTACACCCAACTCCTTTTGTGATCTATGTTTGTCCGAGTCACGAAAAAGCCGACGAGTGCGTTGAGATTGCTTATGCTGCAAATGTGTCGTCGTATCGTCCGTAAACGCCTACGAGCGTGCGTGCGAATATGCTGATTTCTGCTGTGATATTCACGAGAACGATGTTGTGTGTTCTAAGAAGGCACGATGGAGATGTGGGTCGCTTAGTAATCGATGTTGTCGTATTGGCGTGAGCTCCAACGACGACACCGAAACCGCCTTGCACGCCCAGCAAAGCAATTCGCTGCCACCACATCCACAATGCTGACCCGTGTTCTCCGTTCACGCAGCGCCTTGCGTACATCCGCCCCCCTTTTCCGCGCCTCTTATGCTTCGACCGCGACCACCTCAAACCAAGCGCCCGCCAACGACCCGGTATCGCGAGATGTCAAGCCAAACGTATCTGCAACCAATGCAACGCCCACATCTTCGGAGGGGTCCTTCGACAAGGTCCTACAGGAGAGCGTACAAAAGGGAGAACAATTGAGGACGGAGCAGGCGCCCAACCGCAAGGGCATTTGGAGCAGGAGCCAGAACCCTCGAGAGGTTGCTATGAGTGGACCGAGGTTCGAGCAGAGTATTATGGAAGATCAGGTGAGTTTTGGTACCATTGGAGCTATCGATTTGGAGAGATATGGCCTATACAGGGGTTCAATAGCATGGTGAAGACAAGCTCCGGAGTGTTGGCTGACAGAGCTATGTGTAGCCCCGTCCTTACGCTGCCATTGATCTTATTCACAAGCAACCCGTGCGCTGGACCAATGAGCGTGTTGTTTCCTGCGATGGAGGAGGCGGTCCTCTCGGACACCCAAGAATCTTCATCAATGTGGACAAACCCCAGATCTGCATGTGCACATATTGTGGTCTCCCATTCGTATGTTCGCCCCAGGTCCCTCTGCCTTAAGGAAGACGAGACCAGGCTCTTCCAGGTTGCTTGGATAGTGCTAATGATAGATAGGCCCACGAGCACAACAGGGCGCACCTCGAGTCCCTCCCTGCATCAGAGCTCTCATACCCACTTGCACCTTCGGGCGACGTAGCCGAAGTCCCCGAGTCCCAGAGAGTTACAGACGAGCCCCTCGGGCAACGGTGAAGCACGTATTGCTGAGACCACATCAGAGATGGGGACTGCGTATAGGTATTGCAAGTAAGGTGTGAGTGTTCAATGTAAAAACGAAGTCTCAAACATTGCGATTACTCTATGATGTTGCACGTCTTGAACAGCTTTCCGGCCCTTTTCTGCTATCTGCGTAGTACTGGAAACATCCAAGTATAACTTGGCTAATGACGAAGAATGGCTGCTCTTCTGAATGATCAACTCGCGATGACCTTATTCTGATAAAACCACCCTGATCAGCGTGTATGAAGAAATTGACGTAGTTGTGCACGAGAGGAAGAATACGAAGAAACAGAATGAGCAGCGACCGAAGTTATGTTCCACCAAAAGATGAAGTGATGACAAGAAAACATTCTAACATTTGAGAGTGTGTACCAAGATGCATGGATTCTAAGCTAAAATACCGTGAGAACTTTTAGGCTTTGCGTTGGACGTTACTTTCTAGCTTTGGATTCTTTGACTGTAAAATGTATATATTTCAGTAGTAGAATAGTCAGGTTAAACATAGAAGTGAGTGTCGGAGTTGGATGACGAACTCGCTTAAACCTTCCTCTCACCCCGCCCGTTATCACTTGCCAAAACTGACGTCATCCACCGAGTCCATCGACACTCTCAAACTTTCCCATATGTCCCCACAACAACGCCACACGTCGACATCCACACTGACCCCGTTCTTGATTACCGTATTCTTTCTCCTCGCCCTCTTCCCTGGCCCCTTCATTTCCCTTGTCTGGGCGCCCTACAATACCCTCGTAGCCTACTACTTCCCTCCTCCAGCGCCCCGCAGCAGCGTGTGGTGCTCAAGTCCAAATACTTGTATCTCAGGCTCCACGATGTCTTGGTATGACCCCTTCTAGACGTTTTCCGTGAACTTCCATAAGAGCCCAATTCGAGTTAGACTCCAATCTCATATTAGGAAACTAATTCGTTATGCTAGGTTCCAAAAGTCCCTCTCGCTGCCCTCGCGTAGTCGTGGCTCCTACCTCGTAACCGACACAATCGTGAAGGAACTCCCCGAGATAAAGCAGTACAAGACTGGACTCCTAAACCTCTTCATCCAACATACATCCTGTGCTTTGTCTTTGAACGAGAACTGGGATGAGGATGTGCGCGCGGATATGAGCACGGCGCTAGATCGCATTGTACCTGAGGATAAGGGGAGTAAGAAGGGTCTTTATCGACATGATGCTGAGGGGAGTGATGACATGCCTGTACGTTTAAGAGGAGAAAAGTAAACGAAGACGAGAACCACACTAACAATGACAGGCGCATGTCAAGTCCGCCTTGATCGGCGCGAGTGTAACGATTCCAATTACCAATGGCAAATTGAACACAGGTACTTGGCAAGGGATTTGGTATCTCGAGTTTAGGGATATGAAACATTCGAGGAAGGTAGTAGCCACGATTCAGGGCGAGAAGATGTGACTTGGTGAGGAGAACGAGGAGACTATGGTGCATGAAAGGTTGAGGCTTTGAAGAATCAGGTTGACATATGCGAGTAACAACGAAAGATATGCCAGTTCGTGGGATGAGTGGGGGGACAAATAACGATAAGCGACATCACAGCAGTACATGAACATGCAGGACATGGTATACATTGGCGAGATAGTCTAAGCTAGCATCTCGAAAGCAGACAGTCTGATCTACTGGTCGAGTCCTACCGCATCCGCATCCGTTCGCTGTCTCCGAATCTGAACTCCAACTACCGGAAGACCGTCGGAGTGAGACATGTCATCGTAACCTTGCACACCCATCCATTGAAAGCCCACAAAACTACAAAGTCCGTGTTCGTGAGATAGTCGATATCACCAGTTGACCAAATCAAAAGAAGCCAATGATATGTCTAGAACTGAGATGATGATGCTGAAGGAGTCGAGTTCGAGTCGCCAATTAGAGATCTCCATCATCGGAGCATTATAGATCTGGAGCAGGTCGCGCTGCTATCGAGCCAAGATGTGCGCACATTTGTCGTTCCTGTACTGTTTGTGTCGTCCAGGGTCAAGATAAAGAAGAGAGCCTCAGTCACGGTTGAAGACGAGGAAACCCAGCTCAGCATCCATGAGCCATCGGCCAGGGTAGCACTCGTTCTCGATCTGGTAGTAGGTCCTCAGGTGCCACTCGCCGTTGCGCTCCTTGCACCAGAACGGGTCGTCGTCACGCGCATCAGCCGGCTTGATCCTCCGGGCATCGTATGCACCACGCTCCGTTGCGATTCGTCGGTTCTCCATCTGGATGTCCTCGCGCGTCGGGCCTTGACTGTGGTTGCATGCATGCCTCGTCTCGGTTCTGACTTGGGGGGGCGAAGCAACGTGCGCATGACTGTTTGCCACATGATATGTCGTTGTGGTAGTGGTTGGGCCAGGGGGATAGACGTGAGCAGTGTAGCCGTAGTTGGGTACCGTATTGTAGAACGGCCTCTGGTAAGGAGAGTAGAAGTTAGCAATCGGATACATGGAACCATACAGGCCGTAGTTGTGATAGCCGCCATACGAGGCATGTGTGTAGGCTGGGCTGTAGTAGTTGGCGCCGTATGGATATGAGGAGTAGGTGGGGGTGTGATATACCCCAGGATAGGCGGCAGCCATGCCGACACCGACACCGACACCGACGCCCATGCCAACGCCCATGCCGACGCCGTAGCCCATGCCATTGGGAACGACGCCGGTGGGGTATGCGCCGTTTGGCTGCTGGCCGGCATAGCTGAGGTAGCCGCGCTGGCCGTAGCGAGGCGTGTAGATGTACTGATGGCGCGGCTTTGGGAAGGCCTCCATCGCGACAAGGGAGAGATCGGGGGACAGACACAGAGTGTTGTGGTGAGTGTAGTGATTGGTATGCGTGGTAGCAGAGTGGAGATGGCACAGGGGTTGGTGCAGTGGGAAAGGTATCGGAGACGGCGTGCAGTGGTGAGATGTCACTCCAGCCAGTGAGGTGTGGGGGCGATGTACAGTGAGAGAAGGTACGTGGACCAGGTGATTGGATAAGAAGGGAAAGAGCAGACTCACCGATACAGCGCTGTTAGGCATCGTGGCACGAACTCCAGGCAAATAGCGACCGACCCCATAACGAGGCACGACGTCTCTAGGGGATCCGACGTGCTGGTGCTGACCATGCTGTGCATACCCAATTGGCTGCAAATGGCGAGCTGGGTACGCCATGGCACCGCTCATGTAGCGGCCACAGGGACGCTGAGCATAGTACTGCGTGGGATAGTAGCGACCTCCATGCCTCGAACGCTGCGTCTGTTCTGAATAGTAGCGATTCCCGCTGGCGACACGCGTGCGAGTCGTATACTGCTGCTGTCTGCCATTACCGAAGCACGAATTACCTCTTCTATCTTGATAGTACCCATTGCCAGTAGCAGTATGGGTCCGAGCAGTGTAAGTCCGTTCGCTGCCGCCAAAACACATCTTGTCCCGTCAGATTGGTTGGTGTGCTGAAACAACAAGACTGGAGAGGAGAAGTAGATGGAGAAACAGCATGGAAAGTGAGTGGGGACGAGTGACTCAATGACGTGCCACGAAAGACAGGAAAGAACTGATCTTCACCACTGCGTTCCCAAACGCATTTATTTCAGCTTGGCTGCACCAGAACAACATTCGTCTTCTTCAGCTCTTCCTACCACCCTTGCTCTTCACCACGCCCCCCTCGACAGCCCCCGTCCCCGCACCCGGAACTCCCGGCGTCTTCTTCCCCCTATTGAACACCTTCCCAGCCCACCCCATCAAGGGCACAACCGTCCGCTTGGCAAACCACGGCGTTCCCCAAACACTCAACACAACCCTGATCGGCAACAACATTTTTGTTATCGCATACGCCGTCGCGAATTCCACTACAAGTCTCACGCCCCCTTCGCCCACATTCCACGCCCTGTCTCTCCTCCTCATCTCCACTTCGAATTCCGCTTCCTCCGCCTCTCCGCTGCGGATCCACCCTTTCCTTCTGAAGTACTTCCCGAACCGTTCAACACCATTGAGCACCCAAGCGCCTTCTGCAAACCATGACGGTAGGTAGTGCGTGTAATGGAACGTCGCCGCAAGGCCGAGGAGTGGGATTATAGCGGTCATTTCGTGCAGGATTAGAAAAGATGTTATGTGGGAGACGGGTGCAGAAGCAAGAGCCGCCGTGTGTTTATGCAGAAATCTGGGGAGGCGGCGGTTGATGCGAGCGATACGGGATTGCGTGCTTGGTGGAGGCGTAGTCGGTGCTGCATACCGACGACTTTGCGGTGGTGAAAGACGCGATCGTGCTCGCAAAATGGTTTGTCGAAACATGTTAAAGTTGCCGCCGTTCTACACTTGCAACTACCTATTCACCAGAGCCGCGCGAAAGTTTCAACGAAGTCAGAGTTCTTGTTGTTGCTGCCATCGTTGGATGTTGGATGGGCGGAACATCGACGGGCCGTGACGCGCTCGCGTCCACGCCTTGAACATCAACATCACCACTTAACACAACAAGGCGCTCGGGTTGGAATTTGAGACATCCCAATAATCAATATGCCGCCTCACTACTGTTTTGGGGCCCTATTCCTGCGTCGGCTCATCTTTGCAGAAGATGTCCACATGACACATGACCAAGTATTTGGAGATTGACACCAATGAACTTCAGATATCTCGAGGTAGCATCTATGTCCCAGACATTGTCAGTTTGTCTTTCAGAACTCATCACGGAGATCTCTGCTGTACTTGGAGATGGATCTACTCTCTCAGTATGGCTCATATGAATTTCTTCCTTACCTCTCCAACTCCTCTCCCCCAGATACACCTCAGAGGAGCTTGGCAAAGATCCTACCTTCCACACAACCGCAAGCAGAATCATCCCTAACGCTCCAAAACACGTCGACATGGACCTACTGCGGCCCCCTTCTCGTACCAAACTCCATCACTCTTCCACCCTCTCTCCACACCTGGACCACGACAACAGTCTCATCCCCATCGGCCTTCTTTTCCCGCCTCCTACCTCTGCTCACTTTCCTCCGCACTTTTCTCTCAGAAGCCGGAGTACACCACTACTGGCTTACAGTCCGCGCCACGAAACCGACTACCGAGTATGATAAGCCTCGATGGCACGTAGATGACGATTTCTTCGCCCCCACCGGCTCGATAGACGGGGACCGGGTGCAAGAGAAGAAGAGCAGAAGAGAAAAGAGCGAGGCTCGTTGGAAAGTATGCACCACGCTACTCGGCCCATCAACACTCTTTCTCCCCTCTCCCACCGCCCTACCACACCTACGCCGGGTGAAAAGCCATCAAAAGAAATCCCGGGAACACCCATGTACATCGGTCCGCTGCCTGGGATGCGCCGACACAGGCGATGTCATCCGCCAAACCCTCGCAAAGGACTTTACGGGTGAAGATGTTGAGTCGCACAAGTACGGCGAAGTGGCTTTCTTCCGCCTCGGTGACCAAAAGGGCGCCGTACACTCTGAACCAAAGTGTGATGTGGATCGTATATTCATCAATGTTGTACCGGGAACAGAGGAGGAGATGCGCGCGCTTATGGCACGATGGGGTATGGGCTTCCCGCGGGCATGGTGTTTCGGTGTGCCGGTGGGGTTAGTGAGGAGTGACGAGTTTGACCGTCCGAAATAAAACAGTGAGTATATTAACGCAAGAATGGGTGGTAAGGTTGCGGATGAAGGCGTGGATTGTGTTGAGATATTTGGGCAACTGTAAGAACAGTGGTTATTGGAAGCAACATGACAGAAAAGCTCTAGTGAGAGACAATTTGTCAGAATATGTCTTGATTTCTTAATACATGACACCGCCAAACGTTTAAACGAGGTTGATCCGCTCTTTTCTATCTACCTTTACGTTCCTCTACGCCTGACCTCTTTGTCCGCCTATCCAAGTTATGTTGGTACAATACCACAGGCATTTGCCCATACTCAAAGTTTTTCTGCAACCTCAACAAAGTCCTCCAAGTTCCTTACAGGCTTTGCCCCAATGCCGACTTGTACTTCTGCCTTCCAAGCGTGGACGTCATGAACAAGCACCGGCACCACGCCATCTTTGTTATCTGCGTCCAGCGATACAGCCGCATCAGAAAGACCTAGCGCTGCTTCCGCCTCGTCAATGACCTTTTCTGCGGTCTCCTTTTCAAGTTTTAGGTCTTCAGTAACATATTTCGCCAATGTATCTGAAATAGCGTCTACAGAAGATACATTGTCAATGCGGGACTTGAGAGCGTCGGTATCGGGCGAAACTTTATGCTCTGCAAGTATGACATTAAGCGCGTTGATAGAGGATTCTTTTCTCTCGTCGAGAGTGGGTTCTTTGGGTTTGGATTGCGCCTGTAGATGGACGGAAAGCTTGGCGCGGTGGAGAGACGAAGGAGAAAAGTGTTGGGCAAAGAAGGCCACGACGCTGTCTTTGGTGAGTTGATCGATGGCTTGGGCGTCGACATCCGCTGTTTTACGGTTAGCATGTCAACGAATCCGAACCATTAAATTGGGCGCGACCAAGCGTACCTTGCAAGAAATCATATGAATCACTGTAAATATGACTCCAGAACCTCGCGTCCTCTTGCCCAAGGTTCTTCAGCTTCGCTATCCTCTTGTTGATAATCGCCTTCTTGTGACCCTGGAAGTCTTCGTCACTCATCTCTTCAAGCTGTTTCTCAAACGAAGTCAAGAAGTTCTCAATCCGGCCCTCGAGGTATCGACAGTCCTTTTCACTCTGAATCAAGATGCGGTACCCGGCCCAAGTATCCTGGAATTGGTAGCCGGAGAAAACTACATAGCCGAGCTGTTCCTTTGTCCTCAGCTGGTTGAAGCACGGTTCGTCCGTCATCTGCCCGATGAGCATGAGTTTGGCGCGCAACACCTTATCGTAGCGATCACCAGCATACACGCTGTACTCGATGCAGTGGTTCACATTAGCTGGATCCTTAAGCTGCTTTTCGTAGATGAAGTTGCTACCTGATGGCCACACCAGGTTTCGTTTGATGGTCAGCTGGGATGCAGGAAGCTTCTTGGGTTTCAACGTGCGTTCTGCAAGGTCTGTAAGCTTCAACGCCTCCTCCTTGTACAAGTTACCATGTGCAAGGACTTCGAGCTGGCATTGGGCGAGAATCTGGGGGTAGAATTCTTGCACGTCTTGCGCGGTGACACCATCTAATTCTTTTAGAAGATCCTCGTTCATGAAAGCTTTCTCGCTCTTGAAAGTTCGTGTGTAGGATCCAACTTGGTGATACGGTTGTAAGTAGTCCGAATTACGTAAAGAGCGCAGCATCCTGTCATGGACGATCTTGAAGCGGTCTGGGCGAATCTCGAGATCTCGTGCCTGTAAGAGAACCTTTTCTAACAAGACGTGGAGTTTGTCATTGTATCCGCTGATGGTGACTGATAAGCCGTTGAGATGGTTTGTGAAATCATAGCCTAAGCCAGAGATATCGGCGTCGTATGAGTACTCGACTAGGGCGTCGTTGACAAGATCGCGATACAAAGTGCACATGAGCACAACACGCGCCGTGGCATTTGTTATGGGTGTCTTCAGGTAGATGTGCACATTGGCTTTGGGGACCCAGTACTGATCATCCTTTTTCCACCAGATGCGTACGTTCTCGTCATTCCTGATGAGTTTTGGCTCTTTTGACGGTACCTCTACCTCCTTCTTCTCCACGTCTAAACGAGTTGGAATGAATTCGTTCTTGTGCGGGAAATGTAACTCTGCTGGCCTGCTCTTGCTCTCGAATGCCTGTTTAATCTCGTCGAGGAAATCTTTGGATAGCTTTTCGACCTTGTGTTCTGTGCCATACCATTTCTCTTTTCTATCCCATCCACCAGGAAACTCCTGACTGACAACCACCATACGGAAGTTATCCGGTCGCAAGAATTCCATGGCTTCACTGATCCGATCTGCGTCGAACTTGCGAATAACAGCTGGCCCGCTCAGCAACATTGTGCGGTCATAGGGTTTCTGCATGACGCCCGCAAGGGAGCTTGCTGTTCCACTGGGAGGACTTTTCTGCTTAAACCTGAAATCAACCTCGCTCATCTGCATCTGCTCGTCGACTACCCATTTCTGAGGTGGCTGATCGCGGATCATGCCGATGTATTGAAAGATGATCTTGGCGACCTCTTGGTAGTTTTTCAACCCCTCCTCGGTCAGCTTCACGTTGACTTGGAACAGGCCTGAGCCAGGACAGAGTGTGGAGCCACCCGCCCCAAGACTGTTACCCCAACCCTTGGCCTTGAGGTGGGCAAGGATGCTGCCTGGACCTTCGTGGCCGACCAAGTGGCTGAGATACCTTGACGGATGCGACTCGTAAAACTCCTCCTCGTCGCGGTATAAGAATTGTAGCTCTAACGACCTCGTTTCGAGTACGGGCTTGGCGAAAGTCTGGGTGAGCAGCTCGTTCTCGGTGTAGACGGGCATGTCCCAGCGACTGCGAGGCAGGTCTTTGTTTGGTATCTTGTCGAAGATCTCCTCGACCCATTCTTCCAGGGTATCTAAGCTCTCGCGGCCCAGAACGACCAACTTCATCTTGTTCGCCGAATAGTGCGTCGAGTGGAAGTTGATGAACTCGTCCCGTATCTTCACGCCTCGCGCGAGGGGGTCGTCGTGCAGCGTCTTCCAGCTTCCTGTCGAGAAGTGGCAATAGGGGTGCTCGGGATTGGCCAAGGCCTTGTTGAGCTGATGCAGCCGCCATGTGTCGTTTTGGAGGTTCTTCTTGTTCTCTGAATCGACGGCCTTTAGCTCGCGGTCGAGCACGTTGTCAAGAAACAACGGGGCAATGAAGAACTGGCCGAAGCGGTCCAGTCCTCCCCACAGCGGCGACTCGTCTTTCAGGTCCTGCGGGCTCGCTTGCGGGGTATCTGGTGTCGCAGCCTTGCCACCTGTCGATGTCGAGGACGGGTAGGAGAGCTCGAAGTAGTAGTTTGTGTCGGTGGCGGCGGTGAAGGCATTCGAGTGGCCGCCGTGCTTGGCCAGATACTGGTTGTAGGCATTCTCTTGGGGGTACTTTTCAGTGCCCATGAACAACAGGTGCTCGACGGCATGCGCGATGCCTGGCATGTCCTCGGCGTCGCTGAAGCTGCCCACATTGACGTCCAGGGCGGCGCTGGCCTTGTCGGTGCCCGCCTCGTGTATCAGCAGCACCTCGAGCTGGTTCTGCAGCGTGATGATGCGGTACGCGCGGTCGTCGAGCTGTGGCCTCTCCAGATGCTCGATTCGCTGCCGCGCGCCGACGCTCCTTCCCAGCTCTTCTGCCATGTTGCCGCCGTGTGTTGTCCTTGTCGACGACACGATGTGTCTGGCGAGGCGAGGGGTGGTGGTGGTGGTGGAAGTCTGGGGCAAGAGCCGTCTATGTGTACAGCGATGTCGCAGCGAGTACCGCGCAACCGAGCGCAGAGTGGGGAAGATGTTTTGTTGTCGTGGTACCAGCAACAATCGCGTGCTTGTGAGAGAGAGCATTCACAGCACTGCCAGCGGGGTCAACCAACGTTGATTAGCCTGGCACCGTGTCAAGTCGCGTGGCGATGACTATTCTCCTATGAGCAATTGCGCAAACTGGGGCAGCTGCGACACACAAAGGGCGGTGAAGTAGTTGTCGAGACGCAGCACTGGCTGAAGCTGCAGACTGTGAGAGTAAGCGTCATGCGCCGCCCCGGTACTCAGCCCCGTACATTGGATCGCTACCACCATCATCCGACCTATCATCTCACATGGTCGCCGCGGGCCATCATGGTGCCTGAAGCACTCCACGTGGCATCGTAAGTGGCATGCACAAAAGACGCATCTTCGTCATCATGGAGCATGAGCATGAGCATATGTTGTTGGGCAAGCATAGAATTGCCAATTCAGCATCACCGTCCTGGACAAAATGCAACACTCGCTGGGTATCTCATAAAACGCGCAAACCTAACAATACACGACACCAATGTCCCGACCCTTGGCCTCTGCCTCTCCCCCTGGGCTTCCGTCCCTACCTTCGGCCTCTGCCCCTCCCCCGCCCAGCCGAACCACGAGGTGCCCCGCCCTTGGGGCAGTTGTCCCTCATATGTCCTTTCTGCCCGCACTTGAAACACTCTACTTGGCTGCTATTACCCCCGCCCGGCCTGCGACCTCCCGACAGAGTAGTCAGCCCGCCAAGGTCCATGTCCTCGTCGAGCTGCCGCGGTGGCCCTCTTGGTGAGCCGTCGCCTAGACTTGCTCGTGCTTTGGCTTCGCGTCGCTGCGCGTTGACTTCGCGTTTGGTCTCCCGTATGAGCTCTGCCGCAGGGTCGTCCGAGTCGTACTCGCCAGACGACGATTCCGTCTCACCCTCTGAGCCTTCTGCTGTTTCAAAAGCGACCGGTTTCTAGACCATGTTAGCACTCCGGACCCCCAGCTCGAGGCGTTTGATCAAGCTCACCTCCTTCTTCTTCACACCCCCACCGTACTGCTTCCTGACTGGCCGTACCTCCTCTTCCTCCTCTTCCTCGGAGCTATCCTCCGCGTCTATCTCCGCAAACCCCGCTTGTCTGACTTGCATCGCCTCTTGACGCTTCCCCTCTAGCGGATCCTTGAAGCTCAACACCCACTTTGTCTCGCCTGTGTACTGCGCGGCCTTGTCGAGTGCTTCCTGCCGCTTCTTCTCCTCTGCTACCAGCGCTGATTGTAGGATCTCGTGATCTGGTGTGCCAGGTGCGGATGCGCCATTGTGTGAAAGACGCGCCTTCTTCGAGGGTGGTCCATTTGGCATCGATGGTGATGGCTTCGCTACAGATTTCGCGGCTGAGCGTTGCATAAACTGTGCGATTGTCAATTATTCCTCAGCGCAGGAGGGGTGTGAGTATATACCTTCATCGTCATCAGACGGCTGGACATTGTTTTTGACGTGTCTGACGGCATTTTGGAGAACGACTTGAGGTTTTTTATGGAGTTGATTTAACCAAGTGAGCCGGCAGGGCAGTGTTGTTGGGTTTGCTTCGCGTGGATTGGCGAACTCGCGAATAAAACGGCGATCTCCAAACTTTTGACCGACTACACGCTAAATTAGCGCGACTACTTGCGTCACCAACTGCTAACATCTTCTGGGTGCGAAAGCAGCTGAAGTCGAGAAATCACAGACGCTGAGGATGGTAATGTTGAAGATTGTTGAGCGGTCTCTTTCCTCTGCTATGAGACTAGCAACCTTCTATGCACTACTAATGCTCCAAGTATAAGGCCATGCGTCGATTTAGTTGGCAGTTGCAGAAGTAATGTTTCGCTGACCTGTTGTGCGAAGACACAACAAAAGTGAGCATTGTCGCACTCTACGTGGTACGCCAGATATTGTCCATAGATCATCGATGTCCGTTATCCCTCCCCATGATCTCGGCTGGTCAGCAAAAGCTACCGTGAAGAGGCCGTGGTGATGGAATATACCGCGCGTTTCGTACAATACTTCCCAGATACGTCTCTTCACAGTCGTATCTAGTAATCAGAGAAGCGTTGCTTGTGCAGTATCGTCCTAAATCAGAGGGGTATGCTTTCATGATCTTGGTGCTCTTCGCAGTAGAAACTGCAGCAGCAGTGAGCACGTCGCCGACTGTGCTCCTCAGAAATATAAGAACTACTATACGCGTATAAGGCGAATACGGCAAAGAGAAACCAGAAGCAGTCGGCTGCTCATGGGCCGACAGCACCTTACGCCGCAACAAAAAAGACAGGCTGTGAACAGAATTGCAAGGTGAACAAAGAACGAGACAAGTTGTGGAGGCTGTTTCACATGTCACAAATGAATAGTAGATGTTGACGGCGAGGATTTATGGATGTAATCAAATCGAAATAAGGAGCGATCATAAGGACGGGATCTGTATGCGATTTGTATGGCGAAGAAAGGATTTGATCTGTAATTGGTTGTTTTGTGCTTCAACTCTGGGGATCGAATGGGAAAAGAATGGCAAAGTTTGTTTGATTATGCTGGTTCAAGTTTGTTTGTACGTCGAGCGAATTCTGTCCAGACCTACGATCGCTCGCTGCTCATTCACATGTTGCAGCAGAAAAGAAAAAGATTTTGTTCAGTCTCAACACCTCTTCTTATAATCGTACCTCTTCCCATTCTCCACCTTGCGGAAATCCCAAATGAAACCGCCCACACCTTGCGAAGCACAATGTTGCGTCTTCAGTCGTATCAAAATCTACGACTTTCCCACCCATCTTGCCATGCATATCCAAGAAGTGAGCATGAATTCGCGGCCCACTTATAGCTTTCATCCATTTTGGAACGACGAAGCCAAAGATGACGCCATGAACAATAGCAGATCCAGACGTGCCGTCCAAATAATCGATGGACTTGAACTTCCCCGTGATTTTGAATGGCATCAGCGTGTTGACGCTTTGCATGTGAATTTCCTGGAACAAAGAACTTGATGTGGCGAGGTCGTCAAGAGCATCCATGTCAATCTCGGGAATTGCCATGCGATGGCTGGGCGCAAACGTGGTAACCATGGCAAATGGGAGGCGGGCATTCATGGGCGCAACATTCGCGGTGCCGTCTTTGGCGATAGCGTACGCATCCCCGTCCCTCAACATCAAGAGGCTTCCATCCTCGTAGACGCCGACGCCATCGGTCCCGTGCGAGGTTAAGTCGGAAGTTCGCGGCTGGCCCGTATTGAAGCCGGCAGCGAGGGCTGAGTGAGTCCAGTTCATTCAGCATCTACTGTGTGTTGCAATCAAGGGCAGCCAGAACTTACTGAGAACTGAAAGATGTCATTTGGTATTGAGGCCACCATGCTTATAGTGGGTCTTTTGATATCCTTCCTGAGCGAGCGCGGGTGGAAGAGATTAGATAGCCTTTAGACTTGCGTGCAGCCCTCTAAGAGGCGCGGGGTGAGAGGAGAGCCGAGCCGACTCGCCATATGTCCGCATCACGACTTCGAACCCTCCGGTCGTTCTCCACACAACGCAAGATGTCCATAGCAAGATCGTGTCAGTGACAACTGCGGTAGCAATCCGAGAAGCGATTGCCGCGCGGCGAGGCGAGGCGGCACCGCGGCTCACGCAGATGACTTCCGAGGATCGAGCCAATGGGGGGCAGTTCTGTTTATGCCTTAGCGGATGACCTCGATCCTTTGACAAGTAACGCACTTGCTCGCTGCTTTGTGCTCATTCCGGCAGGTAAAAGCAAGCGTAGATCTAGATGCGCAAAAGGATTTAGCGCGAGAGTTCACGAGTGTAACCGATTGACAGCAACTGGAAGTTGACTGCGCGCAATCTTGATAGATCTCAGTTGCTGTACGCCACAGATCGTTGCACAATTGCTCTGACTCGTGTAACATATGAGAGAACCCGCAGAGAATAACTTGCTGTTACCAAAAATTGTCTAGTGCCTTGTTTGAAGCGTCGTTATTCCCGATTGTCCACCAAGAGTCGTCTTCAAACTTACTCCCAGACTGGGTCACACAGTGGACAAATCGCACATAAAGAACAAAACCATACATTCGTTTCTATGCAACGGTAAATCTTGTTCCTATACGCAGGGACCAACGCACGACATGAAATCCAAATCCACTCACGGCCGACATGATCAGCCGCTAACTGTGCCTCCCACTACCGATGGAACAATTCCCAAAACGGATCTGAATAAGAACATGGTTGACAGTACAGACTTAGAAGCTCCTAGCTTGAACATATGAAGCCAGTGTACCATGGCTAAGATGGGGCTCTCATTCAAGTTCGATGTACTGACATGCCCTCCACAACACGTTGCTCGGGAGCGTTCATCCACGCGATAATTGATACTTGCCCAGGACTACTTCCGCGAGAGAACTCTGGAGAACTGCCTTCTTATGCTGATGTGAACGGTGGACATGCAATTGCGACAGCAGTAGTATGTCTGGGTCTGGTACTCCCCGCACTACTTGTGCGTATATATACCAGGTCCTGTATACTGAAAAGACGGCTACTCTGGACCGAGGATTGTAAGTGACGCATTGATCGGTAGAACCGCGCGCTGGCTTACATTTCTCCTAGATTTTCTTGTCATCTCAACGGTAAGATAACAGATAGCTTACTGACAGTATTGAACTGATAGCCACAAGGCACTCCTCATAGTCTACGCCGGATTGTCACTGAAGGCGTACACTTACAACATCAGCAATCATGATTGGAAGATGGATCTTGTCAAAACAGCCACAGCATTGAAGGTGAGCAACGTTATGAAGTTGGTGTCCCATGTTTGAGGCGCAAAACTAACAGAATTAGTACGTATACGCCGCCATGTGTGTATACGGCCCCATTATCATGTTCGCCAAGCTCGCAATATTGTTCCAGATCAAACGCATCTTTCTCGTCACGCTCATGGAGAGAAATTTCACCTACTGGGCGTCCTGGTGCCTCATCGTCGTCAACGCCATCTCATACAGCTCCGTCATCTTCCTTGTCATCTTTGGCTGCAATCCTATTTCGAAATTTTGGACTCCATACGGGTCTGGAAAGTGCTTGCGTCAATACACAGGAACGCTTTCAGGCGTCTTCAATCTCATCTCCGATCTTGGCATCTGGCTTCTACCCTTGGTCGAGGTGCTGAAATTGCGCCACCTGGATAACAGTAAGATGGTTGCTGTTGCAGCTGTGTTCGGTATGGGTGTGCTGTGAGTATTTCCAAGTCGCAGCTTGTGGTCGACATGTTGACGTGAATTAGTGCTGTAGTTGCCAGTGCTTTGCGTCTCTGGCAGTCGATTAAAGGCGAGCTCACCGTCGATACGTCATGGAATACGTACCCCACAGGAGCGTTTGTTGCCAACTACTTGATCTCCTGGGGCGGTATTGAAGCTGCGGCAGTCATACTCTGCGGCTGCTTCCCAACATTTCCGCGCTTCTTCCTGCACGTAAAGGGCTTGTGCCAAGCACCCAAAGAACTGACATACGTCAGAGCATCTGAAGAAACGATCGGAGGCAAACGATCAGAACGTGCGAAGAAGATTAGGCCTACTGAGAGCGAGTTGAGATCGAGGTATGCGCGTGAGGAAAGCTTTATGGGGACTGAGTTTCGCTTGGATGAGATTGCCTTGTGCGATTCGGGGGATGTTGAAGAGCAAAAGCACGTCGAGACAAAGACGGGTAGTGTGGACCTGACCATTAGAACAGAGGAATCAACAAGCTTGGACGGGAACGCTGCTAGTCAGATACCGCGGTCGTTTCACTGAACATAGAGCGGAAGACATTACAGTCAGGTAGTTTATCAAGGTCAAAAAGCTTCGGAGGAAATTTGTTTGTTTGCGTGCATCCTGGGGGAAGCCTGTCATTTTGTAGCATCGAATGAAGACATGTATTTCATAAGTCTGGAGTGCATTCTTTGGAGATGTAATTTGCACACAGGTCTGAAGAAACACTGTGGTCTTCAAAGTGATTGTCTTAGCGTCGGAATGATGTCAGGGCGACCAGAGCTCAAGAACCGCGCGTTTCCGCATCTAACAACACCACGACGGCCAAGATATGGTCAATAGTCAGCAGTCATGCCATCTGCAAGCGACATTGTCACGCTAATCAGCTCGCTCGTATTGCGAGGGAGCATCTATGTGTTTCTGAGATGGGTAAGCACGCCCACTGTGCCATGTCCAGCCTGTTCAACCAACTGACCTCGCATGACTGTAGATTCCTACCACGGTAAGCAGATGAACGCGCCTCGAACGCGCCATCTAGCACGTCACATGTACTAAACATCGGGAAACTCAGGCCGTTCCGCCGCTTGCAGCAGCACTGGCGCTCATCTACATCCCCTCCTTCTTCAGCAGCTTCCAGGACACGGCCCAGTACCAGGTCATATCTGACGAACTCGACATCATTGTAAAGGAAACCGTGTCGCGTGACGATGACAGCGAGGAGGTAGAGCTCATCGACGGCGCCGAGGATGGGCCGCTGGAAGAGCTGGATGTGCAGGAGACGGTACTCTACGAGGAGCGCGAGCCCAAGATCTTGAGGACGCTGCTGACCGGACTTCCGAGCCCCTCATCAGCCTTCTGGAGCTGGGTCACGTTCGGCATCAACATGGCTTTGCTGGCCATGACGCTCGACGTCGTCTACCGCGCTCCGCTTCTCCACCCGTGCCACGACGCGTCGTTCGGACGCGTCGGGTACGTGTCGGACCACAGCGCGAACATCCTGGTGAGAGAGCCATATGCCTTCGACGTCAAGGTCCTCTACAGGTCGCTCGACGAGCCGGATCGCTCCTGGATGCACACAACACTGCATGCAAGCCAGCCGGATGAGTGGTTGACACGTGAGACCGACTTCACCACTGTCATGAGCCTCGACCGTCTGCGTTCTGACACGCCGTACGAATATGTCATCGAGACGTCTAGCGGAAACAAGACGGGTACCTTCACGACTGCGCCGCGGCCCGGACGCTTGTCTCTGCTCAAGGAGAACAAATACACGTTTGTGCACTCGAGCTGCATCAAGCCACGCGTGCCTTACACGCCCTTTCAACACCCACTCGAGTTCCCCGGCATGAAGCATCTAGCCAAATGGTTACCTGAGCTCAAGCCTTACTTTATGCTTTTCCTCGGCGACTTCATCTACGTAGACGTTCCACACCGCCAAGGAAAAGATGCGGAGACGTACAGACGTGAGTATCGCCAAGTTTACTCATCGCCGTCCTGGCCCGCGGTCAGCAACAATTTGCCCTGGATCCATGTCATCGACGACCACGAGATCCAGAACGACTGGAGTGGGAATATGACCGGTGTCGCTGTTCCCGCCTACGATGCCTTCCACCACTACAACGCAGCCCCCAATCCACCTCCACACCGCAAAGGCCACACCTACTTCTCCTTTACGCAAGGTCCAGCCGATTTCTTCCTCCTTGACACGAGGCGCTACCGCAGTCCTGAGACAAGTGACCCCAACGACGAATCGAAGACGATGCTTGGTGAACAACAGCTCTCGGATCTGCTGGCGTGGATTCACAAAACGCCGCCGCAGGGTGTACATTGGAAGATTATTGTAACCGGCATCCCCTTCACCAAGAACTGGCAATTTGGCTCTGAAGACACATGGGGCGGTTACCTACACGAGCGCCGTAGGATCCTCGAAGCTAGCTGGGACCTTTCGTCATCGTCGGATATTGGCGTTGTTCTCCTTAGTGGAGATCGCCACGAGTTTGCCGCTACCGCGTTCCCGCCGCCCAAAAACTCCAAATGGCCGGTAAGCGCGACGGTGCATGAGTTCAGCACGAGCCCGTTGAGCATGTTTTACCTACCGGTGAGGACGTACAAGGAGATTGATGACGAGGATGTGTGCATCAAGTACTTGCCTGATGGGAACAGCAAATTTGGCGCTGTGGAGGTAACGACCCCGCAGCATGGCGAGCAGAGTTTTCTGAATTACCGGCTGTTTGTTGATGGGAGAGAGGTGTGGACGCACGTCATCTCTACGCCACCCGTGAGGGAAGGCAGTCAAAGAGCGAGGGATGCCGTTTGGGGATAGAGTGTATTCACGGCAGGAATCAGATTGAAATCAGGTGCTTAACAAGACGAGAAATTGCTTTAGGGTGGCGCACGGGATATATCAGGAGTAAGTGGGTAGTTTGCACGGCTGCTGCAACCCGACCATGGGAATATCTAGCGTTTGAGGAATTGTCACCGGACAGAAAGAATCTATTCACAACAGAATGGAATGGCAGGACTTGCAGAGGACTTGTCAAGTTTGAATCATGCAGTGTTTGAAATGTGCTGTATGACTCCATTGTACTTTGACAAAGCTACACATTCCAGAAGGGGATGCTCATGTCCACGTTTTCCTCGCCTTCTCCTCGTGCTCCTTTGTCCACTCCCTTGGCAGCACCGCAAAGACGAGATACGACGTGTGGGTTTTAAGCTCAGGCTCGGTACGATGAACCAGTCTTCCCTCTTTGAACAAGGTCCTGTTTTCTTGGTCCCTTTTCGACTGTGCAAGACGATCGTGCTTGGAGGGCGGTAGACGGTCTGCGGCGGTCTTTTTCTTGCTCTTGTCTTGGTGAAGAGCTTCATCATAGCCACTGATGTTTTCACCCCTTTTCCTCCCCTCGGCTTTCCGCATAATCTCGTCCTGCTTCTCCTTCTGCAGACTGTGGAAGACCTGGGCTCTGCCCTCGACGTCCCTCAACCGCTGCACAGCCTCTTGCACCGTCGCCGCGGTTGCGTTGCCTCCGCGCAAGCCTTCTTCAGCCAGGCCAACGCGCTCGCGGCGCACTTCGAGGCGCTTGTGTTGGACTTCTACCATGTCGATGTCGACCCAGCCGTAGGAGCGCAGCGCGGAAACGGTCTTTGTGACCTGCTCGATGCACGGGCTGAAGGTGCATATCCGGGCGGGCGTCTTGGGGTTGAGGGGCGAGCGAAAAGGCGAGACAATGGGGGAGGACGGGTCGGATGGGGATGTTAGCGGGGATGGAGAGCGGGTCAGGTGCTTGAGTGCCTGCCAGGGCGCGGGGAGGTCGAGGAAGATGGCGTCTGCATCGGGACCCGGGCCGTCGTCCAGGCAGAAGCCGTCAGCGTAGACGTCGCGGTGCGTGACGGTGACCAGGGGGGCGAGGCCGTGTTGCTCGATCTCGACGCGCAGCTGCTGGGCGCGCGGTGCGTGGTACTCGAAGCTGTACACGCCGCCGTGCCGCTTGGGGCGTCGACGGCGCTTGGCCACGCCGACTGCGTCTTCGTCGTCGCTGCCCTCGTGCGCAGGCGGGGCTGCGGGATAGGCGTTGAAGACTGCGCGCACCGCGGCGTGGGTGAAGCTGCCACTGCCCGCGCCGGCCTCGATCATGTGGTCGCCGGGCCGCACGCGCAGCCTCTGCAGGACGTAGCTGTAGTCGGGCGTGTAGACGACCTGGGTGCGGTGTGGCAGCGACAGGGTCCAGAACTCGGGCGTGGGCGGGATCAGATGGGCGAAGCCGCTGCTGGCCGCCGCGGCCTTGACCACGTCCCTCTTCTCCGTGGCATCGGCGGTGCCCGTGTCGGCGCCCTCGTCCTTCGCATCGCGCTTGCGCTTCTTGGACCGCCCGCGCGAGCCCGTGTCGACGACCGAGGCGAGGATCTGCGTGCCCCACGGCTGGTCGACGAGGGTGCTGTGGGGGAAGGAGCCGAAGCGCGTGTTCTCGACCTTGCCCTCGGCGTAGTCCGAGTCGCCGTCGGGCGCGAGGATGGCTGGGATGAGCTGGTCGCGCCGCAGCTGGAGGATCCCGAGCGTGTCTGCGCGCGCATGCGTGCCTGGGTCGAGGAACGGCGACGGAAGAGGCGCCATGGCAGCGAGCGTGAGTGGAAGCGGCGGCTGCGTCACCGCGTCGACGAGGAAGGCGCGATTACAGTACAGGGCCAGGGCCTGCCCAAAAAATGAAGTCTGGCGGGGAGCTTTCGACGCTGCAATTGGCGGGGGACGCGCACAGACGCGCAGCTCGCCCACCCGTCCAGCAATGCACCCAACGTGACCCAAGAAGCCCAGCTCGACCAAGAGTCACAGATTCCGCCATTGGAGCTCCACTTTGCTACAGCTTCTCCTTCGTCCATGTCCTAGTCGCTCCTTCCCTCCTGGCTTACTTTCCCCCATTTCCTCCTTGATGGTGCTTGGTTGCCGTCTCTTGTCCCGCAGGATCTCCCCACCCACACACGCAACCCGCATCTTCACCACACGACCACTGCAACCTCGTTTCAAAGCCACCATGGCGACTCCAGCGCGCACTCAGCCGCCATGGAAGGAACCTCAATCATCCGATGCTGCCAAATTAAAAGTCTGGAATTCATTGACCCGATCCAAGAACGACTTTGTCCCAATCGATCCAGAAGGCAAGCTCGTCAAGTGGTATAGTTGCGGCCCCACAGTTTACGACGACGCCCACCTTGGACACGCTCGGAACTATGTGACCATCGACATCCTGCGCAGAGTCTTGGCTGGCTACTTTGGATACGACCTCCGCTTTGTCCAGAACATCACCGACGTCGACGACAAGATCATTCTACGTGGACGCCAACAGCATCTGCTGGCACAGTTCAAGACTCAGAATCCAACCATAACGAACGAGGTTCTTAATGCTACTACCAAGGCATTTGATGCATACGTGAACAAGAACCTCCCTCTCCTGAATTCACCCCTCAAGCCCGAAGACTTCAGCTCAGAGTCTGCGGACAAGTACGCCAATGTCATCACAGGGAAGTCACTTGACGGTACTACACCACCCGGGGACAAGGAAGCAAAAATAAAGATGCATCTTAGGACCGCCAGCACGGCAGTGACGGCGTTGCTATCGCCTTCAAAATCCACAGCAGAAGATATCCAAGCCTTCTACACTGGGGCTGAAGACGTACTTCTACCCTATCTCGACTCGCTGCATGGCTCCTCAATCGATGCCAGCGACCACAGCATCTTCACCAAGCTCACGCAAAAGTACGAGGCGCGCTTTACTGAGGATATGCGCAACCTCAATGTCTTAGACCCGGACGTAGTCACTCGAGTGACAGAGTACGGCGACCAGATTGTGACTTTCGTGGACAAGATTGTCGAAAACGGGTTTGCCTACAAGACCTCGGATGGCTCGGTTTACTTTGATATCGACGGCTTCGAGAAGATCCCTGGAAATCACTATGCCCGTCTAGAGCCTTGGAATCGCGGTGACAAGGGTTTGCTAGCAGACGGAGAGGGCGCATTGTCGACGCAGAAGACGTCAGAAAAGCGCGGCGATGCTGACTTTGCGCTTTGGAAGTCAAGCAAGCCGGGGGAACCTGCCTGGAAATCACCTTGGGGGCCTGGACGACCAGGATGGCATATCGAGTGCTCCGTTATGGCTAGCGATGTACTGGGAGAGCAGATGGATATTCACTCTGGTGGAATTGACTTGTGCTTCCCTCATCATGACAAGTATGTTCGGGTCCCTACACGGCTTCTCACATGTTAACAAACCTTAGCGAGCTTGCTCAATCAGAAGCTCACTGGTCCTCGAAAGAGGGTGGACACCAATGGGTCAACTACTTTTTGCACATGGGCCACCTCTCCATCTCTGGTAGTAAAATGTCAAAGAGCCTCAAGAATTTCACAACCATCAGGGAAGCGTTGACACGCGGAGACTGGACTGCTCGAAGTCTGCGTATCATCTTTCTGCTTGGTGGCTGGCACGATGGTATTGAGATCACGGACGACATGCGGAAAGGAGGAGCATCATGGGAAAGCTATGTCACCAACTTCTTCTACAAAGTCCGTGACCTGGAGGTTCACCCGAACATCAGTTCTACGGGTGCGCAAGACGAGAAAGTCCGAACAGCATTTGAACAGGCCAAAGAGAAGGTCCATAACGCCCTAGCCGATTCCTTCGATACACCAACTGCCATGCGTGCCATCTCTGGTTTGATCACCGACTACAACTCTGCGAACAAGGCTGGGCTATCCGATGACGTCTCATTCGACATCGCACGCTGGATCACCAGAATCGTCCGAACATTCGGACTCGACGGCTCCGCTGACCCATATGGCGGTGACATCGCCTGGGCAGGCATCGACATACCCTCCGCAGCAAAAGAATTTGTATACGCCGCGTCCCGTGAGCGTGACGCAGTCCGTCAACATGCAATCGCAGGCGACCTTTCCGACTCAGTCCTAGAATCTATCATTGCTCAACACAAGCCAGCACAGCAGCAAGACACCGCTTCCTCCCAGTACGCAGAAGTTCTCTCTGCGTTTCAGGAATCTTTGCGCGGTCTTGCAGACAAGAAAGCTCCCGCCAAGGATTACCTCGACCTTTGCGACGCGCTCCGCGACACCCATCTCTGGGATCTGGGCATTTATCTCGAAGATCGTGAGAACGCGCCCGCCATGGTACGGCCAGTAGATCCAGAGCTCGTCGCTGCACGCCAGCAGAAAGAAGCCATCGCAAGACAGAAGAGTGAGGCGAAAGCCAAGCGCGAGCGCGAGGAGGCGGAGAAGACGGCAAAGCTGGCGGAGCAAGCCAAGATTAGTCCCAAAGATATGTTTAGAACAGAAGAGTATAGTGCGTGGGATGAAGAGGGACTGCCGACCAAGGACAAGGACGGAGCGGATGTGCCAAAAAGTAAGGGCAAGAAGCTGAGGAAGGAATGGGAGAAGCAGAAAAAGCTTTACGAGGAGAGCTTGAAGAGCAGTGTTACATCGTGAAGGACGATCTATCTGGTCGTTCGCGGTAGAGCGTACCCGGACGTATTGCGTCTTTTCCTCACGAGTTGCGATGCTGACAAGGTAGTTCCTGCCGTAGGTGCATTACGCTATTATGAAAGCGAGATATCACCATCCTTCTACATCTGCCTTTGTGTCGCCTCACTCTGTTGCACAACCAGCTCATCACAGTTCAATCGTCGTGCTCCAACCATGCGACTCATCAATACCAAAACTCGTGCGTTTGAAGAATTTATTGGATGGCATGTTCAGGCGTATGCTATCCTATCACGTACATGGGAAAAGGAGGAAGTCACGTACAAAGACTATGTCGATGGCCGATATTGTAACATGAAGGACTCTAAGAAAATTGACATGACCTGCCAGAAAGCTCTAGCTGAAGAAGGAAAAGAAATTCTTTACGCATGGGTTGATACTTGCTGCATTGATCAGAGTAGTAGTGCCGAGCTGACAGAGGCCATCAATTCTATGTTCCGCTGATATTAGAGGGCGCGGGTGTGCTATACGTTTCTCTCCGATGTGGAGCCAGGTACGAACTTGAACGAAGCGTTACCAAATTGCCGTTGGTGAGCCTCATCTCCACACGACCTTGATCCGCAGCTCGGCATGTATTATGCTTTTGCGGCCGCTGACGTGTACGCCATGAGCCAGGTTCACTCGGGGATGGACGTTGCGAGAACTCATCGTCCTCTGGCATACACGGTTTTTCGATGCGGGTTGGAACGATAGAGGCAGTAGTTACACTCTCTACTGGGTACTCTACTCAATCACAGGGAATGATGTAGATGTTCCTGCTCATACGATAGATGTCGAATCCATACCAATTACCGTAAGGATGTCTTGGGCCGCTAATAGAGAGACCACCCGAGTTGAGGACATGGCATATTGACTTCTCGGTATATTGGGTGTTAACACGCCCTTGCTTTATGGAGAAGAACACAACGCATTCCGGATGTTGCAAGAGGAGATCATCCGCATTTCAGCAGATCTCAGTATTTTTGTCTGTTCATTCCAGGCATCGTCACAGACACGTGCATACTATTCGTGTGCGCGTTATCTCTGTGGAACCCTGGCCACGTCGCCGGCGGAATTTCTGCAATGTGGCAACCTGAAAAATCTACCCGCAACTGATGCTCGCGAGATCTCCATCACAAATATCGGCGTCAAGGCTCGCACGCAGGTACTAAATGGGTACCGCTTCGTAACGCCATTCAGTTGTTACTCAGGTATATCTGGAATATCACTTGGGGTATTACTTCGCAAGGTTGGCTGTGAGCAATATCTCCGGGAGAACCCAATATCCCTCCATGAGTATGCAAGCGACACTCTTCGACCGCATCCGCCTACCGACAGATATCTACTTACCACACTACCAGAACTTCCTCGAGATTTTGCAACATCTGACGAACAACGAATGCTGCCAGCAGCCGATATGCTACCACATCTTCGTTTACGCCCATTAAGGTTGTACTACCCCCGGAAATGAAAATCGATAGTGCCTGACCTACAGACCGCTGGGACGAAGAGGACACTTTGTTTTTCGTCCCAGGCGACCCAAGATGGGACTCTGGTTTTATCGAGCTTACAGTCGATTTTGGGTATCCCATAGGCAACAACCCAACAGCAATGTCGAGATTCGGATAAACACTGTTTGTGACAGGTTGGTCAGACGGCGCAATCGTATCCGTGGAGAGCCCGTCATCCTCTCGCTTCACTATAGTGAGGGACGGCTCTTACCGCCATGAACTCGACGAGCTGCGATCAGCGACTGAAAAATGGGACCTGAACGCCGCGCAGGTTTGGAGGGCGATGCAGTCACAATATACCCATGCAAGATACTTGTGTACACGAGATGCCCGGAACTCGCTATGAACTTCGTGTTTCGCTAGAACCTCTTGTTGACAAAGAGCCTAGAATTTCGCAACAGCTCTTCTTCAGAATTCACTTCCGATGCGAGGTCTGGAATATGCATGTCAAGAAATTAGTTTGGTCGTCGAGCTCTGCCGAACTCGATGCAAGCGCTATCTGATGGTCTTTGACTGAAGTTGACAGGCTGGTATCCTGATCTCATTTCTAACATCCATGCGTGACTTCCTGTTTCGAAAATGACCTCGATGACAGTCTAGAAATACCCAATGAATCTTACATCTAATAAGTTCTACACCGCTGCCTCAACTGCGTTTCTCCAAGTCCCCTGTTTCGAATCATGGCCTCGCGAATCTCCCGTGCCCTCTCATTTCAGTGTTTCCTCCTTAGATCCTGCATGCTACTTATTTGCCATTTCGTAGGAACTTTGTTCGTCTTTTATTGTTTAGTTCATCATCATGTTTTCATACTAAGTCTCATCGCTACATTGCTATCACAAACTTCGACAAACAGTTTAGAAATACCGATCCCTAAAAGTTCATTGCACTTTGTTGTGTTGGACATTGCTTTCCCATCCCAAACTTAGGCTAGAGCGACGACACACTCAAGTAACACTGATCCAACGGCTCATACAACGAACGTCACTTTCAAACTCACCGACAATCGGTCTGACCCCTGGCGGGGACCGTACAACCAGTTTGGCACAGGAAGTTACCAATAGCAAAGACCAGAAGGGGAATGAACCTACTAGAACATAAAATATGATGTAAGGTTCGGACTCTCTCAATCAGATTTCGCACTGGATGTTTATTGATGGAATACTTTACAATGGAGTGTAGGCTTCTTTCAAGATTCGCACAATGATAAAGCTTTTGAGGATAAGTCAAACCCCTAGATTGAATAGAGCGGTATCCTTCGCGCCAGAATGACTGAGAGGCGCTAATTCCAAACTGGTAACGAGCGCTTGCTATATAGGTGAGTTTGTCTCGCAAGTCTGACAACGTTACTCCTGAGAAAAACGGCACGGAATTCGCTGAGTTGAGCATGGCAATACTTGCAAACGATGTAGATCTTTTACGATGTAATCTCTTTTTACTTATGTTGATACAAGCGACCGCACTTCGTCCAATCTCATAAAATGTTGAATTCAATGGCCATCACCACCCCTAGTCCTCAGTCTGGCAGAACTGCATTTCTTTTCTGAGCGGATAGTGTCACGCCGTCTACACAAACTCCAAGCATCCATTCACATTCCCAATTCTCTCGTCCAAGACGATCGAGGCCTGCACCCACCTGCCATCGCGCTGCAGCTCGCCTTCCAATCTCTGGCCCCCATCGACGAGACGCATGTCTTTAGCCGATGCGCCGAAGTTACCCCCACTTCCACTACCACCACCAGGAACGCGAAGCACTTGGCCTGGGTAGATCATGTCCGCATTTTGAATACCATTATGCTGTGCGATCTCCTCAAAGCCACAGTTGTGCCTAGCAGCAATAGCCCGAAGCGTATCACCCTGCTGGACCGTGACAGTTGACGGACCTCCATGGTTCTGGCTAGACCAATGGAAGCTGCCGTTGTCATTTTCCAAGAACTTGTTCAAGGAAATGGTGCTGGATTCGTAGGATCCGTCTGTTCTCCTGCACTGAGCGTGTAGACTGTACTCGCCATGGGCGTCGAGACGAATATCCCTCGCAGTTGCAGTGAAATTGCCCGCGAAATTGCCACCGCGAGGCTTCTGGTCCTGCTGTTGGTGGTCTTGTTGGTTGTGTTGCTGTTGCTGCTCATGCTCCTTTTTCTTCTTCTCGTCTCGCTCGTCTTTCCAGTCAGACGCAGCTTCCTCACCCTTGTGTCCCGCAAATGCACCCGCCAGAGCACCTGCGATCATACCCGATGTGCCATGACCAGATTTTCCGCCGAGAGCATGACCGCCGTATGCACCTGCGGCTCCGCCGGCTATACCTCCCATGATGCCACGTTCGCCTTCTGGGTCACCCTCGCCGTTATACTGGTTTTGGGAACCTTGATTGTGCGAGTTTCGGCCTGAGTTTGACGAGTGAGAAGCGGTAGACGCGTATTGTTGGTATTGTGGTGGTTGGTGGCCATACTCTTGTTCACGGCTGTAATCTTGCTGACGACCATGTTCTTGTTCACGGCCATAATCTTGCTGACGACCATGGTCTTGTTCACGACCGTAGTCTTGTTGGCGGCCGTGGTCTTGTTCACGACTGTAGTCTTGTTGGCGACCGTAGCCTTCTCCATGCCTGTTTCCTTGTTGATTGTCATATCCCTGGTCACCGGAGAATGATTGCTGGCGATCAGAATGTCCCTGGCCGTAGTACTGACTGGCTTCTCCTCGACGATCGCCATCGCCATAGCCATTGTTGTGGCCATTGTTGCCGTAGTTGTTGTCGTTGTAGCCAGACATAATGAGTAGATGTATTGTTACTAGTTTCTTGATTGTGAGGCGATCAGACTGTCATGACGAGGCAGGGACTGTCTTTATAGATGCCATTGAGAGTTGCACGGATGTTCAGCCTACTCAGACACCGCCACTCCCCGCGGTGGAGCGGTGGAACGGTGGAAACGTCATCGGTCAGCCACAATTGGTCCATTTACTGCGGACCACGACCCACGACACAAGAGACACGGCTGTGCATCAGGCATTCGTTGGTCGAGTGGGTTCTAGCCACATTGCATATGTTAGGACACGTGTAAGAGCGCTCTATAAATATCACGACAGTGTTTTCTGCATTGAGCATCATTGGGCCTGTAGAAATCGAGGATCTTGATTTGTCTAGGAGCTCAATATAGCGCATGGAAAAGATCGCATCGCGCCCAATTATTGCATGATGCCTTGGTGCATATGGAGCTCGATGCTACTTAGCTGAGTTAGAACAATGACACATCACTTCAATATATACGTGCATTCCAACAACGAGAAATTTATTGCCACATAAGCTGAGTAGCAATTTCTGCAATAAAACCTCGAAATAAGCCCGCATTTGAGCTTCATAGAGAATTGGAATACGAATTCCAAGTTTAAACGCGAACTCCATTGTTAGCCGAAATCACTAGCCTGTTGTTGGTATGCAGTTCTGGACAACGGATTAAGTTTCGCATAAACTGTGTGCGTGATTTTGCTAAACTCGTTATGGACTAGAGTTCCTCGAAACCCTGAACTGAATATGGTACACTTTGTTCCGCAGTAACTCGCGTTAGCTCTAACCTGAAATACATATCTCGCAGCGCTAACAGAATGCTGTTCGTCACCATGAAACAGGACAAGCCATCAGACAGAGCGAAACTACATTCATCTTTGGCTTTCCTTATAACTCTACATGCCACTGAACCTTCAGTCGCGCTTTCTCTTCACTCCTGCCCGGCCAAGGATCACTGCGTTTCGAAAGAAGGGAGAGGCAGCTGCTCCAGATATTTGGCTTCCGTGTTAGACTTGGACGAGTCTAGGTGTGCAAAAGCTTGGCTTGATCCGACGCTCTACCATTTCTGCCCCTCCAACCGCTTGCATCAAGTTCACATCCAGTTACTTTTTGCTCGGAAGAATGTGTGGATTCCTGCATCACAACGCCAATGGGGAAGAAGCAGTCATAGATCAAAGACGCAGGTCGTCCTATCCGGCTATGAAGCATGGATACCCTAAGCGCAGCCAATCTCCGGTGGCTGCAGATATCACGGCTGTTACATTACCCCGCTGTTTATCTTGACAAAGACATCGCATCGCCCTCTAACGCTTTCTCATAAAACGTGAATTAAGGGCCCTAGGCGTAGTATTTGAAGAGTTGCCTCTAGGAAGAGGCAAAGGCCAGCGCAATGGGAGTTACGGCGAGCGTACCTATGTACGCTGTTGAAGATGTGCCCGGGAAAGGTAAAGGCCTCGTTGCTACTAAAGACATACCCAAGGGCACACGAATCATCTCTGAAAAACCCATCATCGCTTCAAGTCGACATGTCGCAAACGTGGAGCAACTACAGATTCGCGTTAATCAGCAATTTGACACTCTAAACAAGGACCAGAAACAAGAGTTCCTTTCTATGGGCAACGTGTATCCTTACACCAACTCTACAGAAAGGATGCGCGGCATCTTTCGAACGAATGCCCTACCTATCGGATCGAAACTAGACGGTGCGGGCGTCTTTTTCAACGCCTGCCGAATCAATCACGCCTGTGACAATAATGCTCAGAATTTTTGGAACGAGAACCTCGACCTACTCACGATCCATGCTGTAAAAGACATCTGCAAAGGGGAAGAAATCACTATATTTTACCTCAACAGTCGTAGAAACCGCCGGGCACGACAGGAGGAGCTGCAGCAGAATTTCAAGTTCACGTGTTCCTGTCGACTCTGCTCTTTACCACCTGACGAGAGCAGGAACAGCGACTCAAAGTTGGATCGTATTCATGAATTAGACTGTATCATCGAACAAGGTGGTATAGCAGGGCTTGTTTCACCTGCCAGGCGGATGTTCAGCTATGTCGAAGAACAGGTCCGGCTCTGGAACGAACCTATACCGGACGAACTAGGTCTGGCTCGGGCATATCCCGACGCCTTTCAAATTGCTATCGCAAATGGAGACTTGGCGAGGGGGCGCACCTTCCCAGAGAGATTGGTGCCTCTGTATCTGAATGCTCTCGGTGGCGACAGCCCTGATGTAATTCAGTACCGCAAGCTAGTTCGAGACCCCACGACACATGATTACTACGGCATGTCAATGAAGTGGAAGACCACGCTGGATGAGGTTCCACAGGAACTAGGACCAGAGGAGTTTGAAGATTGGCTTTGGAGGCGAAAGAAAGATACTGCCCAAGGGCAACTAGCAGATCTTCGCGACCGCGAGACCTTCCCTAGTTTCAAAGATCTCCCGGACGAGCACGACCTACAATCAGAACACTTCGAGTGCAGAGAAATGGTAAATTACCGGCCCATGCATCACTGGTGCTTTCTGGCGGAGATTCAGGATTTTGACTGGTCTATTCACCTGCAGATGGCCGTCAAGGATGTCGACGGCACAATTCTTCGACTATCATTACAAACTAATCCTAGAGGTACTGAATATGCCCAGTCACAGATCCAAAAGGGATATACCGTTGCGATTCTGTACGCTGTACGCCATACCTTTATGTTCGGCGAACCCGGCATCCGCCACGAGAAACCCCAGATGATGAAGGCAGGTAACCAACCTTGAATCTAAGTTGACCAAAGTCTACTAACTGAAAACCTACAGATATTCCCTTTATCATTGAATGAGTTGCAGAACTTGACCGAGAATGTTCAGAGGTTCTCCATGGAGCTTGACGGTCTCAGGACATGTCGTGGGTGTGGTAAGAGGGGCACTTCTTTCAAACGATGCGGCAAGTGCTCCTCCGTCTGGTATTGCAACCGGGTAGAAAATTCACTCATGTAACTCAACTTTTAGTCATCATTCAAATTGACATTTTGTAATCAGGCTTGCCAAAGGGCCAACTGGATTGAAGAAGGGCATAAAGCTGAGTGCAAGGTGTTGAAAGACCCAGATTGGCGAGCACTTCTCCATCTCAAATAGGACGAGTTTGACGATTATGTTCACTTTCCACTCTACATCGAAACGGGCTTCTAGGTGTAGCTAACGAGATGTTTTAGGAGCAGCTGCATTAAGAAAAATAGATTGTCCTGAAAGATTACTATAGAAAGTAGCATACCAGTCTTAGTGGAGTTAGAAAACGCGAAATTAAGTTTACAAGTAAGTAATAAATAAACAAAAAAACAACTAAGGCCTTGAACGTAACTATAGAAATAAATAAGCTTATATTCTTATTATGTTTAAGATATTAATAACACTATATAAATCTTTAATCTACTAAAAAGGTTTAATTATTAAGTATAGAAATGCTATTAGTAATTTTATCCCTAGAGGACAGGGATTAATGTGTAATCTTATTATTGTGTTTGTACGTTTTGCGTTAATTAGAGTTATTACGACACAGCTAATTGCAATTATTAGTTATGCACGCGTTTTAATTGTTTATTAGTTTTTATTGTTTACACTAACTACAGCAGCTAAAGTTTAACCTAGTCGCAAGTTATTAGCCCTCCGCTTCCTATTACTATTACTATTACTGTTACTGTTGCTATCGCTGCTACTTCTAGCTTTGTCCTTGTTCTATATTAATTGTCCCTGTAGTAAGGTATTGCACCTCCTAGATTACTACTATAATTCTCTTTTTCTAGGTAGTATACCTAGGATCTATAAAAGCTTACTTAAAGTAGCTCTTATCTTTAGTTAAAGCAGCGTTGTTACGCTGCTTAGTAGTAAGCTTATTAAGTTAAAAGAGCTAAGTATTAAAGAAAGCCCTATTAGTTTTATAGATTTATATAAGGAGAAGCTAAGCTCTAACTTTATAGAGCTATACTATAAGTTTCTTATTAACCTTAAAGTACTATAAGATATCTTTATCTTTTAGGTAGAAGGTATTACTGTTATACTAAGTAATACCCTTTATTTCCTCCTACTACCTAACTAGGTCCTTAGAGATCTTACTAGAGATATCTAGAGTACTATACTAGTACTAGTAATTACTTATATTAATCCTTTAATTATTAGTTTATTATAAGACATAGCGTAAGAACTCCTAGGCTACGCTAATAGAATTATATTATTAATTAGGCATAATCTTAGTAGTAAAGAAAGATAAGATAAGATAGATAGATATATAGATAAAAATTTTAACTCTTAAGGTATAAAAGATATTTATATGTTAGCTTATTTATATAAACTGTTATTACATAGTTATATATTTAGGATTACTAGTTAATTAAAGAGTTTTCTTAACTTAACTATAGTTTATAACCTAAAGCTAAACTAAACTTTAATTACTACCTAGGCTCTTAAATACGCGTCTATATTAGTATATTAAGTAGCTAGTTGTTAAGAGACAGCTAATTAGCTCTCTATTACCTTTACTATAGACTTCTACTAATATTTACTATATAAAAAGGGGCTAGGTATTAGCTTCTATACTAAGTTACTATGTTAGATTCTTACTGTATTACGTCTATCTGCCTATACTACAAGCATAAATACGCTATAAACCTAAAATAAAAATTAGTAATTTTATATAAGCGTATATTAGACTATCTTTTATAAACCTCTTAGCTAAGAGTATAAAGCCTTTTAAGCTTTAGTATAAAGTAGTTATAGATCTTTAAGGCTTATACTTTAATAGTTTATTTATTATTTTTATAAATAATTATTTTCTTAAATTCTTATATACTAATTTAAGGTTCTTTAATAATCTAAATCTTTTTAACCTTAATTTAAAATAGGTAGTTTATTTAAGATAAATATTTTTATTTACTTTTTAATAAGAAATTAGTTTTCCTTTAAAGGAAAAATTAGATATTAAACCTAAAATAGCTCTATAAGTATTAGTATGTAGAACTTATAGTAAGCTAGCCTAAAAGTAAAGCTTTACTAATTATATAATAATAATATAAAGCTAAAATTATTAGATAAAAACTTTAAGGTACAAAGTAAATTAATTTAATATATTAAATATACTGCTTTAAAAAATTTCTAAATTTAGGCTTTTATAATAACTTTTACTTTAGAAAATAATTTATTATCTTGTTTTTATACTATAGCTAAGAATTAGTATTAATAAAGTATAGAAATTTATTTATTAGTCTAGATTTTAGATAGCTAATTTTAATATTACTTTTAAAAGTTAATATCTAAGAAGTACTACTTAGTAGTAAGTAGTATATTAAGTTTACTTTAATAATCTTTCTTAAGAACTACCTTTTAGTACTAGGTAAAATTTAATATACTTAAGCCTAAAAGAGTTAAGTGCTATAGTAAAGCTATTCTAGTTAAGTTCTAATATAGTAAGTATTAAGTTTAGATAGAGTATAGAATTCTATAATTTAAGTTTCTAGAAAAGTTTCTTAGTAAGTTATTAAGAAAAATATAGTATCTTAGTATAGAGTAGCTCTAGAGGCCTTTAGTATTTTAAGATTATAGTGTGCCTATACTGATTATATAACTAAATCGACGCACTATAATAAGACTATAGTATAGTTACTTAGTATAGAAGCTAATACCTATTCTGTTATAATTTTAAAGTAGTAGTAAAAGTATATAAACAAAATATTAACAAGTAGATTAAATATTTCTTATTAGTAACTTACTTTATATACTAGTTTATATATATATATATAGGACTTAGGTAGCTTTTAGTTAACGTTTAGTTTAGTTATAAATCTCAGGTAAAACTACCTACCAAATTTAAATTATAAAAGCTTTCTAAATTACTGCTAACCCTAAATAGATTACTAAGGTAGCTTTAGTAAGGATATAGGTAATTAAAGCTTATATTAAAAGCTTCTATCTAAATATCTTCTATATATCAAAGGTTTTTAGTTGTCTATTGTATTTTCTTTATAACTATAAGAATAGTAAATTAATAATATAACTCTATTAGTATAGCTTAAGAGATTAAATCTTATATCTTATAGTATACTAACTAAAAAAAGATTAAAGTAAGTAGTTTCTAGTACTAGTATAGTACTTTAGATATCTCTAGTTAGATTTCTAAAGACCTAGTAAAGTAGTAGAAAAAAAGAAAAGTATTTACTAAATATAATAGTAATACTTTTTACTAAAAGATTTAAGCTTTCTTATAGTACTTTAAAATAAATAAATAGAATTTAGTGTAGATTAAAAAAGCTTAAGTTTAGCTTTATTTTATTTAACTCTATAGAACTAATAAAGTTTTTTTTTATAACTAACTCTTTTTAATTAATAAGTTACGGCTAAGTAATTTAATAATCCTATTTCTTCTCTATTTAAAAGCTACTTTAAGTAAGCTTTAATAAATCTAAAGTAAGCTACCTTAAATCAAGATAATATAAAAGTAATCTAGAACGTATAAGACTTTACTATAGAACTATAGAACTAATATAGAATAAGAACACAGCTAGCTAATCTTAAGGTAGCTATTAGAGTAATCGTAATAGTAATAGTAACAGTAAGAGAAATAGTAATAGTAATAGTATTAGCAATAAGAAGTAAAGAGTTAACAATATAGAAATTTGAAAATAAGTATAAACTTTAGCTTTAATTATTAGTATAATTAACAAGAATAATTAAGCAATTAAAGCAAGTGTATAACTAAAACAGAATAATTACGATATATATTCGTTTATATTTTCTAGGGCTGGAAAACTTTATAACAAAAACTTATCTAGTAGTAAGTATAACTATATTTAAGAATAACTAATATTTTATATAATAGACTGTAGTTAATAAGATTATTTATACCTTGACTATTATATTTATAATATTAAAGAATATAGTATTAGACTAAGCTTTTGTAAAGTATACAAAGTAATATAAGCATTAAAACCTTAAGTAGTATACTAGTAGCTCAATATATTTCTTCTTATTAAAACTATATTATAAGGAATACTTATTTAATAAAATCTATCTAAAGCTAGTATGTAGTAGTAAAAATTATAAATTAAAAGACTTATTATTTTAGGTTTATAGCGTATTTATGCTTCTAGTACAAGCAGATAGACGTAACATAGTAAGAACCTAACATAGTAACTTAGTATAGAAGCTATTACCTAGCCTATTATTACATAGTAAATATTAGTTAAAGTATACAGTAATAGTAATCGAGAGCTTATTATAAAAAGAATTATAACTTTTAGTGTAAGCTATTAAAGCTTCGTAATAAAAATCTTGGTATAAAAGTAATTTAAAAACTAATACATAAAAGTTACACTAGAAATCGGCTTTTTACAGTCCTAAAACTACTATAGGTATAAAGGAAAGATAAAAACTATCTTACTTTATAAAGATAGAGTTATAAGTTACTTTTCAACGTTAAAGTAGCTCTAAAACAGGATATTAGTTTAAACTTCTAAGAATATACTAAACCTAACCTACTAATAAAATACCTTAAAGCTAGAATTAAAGTAAAAGCTTAGTTGTAAATACTATTAATTATTAAAAGAAAGATAATTAAGTAAGGCCCAAAGTAGAGAACTTATATTAGCTAGATTTTAGACTTAAAAAACTAAAGCTTATAAAAAATACATAACTTAGATATAATTTTGTATTACTTATAGCTTACCCTAAAGAATAGAGATTAATATATAATCTTATTATTATATTTTTGTATACATTTTTATTGTTTCTTAGTTTTTACTACGTAGGTTTACATTAACTATAGTAGCTAAAGTTAAACCTAGTTGTAACCCTCTGCTTCCTATTACTATTACTATTACTATTACTGTTACTATTACTACTGCTTTAAGCTTTGTCCTTATTTTATATTACTTATACAGCCCTCTAGTAAGGTATTATACATTTTAGATTACTATTATTATTCTCTTTTTCTAGGTAGTATACCTAAGATTTATAAAAGCTTACTTTAAGTAGCCCTAATCTTTAGTTAAGATAGTATTCTTATACTACTTAGTATTAAGCTTATTAAGTTAAAAAAGCTAAGTAGTAGAAAAAGTACTTTTAGTTTTATAAACTTATAAAAAAAAAAA